ATATATTTTTTTCTAATTAATTGTAATAGTGACTTTTGCAGTTATGTCCAGTGCCGGATTTACGTAAAAGCTAAACACGCTATAGCTTAGGGGGCCCCACTCTCATGGGGGCTCCCAAATAAATTAAAGGAAAAAAGTTCTAGTTACAGGCAGGTAGCTGTGTTGATCAACTATATTCATGCACACAAAAGCTCATACCAATAACAAACTTAGTTGGTCTCTAAGGTGCTACTGGAAGGAATTTTTATTTTATTTTGTTATGTCTATATGAATTTCTGAAGTTTTCCCAGTGAGCCAGTAAAGGGACCCCTGACCATTAGGTCCAGTCGTGGCCGACTCTGGGGTTGCGGTGCTCATCTCGCTTTACTGGCCGAGGGAGCCGGCGTACAGCTTCCGGGTCATGTGGCCAGCAGGACTAAGCCGCTTCTGGCGAACCAGAGCAGCGCACGGAAACGCTGTTTACCTTCCCGCCGGAGCGGTACCTATTTATCTACTTGCACTTTGACGTTCTTTCGAACTGCTAGGTTGGCAGGAGCAGGGACCGAGCAACGGGAGCTCACCCCGTGGCGGGGATTCGAACCGCCGACCTTCCGATCGGCAAGTCCTAGGCTCTGTGGTTTAGACCACAAGCGCCAGCCACGTCCCTATATAGCTTGTTTAGCTTATACAGTGGTACCTCGGGTTACATACGCTTCAGGTTACATACGCTTCAGGTTACATACGCTTCAGGTTGCATACGCTTCAGGTTACACACTTTGCTAACCCAGAAATAGTGCTTCAGGTTAAGAACTTTGCTTCAGGATGAGAACAGAAATCGTGCTCCTGTGGCGCGGCAGCAGCAGGAGGCCCCATTACCTAAAGTGGTGCTTCAGGTGAAGAACAGTTTCAGGTTAAGAACAGACCTCCGGAACTAATTAAATACTTAACCCGAGATACCACTGTACATAGGTACAGTCATACCTCGGGTTGAAGGAGCTTCAGGTTAAGCATTTTCGGGTTGCGCTCCGCGGCGACCTGGAAATAACGGAGTGCGTTAATTCCGGGTTTCGCTGCTCACACATGCGCAGGCGCAGCGAATCGTGACCCACGCATGCGCAGAAGGGGGTTGCATTCGCTTCAGGATATGAACAGGGCTCTGGAACGGATCCCGTTCGCATCCAGAGGTATCACTGTACATTTATCAGTGAATTCTTACATTTGGTATCGTGCAGCAGAGGCCCTTTGAACAGATAGGAAGAAACTGTGATGAAGTGCTTTGTGGGGACAAATCACAAAAGTCACAAAAGCGATTGTGTTGATTTTGTTAGTGGGCTGCATGTGCATGATATCTGGAGCCTTTTCCAACGTATACATCAATTTCTGCAACACCATTCCTGGCAAAAAAAAAATTGAAATTGTTACCGGAAAAATCCGAGGGCTCCCTTGGACAAAAACAAAGACACCAACCAGGATAACTTGGAGCAAAACAGCAGCCTGTAGGCTTGGCCTTTATTGAACTGTTGCAACAGGGTGCTGCCCTCACTTGCAGGAGAGAGGAAGGACCCAGAAAAATGGTGTGCAAGGTCTTATAAAGACTTTTTGAAATTGCCACCCTGTAGATCAAGACCACCCCCAGAAACATCATGCATACATCACAGAAAGGAGGGGTTGAGGGAGGAGTTGTGGAGGTAACCTGAGTGTCCTGTCGCCTGGCTGGTTCCCCCTTTCCCCCTCCCCATGAGTATTTTCCAGAGGACAAAGGGGAGTTTCCTGCCCCCAGAGGGAAGAGCTGATTATTGTCCTTTGTTCCAGTCCGTGCTGAATCCACTCCCATACGGAAGTTCTTTGTGATCTTGATGGTCTTCTGTCTAGGACCATCAGGGTTGGCCTAGCAACTGGGCAGGGCTCCTGTGGATGTGCTGGGATGCTCAAGGGATTATGTCTGGCCTGTAGCAAACCTTCCCCATTTTGTAGTCCTTCCTTCATGGAGTAAAATAAAAGTGGAACAGTGCAGATCCGATGTATGGTTGATTTTCTATGAATTTATAACAGAAGCGTAGCGTATGTAGTGTGTGAGTGTGAGTGTGTGTGTGTGTGAAGTTTGTACAAACTGAATGATTGGGGGGGGGTTTCCTGCGACAGTAGTGGGCTGCATGTGCATGATATCTGGACCCTTTTCCAACCTATACATCAATTCCTGCAACACCATTCCTGGCAAAAAAAAATGAAATGAAATAGCCATGGTGGTTCCCCACCATGTCTCGAATGCTTCGAGAACCCTTCTCCCCCTCCCTTTGCCCCCATGAGTTTCCCCGGTGCCTCTGACCGGCTGCCACCAGACCCGGGAATCCTGGATCCAAAGGGATCCTGGCACGAGCCGGGATTTGAGGTTCTCAAGGTTTGGGGTTCTCATCCAAGCGGTATCGGTTTTGCCCTGGCAGAAAGGGGCGCTGGGTAACGCAGAACCCAGAAGATTCCTGCGGTTCTGCTTGGCTCTCCAAAGAAAACATCGGCAGCCCAGGAGAGAAGGAGAGAACGTCAGTGGCAGAAATAGCAACCCAAACCACCGTTTGTCCGACGGCTCGGAATTATGATTGCAAACTCAGAAGCTGCTGGCACAGAGCGAATTTTCACTTTGATGCCTGCCCAGTTTCGGAGAGGCACGGAATCCAGGCAGAATACGCGGGAACGCAGAGACATCACCTTGCCAACAAAGATCTGTATAGTTCAAGCTCTGGTTTCCCCAGTAGTGATGTATGGAAGTGAGAGCTGGACCATCAAGAAGGCTGATCGCCAAAGAATGGATGCTTTTGAATTCTGGTGCTGGAGGAGACTCTTGAGAGTCCCATGGACTGCAAGAAGATCAAACCTCTCCATTCGGAAGGAAATCAGCCCTGAGTGCTCCCTGGAAGGACAGATCCTGAAGCTGAGGCTCCAAGACTTTGGCCACCTCATGAGAAGAGAAGACTCCCTGGAAAAGACCCTGATGTTGGGAAAGATGGAGGGGACGACAGAGGACGAGATGGTGGGACAGTGTTCTCGAAGCTACCAGCATGAGTTTGACCAAACTGCGGGAGGCAGTGGAAGACAGGAGGGCCTGGCGTGCTCTGGTCCAGGGGGTCACAAAGAGGCGGACACGACTAAACGACTAAACAACAACAAATTATTTCATAGCCTTATATTTTCTATCAACTCCGTATTGTCCATAATAATCGTTACATTACAAGCCAGATTGAAAATCCTGCTAATGGTTTCGTTCGCTTGCAAGTGCTCTGCTAAATAAATTATACATTTCCCCAATTATTTTTAAAAGTTTTGTTATTATACTGTATATATGTGTGTGTTTAGATGTTTTTATATATATGCCCCAGAATGGTTGCGGGAACCCAGTCAGATGGATGAGGCACAAATATATTATTACTATTAATTATTAAGTTGGGTGGGTGTTGTAAACAAAAATTGCCCTTTTCCCTTATGGGTTATCCAAGAGCCCATATAGAGTCCTTACATAGGTTCCCTATTGGTAGGAGAAAATAACAGAGGCCAACTAGAGAATATTGAGAAGCAAAGCAGCTAGTAAGCTTGATCTTTATTGATCTGTTGCAACAGCGTGCTCCCCTCACCCGCAGGAGAGAGGAGGGACCCAGAAAAATGGCATGCAAGGTCTTATAAAGACTTTTGAAATTGCCACCCTGTAGATCAAGACCACCCCCAGGAACATCATACATACATCACAGAAGGGGTGTAACCTAAGACCACCCCTCAGATACATCACACCTACATCACAGAAAAGGCGGTCTACAACAGAAATTTGAATGTTGTTTTTCTCCTGTCCTTGTTTATCTGGCATGTTACTTGATTGGATTGCCTGGGTAGCCTGGCCAGTCTTTTGTAGTGATAAATACTTAGTTCCTGGGCCAGGTCACAGGCTCACACCCTATTCATATCTTAAATGTGCCCTTAAGACAGGATTTGTGAGGAAAGAGACAATGGGGAGGTTTCCCACTTTGACATTGCAGAGAAAACATTGGCTCAGTTTAGGAATCAAAAATGGTTCCGGGTCAGTCTTCTTGTGCTGATCTATGTATGTGCTTGGTTGGTACATTTATGAACATTTCTTATATATCTAAGACCATAAAATTCCTATCACATGGGGTTACAAATATATTATTAAGACAGGGAAGTGATCAGGGTCAAGCCATGCCCAGAAAACACCATTTATTCCAGGTTGCAGAGATCACTTAAGGACACCCCTGCAAAAATGATGGAATTTTCGGAGAAAAGCCGACCTGACCGGAGGAGGAGTTCCAGGAAGAATGGAAGAAAGTTAATGACTATTTAGCTAAATATGTTAAGTTAAATTAGTTGGAAAAACCTTGCAAATACCCGATAGTATTTGCAATATGTATTATGGATTATGTGATGGATTATGTGATGGATTAATATGCTTAATACTGAAGTGGGAAGAAAGAAAGATGTCCAGAGATAAAGTTAATTTTATAAGAACATTGATTTGGAAAAGCGTTAAAATGATATATATTGAAATCCAACCTGGGGGGCACGAGGAAGTCACTAAACAATGTTAATTAGATCAAGGTTTATAAAAGCTATGATCTATGTTTGTTTGTTTATATGTGTGTATTTGCTTGTTTAATTTTTTGTGAAAAATCAATAATTATTATTTTTTTAAAGGACACCCCTGCAAGGTAGGCCAACCTGCATGGAACAACGATGGGACTGCCTACACTACTGCCTGATCAATAATTAAATCTTTTTCCCCCCCTCAGCCTCGCCGCACGCGACCCCTAAGTAGCCCCCACAAGGACACATCAGGTGGTGTTTTTTTTAAGGGGTGGGATGGACGTGAATTGTTAGGTGGGCGGGAGTTTCCGCTTCCCTGCTCAGGCGCCGCGAAGGCCAGCCCCGACGCGCGACGCCGCCGAAGAAGGACCCCAGTCCCTGCGCCCGCCCTCAAACAGGCCGGAAGCGCCCAGAGTCGTGGGGGCAGGCCTAGAGTGGCCATGGGCTCCAGGTCCCGGTCCAGGGAACGGCGCCGGAGGAGAAGCCGGTCCAGATCCGAGGAGCGGGAGAGGAGGAGGCAGAGGAGGAGGAGGAGAGAGCGGGGTGGAAGGTGAGCGGGGAAGCCCGGCGGGGCGCGGCCCTGGGGACCATAGAGTCTCCGGACCATAGAGTTCGCCCGGGGTAGAGCGGTTGTTGTTGTTTTCTCCCCTATAGGTTCCTATAGGCGATTCTTTCCCCCTATAGCGAGGGTGTTAAGCGGGCTTAAGATGTGGGGAAGCGGCTTAAGCCCCCCAAGCTGCTTCTCCTGCTAGGTTTCGGTGTGCCCTTGGCTCAGGGGGCAAATAGTAAGGTGGCAAGAGGGCTCCTGAGCATGTCAAAAGTGCCCTGCAGCTGGTTCAGGCCAGGGGGGGGGATCATAGTCCAGGAACCGCTTGGTGTGAGGCGTTCACAACGTAGTAATAATAATGATAATTTATTATTTGCACCCCGCCCATCTGGCTGGGTTTCCCCAGCCACTCTGGGCGGCTTCCATAGAAACCAAGAATACACTAAAATATCACACACTAAAAACTTCCCTGAACAGGGCTGCCTTCTGAATGTCAGGTACTTGTTTAATTCTCTGACATCTGATGGGAGGGTGCCACCACCGAGAAGGCCCTGTGCCTGGTTCCCTGTAACCTCACTTCTCGCAATGAGGGAACTGCCAGAAGGCCCTCGGGAGATGGACCCAGGTGTCCGGGCAGAACGATGGGGTGGAGGCGCTCCTTCAGGTATACTGTGACGAGGCCATTTAGGGCTTTCAAGGTCAACACCAGCACTTTGAATTGTGCTCAGAAACATCCTGGGAGCCAATGTAGGTCTTTCAAGACCGGTGTTATGTGGTCCCGGCGGCCGCTCCCAGTCCCCAGTCTAGCTGCCGCATTCTGGATTAGTTGTAGTTTCCGAGTCACCTTCAAAGGTAGCCCCACGTAGAGCGCATGGCAGTAGTCCAAAGTAAAGGGAGGATTGAACTCTGATTAATAAGAATACACACAGAGGCTTGAACCAACAAGACTCTGGGAAGGGTGCGTCTAATAATCTCTCTGTCTGTCTGCCTCTACCCCTGGCCCCTCGTTTTATTCACAAAAGAACTTTTTGCAGAATGTTCGTAAGAACCAATCAGATTTCTTCTGAGCATTTAAACAAACCCAAGTCGGGGACAAAGTTAAACTATAAACACTAGTTAGGCATGCATAAAGGTAAAGGTAAAGGGACCCCTGACCATTAGGTCCAGTCGTGACCGACTCTGGGGTTGCGGCGCTCATCTCGCTTTATTGGCCGAGGGAGCCAGCGTACAGCTTCCGGGTCATGTGGCCAGCAGGACTAAGCCGCTTCTGGCGAACCAGAGCAGCGCACGGAAACGCCGTTTACCTTCCCGCCGGAGTGGTACCTATTTATCTACTTGCACTTTGATGTGCTATTGAACTGCTAGGTTGGCAGGAGCAGAGACCGAGCAACGGGAGCTCACCCCGTCATTGCGGGGAATCGAACTGCCAACCTTCTGATCGGCAAGCCCTAGGCTCTGTAGTTTAACCCACAGCGCCACCTGTGTCCCAGTTAGGCATGCATACTTTTGGGTGAATGAGTGAAAACAACAAAGGAGCGCATTCAGCAAACCCGGAGGTCATAAACAATCAGTACACATGATAAGAAGGATGGCCAGGAAGACAGCGACCATTATCACCTTAATGTGAAACCTGTTTCCTGGCCCTAAGATTAACATCCTAAGATTGATATATAAGAAAAGCTACATCGATGAAACTGCCCATTGACTTTGGGGACCCGGGACGCCTGCCTGTCCGTGTAAGTGACTTGTCAAGAAAAGGGGAATGGAACAAGGATGCAGAGGTGAAGATTAATCAAGAATCATATCAAAATTGTTTAAACCCAGTCAACGCAATGCTTTCATTGCTGACACAGATGGCTTACTCTATATTTGTTATAATTCCTCATAGCAGTTCCACCTGATCACTACACTGGTGCAACGGCAACTCTCCCCACATGCGATTCCCAGCGTTATCGTCGAACAGGAAGGGGCCCCCAAAGGTCATCAAGCCCAACAGGCTGCAAAAACATAGGACCAGTGGAAAGCATATACATAGAATCTCAGAGTTGCAAGGGACCCCATGGGTCATCTAGTCCAACCCCCTTTTTCTTCTCCTGTGGCGATTAATAATAATAATAATAATAATAATAATTTATTTATACCTCGCCCTCCCCAGCCAAGACCGGGCTCAGGGTGGCTAACATCAGGTATAAAAACAATTGATTAAAATACAGCTTAAAAACAAGATTAAAATACAACACTAAAATGCAGCCTTATTTCAGTAGAAACTCAAATAGCCAAGTTAAATTGTCTTCCATGAACACGGTTTTAGCAGTGAGTCCGTAAGCAAGTTTTGTTGTTGTTGTTTAGTTGTTTAGTCGTGTCCGACTCTTCGTGACCCCCTGGACCAGAGCACGCCAGGCACTCCTGTCTTCCACTGCCTCCCGCAGTTTGGTCAAACTCATGCTGGTAGCTTCGAGAACACTGTCCCACCATCTCGTCCTCTGTCGTCCCCTTCTCCTTGTGCCCTCCATCTTTCCCAACATCAGGGTCTTTTCCAGGGAGTCTTCTCTTCTGCTGAGGTGGCCAAAGTCTTGGAGCCTCAGCTTCAGGATCTGTCCTTCCAGTGAGCACTCAGGGCTGATTTCCTTCCGAATGGAGAGGTTTGATCTTGCAGTCCATGGGACTCTCAAGAGTCTCCTCCAGCACCAGAATTCAAAAGCATCCATTCTTCGGCGATCAGCCTTCTTTATGGTCCAGCTCTCACTTCCATACATCACTACTGGGAAAACCAGAGCTTGAACTATATGGACCTTTGTTGGCAAGGTGATGTCTCTGCTTTTGAGGATGCTGTCTGGGTTTGTCATTGCTGCAAAAACATAGGACCAGTGGAAAGTATATTCATAGAATCTTAGAGTTACAAGGGACCCCATGGGTCATCTACTCCAACCCTCTTTTTCTTCTCCTTTGGTGATCCCTCGTAGCCGAGTAAGATTGTCTTCCATAAACACGGTTTTAACGGTGAATCCGTAAGTGACTGTGGAGGCCAATTCTGGATCCACACGTCCTTCCACAGTGGGGACATAGGTTTCTGGGCGGGAGTTGATCCCGGTGAGGGTTTGCCAAGCGTGCCTTCCTCTTAGCACGTTTCTCCCTTGCGTCCTGAGTTCGAGTGTCTTCAAAGCCCACGACACCTTTGGTCAAGGCTGTTCTTCAACTGGACCGCTTGCAGGCCAGTGTTTCCCAGTTGTCTGTGTTTATACTACATTTTTAAAGAGTTGCCTTGAGAGAGTCTTTGAACCTCTTTTGTTGACCACCAGCATTCCGCTTCCCATTCTTAAGTTCGGAATAGAGCAGTTCGCAAACCGGAACACTTACTTTTGGGTTTGCAGCGTTTGGGTCCCAAGTTGCTTGAGCACCCAGACCTTTTAGAACCAAGGTACCACTGAAAAAATGCACTGGGTATGTGTAGAAACTAGCCTCTTGTACAATTGTTAAAAGTTTCCGCTCATTCCTCTGCCCCCTTTTGCCTCCAGCCCTTGGGGGGGGGGGCTACCTCTGGCTGGAGTTCTGCCCCTCTCTTTCACTCTCAAATCAGAATTTCTCTCTCTCTCCTTAGCTCGGAGGAAGAGAGTCAGAAATGGCAGAAAAAGAAAGAGAAAAGCGAGGAACGACATGGGAAGAGGCACAAAAAGCGACGTTCTCGCGGCCGCTCCCCAAGCTCGGATTCGTCCCCGGAGAGGCGAGGCCGCAGCAGCGAGAGGAGGGGGAAGAGGACCCGGAAGCGCTCTGGGTCCCGATCCTCCGTGTCCTCGGTCACGTCGCCTTCGCCGTCCCGCTCGCAGAGCTCTCGGGGGGACCTGGGCGAGGAACTGAGCCTCCAGGAACGGTTGCAGCTGAAAGACGACAAGAAGAAACAGAAGGAGATGGTGAAGGCTCTGGAGACCCCGGAGGAGAAGAGGGCCCGGCGGCTGGCCAAGAAGGAAGCGAAGGAGCGCAAGAAGCGCGAGAAGATGGGCTGGGGGGAAGAGTACATGGGATACACCAATACTGACAACCCCTTTGGGGATAACAACCTTCTGGGAGCCTTCATCTGGAGCAAGGTGAGTTTCGGACCGCTGTCGGCAGCCCGGGATGTTGGCACTGTAGCCAAGAGGTCAATGTGGAAGCGGTGGATTTGATTTACCGTATTTTTCGTTCTATAGGACGCACCCGACCATCGGACGCACCTTGTTTTAGAGGGGGAGAACAAGGAAAAAAATTATCCCCCTCTCTGCCCAGCGCCCCTTCAGTGAAGCGGCAGGAGGCGCTGCGCAGAGAGGGGGAGAATTTTCCCCCCCTTGTTCTCCCCCTATAAAACAAGGTGCCATTCAAGGTGTTTTCAGTCGCCTTCAGGCAGCTACTTTGGAAGCCTCTCGCTCTCCAGGCTTCAGTGAAGGCAACCTGAAGCCTCCGGCGCGCAGCCTTCCTTCTTTAGCCCCACACAACCTCTCCGGCAGGTTGCAATACCCCCACCTCCTGCAAAAACCCACAGGAGCCGCGCACCCTATAAGGAGCGCATGGCTCCTGCGGGCTTTTCTACGAGGGTGGGAAGGGACTGACTGGCCGCGTCAGTCCCATCTCCCTCCTGAAGAAAAGCCCGCAAGAACCGCTCGGAGCTTGTGTGCGGCTTTTGGGAGCTTTTCCTGCCTGCCTCCCCCCCTGCATTCGCTCCGTAGGACGCACACACATTTCTCCTTCATTTTTGGAGGGGAAAAAGTGCGTCCTATAGAGTGAAAAATACGGTAAATGGAATAGATTCAAATCGCGATTTAAACCACTCGTCAGTAAGACTTGATTTACCGTATTTTTCATTCCATAAGTCACACTTTTTCCTTCCTAAAAAGTAAGGGGAAATGTCTGTGCGTCTTACGGAGCGAATGCGTGGTCCCTGGAGCCGAATTGCCCAGGGGCAAAAAGCAGATCGTGCAATGGCGCAAAAACGTGGTTACAAAGCACGGATCCACATGGATTCTCAGGATTTTTGCATTGGGCTACCCCAAACTCACTGTCAAATCACATGTCTGTGGCCACAGCACGAACCACAAAAATCATACATCCACTGTTTCGTTCTGAATATTTTTTTTCTTGTTTTTCTCTAAAAACTAGTTGCGTCTTAAGGAGCGAAAAATACGGTAAATCTTCTTCTTTTTAAACAGACAGACTCATTCTTGCTGGTACCATCTTAACATTCGCGACAAAGGTGAAGGTTTCGTTTTTTGGACGAATAAATTTTCAGAGTAGTTTTTGCAGTTCTGTCAAAAATGACTGATTTGGTTGCGCTGTTAAGAAATACGTAAGGCGGATAATTATGAAATTGGTGTTGAAGTTTAATAAGTGGGCTGTTTATATTTGGACAACTTGTCTGCTGTGCTTTATTGGAAGGAGAAAAACAACAATTTCCTTAACAACAATTTTAACAATTTATTTAACTAGAGCAATAACATTATAGCCGTCCACTCAAATTGGCTCTAATAATAATAATAATAATAATTTATTATTTATACCCCGCCCATCTGGCTGGGCTTCCCCAGCCACTCCGGGCGGCTTCCCAAAAAATATTTAAATACTGCAATACATCAAACACTAAAAGCTTCCCTAAACAGGGCTGCCTTCAGGTGTCTTCTGAAAGTCTGGTAGTTGTTGTTCTCTTTGACATCTGGTGGGAGGGTGTTCCACAGGGCAGGTGCCACCACCAAGAAGGCCCTCTGCCTGGTTCCCTGTAACTTGGCTTCTTGCAGTGAGGGAACCGCCAGAAGACCCTCGGCGCTGGATCTCAGTGTCCGGGTAGAACGATGGGGGTGGAGACGCTCCTTCAGATATACTGGACCAAGGCCGTTTAGGGCTTTAAAGGTCAGCACCAACACTTTGAATTGTGCTCGGAAACGTACTGGGAGCCAATGTAGGTCTTTCAGGACCGGCGTTATGTGGTCTCGGCGGCCGCTCCCAGTCCCCAGTCTGGCTGCCACATTCTGGATTAGTTGCAGTTTCCGGGTCACCCTCAAAGGTAGCCCCACATAGAGCGCATGGCAGTAGTCCAAGCGGGAGATAACTAGAGCATGCAACACTCCAGCAAGACAGTCCACAGGCAGGGAGGGTCTCATCCTGCATACCAAATGGACACAGAACTGACCTGCGCCTCCATGGACAGCTGTGAGTCCAAAATGACCCCCAGGCTGCGCACCTGGTCCTTCAGGGGCTAAAAACCTCCCCTTCTGTGCTGATTGGGCAGCTGCGAGTTCGAGTCCAGCAGTTCCTGGAGTGGTCCAGGTTTCTCATTCTTGATCTAAGAAGAGGCATTCCTCTCAGGAAGAGAACGCCTCCTTTGAATATTAAACCGTTTTTCTCTCTGCCTCGATTTTATTTATCATCTCAGGCTCTGGAAAAGAAGGGGATAGGCCACTTAGAGGAGAAGGAGTTAAAAGACCGGAACAAACGGATCCAGGAGGAAAACCGATTGGAGCTTCAGAAGGTAAAAGCCAAAGTAGCAGTGAGCTGGGGGAGGGTATCTCTGGGCATGCGCAGAGTGCCTTTGCCTTAGAGATGAAGCGCCAGTGCCACAAAAGGAGAGGACCGCCAGGGTCTGGAAGATCTGAGCTGCAGGTTTGTTTGACCCTTGGGGAATTGACCGGTAATTCAGATTTTGATTGCCTGCTGAATCTGCCCCTTTCCTGTGAACTTGGGATTTAAGTGCTTTGTGGGTAGTTAACTCTTGTTTTTGCTTTGTACATATGTACTTAAACCTAGATTGCTTTTCTTGTTGGTACCAAATCTATCCTTCGTTAGCCAAATTGCTGATTCTCTCTCTTTCTATATATATATATTAAGCAATTTCAACATAACAATTTATCAATCGTATAATCACATACATTATTATTCCCACCCACCCCTTCCATCCCTCCCTCCCACCAGGGACTTCCTTCAGCTCATCTCCCTGATTTCTCTGCGCATATTATTCTCTGCACGTTATAAAGTTATACATATCCTTACCTTATCTATCTATCATGTTATCAACCAGTAAATTTGTGTTATGTTTATTCAAAACCTGCCAAGGAGTCTAGTTCATTTTGTTACCTTTTTAGATCATTTGTAAAAAGCTCCCGTTCTTCCTTAAAGTCACAGTTGTCTTTGTCCCGCAGTTTGTATGTCGATTTAGCCAACTCTGCATAAATTCAAAACCAACCAAAAACGAATCAGCGATTCGAGTTGGCAAATTGCTGGTTCTTTTCTGGTCGGTTTTGAATTTACGGGCGTGTGCTGCGTTTTGCATATTTGTATATCCAGCGCTCTGTCGCTCGATATTTTGAGTGTTTGCCGCAGGGCTGCTTTGGGTACAGCTTGTTGCGGGAAAGCGGCACATAAGTAAACACACACACACGAACACACACACACTGGGTCATCTCTCTGTGGTAAAGGTAAAGGGACCCCTGACCATTAGGTCCAGTCGTGGCTGACTCTGGGGTTGCGGCGCTCATCTCGCTTTATTGGCCGAGGGAGCCGGCGTACAGCTTCTGGGTCATGTGGCCAGCAGGACTAAGCCGCTTCTGGCGAACCAGAGCAGCGCACGGAAACACCGTTTACCTTCCCGCCGGAGCGGTACCTATTTATCTACTTGCGCTGGCGTGCTTTTGAACTGCTAGGTGGGCAGGAGCAGGGACCGAGCAATGGGAGCTCACCCTGTCATTGCGGGGATTGGAACCGCCGACCTTCTGATCGGCAAGTCCTAGTCTCTGTGGTTTAACCCACAGCGCCACCCGCGTCCCCTCTCTCTGTGGTAGCTTATCTTAAAGTTTTGAGTGTCTACATGCTCACCGCATTTATAAATTTCAAATGTATTGTTGTACATTGTTTTAAATGTTTGCTTTCCTTCTGGGGTTGTACCCCCAGGTGTGTTTTATCAGCTGGTCTCCGACCGTAATAAATCACTGTATTTTTTGCTCTATAAGACTCCTAAAAAGTAAGGGGAAATGTGTGTGCGTCTTATGGAGCGAATGCAGGCTGCGCAGCTATCCCAGAAGCCAGAACAGCAAGAGGGATTGCTGCTTTCGCTGCGCAGCGATCCCTCTTGCTGTTCTGGCTTCTGAGATTCAGAATATTTTTTTCCTTGTTTTCCTCCTCCAAAAACTAGGTGCGTCTCGTGGTCTGGTGCGTCTTACAGAGCGAAAAATACGGTATCTATCTATTGCACACACATCATCCGAACACCGCTCGTTCTCGGGTCTCTCTTTGCAGGTGAAGCAGTTGCGCTTGGAGCGGGAGCGCGAGAAGGCCATGCGCGAGCAAGAGCTAGAGATGCTTCAGAGGGAAAAGGAGGCGGAGCATTTCAAGACGTGGGAGGAGCAAGAGGACAACTTTCACCTGCAGCAGGCAAAGCTGCGGTAAGTGAGGGGAGCAGGAAAGAATGAGGGTTTCAGGGATGCCAGAGGCTGAGAGACTCCAAGTCATCCTGAGAGCCAGTGTGGTGTAGTGGTTAAGAGCGGTAGACTTGTAATCTGGGGAACCGGGTTCGCGTCTCTGCTCCTCCACCTGCAGCTGCTGGGTGACCTTGGGCTAGTCTCACTTCTCTGAAGTCTCTCAGCCCCACTCACCTCACAGAGTGCTTGTTGTGGGGGAGGAAGGGAAAGGAGATTGTTAGCCGCTTTGAGACTCCTTTAAAAGGTAAAGGGACCCCTGACCATTAGGTCCAGTCGCGGCCGACTCTGGGGTTGTGGCGCTCATTTCGCTTTACTGGCCGAGGGAGCCGGCGTACAGCTTCCGGGTCATGCGGCCAGCAGGACTAAGCCGCTTCTGGCGAACCAGAGCAGTGCATGGAAACGCCGTTTACCTTTCCGCTGGAGTGGTACCTATTTATCTACTTGCACTCTGACGTGTTTTCGAACTGCTAGGTTGGCAGGAGCAGGGACCGAGCAACGGGAGCTCACCCCGTCACGGGGATTCGAACCGCCAACCTTCTGATCTCACACTGAGAGCCAGTGTGGTGTAGTGGTTAAGAGCGGTGGACTCGTAATCTGGGGAACCGGGTTCGCGTCTCCGCTCCTCCACCTGCAGCTGCTGGGTGACCTTGGGCTAGTCACACTTCTCTGAAGTCTCTCAGCCCCACTCACCTCACAGAGTGTTTGTTGTGGGGGAGGAAGGGAAAGGAGAATGTGAGCCGCTTTGAGACTCCTTCGGGTAGTGATAAAGCGGGAAATCAAATCCAAACTCTTCTTCTTCTTCTTCAAAGAAACAGAAAAGACAATTGTAGCTTTAAGAACTGTTTCTGCGAGTGGTTTTCAAGGCTGATTAGGTATAGAAGGTGATGTGTACAAAAGGAGAAGTTGCAGTTTGAATTTGCCTGCAAAAGAGAAGACCCACATGCTTTTAATAATAATAATAAAATAAATAATAATAATAATAATACAGTGGATGCTAGGGTTGCAAACGTGATCCATGTGGGAGGGCCTCATCCTGCAGGGCTCTTTTTCTGAGCTCAGGCAATAATAATAATAATAATAATAAATAATAATAATTTATTATTTATACCCCATCCACCTGGCTGGGTTTCCCCAGCCACTCTGGCCGGCTTCCAACAGAACACTAAAATACAATAACCTATTAAACATTAAAAGCTTCCCTAAACATTAAAAGGGACGCGGTGGCACTTTCGCAACCCCAGAGTCAGCTACGACTGGACCTAATGGTCAGGGGTCCCTTTACCTTTAAACATTAAAAGCTTTGTGTTTGTAAGGTTGTAAATAAAACTTTTGCTTGAGTATTCTACATCCTTCAGCCTGACCTCGTCTCCTTCGTGTTCTCCCGCCCCCTGCCCCCCGCAGCTCCAAGATTCGCATCCGAGACGGACGGGCCAAGCCCATCGACCTCCTGGCCAAATATATCAGCGCCGAGGACGACGACTTGGCAGTGGAGATGCACGAGCCGTACACTTTCCTGAACGGCCTCACCGTCTCGGACATGGAAGACCTCCTGGAAGACATTCAGGTACGGCTGGGGAAATTGATTCAAAATCAAAACAAAACATATTATCCAGAAACATATCATCCTTTAATGAATGTTAGAATGATGTTGGGTTGAAGTTAAGTGGTTTCTAGCTGTAATGGTAAAAGAATATGGGAAAATTGGATTTTCGAAACGTCAAAACTTAATGCTATAATATATTAAGATTGAAGATTAGGATAAAATAAGGAGGGAAAGGAATTGCTGAACTAATATTGAACTGGAATACAAAAAAGGGAGGCACGAGGAGGTTCGGGAAACAAGTAAATGAAAGATAAGTGATGAAAAGATGGAATTGTTTTTAACTGGTTTTTTTTTGTATTTTGTATTTTGTATTTTGTATTTTTCTTTTTTCTATTTTTCTTTTCTTATCAATGTAATCTTTTTTTTGAAACTTTAATAAATATCATTTTAAAAAAAAACACCAGAAACATATCATCCTTATCCCCCACCCCATTTTTCCTCCCTCCTACACAAACCCCACCCCCTGACTTCCCTTCGTTCCAGTCTTTGATTTCTCTGAGAATGCTATTTTCTGCATGTTACACAGTTGTATAGATCCTCAAACTATTTCGCTGATTATTATCAATAAAAAGTTTGTGAAGGTTTATTCAAAGCCAGCCAAGGAGTCCAGTTTGCTTTGTTGCCTCTTCAAATACTTTGTAAAGGGTTCCCATTCGTCCTTAAAGTCACGGTTATCCTTGTCCCGTAGCTTATATGTCAGTTTTGCCAGTTCTGCATAGTCCATCAATTTTTCTTGCCACGATTCTTTAGTTGGGGTTTCTTCAGTCTTCCATCCTTGTGCTATTAGAACTCTCGCGGCCGTTGCCGCATACATGGAGATATTTTTCAGCTTTTTTGGCAGATCTTTCCCTACAATCCCTAATGGTCCAGCGCTCACTTCCACACATCACTACCGGGAAAACCATGTAAGCAAATGCAAACGCTGTAGAAAATACGCTCTGGATCACGAGCGGAACCACTGGAATTAATGGATTCAAATTAGTCATGCCCGTTCGATTTCAGTAGAAATCGAAGCCGGGTGCAACGCTGCGATCCTATGCAGCGTGGCGATTTTCGCATACACCCCCGCCCTAAATGATATAAAATGGGAGTAATGTATTTGTGGGGGGCAGGTGTCAAGAAAATCAATTCCCTCCCCAGGCCTGAAATGAGTCCAGAGCCTCAGCTGTTTCCCCCCTCTCTTCTCCAGGTTTACATGGAGCTGGAACAAGGGAAAAACGTGGATTTCTGGAGAGACATGACCATCATCACCGAGGATGAAATCGCTAAGCTCCGCAAATTAGAGGCTTCTGGGAAAGGGCCAGGTAGGTGTGAATTGAAGCATCGGAGGGCCTGCCTTGCTTGTGGAACCACAGAGCCTAGGACTTGCCGATCAGAAGGTCGGCGGTTCGAATCCCCGCGACGGGGTGAGCTCCCGTTGCTCGGTCCCTGCTCCTGCCAACCTAGCAGTTTGAAAGCACGCCAGTGCAAGTAGATAAATAGGTACTACTCCGGCAGGAAGGTAAACAGCGTTTCCGTGCGCTGCTCTGGTTTGCCAGAAGCGGTTCAGTCATGCTAGCCACATGACCCGGAAGCTGTACGCCGGCTCCCTCGGCCAGTAAAGCGAGATGAGCGCCGCAACCCCAGAGTCGGCCACGACTGGACCTAACGGTCAGGGGTCCCTTTACCTTTATGGAAGTATATTGTATTTAAAAATGGGGTGTCAGAGTTTTTAGGGGGCTAACCAGGCTGGGATAGCTGGGACAGCAGGCTTGTTGGGCTTTGAATGTCTTACGTAAATTTTTCAATTGCGTTGTTCTGTGTGGGACAATGACAATAAAGATTATCGTTTCAAGAGAAAGAGCTTCTGTGTGAATGGATAGGGAGCCCACAGTTCTTCAGATCGACTTGGGGGTTGGAACACCGTCAGGTGAAATTCAGGATTCGCACCCAACCCCTCGGCCGGGGAGGCGGCGAGGTTCCTGGGCCCCCTCTCCTCTGCTCACGGCATTTCCTTCCCCTCCTACGTCCTGCAGGCGAGCGCCGGGAAGGGGTTAACGCTTCGGTCAGCTCCGACGTGCAGTCTGTCTTTAAGGGGAAGACCTACAACCAGTTGCAGGTGATCTACCAGGGCATTGAGGGCAAGATCCTGGCCGGAGGACCCAACCTGGACATCGGCTACTGGGAGAGTCTCCTTCAGCAGCTGAAAGCCTACATGGCCCGGGCAAGGTGAGTGGATCGCCCTGATCGGACCACCTTCCCACAGCGGCGGCCTAATTTCTGACCTTGTTGTTGTTTAGTCGTTTAGTGGTGTCCGCCTCTTCGTGACCCGCTGGACCAGAGCACGCCAGGCCCTCCTGTCTTCCACTGCCTCCCACAGTTTGGTCAAACTCATGCTGGTCGCTTCGAGAACACTGTCCCACCATCTCGTCCTCTGTCGTCCCCTTCTCCTTTTGCCCTCCATCTTTCCCAACATCAGGGTCTTTTCCAGGGAGTCTTCTCTTCTCATGAGGTGGCCAAAGTCTTGGAGCCTCAGCTTCAGGATCTGTCCTTCCAGTGAGCACTCAGGGCTGATTTCCTTCCGAATGGAGAGGTTTGATCTTCTTGCAGTCCATGGGACTCTCCAGAGTCTCCTCCAGCACCAGAATTCAAAAGCATCCATTCTTCGGCCATCAGCCTTCTTTATGGTCCAGCTTTCACTTCTATACATCACTCCTGGGAAAACCATGGCTTTAACTATACCAGGGGTCTGCAACCTTTAAGACAAAAAGAGCCACTTGGACCTGTTTCCGAAGAAAAAAAAAACTGGGAGCTGCAAAACTCGTCATTATAAAAATAACTTTTTTGTCACTTTTTTATTAGTCTCCTCCAGCACCAGAATTCAAAAGCATCCATTCTTCGGCCATCAGCCTTCTTTATGGTCCAGCTCTCACTTCCATACATCACTACTGGGAAAACCATAGCTGACCTTAAGTTTTTAAAAATACTGTGGTCCCTTGGTTCTCAAACTCGATCCGTTCCGGAGGTCCGTTCCAAAGCCAAAGCGTTCCAAAACCAAGGCGTGCTGCTTTCCTGTAGAAAGTAAGGTGAAACGGATTAATCCGTCCCAGACTTTTAAAAACAACCCCTAAAAAAGCAATTGGGACGCGGGTGGCGCTGTGGGTTAAACCACAGAGCCTAGGGCTTGCCGATCAGAAGGTCGGCGGTTCGAATCCCTGCGACGGAATGAGCTCCCGTTGCTCGGTCCCTGCTCCTGCCCACCTAGCAGTTCAAAAGCACCTCAAAGTGCAAGTAGATAAATAGGTACCGCTCTGGCGCGAAGGTAAACGGCGTTTCCGTGCGCTGCTCTGGTTCGCCAGAAGCGGCTTAGTCCTGCTGGCCACATGACCCGGAAGCTGTACGCCGGCTCCCTCGGCCAGTAAAGCGAGATGAGCGCCGCAACCCCAGAGTCGGCCACGACTGGACCTAACGGACCTAACTTAAAAACCTTTAAGTTTGAAGATTTTTGGATAAACATATCCTGTTATTTTCTGCATTTCTCAGAGATAACAAGTGTGGGTAGATCAACACGTTTTCTCTGCGTTTTCTCCTTCTCTCCCAGACTGAGGGAGCGCCACCAGGACGTCCTCCGCCAAAAACTCTACAAGCTGAAGCAGGAACAAGGAGTCGAGAGCGAGCCCCTCTTCCCCATCATTAAGAAGGAGTCTTCGCCCCCGGGAGGCTGCAGTAGCAGCAGCAGGTGAGCTGGATTTGGGGGGCTCTCAGGACCAACGCGGGTGGCGCTGTGGGTTAAACCACAGAGCCTAGGACTTGCCGATCAGAAGGTCGGCGGTTCGAATCCCCGCAATGAAGGGGTGAGCTCCCGTTGCTCGGTCCCTGCTCCTGCCAACCTAGCAGTTCGAAAGCATGTCAAAGTGCAAGTAGATCAATAGGTACCGCTCCGGCGGGAAGGTAAACGGCGTTTCCGTGCACTGCTCTGGTTCGCCAGAAGCGGCTTAGTCCTGCTGGCCACATGACCCGGAAGCTGGACGCCGGCTCCCTCGGCCAGTAAAGCGAGATGAGCGCCGCAACCCCAGAGTCGGCCACGACTGGACCTAATGGTCAGGGGTCCCTTTACCTTTACCTTTACAGGACCAACGTAGGACTTTCGGGACCAATGTTACACGGTCCCGGCGGTCGGTCCCAGTCTCCAGCTTGGCAGCCGTGTTCTGGATTAGTTACCATTTCTGAATCACCTTCAAAGGCAGCCCCACGGAAAGCACATGGCAGTAGTCCAAGCGGGAGATAACCAGGCATGCACCACTCTGGCCAGACAGTCTGCGGCCAGGGAGGGTCTCATCCTGTGTACCAGATGGAGCTGCCCTGGACACAGAACTGACCTGTGCCTCCATGGACAGCTGTGAGTCCAGAATGACCCCCAGGCTGCCCGCCCATCTGGCTGGGTTTCCTTAGCCACTCTGGGCAGCTCCCAACAGAATATTAAAACACAATAAAACATTAAGCACTTCCCTAAACAGGGCTGCCTTCAGATGTCTCCTAAAAGCCAGATAGTTGTTTATTTCCTTGACATCTGACGAGAGGGCGTTCCACAGGGCGGGCGCCACCACCGAGAAGGCCCTCTGCCTGGTTCCCTGTAACCTCACTTCTCGCAGGGAGGGAACCGCCAGAAGGCCCTCGGGAGATGGACCCAGGTGTCCGGGCTGAATGATGGGGGTGGAGACGCTCCTTCAGGTCTACTGGGCCGTTTAGGGCTTTCAAGGTCAGCCCCAACCCTTTGAATTGTGCTCGGAAACGTACTGGGAGCCAATGCAGGTCTTTCAGGACAGGTGTTATGTGGTCTCGGCGGCTGCTCCCAGTCCCCAGTTTGGCTGCCGCATTCTGGATTAGTTGCAGTTTCCGGGTCACCTTCAAAGGTAGCCCCACGGAGAGCGCATGGCAGTAGTCCAAGTGGGAGATAACCAGAGCATGCACCACCCTGGTGAGACACTGCGTAGGCATGGAGGGTCTTAGGTGGAGCTGGTAGACAGCTCAGAGCAGAAGGGAGCCAGGATGTAGTGTTTAAGAGCGGTGGACTCATGATCTGGCGAACAGGGTTCGATTCCCCGCTCCTCCACGTGCAGCTGCTGGGTGACTTTGGGCTAGTCACACTTCTCTGAAGTCTCTCAGCCCCACTCACCTCACAGAGTGTTTGTTGTGGAGGAGGAAGGGAAAGGAGAATGTGAGCCGCTTTGAGATTCCTTCGGGTAGTGATAAAGCGGGAAATCAAATCCAAAATCTTCTCTTCCCTTTCCGCAGGCTGGAGCCGGAGGACAGCGCCCCGGCGCAGCCCAGCACCTCTTCGGCCGAGCCCGGGGGCGCCGAGCCCGAATCGGAGGCCAAGGCGGAGGGAGACGGGGAGGCGGTTCTGATGGAGGAGGACCTCATCCAGCAGAGCTTGGATGACTACGACGCCGGGAAGTACAGCCCCCGCCTGCTGACGTCCCACGAGCTGCCCTTCGATGCCCACGTGGTGGAGGCTGACGAGGACTGCCAGCGGCTCCTGCTCTGCCGGCAGCAGCTCCAGGTCACAGGTAGGAGGGGAAGGGGGCTGAGGTGGGCTCTGGGGCCGCGTCAAAGGGCTTGGCTTGGCGCCGCGGGGGGCAACTGCCCTGTGGAGCTTGCGGTTTAGGAGCAAGAACCTACCTGGCCTCAGGTCTCCTCTCAGGCCACGCCCACTTCCCTCAAGCCACGCCCTCTCAGCAGCCAACGCCGTTTGTTCGAGGCCACACCCCTTTATTTAAACCACGCCCCTCTGCGAAGGCCGCGTATCCCTTTGTCAGGGCCACACCCCTTTCTTCAAATGACACCCTTTTCTTGAGGCCACACCCCTTTCCTTAAACCACACCCCCTCTTTGCAGGCCACACCCCTTTCTTTAAACCACACCCTCTCAAGGCCACACCTTTCCTTAAATCACACCCCCTCCCTGCAGACCGCACACCCTTTTCTCGAGGCCACACCCCTTTCTATAAACCACACCCTTCTCTGCACGCCACACCCCCTCCTTAGTCCACAGCCCCTCCCTGCAGGCCACACCCACCTTCCTTAAACCACACCCCCTCTGCGGGCCACATGTTAGTTTCTCAAGGGCACACCCCTTTCTTTAAGCCACACCCTTCTCCGCAGGCCACACCCCCTCCTTCGTCCCCAGCTGCTCCCTGCAGGTTACACCCACCTTCCTCAAACCACACCCCCTCTCTGCGGACCACACGCCCCTTTCCCGAGGCCACGCCCCTTTCCCTTAAACCACACCCCTCTCCTCTGTCCACAACCCCTCTCCCAAGCCCATACTCCCCTTTCCTCAAACCACACCCCTTCCCTTAAGCCACACCCTCCTCTCAGGCCCCCACCCCTTTCCTCCTCAACATCCATTGGCAGGGGGTTCCAAAGTCTAGCCGCTGCCACGCTAGACGCCCGAATCCTCGCAAACCCGCTGCCCTCTCTGTCCCTCCCCAGGCGACGCCAGCGAGAGCGCGGAGGACATCTTCTTCCGCCGCGCCAAGGAGGGCATGGGGGCGGACGAGGCCCAGTTCAGCGTGGAGATGCCTCTCACGGGCAAGGCCTACCTGTGGGCCGACAAGTACCGGCCCCGCAAGCCCCGATTCTTCAACCGCGTTCACACCGGGTTCGAATGGAACAAGTACAACCAGACGCACTACGACTTCGACAACCCGCCCCCCAAGATCGTCCAGGGCTACAAATTCAACATCTTCTATCCGGACCTCATCAACAAGCGCTCCACGCCGGAGTACTTTCTGGAGGCCTGCCCGGACAACAAGGACTTCGCCACCCTCCGCTTCCACGCCGGACCCCCTTACGAAGACATCGCCTTCAAGATCGTCAACCGGGAGTGGGAATACTCCCACCGCCACGGCTTCCGCTGCCAGTTCGCAAACGGCATCTTCCAGCTCTGGTTCCACTTCAAGCGCTACCGCTACCGGCGGTGAGCGCGGGGGGCTTCCTCCGTGCCCCCCCAGGCCAGCGGAAGGGGCTCGTTCCCGCGCCGAAACCGGCTGCGTCGCCGCAAACCGCCGAGATGTCCAACTTCTGTGCTGTTTGCTGGGCGTTTTTCCGTGACGGTTTTAGGGGCCGCCGACACCCCTCTAGATGTTGTGGGGTTCCGGCCCCCGGCAATTCCTGACCGTCCGGATTCCAGAGCCCCCTATTTTCCTCCATCTCTGCTTTTAAGAGACACTCTTAAAAGCGATATGGGATTTCCCCGTCCGGAGAAGAGGCACCCAAGACGGGAATTCCTCTTCCGAAGAGAGTCACCCTCCCATCATTGCATAGGGAATTCTCCTTTTGGAAACAGGACTGGAGAACATCTCAGAGATACACCTGGTGTCCCATCTTTTCCCAAAATCGGCAGGTGTTCCCCATCCTCCTTGCAGACACCAACAATAACCCCCGACTCTTTCTCTCTCTGTGTAGATTCCTACGACACTGAACGGATCCGTTTGCCAGGCATAGATTACGTATATTTGTTATTTTCTGAAGCAGGGGGCAATGGCTTTGTGTACATTTCCTTAGCGGTGCCAAATCACCCTTTCGTATAACCGTTCTCCCAGCGGCTCTCTCCGGAGAGCGCTGTCCCGGCACAATAAAAATTTTTAGATGGTCCGAGCTGTCCTTTGCCGTCTTTTGCAAACTCTTGTCGATGGGGATGCACCAATTTTGAGCGGGGCAAGAGGAGCAGATCTGTCGTTAGGTAAGAGCTGCTGGACTCCCAACTCCCGTCAGAAGGTAAAGGTAAAGGGACCCCTGACCATTAGGTCCAGTCGTGGCCGACTCTGGGGTTGTGGCGCTCATCTCGCTTTATTGGCCGAGGGAGCCGGCGTACAGCTTCCGCGTCATGTGGCCAGCAGGACTAAGCCACTTCTGGCGAACCAGAGCAGCGCACGGAAACGCCATTTACCTTCCCGCCAGAGTGGTACCTATTTATCTACTTGCACTTTGACGTGCTTTCGAACTGCTAGGTTGGCAGGAGCAGGGACCGAGCAACGGGAGCTCACCCCGTGGCGGGGATTCGAACCGCCGACCTTCTGATAAGTCCTAGGCTCTGTGGTTTAACCCACAGCGCCACCCGCGTCAGATGTTAAGGGCTGTCAAACGGAAGATGGGATTATTCCCCTTTCTTGCCTCCTGAATCCTCTGGTTTGGTTTCGCGCCCTCCGGAGTAGTCGTGACTGGAGCTCAAAGATGCCATTTGCAGCCAGGCGAAAAGATTTGGGGTGTGGTGAGGAACATGGCCGCATTCTGAGGGCCTGGTAAAGATAATAATAATAATCTTAGTACAGTGGTACCTCGGGTTAAGTACTTAATTCGTTACAGAGGTCCGTTCTGAACCTGAAACTGTCCTTAACCTGAAGCACTTTAGCTGACGGGGCCTCCCGCTGCCGCCGCTGCACGATTTCTGTTCTCATCCTGAAGCAAAGTTCTTAACCCGATGTACTATTTCTGGGTTAGCAGAGTCTGTAACCTGAAGCGTCTGTAACCCGAAGTACCACTGTAATCATATTAATATTAATTTATGATTTATACCCTGCCCGTCTGGATGGGTTTTCCCAGCCACTCTGGGCGGCTCCCAACAGAATATTAAAAACACAATAATTTTTTTAAAAAAACTTCCCTAAACAGGGCTGCCTTCAGATGTCTTCTAAAAGTCAGGTAGTTCTTTCTCTCCTTGACATCTGATGGGAGGGCGTTGCACAAGGCAGGCGCCACCACCGAGAAGGCCCTCTGCCTGGTTCCCTGTAAACTCACTTCTCGCAGTGAGGGAGCCGCCAGAAGGCCCTCGGAGATGGACCTCAGTGTCCGGGTAGAACGATGGGGGTGGAGACGCTCCTTCAGGGATACTGGGCCATTTAGGGCTTTAAAGGTCAGCACCAACACTTTGAATTCTGCTCGGAAACGTACTGGGAGCCAATGTAGGTCTTTCAGGACCGGTGTTATGTGGTCCCAGCGGCCGCTCCCAGTCCCCAGTCTGGCTGCCGCATTCTGGATTAATTGCAGTTTCCGGGTCACCTTCAAAGGTAGCCCCACAGAGAGTGCATGGCAGTAGTCCAAGCGGGAGATAACCAGAGCATGCACCACTCTGGCCAGACAGTCTGCGGGCAGCAAAGGTCTCATCCTACGTACCAGATGGAGCTGCCCTGGACACAGACCTGACCTGCGCCTCCATGGACAGCTGTGAGTCCAAAATGACCCCCAGGTGGAGAGGCACAGAGGGCCGCATTTGAGGGCCATCCTGAGGCCGGAGATTTCCCACCCGTGGTCAATAAACTTGTTTCGCGGTTGACCTAACGTGTGTCGCAAGAACTCAATTCTGCGCCTCTCGTGGAATTACAGATGTCCTAAATGAACAAGAGATGACTTCATCGGCTCTTTTGCAATCTGTGATTATTATTATTATTTTGGAGGGTGGGGGGCGGAAGAGAACCGAACTCTGTAATGAGCGAGACATCAGATGCTCTTGATAAACAAATGCATAAGTCATAATTCCTTAATGGACTTACTGGAACCGCTCTCCAAATGTTAATTCGTGGCTGGGGGGGGGTCGATGCGTTTGAAACATTTTAAAGCTCTGATGAAGCTTCAGAAGATGGGGCCATGTTCCCAGATCTTTCCCGTAAGCCTCATTGCCGTTTCTCCGTGGGGTAGTCCCCCCTCCCTCCACGAAACAGCGCAGTCTCCGGGGGGGGGGGGAGGGGAAGGACTGGGGAAGTTTTGAGGGTCCTAGTGGGGCTGCCTGTTGTCTTTGTCCATGGAGTTTTCTTGGCAGGGATATTGGAGTGGCTTGCCGGTTCCTCTTCCAGGTGGATATTGTCTGTATATTGTCTCCCTGCTTATTTAACTTATATGCAGAATTCATCATGCGAAAGGCTGGGCTGGATGAATCCCAAACCGGAATTAAGATTGCCAGAAGAAATCAAACCTAGCCATTCTGAAATCAAAGAAGATCAAACCTCTCCATTCTGAAGGAAATCAGCCCTGAGTGCTCACTGGAAGGGCAGATCCTGAAGCTGAGGCTCCAAGACTTTGGCCACCTCATGAGAAGAGAAGACTCCCTGGAAAAGACCCTGATGTTGGGAAAGATGGAGGGCACAAGGAGAAGGGGATGGCAGAGGATGAGATGGTGGGACAGTGTTCTCGAAGCTACCAACATGAGTTTGACAAAACTGCAGGAGGCAGTGGAAGACAGGAGGGCCTGGCGTGCTCTGGTCCAGGGGGCCACGAAGAGGCGGACACGACTAAATGACTAAACAACAACAGTGGGGCTGCTTTCCGCCTGCCGAGGGCCGCCGGAACCCTACAGGACAACTCTGGGCATCTACTTCCAGAAACTTGTAAAAACACGTAGAACTTGTGCCCTGGGTCGGCGTCCCCACTCGTCCTCCCGACACATCCCTTTTTCCTTTTGTGCCGTGCCTTTCAAGTCTGAGAGGGCAGAAACTTGCCTAGCAAATTACCTTGGGACAGGGAGGATGGGAGTTTTAGTCCCCAAAACAGACGGAGACCCCAGTTTGGGAAATAGATGTTTGTTCAGACACCCCAGAGATCAGGAACCAGGCAGGGCACCCCCAAATCTGACACCGAAGGTCTCTTTGAGTGTGGAGCTTTTATTTTTTATGAAATCAAAGCTGTTGAGCTTTTTATAAGAAAGCACTCAGGGCTGATTTCCTTCAGAATGGAGAGGTGGGATCTTCTTGCAGTCCATGGGACTCTCAAGAGTCTCCTCCAGCACCAGAATTCAAAAGCATCCATTCTTCGGCGATCAGCCTTCTTTATGGTCCAGCTCTCACTTGCATACATCACTACTGGGAAGACCAGAGCTTTAACTATACAGATCTTTGTCGGCAAGGTGATGTCTCTGCTTTTTAAGATGCTGTCAAGTTTTATCATCGCTTTTCTCCCAAGAAGCAGGCGTCTCTTAATTTCGTGACTGCTCTCACCATCTGCAGTGATCATGGAGCCCAAGAAAGTAAAATCTCTCACTGCCTCCATTTCTTCCCCTTCTGTTTGCCAGAAGGTGATGGGCCCAGTGGCCATGATCTTAGTTTTTTTTTGATGTTGAGCTTCAGACAATATTTTGCGCTCTCCTCTTTCACCCTCATTAAAAGGTTCCTCGATTCCTCCTCACTTTCTGCCATCAAGGTTGTGTCATCTGCACATCTGAGGTTGTTGATATAAAAAGGTAAAGGGACCCCTAACCATTAGGTCCAGTAGTGGCCTACTCTGGGGTTGCGGCGCTCATTTTGATTTACTGGCCGAGGGAGCCGGCGTTCAGCTTCCGGGTCATGTGGCCAGCAGGACTAAGCCGCTTCTGGCGAACCAGAGCAGCGCACGGAAACGCCGTTTACCTTCCCGCCGGAGTGGTACCTATTTATCTACTTGCACTTTGATGTGCTTTCGAACTGCTAGGTTGGCAGGAGCAGGGACCGAGCAACGGGAGCTCACCCCGTTGCGGGGATTCGAACTGCCGACCTTCTGTTTGGCAAGTCCTAGGCTCTGTGGTTGACATAAAGGTAAAGGTAAAGGGACCCCTGACCATCAGGTCCAGTCATGACTGACTCTGGGGTTGCGACGCTCATCTCGCTTTATTGGCCAAGGGAGCCAGCGTTCAGCTTCCGGGTCATGTGGCCAGCAGGACTAAGCCCTTCTGGCGAACCAGAGCAGCGCACGGAAACGCAGTTTACCTTCCCGCCGGAGCGGTACCTATTTATCTACTTGCACTTTGATGTGCTTTCGAACTGCTAGGTTGGCAGGAGCAGGGAACGAGCAACGGGAGCTCAGCCCGTCGCGGGGATTCGAACTGCTGACCTTCTGATCGGCAAGTCCTAGGCTCTGTGGCTGATATAGTTTTCTTTTATTCTGTCGACTTCCCTCCCAGTTCTGTGGCAAGGTGATGTCTCTGCTTTTTACCTTACTGGGCTGAGTTCTTGCGGGCTGAGCTGGGGCCCGAAGGCCAAAGATTCCCCCTTGCTCTCTACTTTCCTTGCAAACAGCTGCCTCTGGCGCACAGCTAGATATTTCCTGCAAAGCGTCTCTGCGTTTTCACCCCTCTGCCAATGTCAGCCCCCTCCAGAGCCTTGTTCCATTTAGCAATGGCGTGTCTCCAGCTGTCTCATTCCCCCTGCCCCATAGGGAGCAGATAAACTCTGGGGCCTGGTGCCAGACCCCTACAAGATACGGCCCGAGGGCGCCAGCAACCTCCCGCCGGGGATTCTTCTCGCGCCGAGTGAAGCCGTTTTGTCTTTCATAATGCCTTTTCCTCCAAGCCCGGATTCCCAGAAGTGTGGGGGGCAAGGCGGTGGAGGTGTTAATAGAGAAATCTGAGGAGAGGAAAGAGACATTAGCCGGGCACCCACAAAAAGATCCATCAGTTCCACACTGTTAACGGAGAAATCTGAGGGCTCTCTTGGACAAAAAACAAGGACACCAGCCAGGAATACCAGAGCAAAACAGCAGCCAGTAGGCTTGGTCTTTATTGAAGACAGTCGTGACAGGACTCCCACCTGCCACCAGGTGGAACAAGATGGAAGCCCCGAACAAAAGCGAACCCAAAGTTTTATTAGCTGCTAATCTCCATGTTGTTGTTGTTTAGTCGTGTCCGCCTCTTTGTGACCCCCTGGACCAGAGCACACCAGGCCCTCCCGTCTTCCACTGCCTCCCGCAGTTGGGTCAAACTCATGTTTGTAGCTTCGAGAACACTGTCCCACCATCTCGTCCTCTGCCGTCCCCTTCTCCTTGCGCCCTCCATCTTTCCCAACATCAGGGTCTTTTCCAGGGAGTCTTCTCTTCTCATGAGGTGGCCAAAGTCTTGGAGCCTCAGCTTCAGGATCAATCCTTCCAGTGAGCACTCAGGGCTGATTTCCTTCCGAATGGAGAGGTTTGATCTTCTTGCAGTCCATGGGACTCTCCAGAGTCTCCTCCAGCACCAGAATTCAAAAGCATTCATTCTTCGGCCATCAGCCTTCTTTATGGTCCAGCTCTCACTTCCATACATCACTACTGGGAATGCAAGATAAATAGCAAAAACAAAAGTGCCAAACTTAACCCATTTCAGAAGTCTGTTTGACTTCTGAAATGTTCAGAAACCAAGGCACGGCTTCTGATTGGCGCAGGCGCCCCGGAAACAATAGCCGACAGTCGCATCAGACTTTTGGCTTCCGAAAAACGTTCGAAAACCGGAACATTTTCTTCTGGGTTTTCAGTGTTTGGGAACCAAGGAGTTTGAGAACCAAGGTACCACAATAATAATAATAATAATAATAATAATAATAATAATATTGCATTGCAAACTGATGTGCAGAACTTACGATTGGGATGAGGAACTGAAATGGAAAGGTGGACTCATCCCTGAGGTAGATCTGAAAATTAGCATATGCAAATGATATGCATATTTGCATATTGTGATCTTGAGTCTTTTAGAACCTAGTAACAGGGGTCCTTTACCTTTACCTTTTAACTGCTGTGTGAGCAAGTGGCTTTCAGACACTAAATCAGTGGTGTCAAAACTTTTTTCAAAGAGGGCCAGATTTATTTTACCCCAGAGTTATTGAGCTTTGTCCGGATTTCCCCCCAAAGTTGTTGACCTTTTTTTTACGATTGAAGCTATCGATCTTCTTTTTGGATTTTTTTACCCCAGGAAACAAACTGCCGCAGGGGCCGAATGACACCGACCAGCTACCCAGACATTGAACATGCCTGCACTAAACCAAAATAAAGGAAAGGAAAGTCCTTGCCTTCAGCCTTATTAAATCTAAAACAGACACAGCAGGAAAGGAAAGGGGATCTGGAGGGAGAAGGAAATCCGTCAGCTCAAGTTTGAGTTCTGAGCCGTACCATCTCTGCCTGTGAATTTGCGGCTTTTGTTTGCTGAGCATATATGGCTACGTGGTCAGACCGAAAAGCCGCGAAGGAGGGATCCGATTGCAGTTTTACAAGGTGGTTTCGCTTTTTCCATTTTTGACTCTGTTTAAAATCATTGGTAGCCGCCTGGGATCATGGAGGGTTATTGATCCAGCAGGGATCAATTGATTACAGATCTCACCATGCTGAATTCATATATAGTTGTTGTTGTTTAGTCGTTTAGTCATGTCTGCCTCTTCGTGACCCCCTGGACCAGAGCACGCCAGGCACTCCTGTCTTCCACTGCCTCCGCAGTTTGGTCAAACTCATGCTGGTAGCTTCGAGAACACTGTCCCACCATCTCGTCCTCTGTCGTCCCCTTCTCCTTGTGCCCTCCATCTTTCCCAACATCAGGGTCTTTTCCAGGGAGCCTTCTCTTCTCCTGAGGTGGCCAAAGTCTTGGAGCCTCAGCTTCAGGATCTGTCCTTCCAGTGAGCACTTAGGGCTGATTTCCTTCCGAATGGAGAGGTTTGATCTTCTTGCAGTCCATGGGACTCTCCAGAGTCTCCTCCAGCACCAGAATTCAAAAGCATCCATTCTTCGGCGATCAGCCTTCTTTATGGTCCAGCTCTCACTTCCATACATCACTACTGGGAAAACCATGGCTTGAACTATACGGACCTTTGTTGGCAAGGTGATGTCTCTGCTTTTTAAGATGCTGTCTAGGTTGGTCATTGCTTTTCTCCCAAGAAGCAGGCGTCTTTTAATTTCGTGGCTGCTGTCTCCATCTGCAGTGATCATGGAGCCCAAGAAAGTCAAATCTCTCACTGCCTCCATTTCTTCCCCTTCTATTTGCCAGGAGGTGATGGGACCAGTGGCCATGATCTTCGTTTTTTTTGATGTTGCGCATCAGACCATATTTTGCACTCTCCTCTTGTATATATTAACCAGCCTCATTTTCTTGCTCTGTTTTCTTGCTACGATTCACTGAGCAGCATAGTTCTTTATCTCTGTTTTTCTTCAGCAGAACTGTCAAATCCGATGAAAGACACAGCCGAGCCCCACAAAAGATGAAAGGGCTATCGAAGATTCATTATCCTCATGTCTGGCTCTGCATGAGATAGCTTTTTATTTTCTATTAATCCCTGCATGTCAAGTTTCCAGACCTCATGGCTGCAAGAGAAAATGCCTAAAAGCATTCGTATATCAAGTTTCTAGACCTCATGGTTGCAAGAGAAAATGGCTAAAAGCATTCGTATATCAAGTTTCTAGACCTCATGGTTGCAAGAGAAAATGCCTAAAAGCATTCGTATATCAAGTTTCTAGACCTCATGGTTGCAAGAGAAAAATGCCTAAAAAAGCATTCATATATCAAGTTTCTAGACCTCATGGTTGCAAGAGAAAATGCTTAAAAGTATGCATATGTCAAGTTTCTAGACCTCATGGTTGTAAGAGAAAATGCCTAAATATCAAAAGCATTCATATATCAAGTTTCTAGACCTCATGGCTGCAAGAGAAAATGCCTAAAAGCATATCGTTGTGGTTCCCATCATTCGGCAAATCGTTTCTTCCCCACCCCTCTATAAAATTCCTCTGCCTGCAGGCCTCGCTTAATTGACAATTAATTCTCAGCTGAAAACACGGTTTTGCCAATTATGCGGTCATTTTTATGGGCATTTTGGGGTTTCTTTTCATTATCGTCGCCTGGGCGAGCTGTTTCCCGGGCAAAGCGAAGGAACGAAACGATCAGAAACGTCGCCGAATAGAATCAAATAATTTTTAGTGTTTGGAGGGACAGGAAATGCAGCGCGATGTGTTGGATCGCACTTGATGCGCCAAAACATCATCTCAGCTCCCTGCAAAACAAAGTTCGCTGCTCCTTGGCTGTCCTCTAATCCTCTTGCAAACAAATCACGAGGAATTCTCAATAAACAGGTCATCTGGGAGGGCTTGTTAATCCCCGCAGAAAGCCGAAAAAACAACTTGCGTTGCCCATCTTTGGAGATCCCAAATAAACCACCGTTGGCAAGGCCGATTCTCTGCGAAGCTGCGAGTTCGTGTTCTGGAATTGCAGGAAGCCGGTCAGTCTGCGAATCATTTCCCTTCCTCCCGAAAGGAGAGTCAAACTTTATAAGTCCTTGCAACCATGAGGTCTAGAAACTTGATATTTAGGCATTTTCTCTTGCAACCACGAGGTCTAGAAACTTGAAATATGAATGCTTTTAGGCATTTACTCTTGCAGCCATGAGGTCTAGAAACTTGATATTTAGGCATTTTCTCTTGCAACCATGAGGTCTAGAAACTTGACATGCAGGGATTAATAGAATTAATTAACAGAAAATAGATTAATAGAAAATAAAAAGCTGTCATGAGGTCTAGAAACTTGATATACCTCCCAAAAGCCTCTTCCCAAAAAGCCAAAGAAGTTCTCCCGTTTTCCCTCCAGGGGGAAAACTACTCCAAGTCTCCTCCTTTATCTCTCTCTCTCTCTCTCTCTCTGCAATCTTTTCCCTGAAAAGGGATGAGCCGCCCAGCCTCCTCTCTCTTGGTCCCTCCCTTTTTCCTACCCAGTTCTCCAAAAAAAAGCGCATTTTCTCAGATGCATCAGACAGACGAAGTGGGGCAAAGGGACCACTCTCTTCGCTGACTCCCAAGAATTAGCGCTCAACTTCTGGGAACTTAGACTGGGAAAGGGTATGTAGCCCAAATCATTGTTTTAAGGGTGATGGTGATGGTTTTTATACTGGTTTTTATGCTGCTGGTGGTGAGTCTTTTGCAAGCCTGATGGTTGTTGGTTTTTTTTTAGCAAAGGCTTGTTGGAGCACATCCTCCAGCCGGAAAAAAAAGCGGTTTTATTTCAAGGCGCAGAAGGGGAAGCGAGGCTCCGGGAGAGATAAGGGAAGAGGGCGAGGGAGGGATGGGGAGAAGGGACTGGGGAGGAGAGGGATGTGGGCAGTGAAAGGGGGGAGGGGGTGGGGGAGGGAAGAAAAGAAAAGAAAAGAAAAGAAAAGAGAGAAGAAGGAAAGAAGGAAGGAGAGAGAGAGCGAGAGCGAGAGCGAGAGAGAGAGAGAGAATGAAGGGTATTTAAGAGGGAAGGGGCTGGGGAGGGAGGGAAGGAAGAAAAGAAAGAAAGAAAGAAAGAAAGAAAAGAAAGAAAGAAAGAAAGAAAGAAAGAAAGAAAGAAAGAAAGAAAGAAAGAAAGAAAAGAGAGAGAGAGAGAGAGAGAGATGGGTTTTGAAGAGGGAAGGAAGGAAGGAAGGAAGGAAGGAAGGAAGGAAGGAAGGAAGGGAGAGAGAGAGAGAGAGAGAGAGAGAGAGAGATGGGTATTGAAGAGGGAATGGGATGGGGGAGGGAAGGAAGAAAAGAAAGAAAAGAAAGAAAGAAAGAAAGAGAGAGAGGGGGGGGGGAAGGGATGGGTTTTGAAGAGGGAAGGGGAGGGGAAGGAAGAAAAGGAAGGAAGGACAGAAGGAAGGGGAGAGGGGTTATTAAAGAGAAAAGGGGAGGGGAGGGAAGGAAGAAAAGGAAGGAAGGAAGGAAGGAAGGGGAGAGAGAGAGAGAGAGAGAGAGAGATGGGTATTGAAGAGGGAAGGGGAGGGGAAGGAAGAAAAGGAAGGAAGGACAGAAGGAAGGGGAGAGGGGGGTATTAAAGAGAAAAGGGGAGGGGAGGGAAGGAAGAAAAGAGAGGAAGGAAGGAAGGAAGGAAGGAAGGAAGGAAGGGCAATGTGTTCTCACCCAGAAGCCCTCATTTCGCCTTCTCAGGCTCTGAAAGTTGCTATGGGCAAGGGAGAGATGCACTCTGCACGCGCTCAGAGGCCCTGGGTGCCTCAAATGCTCTTGCGGAGAGGCAGGACAAAGGCGGAGTAAGATGAAAGAATGGAGAACTGAAGACACTCTCCTGTCATTCAAAATACATCCTTTGGATTGGGGGGGGCATTTGACGTGTGTCCCCACTTAATTTGATCCCTGTGTACTCCATGTCCGTCGCTGCCTCCTGAAGGAGTGCATTCCTCACTTTACCAATCCTTAAAAATTTACATTTGTATATATTATTTATCATTTTCGGCTTTAAAACAGTCATATAAATGGCAGAATTTAAATGATTGAATTTAATACATTAGACTTCCCTTTTCCCCTCTGTTTTGTTTTCCTTTTTGCATATTCTAATTACCGGTAATCCCTTTCCCCCCATTTTCCTGATTCCAGTTATACATTAACTGCTTGGTTTATTCTATTTTTTTTAATTAATATTTATTAAAGTTTCAGAAATAATAAAATCACATTAATAAACAAGAAAATTTTTAACAAAAACAGAGAAAAATACACCATACAAAATACAAAATAGAAAAAAGTAACAAAAGAAAAAAGAAAAAAAGAAAAAAACAGTTAAAAATAGTTCCGTCTTTTCATAACTTCTTTTACATTTACTTGTTTCCCGGACTTCCTCATACCTCCCTCTTTTGTATTCCAATTCAGTTTGTAAGCCCAGCAATTTCTTTCCCTCCTTTTAATTCCAATCCTAAATCTTAATATATTATGACATTAGATTTTTACCTATTTAGAACCAATTTTTCCATTTCTCTTAACCTTTGATCCTAATCCTTAATCTTGATATATTTATAGCTTTAAAACCTGTACAGCTAGAAGCCACTTAACTTCAATCCAACATCACTCTAACATTCATTAATTTTAACTGCTTGGTTTATTCTAACCCTGCTAACGTCTAAAGTGGTTTGCAATCATTTTTCAAACATGCTACGAATCTTCCCCCCGTTCTTTTTTAAAAGAGTTATTTATTCCTGATCTGGTTTAATTCTACCTTTTCTTTTATCCATCCTAAATCTTTAAACATTGGGCTTCCTTGAAATTCGGCAATGAGTTCTGGTATTACGCTGAGAGTTGTCAATCCGGAACGTCGCCATTATGGGCAGTAATGATTGACAGCAGTCAGTCTCCATCCAATTGTCTCTGATCTGCTTTCTAATCTCGAACGATAAGGCTATCAATTCGCGCCAGTCACGATGGTTTTATATTGCCTTCAGTCTCTGATAAAACATGCTTGTAAAAAAAAAAGCCATTTTCCCCAGCCTTGCCAAAGGACAATTATACAGGACTTTCTTGTTTTTGGTTTTCCCCCAATTCCAATTTCATTATTTTTTTAAATAGAAAAAAACAGGAAAGATGCATTTTATCAAATCAAATTGACTCCTCCCGCTCCCCCTTTCTGCAGTTACCTATATTGTTGACACTTATCGCTGCACCCCTAATTTTAATCTTCTTATATATATTATTATTATTTTATACTCCCTTCAAATCTCTTAACTGCTTGGTCTTAAGTCAGTCCAGTTTAAGGTGTGTTTTTTACAACGGTTCCGAAATTTCCCCCCATTCAGTATTTAAAAAGTCTGCTGTCTCGATTTCTTGTTTTTCCGGGAAGTTTCTTCTCATTTGTGAATATTCCGTTAGTTTTAATTGCCAGTCTTCTTCAGTTGGAAATGACTCTTTTTTTCCATTTCTGGGCGTATATCGTTCTGGCAGCATAAAAAAAAAACCAGTTTCTCCTGATATTTAGGTACCTCTGAGTCCAATATTCCTAACAGGAATACTTCCGGTTTCTTAACAATAATAAACTCAGGGGACAAAGAAACAAATGGATAAACGCGAGGAACAAGCACGAATGAATGAATCTTCGTTTGCGTCAGCCACCAGCCATTGCAATAAAACAACAGCACGATAGACAAAGAATAGAAATAAAAAGTCAATTATATACAATACATTTTAGGGTTTTGAATAGTGGATCTTATTCTGATTGCCCCAGCTAAAAAGCTTGCCACCTTTGCCGTCACCTGCTCATCTGGATCTGCCAAGAGAAAGGACACTTCCTTCCTTCCTTCCTTCCTTCCTTCCTTCCTTCCTTCCTTCCTTCCTTCCTTCCTTCTCTCTCTCTCTCTCTCTCTCTCTCTCCCTCCCTCCCTCCCTCCCTTCCTTCTCTCTCAGTTTCTTTTTCCTTCCTTTCTTCTTTCTCTCTCTCTCTCTCCCTTCCTCCCTTCTTTCCTTCCTTCCTTCCTTCCTTCCTTCCTTCCTTCCTTCCTTCTCTCTCAGTTTCTTTTCCTTCCTTCCTTTCTTCTCTCTCTCTCTCTCTCTCTCTCTCTCTCCCTTCCTTCCTTCCTTCTCTCTCTCTCTCTCTCTCTCCCCCTTCCTTCCTTCCTCTCTCTCTCTCTCTCTTTCTCTCTCTCTTCTCCATATCTCTCTCTCTCTCTCTCTCTCATCTTGACCTGCCAAGAGAAAGGACACTGGGGCAGTGGCTGGGCGACTGGGAATGGACGATAAAAGAGGGGTGATAATCTCATTCCTCAAGTCTTTATCAAGAGGGCAAGCCAGAAGGGCATGTGCCACCGATTCGGGACTGCCATCTCCACAGGGACATTTTTCGTGTTGGAATCGTCCCTCAAATCCATCCGAGGGCAAGACATTCAATCTCGCGAGCGTAAAAGCGCGTCTATATTTTAGAGCAAGCAAGTGAATCTTCTCATTCCCTGCATCCTCAGATATCTGCTCTCTTTCAGGATTCGAAACGCGCTTTTCCTCCTCCCTCCTCCTCTTTCCTTCCTTTCCCCTCTGCAATATGTTCGGTCAGGAAAAAACCGAAAACACCTTCCATATGAAACCCTATCGCCCCACTGCGCCGAAATGAATCTCTCTTGTGTGTCAGCTCGGCTTTCGAGTCTCCAAATATTTGGACGCTCCTTTCAGCCGTCACTTAGCCTAGATCTAAACATTTCGGTTCTTCTTGGCAGCTATAAATCTCCCTCCCGTCTTCAAGAGCTTAGGCTGAGCGTTCTTGAGAGGGTGGCGTACAGTTCTGGAAAACGCGTGGTGCCTGGGGGTTCAGAAGCAGCCAGGGGCTAAAAAAACACACAAAACCAGTTGATTCCCAGGGTCTGGGCGCAGAGGAAGGACGGCAGGATCTGTCCCTAGTTTCTCGCGCGTCCACAAGGAACGCCGTGAACCCAGATAGCCGAATCAATCACCGTCATATTTTCAAAACATGCCATGGCCAACTACGAAAGAGGGAGGGGAAACGCCAACAATCTTGCAAACGACATCAGCCCTGGGAGATTGCATGAAACAGAAAATGAAAAGTTAGGAACGTTGCCATGATGAAATCCTAGCTCTCCTCTGAGACAATATTATTTATTGCTCAGACATGAAGCCCCTCCGTGCCAGTTACAGGGAGGGATTTGGGTCGGTCACCCAGCAAGGTTATCTGACCCTCCAAAACAGGCGTGGAAGGAGATACTTGATGCAATTCGTGGCGAAACATGAGATAAGGAGATTCCTGCTGCGTTGCGCCAGTGCGTAACTTCCAACATTTATCCGATTAAAACAGGCATGTCCTATTCAGGAATAGGGACGCGGGTGGCGCTGCGGGTTAAACCACAGAGCCTAGGACTTGCCGATCAGAAGGTCAGCGGTTCGAATCCCCGCAATGACGGGGTGAGCTCCCGTTGCTCGGTCCCTGCTCCTGCCAACCTAGCAGTTCGAAAGCACGTCAAAGTGCAAGTAGATCAATAGGTACCGCTCCAGCGGGAAGGTAAACGGCGTTTCCGTGCGCTGCTCTGGTTCGCCAGAAGCGGCTTAGTCCTGCTGGCCACACGACCCGGAAGCTGTACGCCGGCTCCCTCGGCCAATAAAGCAAGATGAGCGCCGCAACCCCAGAGTCGGCCACGACTGGACCTAATAGTCAGGGGTCCCTTTACCTTTACCTATTCAGTAATAATAATAATACAGTGGTACCTCGGTTTTCGAACATTTTGGAAGTCAAACATTTCGGTTTTCGAACGCCGAAAACCCGGAAGTAAATGCTTCTGTTTTCAAACAGAAGTCAAACATCTTTCCACTGTGTGTACATGTTATTTTCCCACAGTTTTTGCAGACATCCCTTTGCGCCTCGGTTTCCGAACTTTTCGGAAGTCGAAGGGTCTTCCTGAATGGGTTACGTTCGAAAACCGAGGTACCACTGTATCATAATGATAATAATGTTATCGTTTATACCCCACACACTCTGGGCGGCTTCCTACGTATATAAAAACATAATGAAACATTAAACATTTTTTTAAAACTTCCCTACACTGTACAGGGCTGCCTTCAGGTGTCTTCTAAAGGTTATTTATCTCCATGGCTTCTGGTTTGCATAACTCCGTATCCTCCAACATTTCTCCAATGAAAATGTTGTTGTTGTTTAGTCGTTTAGTCATGCCCGATTCTTCGTGACCCCATGGACCAGAGCATGCCAGGCCCTCCTGTCTTCCACTGCCTCCCACAGTTTGGTCAAACTCATGCTGGTAGCTTCGAGAACACTGTCCCACCATCTCGTCCTCCGACGTCCGCTTCACCTTGTGCCCTCCATCTTTCCCAACATCAGGGTCTTTTCCAGGGAGTCTTCTCTTCTCATGAGGTGGCCAAAGTCTTGGAGCCTCAGCTCCAGTGTCCAGTGAGCACTCAGGGCTGATTTCCTTCAGAATGGAGAGGTTGGATCTTCTTGCAGTCCATGGGACTCTCAAGAGTCTCCTCCAGCACCAGAATTCAAAAGCATCCATTCTTCGGCAATCAGCCTTCTTGATGGTCCAGCTCTCACTTCCGTACATCACTACTGGGAAAATCACAGCTTGAACTATATGGACCTTTATTGGCAAGGTGATGTCTCTGCTTTTTAAAATGCTGTCTAGGTTTGTCATTGCTCTTCTCCCAATGAAAATAGGGACATGCTAAGGAAAAGCGGGACATTTCGGGTACCGAAATAAATAGGTACCGCTGCGGCAGGAAGGTAAACAGCGTTTCCGTGTGCTCTGGTTTCCGTCATGCGCCAGAAGCGGTTTAGTCCTGCTAGCCACACGACCCAGAAAGCTGTCTGCGGACAAACGCCGGCTCCCTCTGCCAGTAAAGCGAGATGAGCGCCGTAACCCCAGAGTCACCTTTGACTGGACTTAACCGTCCAGGGGTCCTTTAGCTTTTTACCTTACTGAGGAAGCAGGGCGAAGGGAAGGAGGCAGATTCAGAGAGGGTACAAATCACAAAGGGCCCTGAGGCTTCTCTCGGTGTGGGTCAGGAAGAAGTCCCAAAATTGGCGCGGCGTCTGTGGGCACCACGCTTTGCAATGTGCCAGAGCTATCTCTCGTTCCCAGAGCTTTTCCCTTGTATGGCTTGATAACCGGAGACCCGCTATCATACTCTTGCAGTTGCTGACATTCTTTTCTAATGACCCAGGGGTCGTGACCTGAGTTTTTCCCAGGGTCTGGGAAAGGGGCGAGGAGCCGTCGGCCTCTTCCACCCGGTGCATAATCCATTTCTGGAATCTGCGATGTGCCAAGACGGGCCAGTGGCTTATGGGGCGTCGGTAGGGGATTTAGATAAAATGCCACGGGTGGGGTTTTTTGTCTCCCAAAGGCCGTCAGCCAGGACTGCGCCATGGAGCCTCCATGGAGCCTAATGAAGATGAAAGAGGAGGGCGCAAAATGCGGTCTGAAGCTCAACATCAAATACTAAGATCATGGCCACAGGTCCCATCACCTCCTGGTAAACAGAAGGGGAAGAAATGGAGGCAGTGAGAGATTTTACTTTCTTGGGCTCCATGATCACTGCATATGGTGAGAGCAGTCACGAAATTAAAAGACGCCTGCTTCTTGGGAGAAAAGCGACGACAAACCCAGACAGCGTCTTAAAAAGCAGAGACATCACCTTGCCAACAAAGGTCCATATAGTTCAAGCTATGGTTTTCCCAGTAGTGATGTATGGAAGTGAGAGCTGGACCATAAAGAAGGCTGATCACTGAAGAATTTATGCTTTTGAATTCTGGTGCTGGAGGAGACTCTTGAGAGTCCCATGGACTGCAAGAAGATCAAACCTCTCCATTCAGAGAGGAGTCCTTTTCTTGTTGTTTAAACGTTTTGTTGTGTCCGCCTCTTCGTGACCCCCTGGACCAGAGCACGCCAGGCCCTCCTGTCTTCCACTGCCTCCCGCAGTTTGGTCAAACTCATGCTGGTAGCTTCGAGAACACTGTCCCACCATCTCGTCCTCTGTCCTCCCCTTCTCCTTGTGCCCTCCATCTTTCCCACCATCAGGGTCTTTTCCACGGAGTCTTCTCTTCTCATGAGGTGGCCAAAGTCTTGGAGCCTTAGCTTCAGGATCTGTCCTTCCAGTGAGCACTCAGGGCTGATTTCCTTCCGAATGGAGAGGTTGGATCTTCTTGCAGTCCATGGGCCTCTCAAGAGTCTCCTCCAGCACCAGAATTCAAAAGCATCAATTTGTAATTATCCTCTCTCAGTAGGATGCCCAAACAACCAAGGATCCATAAATATGGGAGCGAAGCTGCCAAAATAATATTAAGGCCATGGAGACGATGTGCAGAAAGGAAGGCAGCGGCCACTGACACTGAGGAGGGCGGATGGGTGAAATTCGGAGCCTGTTTTTTGCCTCTCTGCTCGCAAGGTCGCTGACAGGTCCGTTCCCAGGCCAGCTCCTCTGTACTGGAATTTGCAAGGCAAACCAAAACAGCAAATTCCTTCCCTCCAGCGAATCTCCACCGAGGCTTTCCGAGCTGAGGGGTTTATTTTTAATTTCTGCTAATGGCAGGGTGAGGCTGGCAGTCGTGGATGGGAAAGGAGGAAAGCTTGAAGCAGTTTTTGGACCCATTGCTTGGGGACTTTCAGAGGAGTCACAGATGGCCAAGGGGACATTCCTTTGGCTTGAGTGTGCCTGGGGGTGTCGGGACGGAGATAAATCGATAAATTCGCCCTGCCCTCCTAGCAAGACGATCGAGTTGGGAGAGGGAAGCGGCAAGGCAAAAATGGAGCGATAAACGAAGACGTTGAAGCGAAACCTGGGAATTAACGGGGTTTCAGCTAGCAGGCACCAGCCATCAATTCCCATTAAAGGCAGCAATACTCATTTGCCAAAAGATCGGCAGCTGTTAGCTCATTGACCGCATCCCCTCCAACATTTCTCCCCTGAAAATAGGGACGTCCTATTCCATCCCCTCCAACATTTCTCCCCTGAAAATAGGGGCGTCCTATTCCATCCCCTCCAACGTTTCTCCCCTGAAAATAGGGACGTCCTATTCCATCCCCTCCAACGTTTCTCCCGTGAAAAGAGGGACGTCCTATTCCATCCCCTCCAACGTTTCTCCCCTGAAAATAGGGACGTCCAATTCCATCCCCTCCAACGTTTCTCCCATGAAAAGAGGGACGTCCTATTCCATCCCCTCCAACGTTTCTCCCCTGAAAATAGGGACGTCCAATTCCATCCCCTCCAACGTTTCTCCCCTGAAAAGAGGGACGTCCTATTCCATCCCCTCCAACGTTTCTCCCCTGAAAATAGGGACGTCCAATTCCATCCCCTCCAACGTTTCTCCCCTGAAAAGAGGGACGTCCTATTCCATCCCCTCCAACGTTTCTCCCCTGAAGATAGGGACGTCCCAAGGAAAAGCGGGACATTCCGGGATCAAATTGGAAACCGGAACGGCTTCTGTAAATCCTGGACTGTCCTTGGAAAACAGGGTCCCATTTTAGGAGACGACACCACAGGGTGTGGGTGGTTTTGCATCTCAAGTTGGGGTTTTGAGAGCCGTATAAAGGGCCCATTATGGTGCTGGAGGAGACTCTTGAGAGTCCCATGGACTGCAAGAAGATCCAACCTCTCCATTCTGAAGGAAATCAGCCCTGAGTGCTCACTGGAAGGACAGATCCTGAAGCTGAGGCTCCAAGACTTTGGCCACCTCATGAGAAGAGAGGACTCCCTGGAAAAGACCCTGATGCTGGGAAAGATGGAGGGCGCAAGGAGAAGGGGACGACAGAGGACGAGATGGTGGGACAGTGTTCTGGAAGCTACCAGCATGAATTTTACCAAACTGCAGGAGGCAGTGGAAGACAGGAGGGCCTGGCGTGCTCTGGTCCAGGGGGTCACGAAGAGGCGGACACGACTAAACAACAACAACAACAAAAAGGGCGCTGGAGCAGGCTTTCCTGGGAAGTTGGCAACCTGGCCAGCTTCTGAGTTTTCCTGGCTGCCGGATGATTTCTGCGTGCCTTTTCCGTTGAGGTGGAGACCTTCCCCCAGGCGTGTTCCTACAAGCCCCAAAGACAGGAATTTAGGTTGTGTCCTCAGTCCTCCTCAGTTTCTTCCGGGCTTCAATCGTATATCCACACACTCCAAATGCAACTTTTTGGAAGGGCGAGGGATGAATTGGCGCTGTCATAAATTGCCCAGGACGCGATCCTCTGCAGAAATCGATTCCTGCGTGGAGCGATTGGGTATGTTTAGATGCAATGCCTGCCTTCTGATATCTGGAAGGAAGCAGGGCAAATTAATTTATTCTCCGGGGGGATGGCAGAAGGAGATCAGGCCCATTCATCCGAATGGGTCTACTCTAAGTAGGATGACGCAGTGCACAGGGGGAAGGGCAGCAGTACAGTGGCAAAGCGTCGGCTTTGCAGCCCGGAGGTGCTGGGTTCGATTCCTGCCCCCTCCAGCTAAGGCTTGGGTCTGAAACCTCGTACAGCTGCTGTCCGTCAGTGCAGGTGTTGTAAGAAAAAACTGCTACTTTTCCTTTACGGGGTGTTCCAGAGCCCGTCTAGAGTCCTTAAGTGGGTTCCCTATCGGTAGGAGAAAATAACAGAGGCCAAGCAGACGACACAAAAGGAAAGCGGAATGAGGAGGGAAGAGGAAACCGAGCGAGGTCAGGCTCCAAAACTCTTCCGCTTGTAGTTTTTGCAATCTCCAGATGTAATATCTGGTTGTGCAATGTGAGAAACCTGAGGCTGGTCCAGGCAGATCTTTCCGACGAGTTATTTAGGAAATAGAGGACATCTTAACATGGTCTTGTTATAAGAAAAAAAACTGCTCCTTTTCCCTTATGGGGTATCTAAGAGCCCATGATTATGATTTATGTGTGAGGAAAATTTGGGCAAAAAAAATGAGAGGCACAAATACAAGATGGGGGACACCTGGCTTGAGAGCAGTACATGTGAAAAGGATCTAGGAGTCTTGGTTGACCACAAACTTGACATGAGCCAACAGTGTGACGCGGCAGCTAAAAAGCCAATGCAATTCTGGGCTGCATCAATAGGAGTATAGCATCTAGATCAAGGGAAGTAATAGTGCCACTGTATTCTGCTCTGGTCAGACCTCACCTGGAGTACTGTGTCCAGTTCTGGGCACCACAGTTCAAGAAGGACACTGACAAACTGGAACGTGTCCAGAGGAGGGCAACCAAAACGGTCAAAGGCCTGGAAACGATGCCTTATGAGGAATGGCTAAGGGAGCTGGGCATGTTTAGCCTGGAGAAGAGGAGGTTAAGGGGTGATATGATAGCCATGTTCAAATATATAAAAGGATGTCACATAGAGGAGGGAGAAAGGTTGTTTTCTGCTGCTCCAGAGAAGCAGACACAGAGCAATGGATCCAAACTACAAGAAAGAAGATTCCACCTAAACATTAGGAAGAACTTCCTGACAGTAAGAGCTGTTCGACAGTGGAATTTGCTGCCAAGGAGTGTGGTGGAGTCTCCTTCTTTGGAGGTCTTTAAGCAGAGGCTTGACAACCATATGTCAGGAGTGCTCTGATGGTGTTTCCTGCTTGGCAGGGGGTTGGACTCGATGGCCCTTGTGGTCTCTTCCAACTCTATGATTCTATGATTCTATGAAAATTGTTAAAAGTACTTAATAATAATAATAATAATAATAATAATACAATATGAAACAGCCATGGCTTCCCCAAATTATTCTGGGAGTTGCAGTTTGCCCAGGGGGCTGAGAGGTGCTAGGAGGCACCCTCTAATTTCCCGGACTGAGCTGCAATTTTATTTATTTTCTACGTCTGTTTCCTGACTTTTCTCTAAGCAGCTTGAGGTTGCAAGAACTATTCTTCTCCCCATTTTAATCCCCTGTGAGGCAGGCAAGGGAGAGCGACCGGCTCACCCAGCGAGCTCGAGTGGGGGGGGGGGGAGATTCGAACCCGGGTCCCTCCCCAGGTCCTGGCCCCGAGACTCTAACCACTGCACGGCGCTGCCTCTCAGCGTTCTCGGCAAAGAGGGACGGGGTTGTTCGACCGCCCTGGGTCGTTCCAGCCTTCCCCATGGGTGTTAAGAAACCTCTGCGCGATTTCTGGCATTCCTCGCTTTTCCCAGCTGCCAGCCAGATGTGACATTTTCCCCAGCAAAAAAGGCAAGGCCCTCTTTTCCAGACTGTTTTCGGCCGGGGCGTCCCAGGAAGGCTGCCAGGGACGGGGATTGATGGGGTGTGCGTTGGTTCTCCCCCTCGAGCCAGATTTCTCCCTCTCCGTGACTTATTAGCTGCCGTCTCTGCCTCCGGAGACTTGTGCGATCGTCTCCCTTTCTCTTGGCCCGTGGCCTCGTTCCTCTTCCAGATCTCCAGACCAAGTGCTCCCTTGCAAGGAAGACGGTAGGAAGGGCTTTGAGTCATTTCAAAATGATTTCAGAGTTTCAGTTTGCAAATGTGCTTCCTTTCCTTTCCTTTCCTTTCCTTTCCTTTCCTTTCCTTTCCTTTCCTCCTTCCCTTCCCTTCCCTTCCCTTCCCTTCCCTTCCCTTTCTTCCTTCCCTTCCCTTCCCCTTCCTTCCTTCCTTCCTTCCTTCCTTCCTTCCTTCCTTCCTTCCTTCATTCCTCCCTCCCTCCCTTCCCTTCCCTTCCCTTCCCTTCCCTTCCCTTCCCTTTCCTTCCTTCCTTCCTTCCTTCCTTCCTTCCTTCCTTCCTTCCTTCCTTCCTTCCTTCCATCCCCTTTCCTCCTCAATGCCCATCTCAATGCCAATGTAGGTCTTTCAGGACTGGTGTTATATGGTCCCGGCGGCCGCTCCCAGTCCCCAGTCTGGCTGCCGCATTCTGGATTAATTGTAGTTTCCGGGTCACCTTCAAAGGCAGCTCCACGGAGAGCGCATGGCAGTAGTCCAAGCGGGAGACAACCAGAGCATGCACCACTCTGGCGAGACAGTCCGCGGGCAGGGAGGGTCTCATCCTGCGTACCAGATGCAGCTGCCCTGGACGCAGAATTAACCTGCACCTCCATGGACAGCTGTGAGTCCAGAATGACTCCCAGGCTTCACACTTGGTCCTTCGGGGGCACAGTTGCCCCATTCAGGAACAGGGAGTCCCCCACACCCGCCTGCCCCCTGTGCCCCCAAAACAGTACTTCTTATTTACGTGTTTGCCTTGTACATTTATGAACATTTATTTTATACATATATAAGACCTTAGAATTCCTGTAACGGTAGACAAAACTGAACTACCGTAGATGCTCTGACTGTATAAGGCAGCTTCTGACGTCGATACGTTCCTTTCCGGCGGTCTTTCCATTCCATCTTTCTGCATGTCCTGAAAAAGCACCTGCCCCCCCCCAATAAAATTCTGGGAACTGTAGTTTCTGCTGGGAGTTGTAGCGCCATGAAAGTACAGTTCCTAGATTCTCTGGGATTCAAGTGGGTGGCATGGATAGCGTCAGTGGCGAGCTATGAGATGGGGCTGCACAGCTTCTGTTTCCTGACCCCCTGCTCCCAACGGGACGCTCCCTCCTTAAATAAATTTGTGCTTCTAAGGGCGGGTCATCCCAGCTAGTTGCCCCCGGCCCCCAATCCTTGGCTGGCTTCTCCTGATCTTGCGTCAGTTCCTGGAAGCCATAGGAATTCCTGCTTTATTACAGCCTTGATTTACGGTCCGAGGGAAAGCAGTTGCGATGTTTGTCTGATCCGCGGGGTCAAATGTCTGCGGGGCAATCTCACACATGCCGAGGGCGGATCCTGACCCTTCGGAGAGATTCCCGGAATCGGAGGAAGCAAATGCTCCGATCTCGCAAGCGCTCCGATCCTAAGCTGTGGGCAGAAGCGCAGGATGGGTGCGATGCAGCGGCGGGAAAAAGCCGAATGCAATTCTAGGCTGCGTCAACAGAAGTCTAGTGTCCAGATTTAAGTCGTAAAGGTAAAGGGACCCCTGACCGTTAGGTCCCGTCATGGCCGACTCTGGGGTTGCGGCGCTCATCTCGCTTTACTGGCCGAGGGAGCTTCCGGGTACAGCTTCCGGGTCATGTGGCCAGCAGGACTAAGCCGCTTCTGGCGAACCAGAGCAGCGCACGGAAACGTGGTTTACCTTCCCGCCAGAGCAGTACCTATTTATCTACTTGCACTTTGACGTGCTTTTGAACTGCTAGGTGGGCAGGAGCAGGGACCGAGCAACGGGAGCTCACCTCGTCATTGCGGGGATTTGAACCGCCGACCTTCTGATCGGCAAGTCCTAGGCTCTGTGGTTTAACCCGCAGCGCCACCCGCGTCCCTGATTTAAGTCATAGTCCCGCTCTATTCTGCCTCGGTCAGACCACGCCTGGAATACTTTGTCCTGTTCTGGGCGCCTCAATTTAAGAAGGAGGTTGACAAGCTGGAAGGTGTGCAGAGGAGGACAACCGAGACGATCCAAGAAACCGAGCCTGATGAGGAATGGTCGAAGGAGAGATATTTGTAGAGGGATGGATAGAAGATCTGGGAACAAACTCGTCCATCGCCGATGTCTTCATATAATTTAGGGGCCATCGGACTGTCGAAAAGCTGGATACAAGTTCTTTTAAACAATGCAGAGAACAGGGGATTATCCTAACTTTCCACAAATGGTTTAGCTCAAGTTGCTGAGCAGAAGCCAATGGCAGTCTGGCTGGGGTCCCAGTTCTCGCTGACTAGACATCAGGAGAAGCTTTTGGGGTGGCAAGATCTCTTTGACAGCGGGACTGAGTCCCTCAGAAGGTGGAGCGTTCTCCTTCCTTGGAGGTGTTATCTATCTATCTATCTATCTATCTATCTATCTATCTATCTCTCTATCTATCTATCTATCTATCTATCATCTATCTATCTACCTATCTATCTATCTATCTATCTATCTATCTATAATAATTTATTATTTATACCCCACCCATCTGGCTGAGTTTCCCCAGCCACTCTGGGCGGCTCCCAATCAAGTGTTAAAAACAATACAGCGTTAAATATTAAAAACTTCCCTAAACAGGGCTGCCTTCAGGTGTCTTTTAAAGATAGGATAGCTGCTTATATCCTTCACATCTGATGGGAGGGCGTTCCACAGGGTGGGCGCCACCACCGAGAAGGCCCTCTGCCTGGTTCCCTGTAGCCTCACTTCTCGCAATGAGGGAACCGCCAGGAGGCCCTTTGGAGATGGACTCCGGTGTCTGGGCTGAATGACGGGGGTGGAGACGCTCCTTCAGGCATACTGGGCCGTTTAGGGCTTTCAAGGTGAGCTCCAACACTTTGAATTGTGCTCGGAAATGTCCTGGGAGCCAACGTAGGTCTTTCAGGACCGGTGTTATATGGTCTCGGCGGCTGCTCCCAGTCCCCAGTCTAGCTGCCGTGTTCTGGATTAGTTGTAGTTTCCAGGTCACCTTCAAAGGTAGCCCCACGGAGAGCGCATTGCAGTAATCCAAGCGGGAGATAACCAGAGCATGCACCACTCTGGCAAGACAGTCTGCAGGCAGGTAGTCCACTAAAAACATTTAAGTTCCAACAATCATTTAACATAACTTCTTATCTTATACAACATTTTAGAATTCCGTCAACAACCTCTTAAGATTCTCCGTTCTTTATCATTTGCTCTGCATTTCTTAATTTCTCTATTACTTTTCATTGTCCTTAACTAATAATTATTTTCAAAGTCTTCCTTGCAATATTTCACAAAGTCCTCCATACAGAACTTCTTGCAGTCCTGCTTGCGTAATCTGTTTATCCCAATCGCTTTTCAAATGGTTCAAATATTTACAGTGGTACCTCGGGTTACATACGCTTCACGTTACATACGCTTTAGGTTACAGACTCCGCTAACCCAGAAATAGTACCTCGGGTTAAGAACTTTGCTTCCGGATGAGAACAGAAATCAGGCTTCGGCAGCATGGCGGCAGCAGGAGGCCCCATTAGCTAAAGTGGTGCTTAAGAACAGTTGCAGGTTAAGAACGGACCTCCGGAACGAATTAAGTACTTAACCCGAGGTACCACTGTAAAGATTGACTGATTGATTGATTGATTGATTGATTGATTAACAGGTTGTCCAGATGAGACCTGTCTCTTTCCCCCTCTCTCTGCTCAGAGCCGGCACCCAACGACCGAGACTGACCCCACCGCGACGCGCAATGGGCGCCGCGAGACCACCGGCCGCCGTCACCTCGCACCCAGGAGGACCCCTCAACGAGTCTCCTTCCCCAGGGCCGCGCTGAGCGCCAGGGCGATGGCAAACTCCACTGAGAACCGCACCCTCGGCTCCTGCTTCCGGGGGGCCAACGGCACGGAGGCGTACCGCGGCGACGCGGCCGCCTCGCCGTGGTTTTCCACCGTCTTCGGCCTCATCGGACTCTCCTCCAACCTCTTTGCCTTCTGCGTGTTGGTCAACTCCTCCAGGAAGATGCACAGCCGTTCGCGGTCGTCTTTCCTGGTCTTCCTCTGTGGTCTGGTGGCCACCGACTTCATGGGCCTCCTGTTGACCTTCTCCATCGTGGTTCCATACCACTTCACTCGCTTTGACTGGAGGCTGGTGGATCCCGGATGCCACCTCTGCAACTTCATGGGCCTGGTCATGGTCTTCTTCGGACTGTGCCCCTTGCTCCTCGGTGCCACCATGGCCGGAGAACGCTTCCTGGGCATCAACCGGCCCTTCTCCCGCTCCACCAAGATGACCAAACGGCGGGCATGGACGTTGGTGGGACTGGTGTGGGCCGGGGGCTTTGTCCTCGGCCTTCTGCCCGTCTTCGGCCTGGGCGACTACACCTTGCAGTACCCCAACTCTTGGTGCTTCCTGACGCTGCTCCACGACCCCAGGAACGTGGTCTTCTGCCTGATCTTCGCTCTTCTCGGCCTCTTCTGTGTGGGCCTCTCCTTCCTGCTCAACACGGTCAGCGTGGTCACTCTCTGCCGCGTCTACCACGACTCCGAGTCCGTCCAGCGGCGGCGAGACAGCGAGGTGGAGATGATGGTGCAACTGTTAGGCATCATGGTCATTGCCAGCGTCTGCTGGCTCCCCCTGCTGGTGAGTGAGTGGATCGGCCACAGAAAGGGAACCTAGATAGATAGATAGATGACAGATGATAGATATAGATAGATGATAGATAGATAGATAGATAGATAGATAGATAGATAGATGATAGATAGATAATTTATTACAGTTTTGTTGTTGTTGTTTAGTTGTTTAGTCGTGTCCGCCTCTTCGTCCGCCTGGACCAGAGCACGCCAGGCCCTCCTGTCTTCCACTGCCTCCCGCAGTTTAGTCAAACTCATGTTGGTCGCTTTGAGAACACTGTCCCACCATCTCGTCCTCTGTCATCCCCTTCTCCTTGTGCCCTCCATCTTTCCCAGCATCAGGGTCTTTTCCAGGGAGCCTTCTCTTCTCCTGAGGTGGCCAAAGTCTTGGAGCCTCAGCTTCAGGATCTGTCCTTCCAGTGAGCACTCAGGGCTGATTTCCTTCTGAATGGAGAGGTTTGATCTTCTTGCAGTCCATGGGACTCTCCAGAGTCTCCTCCAGCACCAGAATTCAAAAGCATCCATTCTTCGGCGATCAGCCTTCTTGATGGTCCAGCTCTCACTTCCATACATCACTACTGGGAAAACCAGAGCTTTAACTATACGGACCTTTGTTGGCAAGGTGATGTCTCTACTTTTTAAGATGCTGTCTAGGTTTGTTACAGTTGGAGACCAGCTTATAAAACACACTTGCGGTTACAATCCCAGAAGGAAAACAAACAATTAAAACAACGTAGAAAATAAATTCAAATTTTATAAATGAGATAGGCATGAAAGGGAACTTAATTCCTTTTCCCTTTTTTTTTTGTATGCAGTGGTACCTTGGTTCTCAAACTTAATCCGTTCTGGACGTCCGTTCCAAAACCAAAGCGTTCCAAAACCAAGGCGCGCTGCTTTCCCATAGAAAGCAATGCAAAACGGATTAATTTTGCTATCTGACGAGACCATTGGTCCATAAAATGAAAGCAATCATCAATGTACTGTACTATAAAATAAATCAGACAGTATTGTGGACGATAAAAATTAAAATTATTATTACTTTCTGACTTGCACTGATCATAGAATAGAATCATAGAATCATAGAATCATAGAAGAGTTGGAAGAGACCACAAGGGCCACCGAGTCCAACCCCCTGCCAAGCAGGAAACACCATCAGAGCACTCCTGACATATGGTTGTCAAGCCTCTGCTTAAAGACCTCCAAAGAAGGAGACTCCACCACACTCCTTGGCAGCAAATTCCACTGTCAAACAGCTCTTACTGTCAGGAAGTTCTTCCTAATGTTTAGGTGGAATCTTCTTTCTTGTAGTTTGGATCCATTGCTCCGTGTCCGCTTCTCTGGAGCAGCAGGAAACAACCTTTCTCCCTCCTCTATGTGACATCCTTTTATATATTTGAACATGGCTATCATATCACCCCTAACCTCCTCTTCTCCAGGCTAAACATGCCCAGCTCCCTTAGCCGTTCCTCATAAGGCATCGTTTCCAGGCCTTTGACCATTTTGGTTGCCCTCCTCTGGACACGTTCCAGTTTGTCAGTGTCCTTCTTGAACTGTGGTGCCCAGAACTGGACACAGTACTCCAGGTGAGGTCTGACCAGAGCAGAATACAGTGGCACTATTACATACATGATAATAGTTCATTGCTTGGAAGGGGGTGCTTTTATCCATTTCCGCAGTCACACAATCCGTCCATCAGTAGCTGAACTGGGTTCCGCACAGTCACCGAAACAAATGAACCGAAAAAGCCTCAAAAACAAAAACGCAAAATAAATGGCAAAAACAAAAGCGCCAAACTTAACCCATTCCGGAAGTCCGTTTGACTTCTAAAATGTACGGAAACCGAGATGTGGCTTCTGATTGGCGCAGGCGCCCCGGAAACAATAGCCGACAGCCGTGTATAAGAGGATGCTTTTTGCTAAAAAAATAATTAGTCAAAAATGGGGAGGGGAACGTCCTATACACGGATGGTGAATGCACAGGGGTTTGGGTTCAGGCTCTGGCATGGGTGGCCTGGATTCGAGTTTTGGTTCTGGTGTGCGTGCCCCGGGCTTGGGTTCGGGTTCTGCCCCGATTTCTTAATTTTGGGTCCAGAAAAATAGGGGTTGTCTTATACATGAAAAACCACGGTGTTATCCTGCTCACAAACACAACTGACTGCTGTGGATAGCTCAGTCGATAGTTCGCAAGGCTCTTAACCCCGGGGTCATGGGTTCGAATCCCACCTAGGGCAAAAGATTCCTGCATTGCAACAGGTTGGACTTGCAGCTCTGCGTTTCCGCGGTTCTTTGATAGAATATCCCATCAACTGAAAGAATCAACAGAGGCCATGGATGGATTAACATGACATTCCCCAGATAGTCTTTATGAATTTCTCTGGTGGAAGAGACTCCGGCCCCAACCAAAATAAAATCCATCATTTTGAGAGCGTTGTTGAAACTTTGCCTGGTTCTTACAAGCTGGGTTGCGTGTCTTTTAATGACCCGACGAAAACCTCCCAGTTGCTTGAAAAAGAGACGTGATCTTCAAATTGCGTGCGTGTGTTGAACTCCTTGTTAAATGTCTGTGTTATGGTGTGGCACAACAGCATTTTAGTAACGGAGAAAATCTCCGCAATGTCTTGGAAAGCGCTGTGTTCCCTCTTTTGGTTTTAAATCCCTTTCTCAAAAACCAAACGGCAGCAGCAAAACTGGCCAAAATCCTCATTTTGTCCAATTCTGCGTAGTCCATTAATTTTGTCTTCTTTCGTCGCAATTTCTTCTTGTTTCCATTTCTGGGCTAACAATACTCTTGCCGCTGCTGTTGCATATAAAAACAATTTAACATCTTGCCTATTAATGTCCTGACCTAGAATACCAGGTAAAAATGCTTCAGTTTTTTTTTTTTTAATGTATATTTCAACATCTTTTTCATCTCATGATATATCATTTCCCAGAAGTTCTTTACTTTTTTACATTCCCACCACATATGATAAAATGTTCCTTCTTTTTCTTTACATTTCCAACATTTATTATTTGTCTTATACAACAACAACAGTCTTTATTACGGTCCAGAGACCCAACAAAGCAATACACAATTCATACAGCCTACCTCCAGGTTAAACAAGCATTTTGTTCAGAATATAGGGATCGTTGGTTCTTGCAACCACCAATAAACTTTGCCACTGCTAATGTTCTAGCATTTGTCCGGTCTTCCAATAGGAACCTGACATAGCGAGCCTCTGATTTTCCCAGGAAAGGTACCAGCAAGGGTAGTATCAGTTCAGCCCTGGCTTGCTCGTATTTTGCACAGTGCAACAAAATATGTTTTATGGACTCGATGTCTTGAGCACACGAGCAAAGTCTGTCCTGGTAGGGAACTCCTCTCAACACTGCAGAAGGAAAGACGTTTAGTCTGGCTTTGGTGAAAAGCCTTCGATAGTTTGGTACTGTCAGGTTTTTCATGTAAGATGTTAACTCTTTCCCTGTCCCGCAGATCCTCATCGCACAGACGGCTCTCCAAGCTCCCCGAGGAGACTTGCCCCTCAACCAGATCCCCCGGGACACCGAAATCCAGCTCCTCATCTACCTTCGAGTAGCAACCTGGAACCAGATCCTGGATCCCTGGGTCTACATCCTCTTCCGACGGGCGGTGCTGCGAAGGATCTACCCCAGCTTCAAAGCCCGGCCCTCCATCGTCTCGCTGTACCCGGTGCTCAACCCGTCTCTGAGGAGGAAATTCACCCAGGAATCTGTGCTCCAGTAGGACAGGGGGTCTGCGACGGCGGGAGGGGAAAGTGGTACAGCCCCTCCGTGGTCATGGCGAAGCCCGCATCTCAGTTCCGATGTGCGCCGCTCTGTGCTATAAACAGGGCAGCGAAGGCGCTCTCAATTTCCCATCGCCTGTGCCAACCGCACTCAGTTATGTGCCCCTTCGCAGGGTCCCCAATCCCAAACCGGTGACCCCCTAACCTAGCATGAGCTGCGATTCCTTTATTTCCCGGGGTTCGGCTAAACGTCTCTCAGGGTTGCCAAGTTTGTGAGTCGGTTCCAAACAGTCGAAGGAGCCGGATACGTTTTCGCCTCCTCCGGCGATGTTAATCCCGGCTAGAATGTAGGCTAAGGTGACCAGATTTTTTCCAATGAATTTGGGGGCGCTTTTCAACTTCCCAATAAACAGATGGATTTTGTCAAAGGACCGATCTGTAAATCAGGGAAACGGGGACGTCTGGTAACCTTAATGTAGGCGGGTAAAAGGTAAAGGGACCCCTGACCATTAGGTCCAGTCGTGGCCGACTCTGGGGTTGCGGCGCTCATCTCGCTTTATTGGCTGAGGGAGCCAGCGTACAGTTTCCAGGTCACGTGGCCAGCAGGACTAAGCCGCTTCTGGCGAACCAGAGCAGCGCACGGAAACGCCGTTTACCTTCCCGCCGGAGCGGTACCTATTGATCTACTTGCACTGGTGTGCTTTCGAACTGCTAGGTTGGCAGGAGCAGGGAGCGAGCAACGGGAGCTCACCCTGTTGTGGGGATTCGAACCGCCAACCTTCTGATCGGCAAGCCCTAGGCTCCACGGTTTAGCCCACAGCGCCACCCGCGTCCCATTAAAACTTTTGATAATAACCTGATTTGGAATGGGGAGGTTGAATCATTTTGATCGCAATGGGAAGTAGAATTCATCGGCCCTTCCTCCCGTTGGCTCTGGCGCCCCCTGCTGTTGACCTCCCACATTGCACCCTCCAGGTCCCGGGTTGGCGATACACACATACATGCATGCCCTCTCTGTCTCATCCTGCACGCCCCCCTTGAGATCTGATCCTGAGCCCAGAAACTCTCCTCCCCATGTTGTGTTGGTGGCAACAAAAATATAGCATGTTTAAAAACGGGCGCGGCGAGCCTGAACGCTCACTTAGGGACAGGACGACTGGACGGTGCGGTTATCTTTCCAACAGACATTGTGGGTGGCGAATGGACGCTCTGTATCCTGCACCCGGAATTGGGGGGTCCCTGGATCGTTGTGGGAAGAGGGAGCGACACAACTGCATGGATTTGTGCATGCATAATTGTTGCCATAATAAAGCCTGTGGCATCTCCTGCCTGTGGTCGTTGGTGGTGGTTGTTTTTCTGAGACGGGGTGCCGGTTGGGTGCAGGAGGGGGAAGCAGCCTAGGGGACCCCCCAGGGAAGACCCTCAGAGCCCGGGGATGGGTGGTGGGGCGACGACGAGCGGTCAGATGGAGAAGGCTGGAAGAGGAGGTGTTGGAAACCGAAGGGGCGACAGGGCTTAGTGAGCGGGGAGAGTTTGTGCCAGAGAGCAGTCCAGACTCAGAGACAGAAGCAGAGGCTGGGAAGGAGGGGAAGCTCCTTTCAGTGGGGCCAGGCTGCTGAAGAAGCCAGGGGGTCTCCCCCTCCTGCCTGCTCCCCTCATCTCCCGGAACCAGGAGAGGCATGAAAAGGGCGGAGGGCAGGTTGGCTGCAAACAGGCGCAGTCTCCGATTGCTTGGAAAGAGCCCTGGAGCGTAGGGGGCTTGGGAAGACTCAGAGCCCGGGGATTGGTGGTGGGACGACAGCGAGTGGTCAGGGGGAGAAGACTGGGAGGAGGAGGTGTTGGAAACCGAAGAGGCATCAGGGCTTAGTGAGCGGGGAAGAGTCTGTGCCAGAGAGCAGTCCAGACTCGGAGGCAGGAGAGGAGGAGGGAGTCCAAGAGGCAGAGAGGCGTCCGGCTGGGGAAGAGACAAGGAGGTCTCCCCCTCCTGCTGCAACAAACTCCCCGGTCTCCCAGAACCAGAAGCGGCATGAAAAGGTGGTTAGGTTGGCTTCCGGCTGGTGCCGTCTCTGATTGCATGGGGAAAACCCTGGAGAGGAGGGGAGTTAAGACGGCTGTGGGGAGCGGGGATTTTCAGCCTTGGCAACTGATCCATGGGGCAAGACCTATAGGGGATAAGCTGCTATGCTCATTAGGCCTGACAGCCTGCCAAGTCCGTGTGGATCGCGCTCTGGCTAATAAAGAGTCAACTCCAATTTGAACAGGGCGATTTGTTGCCGGTTCCCTCCTCGTAACGGTTTAGGGTTTGTCCCCTCATCGGCGTAACGAAGGCACTTAAGCTGGAAATTGGTCTTGGTCCAGTATACCTGAAGGAGCGTCTCCACCCCATCGTTCTTCCCGGACACTGAGGTCCATCTCCCGAGGGCCTTCTGGCAGTTCCCTCCCTGCGAGAAGCGAGGTTACAGGGAACCAGGCAGAGGGCCTTCTCGGTGGTGGCGCCCTCCCTGTGGAACGCCCTCCCAGCAGATGTCAAAGAGAACAACTACCACCAGACCTTTAGAAGACATCTGAAGGCAGCCCTGTTTCGGGAAGCTTTTAATGTTTGATGTATTGCAGTATTTTAATATTTTTGGGGAAGCTGCCCAGAGTGGCTGGGGAAGCCCAGCCAGATGGGCGGGGTATAAATAATAAATTATTATTATTATTTGGGGCACACTCAAGCACATCCCAGCATGCAGCTCAGAAACCCCAGGCTCCTGGCCTCAAAGGGAAGAATGGATGGGGAAGGCGATGCGAGTTACGAGTCCTCATGGTTGTGAATAGAGGGAGCGGGGCCAAGAGGCAGTCCGGCTGGGGAAGAGGCATGCAGGTCTCCCTCTCCTGCTGTGACCAGCTCCCCTCCCTGCTTGTCTCCCAGAATCAAGAGCGGTGTGAAAAGAGCGGAGGGGAGGTTAGGTTCATACGGGCGCACTCTCCGATTGCTTGGGAACAGCCCCGGAGAGGAGCGAGACTTGGGAAGCTGCGTGGAGCTCTTGGCAACCGAATTTCATTTGCCAAAGAAAACCACCAGTCCATGTAGCCCAAGGCTGTCTGCACGGACCGGCAGCAGGTTTCCAGGCTATCTGACACATCTCTCCGAACCTTCCTGCGAGATGGTATTATCTTGCACCCGGGACCTTTTGCACGCACGGCGGGTGCTCTGCCTACTGAGCGGCACTGCCCTTGTAGAAACGATGCACAACCCATTTTTTTAAAAAAAGGGAATGGTTTTTAAATAACTTTTTAATTATTTCAAAAACAAACCAACAAAACTTTATGTACATCGCAGTCAAAGGCGGGAGAGTTGACTTCCGGAAGGTTGAGGGGCTTCCTTCTGAGAAAATTAGTGTTGACATTACCTTTTATTTTTTTATTATGATGCTGGTTTTTCATTAACGTGAAGCTTTGCTGCAAAAAAAACAGGGCATGTGAGCGATCGGGCTGAGGTTCGGGTTCATGTAGACCTGAGCACGGGGGGTGGGGAGCCTCAAAAAATAAAGTGGTCCGTGGAGGTCCATTTTGGGACACACACACATCTCCTTTGCAGAAATGTTTGTGTTGCCGGCATTGGGGGGAGAAAATGCATTGATCACATTCTCGGGGAGAAACGTTGGAGGGGATGGAATAGGACGTCCCTCTTTTCACGGGAGAAACGTTGGAGGGGATGGAATAGGACGTCCCTCTTTTCACGGGAGAAACGTTGGAGGGGATGGAATAGGACGTCCCTATTTTCAGGGGAGAAACGTTGGAGGGGATGGAATAGGACGTCCCTATTTTCACGGGAGAAACGTTGGAGGGGATGGAATAGGACGTCCCTATTTTCAGAGGAGAAACGTTGGAGGGGATGGAATAGGACGTCCCTATTTTCAGGGGAGAAACGTTGGAGGGGATGGAATAGGACGTCCCTATTTTCAGAGGAGAAACGTTGGAGGGGATGGAAAAGGACGTCCCTATTTTCAGGGGAGAAACGTTGGAGGGGATGGAAAAGGACGTCCCTATTTTCAGGGGAGAAACGTTGGAGATGATGGAATAGGACGTCCCTATTTTCAGGGGAGAAACGTTGGAGGGGATGGAAAAGGACATCCCTCTTTTCAGGGGAGAAACGTTGGAGGGGATGGAGTTATGCGACCCCTAAGCCAAGGAGATAAGTAACTTGACAACCTTTAGAAGACATCTGAAGGCAGCCCTGTACAGGGAAGTTTAAAAAGTTTCACGTTTTATTATGTTTTTATATATGCTGGAAGTTGCCCTGAGTAGCTGGGGCAACTCAGCCTTGGTATAGATAATAAAACTATTACTATTACAGTGGTACCTCGGGTTACATACGCTTCAGGTTACAGATGCTTCAGGTTACAGACTCCGCTAACCCAGAAGTTTTACCTCAGGTTAAGAACTTTGCTTCAGGATGAGAACAGAAATCGGGCTCTTGCGGCGTGGCGGCAGCAGGAGGCCCCATTAGCTAAAGTGGTGCTTCAGGTTAAGAACAGTTTCAGGTTAAGAACGGACCTCCGGAACGAATCAAGTACTAAACCCGAGGTACCACTGTATTATGATGGAATAGGACGTCCCTATTTTCATCGGAGGGTATGAGATGGGTGCTTCTTTAAAAAACGAACAAACAGGAGCTGCAGATTAATTCCGCTTTTCTTTCCTTTCTTAAAAAAAGAAAGAGAAAAACGAGTGTGGGTGTCAGTTTTTGTGTGTCTGGATGGAAACCTTGAAGACCTTGAAAAACCAGCCGGGATAAGAGGCGCAGGAAGCCTAGTGGAAGAGAGATAAGGATGGAGAGGCAGAAGATCTTCGCCTCTACTTGGGGCTCCCCTTGGCCTCGCAGATGGTTCTCCAGACTTCGGCGACAAACTCCTCAGGGAAGGCGAACTCGCCCAGAAGGAGATCCAGGCCGCGGGCGAAATCTTCAGAGCCCTGCCGTCCCTTGGCCATTTCCACCATGCTCGAGGCTGAAGGACACAAAAGGGGGGCACCAGAGAAGTTTCCCATCGCCAAATTTACCATTCAGGGTATTAAGAGTCCTGCGTTGCAGCGGGTCAGACTAGATGACCCTGAGGTGTCCCCCCTTCCGACTCTACGATTCTTTTGTTATAGGAATTCTAAAGTCTTATATATACCGTATTTTTCGCCAGACCACAAGACGCACCTAGTTTTTGGAGGAGGAAAACAAGAAAAAAAATATCCTGAATCTCAGAAGCCAGAACAGCAAGAGGGATCGCTGCGCAGCGAAAGCAGCAATCCCTCTTGCTGTTCTGGCTTCTGGGATAGCTGCGCAGCCTGCATTCGCTCCATAAGACGCACACACATTTCCCCTTACTTTTTAGGAGGGGAAAAGTGAGTCTTATAGAGCAAGTATATATATTAATAAAATAAATGTTCATAAATGTACAAGGCAAACACATACATTCACTATATAAACCACGTGTCTGCAATGGTAAAGGTAAAGGGACCCCTGACCGTTAGGTCCAGTCGTGGCTGACTCTGGGATTGCGGCGCTCATCTCGCTTTACTGGCCGAGGGAGCCGGCGTACAGCTTCCGGGTCATGTGGCCAGCATGACTAAGCCGCTTCTGGCGAACCAGAGCAGCGCACGGAAACGCCGTTTACCTTCCCTCCGGAGCGGTACCTATTTATCTACTTGCACTGGTGTGCTTTCGAATTGCTAGGTTGGCAGGAGCAGGGACTGAGCAACGGGAGCTCACCCCGTCATTGCGGGGATTCGAACCGCCGACCTTCTGATGCACGGCAGAATCTGAAGCCAGCTCTCTCCCAGGTCCATTGTTCCACCCAGCTCAGGATCGCGGCTCCCCACCCCTGGGCTGACCAACTCTCTGGGGGTCTCAGAGGGCATTAGACCTGCCCCTCTCCACTTACCCAGTTCCACGTCTCGGATCCCCATGTAACTCTCCAGGAGGTCGTCAACTTTCCCGGCGGCTTCCTCCTCGCGCTCGCTGGGCTGCAAACGGGAGAACGGGGGGAGGTCAGGTTTGTGGCCCCCCAGGCCGTGGCTTGGGATGGGTGGGCAAAGTCCCAGAAGATGTTGGGTATCAAACAAGGGTTGGGAAATACGAAGGGGGCGCTGTGTCGTATGGGGTGGACCTTTTGCAGACCCTACAAGTGTCCCTGTTTTCCAGGGATTTTCAGAAGCCATCCTGGTTTCTGTTTTGATTCTGGAATATCCTGCTTTTGCTATTTTCACTGGAGAAATGTTGGAGGGGATGGAATAGGATGTCCCTATTTTCAGGGGAGAAACGTTGGAGGGGATGGAATAGGACGTCCCTATTTTCAGGGGAGAAACGTTGGAGGGGATGGAATAGGACGTCCCTATTTTCAGAGGAGAAACGTTGGAGGGGATGGAATAGGACGTCCCTATTTTCAGGGGAGAAACGTTGGAGGGGATGGAATAGGACGTCCCTATTTTCACGGGAGAAACGTTGGATGGGATGGAATAGGACGTCCCTATTTTCATGGGAGAAACGTTGGAGGGGATGGAATAGGACGTCCCTATTTTCAGGGGAGAAACGTTGGAGGGGATGGAATAGGACGTCCCTATTTTCATGGGAGAAACGTTGGAGGGGATGGAATAGGACGTCCCTATTTTCAGGGGAGAAATGTCTGGATGGCCGAGTTTGGGGATTCTTGGACTAGATGACTCTTGGGACCCATTCCCAATATACAATTCTGTGATTTTACGGGAGAAAAATCATTGGGAACAGGGTGGGACAGAAGATGAGGCGTGCCTAAGCTCTCTTGCACCCTTGGCAAGGAACTGTTTCGACACCTCCGAAGCCGGGACGAACCACGGCCCCAAACCGGGACCGGGACCGACTCACCGCCTCCTCCAACGTGGCGTTGCCCTTGGATCGTAGCCGCAGTGTCTCCTTCCCGCTGGCCACTTTCCCCTCGCTGGGCACTTTGTTGCTTCGTGTCCTCTGGCTGATCATGTCTAGGAAGCAGAAAAAGGAGGAGCCGTCAGCCCACCATGTGACGCAGCGGCAAAAAAGCAAATCCGATCCTAGGCTGTGTCCCCAGAAGTCTAGCGCTCAGATCAAGGGTAGCGATAGTCCCGCTCTATTCTGCCTTCGTCAGACCACAACCTGGGGTCCCATGCCCGGTTTTGGGTGCCACAATTTAAGAAGGATATTGACAAGTTTTTTCGGGAAACCAAGACGATCAAGGGAAGTTGTAGTCCTTCTCTATTCTGCCTTGGTCAGACCACACCAGGGATACTGTGTCCAGTTCTGGGTGCCACAATTTAAGAAGGATGTGGACAAGCTGGAAGGTGAGCAGAGGAGGGAGACCAAGATGATCAAAGGTCTGGAAACCAAGCCTGATGAGGAACGGTTGAAGGAGCTGGGGATGTTTAGCCTGGAACAGAGGAGAGAGGGGAGTCATCTTCCATTATCTCAAGGGCTGTCCCATGGAAGATGGAGCAAGCTGCTCTGGAGGGTAGGACTCGAACCCGTGGCTTCAAGTGACAAGGAAAAAGAGACTAAACATCAGGAACAGCTGTTTAACAGCGGAATGGACTCCCCGGAAAGGTGATGAACTCTCCGTCAGTTGTTTTGTTACAACCAAGCAGTACATAAGACTAACATTTTCACTCTAAAGTTTTTTGGTCTGCAATGTTGTGCTTGAGCAGTTTCTCATCGCACAATTGCTTAAATGTGTATTTTTTTTCCCCTATCAGAAACTAGCAACTCTGTATATTTATAGAGCTTCTTTCTTTCTTTCTTTCTTTCTTTCTTTCTTTCTTTGTTTGGTAGAGTATTTTCTTTTAAAGGAGGTCTGTTTCTTCCTTCGATAGGCACTGGCTCATTTTTACCATTTATTAAATCTTGTGAAATACACACACACACACACACACACACACACACACACACACACCAAATTTGGGTGAGCTCCACAGCTGAGTAGGAATTTGAACCCTGGGCTGATACCCTAACCTGGCTCTTTTGCAGCAATGGCTTAGACGAATCTTCGTTCAAATACGCTCATATAAATTCGTGCTAAAATTCTGGTGGATTTTCACGAGCGTTCGATTTTTACTTGCAAATTAAAATGTGGAGAACTGAATTTAAGGTTCCGGGGCCGTATTTAGGTTTGATGAGGCCCTCAGCTCCTGAAGGTAATGGGGCCCTTTATATGTCTAGCTGTCCTTTGTAAACAACAAATTGTCGCTGTTTTTTTGTGTTGAATCTATGCTATTTGGTCATTTACGGACCTGATAGGGATCTAAAACCATTTGCACAGGTTGCCTTGCAACCAGTCCATGCAGAATGTAGATAGATAACTAAGCAAAGAGAAGGGGGCATTGCAGGAGTCCAAGAGGGAGATAACCAGAGCATGCACCACTCTGGCCAGACAGTCTGCGGGCTGGGAGGGTCTCATCCTGCATACCAGATGGAAATGGGAGATGGCTGCCCTGGATGCAGAATTGACCTGCACCTCCATGGACAGCTGGCAGTCCAAAATGACCCCCCAAGCTGCGCACCTGGTCCTTCAGGAGCACAGTTGTCCCATTCAGGAGGAAGGAGATTACTACAGCCATTCCCAAGTGCATTAGAGGCTGACGTCTAGGTAAAGGTAAAGGGACCCCTGACCATTAGGTCCAGTCATGGCCGACTCTGGAGTTGCGGCGTTCATCTCGCTTTACTGGCCGAGGGAGCCGGCGTACAGCTTCCGGGTCATGTGGCCAGCAGGACTAAGCCGCTTCTGGCGAACCAGAGCAGTGCACGGAAACGCCGTTTACCTTCCCACCGGAGTGGTACCTATTTATCTACTTGCACTTTGACATGCTTTTGAACTGCTAGGTTGGCAGGAGCAGGGACCGAGTAACGGGAGCTCACCCCGTCGCGGGGATTCGAACTGCCAACCTTCCGATCAGCAAGCCCTAGGCTCTGTGGTTTAACCCACAGCGCCACCCACGTCCCTCTCTACCCCTGTGTAAAATCCACCCCCCGGCTTCTGCCTCTACCCAGCCCCTTTGAGGGGGTCTTCCTCTCCCTCCCAACTCACCAAAGGCCCTTTTCGGCTCCACGAGGCGCAAGGTGAAGGGCTGAGCTTTCGGCATCTCACGCAACATCTTGGCAACTTCGTAGTGGCGGCACCCGACGATGGTTTGGTCGTTGATGGCCTCGATGCTGTCTCCGACGCACACGACCGGGATGCGGTTGATAATGCTGCCTTCTTTGATGCGCTGTAGGTTAAGAGAGAAAAGCAGTGACAAACCTAGACAGCATCTTCAAAAGCAGAGACATCACCTTGCCAACAAAAGTCCGTATAGTTCAAGCTCTGGTTTTCCCAGTAGTGATGTATGGAAGTGAGAGCTGGACCATCCAGAAGGCTGATCGCTGAAGAATGGATGCTTTTGAATTCTGGTGCTGGAGGAGACTCTTGAGAGTCCCATGGACTGCAAGAAGATCAAACCTCTCCATTCTGAAGGAAATCAGCCCTGAGTGCTCACTGGAAGGACAGATCCTGAAGCTGAGGCTCCAAGACTTTGGCCACCTCAGGAGAAGAGAAGACTCCCTGGAAAAGACCCTGATGTTGGGAAAGATGGAGGGCACAAGGAGAAGGGGATGACGGAGGACGAGATGGTGGGACAGTGTTCTCGAAGCTACCAGCATGAGTTGGACCAAACTGCGGGAGGCAGTGGAAGACAGGAGGGCCTGGCGTGCTCTGGTCCAGGGGGGCACGAAGAGGCGGACACAACTAAACAACAACAAGGTTAAGGGAGCGCATGCACCATCAGCTAAATTTCTGGCGTACCGTCCCCTTTAAGAGACGCGGCCTGTCGGACTTCAAAAACACAAATTACCTGAAAATGATGTGTACAGCGGTCCCTTGGTTCTCAAACGCCTTGGTACTCAAATAACTTGGAACCTAAACACTGCAAACCCGGAAGTAAGTGTTCTGGTTTGCAAACTTTTTTCGGAAGCCGAACATGCTCTGTTTTGAGTGTTACGCTTCCAATTTGAGTGTTACGCTTCTGTTTTTGTTATTTATTTTGCATTTTTGTTTTTCTGGCTCTTTTTCTTTTGTTTTTGTGACTGTGTGGAACCCAGTCCAGCTACTGATGGACTGATTGTGCAACTGCAGTACATTGTTTATAGCTTTCATTTTATGGATCAGTGGCCTCGTTAGATAGTAAAATCCATGTTCAATTGCTGTTTTTAAAAGTCTGGAATGGATTAATTCGTTTTTCATTCCTTTCTATAGGAAAACGCTCCTCGGTTTTGGAACGCTTTGGTTTTGGAATGGACGTCCGGAACGGATAAAGTTTGAAAACCAAGGTACCACTGTGAAATGCATAAACGAGTGAAATGAATAAACTTGAAAAGTATAAATAAATACATAAAGTATAAATAAATAAAATGGATTTAATAATAATACAGTAGTACCTCGGGTTACATACGCTTCAGATTACATACGCTTCAGGTTACAGACTCCACTAACCCAGAAATAGTGCTTTAGGTTAAGAATCTAGGGGTTTTTGAATGTTTTATGTAGTTTTGTAGTAGTTTTATGTAGTTTTGTAGTAGTTTTATGTAGTTTTGTGATAGTTTTATGTAGTTTTTATGTAGTTTTTCAATTTCATTGTTCTGCATAGGACAATGACAATAAAGATATCATATCGTATCAAACTTTGCTTCAGGATGAGAACAGAAATCGTGCTCCGGCGGCGCGGCAGCAGCAGGAGGCCCCATTAGCTAAAGTGGTGCTTCAGGTTAAGAACAGTTTCAGGTTAAGAACGGACCTCCAGAACGAATTAAGTATTTAACCCGAGGTACCACTGTACATAAAGTATAAATAAATAAAATGGATTTTATAATAATAATAATAATGAAAATGATGTGTACAGTCATTCAACTTTGCCAGGAGGAAAAGTTGCATTTTCAGCGACTCAGATCTCCCGACATGACGTTCTCTGGCCTCATCCTGACCTTGATGAAGGCACATCCGGCCCCGTTATCTGTGATGGTGAGACCCAGAGCATCCTCCGTCTTCGTCACCTCCACCTCCTTCGTCTCGCCGCGGATGTGGGCAAAGATGAAGTCCTCCAGCCCGATCTGGCCTCCGAGAAGCTTTTGCATGTCCACCTTGTGAGTGTTCAGGGTGCAGAAAAGGATCTGGGGGAGAGAACGGATCCACGCTTAAGGTTTTCTCCCCGGTGGGGTTGGCCAGCAAGGGGTTGGGGTGGGAATGTTGAAAAACAGGCGAGGGAGACAAAAGGGGGTTGCGGAGGGGGAGAGAGAGAGAAGCAAAAAGGTTTCAGGATAAATGTAAAGGTAAAGGGACCCCTGACCGTTAGGTCCAGTCGTGGCCGACTCTGGGGTTGCGGCGCTCATCTCGCTTTACTAGCCGAGGGAGCCGGCATACAGCTTCCGGGTCATGTGGCCAGCATCACTAAACCGCTTCTGGTGAACCAGAGCAGCACGGAAACGCCGTGTACCTTCCCGCCGGAGCGGTACCTATTTATCTACTTGCACTTTGACGTGCTTTCGAACTGCTAGGTGGGCAGGAGCAGGGACCGAGCAACGGGAGCTCATCCCGTTGCGGGGATTCGAACCGCTGACCTTCTGATTGGCAAGTCCTAGGCTCTGTGGTTTAACCCACAGCGCCACCTGCGTCCCTTAGGGCTTAGGGCCTCATCAAACCCGGGTGCAAAATTTGGAGAAGCTCCAAAGAGAGCGGCATTTTGGTTCGTGTAGATTGGTTTCAGGCAGTGTGCAATTTCTGCCTCTAGAACTTTGGGGCTGTCCGGCGAATGTCAGAAGATTCCAGGCCGGTAAAAGAAAGGAGCACATAGTTCATCTAGGGAACTCCTTGCCAAAGGGGACAAGGGACGGCCACCAAATTGGATGGCTTTAAAAGAGGATGGGATGAATGCAGGGAGTGGGAAAGGCTTGCGGTGAAAATAGAGGCCGCGTTCTTGAGGGAAGCCAGCAAGACTTCCGAATATCCATGTGAGAACAGCAGACCCTCCAAATGTCCCTATTTTCCAAGGACAGTCCTGGATTTACGGAAGCTGTCCCGGTTTCTGATTTGATCCTGGAATGTCCCGCTTTTCCTTAGGACGTCCCTATTTTCAGGGGAGAAACGTTGGAGGGGATGGAATAGGACGTCCCTATTTTCAGGGGAGAAACGTTGGAGGGGATGGAATAGGACGTCCCTCTTTTCAGGGGAGAAACGTTGGAGGGGATGGAATAGGACGTTCCTCTTATCACTGGAGAAACGTTGGAGGATGGAATAGGACGCCCTCTTTCAGGGGAGAAACGTTGGAGGATGGAATAGGACGCCCCTCTTTCAGGAGAGAAACGTTGGAGGGGTGGAATAGGACGTCCCTATTTTCAGGGGAGAAACGTTGGAGGATGGAATAGGACGTCCCTATTTTCAGGGGAGAAACGTTGGAGGGGATGGAATAGGACGTCCCTATTTTCAGGGGAGAAATGTTGGAGGGATGGAATAGGACGTCCCTCTTTTCAGGGAGAAATGTTGAGGGGATGGAATAGGACGTCCCTATTTTCAGGGGAGAAACGTTGGAGGGGATGGAATAGGACGTCCCTCTTTTCAGGGGAGAAACGTTGGAGGGGATGGAATAGGACGTCCCTATTTTCACGAGAGAAACGTTGGAGATGATGGAATAGGATACCCCTATTTTCACGGGAGAAACGTTGGAGGGGATGGAACAGGGTGTTCGGTTGGCCGAGCGAGTCTCTTCTTACAAACCGAATTTGTCCTTCTCCACCCCACCCAGAAAGGCCTCACCTCTGTGGGGGAGATGTCGAAGACCTCTGCGATTTTGGCGTACAACTCCTTGACATTGGTGAACCCTTCGATCTTTCCGGTGGGGCTTCCGTGGGCCAGCTGGGTGTGGAAGATGAGTCGGGGTCTCACACGGGGCTGGCGGGGCGCTGGGGTGCCCCCGCTCTGCCCCGGGGTTCCCCGGCCCCCTTCGGAGGAAGAGGACGAGGCCTGGGAGCCCCCGGTTTCCCGGGACACACCGTTCTCCATCGGCGTCCCTCCTTGCCGTTCTGCGTATCCTTCCCGGCTCGGTCGCTTGGCCCTACGCAACATTCGGGGCCCCCACCTGCGTTCCCCCCTCACCCGGACAACGGGAGACGATCGCCCAGGTTGAATTATTGATGCCCCTGGCCTCCAGGTGGAATGGCAGAGACGTAAGGCGAGCCGGGCTTTGGCACAGAGCCCGGAAACCCTATCGCACCCACCTTCCAGCGGAGAATTCAGTTAGGCAAGCTGTGCCCCTAAGCGTGCCACGTCTGAACCGAAGGGGGTCACGGCTGTGGGGTGGAAGGGTGGCAGGGCTCTGGCACCCAAACCCTGCGCCCATCAGCGTACGGTCCTTTGCAAATAATTCCCGGTTCTGTTTATCCCCCGTCCCCAGCTGCTGCCGCTGCTGCGAGCCTCTCTTGGGACAGCAGATGTTTTTTCCTGATATACCTTCGGAGGAACACATGAGACCGGGTTGCTCATTATTTTATTTCGGAAATAATGTCTCTGCCTCACCGGGCAGTGCCGGGTTTACATCTAAGCTAAACATGCTATGGCTTAGGGCCCCGCTCTCTTAGGGCCCCCCGAAAAAATTAAAGCGGAAAAAACAACTGGATATACATTTCCAAAATATAAGATAAAAAACAAATGAAATTAAACCTACATACAGCAACAGTGTTTTGTGTTTCGGTAGGCTCCTGTGGTGTAAGTTATGGGTAGGCAAACTAAGGCCCAGGGGCCGGATCCGGCCCAATCGCCTTCTCAATCCGGCCCGTGGATGGTCCGGGAATCAGCGTGTTTTTACATGAGTAGAATGTGCACTTTTATTTAGAATGCATCTCTGGGTAAATTTGTGGGGCATAGGAATTTGTCCATTTCCCCCCTCAAAAATATAGTCTGTCCCCCAACAAGGTCTGAGGGACAGTGGACCGGCCACCTGCCGAAAAAGTTTGCTGACCCCTGGTAAGTCATGGGCCCGGCCTGCTCGCCTGCTCCCTAAAATATCCCTGGTTTGCTCCTTTCTATATATAGGGTGACTACATTCTGCATGGACTGGTCGCATAGCCGCATGTGCAAATGGCTTGAGATACCTATTAGGTCCATAAATTGCCATATAGCATATATTCAACACAAAAAACAGTGACAGTTTGTTGTTGACAAAGGACAGCTGGACATATAAAGGGCCCCATTGCCTTCAGTAGCTGAGGGCCTCATCAAACCTAAATCCGGCCCTGGCCTTACATGGTTTGCTCACTTTCCACAGAGATCTGTCTGTTCTTCCACGTCCCAGATATCCATGCTTTCAAACAATTCTGAGATTTACAAGGAAGTACTGTTTTTCTAGGGGGAATAAAGAGGTGAAGGAACTCCCCGTGAACGCCTCCTTTGATCGTCATCATCGTCATCATTTTATTTGCATGCACACTTCTTCAGATATTGGTATGCATGCACACAAAAGGTCATACCAATAACTTACTTGTTGTTTAGTCGTTTAGTGGTGTCCGCCTCTTCGTGACCCCCTGGACCAGAGCACGCCAGGCACTCCTGTCTTCCACTGCCTCCCGCAGTTTGGTCAAACTCATGCTGGTCGCTTCGAGAACACTGTCCCACCATCTCGTCCTCCGTTGTCCCCTTCTCCTTGTGCCCTCCATCTTTCCCAACGTCAGGGTCTTTTCCAGGGAGTCTTCTCTCTCAGGAGGTGGCCAAAGTCTTGGAGCCTCAGCTTCAGGATCTGTCCTTCCAGTGAGCACTCAGGGCTGATTTCCTTCAGAATGGAGAGGTTTGATCTTCTTGCAGTCCATGGGATTCTCAAGAGTCTCCTCCAGCACCAAAATTCAAAAGCATCCATTCTTCGGCCATCAGCCTTCTTGATGGTCCAGCTCTCACTTCCATACATCACTACTGGGAAAACCATAGCTTTAACTATACGGACGTTTGTTGGCAAGGTGATGTCTCTGCTTTTTAAGATGGGTGGCACTGTGGGTAAAACCTCAGCGCCTAGGGCTTGCCGATCGCATGGTCGGCGGTTCGAATCCCTGCGACGGGGTGAGCTCCCATCTTTCGGTCCCAGCTCCTGCCCACCTAGCAGTTCGAAAGCACGCTTAAGTGCAAGTAGATAAATAGGTACCACTTTATAGCGGGAAGGTAAACAGCGTTTCCGTGTGCTGCGCTGATGCTGGCTCGCCAGAGCAGCTTCGTCACGCTGGCCACGTGACCCGGAAGTGTCTGCGGACAGCGCTGGCTCCCGGCCTCTTGAGCGAGATGAGTGCGCAACCCTAGAGTCGGACACGACTGGCCCGTACGGGCAGGGGTACCTTTACCTTTAGTTGGTCTCTAAGATGCTACTGGAAGGAATTTTTTTTTATTTTGTTTTGACTACTACCTACCTGTATAATTTTATTTGTAAGCTGCCTTTCCATAGTTGAAGCTACGCTCAAGGCGGCTTCCAACATGACAAGATGTACGTAATTACAAACATAACAAAAGTCGTCAACAATAAATAAAACAAATCAAAAAGTACACAACCAAACGGAAACAGTTTCCATGTAAATCATAAGATCTAAAACTAAAGATGCAACAATAATATCAGTACAGTGGTACCTCAGGTTAAGTACTTAATTCATTCCAGAGGTCCGTTCTTAACCTGAAACTGTTCTTAACCTGAACCACTTTAGCTAATGGGGCCTCCTGCTGCCTCTGCACAATTTCTGTTCTCATCCTGAAGCAAAGTTCTTAACCCGAGGTACTATTTCTGGGTTAGTGGAGTCTGTAACCAGAAGCGTATGTAACCTGAAGCGTATGTAACCCGAGGTACCACTGTAACAGCAACGGCTCTCTCAGCGCCCCGTAAACAATACTCCAGCCCAAGAATCTGTTCAACAGCCTCGGCTTTTGTAGCTGGAGTCAGTCCGCACTCCACTCTCCCAGGCCAGATGGGAAAAGGGCCAGCCAGGCAGGGTGCAGGTCTTCCAGTGCTCACAGCCAAGATAAAGGTAAAGGTAAAGGGACCCCTGACCATTAGGTCCAGTCGTGGCCGACTCTGGGGTTGCGGCGCTCATTTCACTTTATTGGCTGAGGGAGCTGGCATACAGCTTCCAGGTCATGTGGCCAGCAGGACTAAGCCGCTTCTGGCGAACCAGAGCAGCGCACGGAAAGGCCATTTACCTTCCCGCCGGAGCGGTACCTATTTATCTACTTGCACTTTGCCGTGCTTTCGAACTGCTAGGTTGGCAGGAGCAGGGACTGAGCAACGGGAGCTCACCCCGTCATTGTGGGGATTGGAACCGCCGACCTTCTGATCGGCAAGCCCTAGGCTCTGTGGTTTAACCCACAGCTCCACCCGCGTCCCCACAGCGAAGATAGTCTCATTTAAAACAACACAGATAAAAATTAAAAACAATTGTTCTCACAGATAAAAATTAAAAACAGCTGTTCTTTTACAATGGCAATGGTGACCACCTGAGAGGTGCCGGAACTGAGATCCGACGAGTTCTGGCCAGGTGAAAAAAAGCGGTACTATGGACTAGAAACTTGGCTTTTATGAAAGTGAAAAGGGCAGGATTCTCTGGAGTCAAAACTACAGGCAAGCACCTTCTGTGCGTCCGAGGAAAGTAGATGAGTAAAAGAGCAAATTAAATTAATTTGGGATATGCAGAATAAATAAAAATAAATAAATTTAACGAACTGCAGAAAGAGGGGTTTAAATGTAAAATCAATGAAATGTGCGAAACTGAAAATCACAAATAAAAGAATGAATAAATGAGCAGATTAAGTTAATTTGGATATGCAGGAGATCTTAAAAACAAATTTAAGGAACCGCAGAAAGAGGGGGAAGGAAGTCGAGTTCTGAAATGTCGAAATGAATGTAGCGAAATGTATAAACTTGAAAAGTATAAATAAATAAAATGGATTTGTTCTTAAAAAATGAAAAGGATGTGTACAGTTATTCAACTTAGCAGGGAGTATATATTTGCAAGAGCATATATTGAAAGAAGATGAATAAAAGAGAAAATTAAGTTAATTTGGAATATGCAGAAAATATTAAAAAAATAAATTTAAGGAATCGCAGAAAGAGGGGGAAGGAAGTCAAGTTCTGAAATGTCGAAATGAATGTAGCTAAATGTATAAACTTGAAAAGTATAAATAAATAAAATGGATTTGTTTTTTAAAAATGAAAAGGATGTGTACACTTATTCAACTTTGCAGGAGGCATGTATTTACAAGAGCATATATTGAAAGAAGATGAATAAAAAAGAAAAATTAAGTTAATTTGGAATATGTAGAAAATATTTTTAAAAATTAATGAATCGCAGAAAAGGGGGTTAAAATGATGGTAAAGTCATTGAAATGTATAAAACTCAAAATCATTAAAATAATAAATTATTTTAATGAAAATAAAGGAATTAAAAGGAAATGGACGCGCACAGAACGTTCGCATCTCCATTGATACAATTCGACTCAGAACACGCTCTCTGATTGGTTCCGCCCTCGGCCAATCCGCGTCGCCTCCGAGCCGTGATGCGTTCCATTGCGCGCGGCCGCCGAGGGAAGGAAAAGCGATGGCGGGAGGGGCGGGGCGGGGGAAAGCGATGGAACGCGAGCGGGCCAATCAGGAGCGCGGCGGCGGCGAGCCCCGTCCAATCCGCGCCCGGGGAGAGGGCGGTCATTTGCATAAGGCCCCAGCTGCGAAAGGGGCGGCGCTTCTGCGGATGAAAGACTGGGGAAACTTTTGCAAAGGTTTCTATTTAATATTTTCATTTTTATCGGTGTTATTAATCCGGGCTGCTGGGTCGGGAGGGGGCAGATCTGGGGATCTGCAAGAAGGGGAGATCTAGGATTTTTTTATTTTTTAAATTTATAAAAAATAATCCCATTTTTTTGTGTGTTTTTTAAGGGAGGGGGAGGCTGGGAAGGAATAATATTGCAAAATGCGGGGGCTCTATTTACTTTTTCCAAGATTAATTAATGCTCATGCAATGGTGCCTGCCTGTCTCTCTGCCCCCCAACCCGACCCTCGGCCCTATAGCTAATTTTTTTTGTTTTTTTTAAGGGAGGGGGGAGCCTGGGAAGGAAACATATTGCAAAAGGCAATATTTACTTTTTCCAAGTGGATTAATGCGAATGCAATGGTGCCTGCCTGTCTCTCTGCCCCCCAACCCGACCCTCGGCCCTATAGCTAATTTTTCTTGTTTTTTTTAAGGGAGGGGGGAGCCTGGGAAGGGAAAATATTGCAGAAAGGGGGTGGGGGCTCTATTTACTTTTTCCAAGTAGATTAATGCGAATGCAATGGTGTCTGCCTGTCTCTCTGCCCCTCTCTCTCTTTGCCCCCTCCCCTATTGCAATTCCCCAATTCCCCTGGCTGGGGTGGGGGTGGGGTGGGGTCTCTGGTCCCGGTTTGCATTTAATTTTAAGGACGTTTCCAGGGAGATCTTCCGGATCGTGATCTCCCTCCATCTCTGTAGGCGTCCCTTCTGTACCCTCCCAACATTTACCCGACGAAAATAGCGACTTTCCCATTTTTATTATTATTGTTGTTGTTGATGAATAGGACGTCCCTATTTTCGTTGGAGAAGTGTTACTTATCTCCTTGACTGGGGGGTGGTGGGTCACATAAACTACACGCCCTCCAACTTTTCTACCATGAAAATAGGGATGTCCTTTTCTATTGTTCTTCTTGTTGTTTTGTGATTTAAATAGCCTGCCCATCTGATCTGGTGTTGTCCCAGCTACTCTGGGCGGCTTCCAACATATATAAATAAAAACTTCCCTATCCAGGGCTGCCTTCAGATGTCTTCTAAAGGTTGCGTAGTTACTTACCTGCTTGGATCGGGGGTCAGATGACTCCAGACCCTCCAACGTTTCTCCCGTGAAAATAGGGACGTCCTATTCCATCCCCTCCAATGTTTCTTCCCTGAAAATAAAGGTAAAGGGACCCCTGACCATTAGGTCCAGTCGTGACCGACTCTGGGCTTGCGGTGCTCATCTCGCTTTACTGGCCGAGGGAGCCGGCGTACAGCTTCCGGGTCGTGTGGCCAGCAGGACTAAGCCGCTTCTGGCAAACCAGAGCAGCGCACGGAAACGCCGTTTACCTTCCCGCCGGAGGGGTACCTATTTATCTACTTGCACTTTAATGTGCTTTCGAGCTGCTAGGTTGGCAGGAGCTGGGACCGAGCAACGGGAGCTCACCCCATCGCAGGGATTCGAACTGCCGACCTTCTGATCGGCAAGCCCTAGGCTCTGTGGTTTAACCCACAGTGCCACCCGCATCCCTGAAAATAGGGACGTCCTATTCCATCCCCTCCAACGTTTCTCCCCTGAAAATAGGGAGGTCCTATTCCATCATCTCCAACGTTTCTCCCCTGAAAATAGGGACGTCCTATTCCATCCCCTCCAACATTTCTCTGATGAAAATAGGGACGTCCTATTCCATCATCTCCAACGTTTCTCCCATGAAAATAGGGACGTCCTATTCCATCCCCTCCAACATTTCTCTCTTGAAAATAGGGACGTCCTCTTCCATCCCCTCCAACGTTTCTCCCGTGAAAATAGGGACGTCCTATTCCATCCCCTCCAAGGTTTCTCCCCTGAAAATAGGGACGTCCCTATTCCACCTCCAACATTTCTGCCCTTCAAATAGGGACGTCCTATTCCATCCCCTCCAACGTTTCTCCCCTGAAAATAGGGACGTCCTATTCCATCATCTCCAACGTTTCTCCCATGAAAATAGGGACGTCCTATTCCATCCCCTCCAACATTTCTCTCTTGAAAATAGGGACGTCCTATTCCATCCCCTCCAACGTTTCTCCCCTGAAAATAGGGACGTCCTATTCCATCCCCTCCAACGTTTCTCCCCTGAAAATAGGGACGTCCTATTCCATCCCCTCCAAGGTTTCTCTCTTGAAAATAGACGTCCTATTCCATCCCCTCCAACGTTTCTCCCCTGAAAATAGGGACGTCCTATTCCATCATCTCCAACGTTTCTCCCCTGAAAATAGGGACGTCCTATTCCATCCCCTCCAACATTTCTCTCTTGAAAATAGGGACGTCCTATTCCATCATCTCCAACGTTTCTCCCATGAAAATAGGGACGTCCTATTCCATCCCCTCCAACATTTCTCTCTTGAAAATAGGGACGTCCTCTTCCATCCCCTCCAACGTTTCTCCCGTGAAAATAGGGACGTCCTATTCCACCTCCTCCAACGTTTCTCCCCTGAAAATAGGGACGTCCTATTCCATCCCCTCCAACGTTTCTCCCCTGAAAATAGGGACGTCCTATTCCATCCCCTCCAACGTTTCTCCCCTGAAAATAGGGGCGTCCTATTCCATCCCCTCCAACGTTTCTCCCCTGAAAACGGGGACGTCCTAAGGAAAAGCGGGACATTCCTGGGTCAAATCAGAAACCTGGACATTTTCTGTAAATTCAGGACTGTCCCTGGACAATAGGGACACTTGTAGGGTCTGGCCCTGCCTCCAGCGTTGAATCATAGGCTTGTAAATTCAGAAGGGACCTCTGAGGGACTTCTAGCCTGACCCAACCCATGCCTTCACTTGCGAGGTTTTTACCCTGTGGGAAACGCGAGATGGACCAGCGCAGCGATACGGTTTCCTGGCAAAGAGTTTGTGCATTGTGGACTATATGGAACTTGCCAAACTGACTGGGAGACTCCCAGACCAGAGGGAAGAGACGGTGGAAGAAGATTGGAAGAAGTTTAAGGAATATTTGGAAAAAAAAAATGTTAATATTTAAACCTTAGAATAGCTTTGGAAGTGGATATAGGCTGTAGGGTTAGAAGTAGAAGATAGCGTATTTTAAAAGAGTATTATTTGCAAGTGATAAAATGTGGAGTTATTTTAAGTGTGGTTAAAAAAAAGATGGTTAGAAATTATGATATGTGTAAACTGCTAAAGATGAAGTAAAATGAAAATCAGATAAGTGGCACTTGGGTAAGCCCACTTAATGTTTAGAAAAATAAGGATAGGACAAGAATTTTGTTTGTATTGTTTGTCTTTTCTGTTTGTGTTTTTTATTTAATTTGGTGGGGGGGAAAAGTTCGAGTGTTGAAACAGAAAGGGGGTCCCCGTGCGAAACACGCCCGCTCTCACTTTCCTCCTGTGCTTTTCGCATTAAGTCCTCCATCGTCTCTTTCAGGCTCCCTGTTAAGAGCGGTCGCCCGAGTTTCTCACCGCCAACGAACGGAAAATGTCGCACGGCGCCAGGCAGCAAGCGACTGGGCTTCTGTGAGTATTTACTGTATTTTGTGTTGGTGCGTTTTCAAGTTGCCAAATCCCAAACTATCAATATTAAAGGTCTTCCGGGGTTTGGGATGGCAGAGGTGAGAAAGAAAACCTTTTACTTTTCAAATCTGGGTTTGAAAGCGCCAGGTGGGAAGGCGGCGCCTTCGTTTGTTCAGCTATCAAAGAGATCATTTTTATTACCGTATTTTTTGCTCTAGAAGACGCACCAGACCACGAGACGCACCTAGTTTTTGGAGGAGGAAAACAAGAAAAAAAATATTCTGAATCTCAGAAGCCAGAACAGCAAGAGGGATCGCTGCGCAGCGAAAGCAGCAATCCCTCTTGCTGTTCTGGCTTCTGGGATAGCTGCGCAGCCTGCATTCGCTCCATAAGACGCACACACATTTCCCCTTATTTTTTAGGAGGGAAAAAGTGAGTCTTGTAGAGCAAAAAATATGGTAATTCTTTTGGGTTGACAAATCAACAGAGTCTTTTAGGAAAATAAACAAACAGAAGCTTCCCTTTATGGATGGTAAATTTGCAGTTCCGTGTAACCTTTTCCGCGTGCGTGGGGTTTTTTTGGTTTCAGGAACGCCGCGGGGAAAACCCAGCCGGGGAGTTTCCTAGTGTCAATCAAGCAAGAGAAAAGCGAAGTCCCTCGTCTGATCGCAGAGAAGCCCCATGGCGAAGAAGAGGTGAGACTCTTGGTGCGTCTATATGTCGGGGCTATGAGATTTTTCCCCACCCCAGACCTGCTTGGGATCTTGGCATCCGGGGGCTACCGATTTTTTGTCCCCAGAGACCCTGCCTCGCTGCCGTTGTTGCCAACTTTTGCTGCACCTCTGCGCGACCGGGTCGTGATATTGATGTGAAGGAACAGGGGGTGGTTGTGGTGGAGTCTCGCCTTAAACAAACAAAAAAATTCATTATAATTTTTCAAGCACTTAAAGGTAAAGGTAAAGTGACCCCTGACTGTTAAGTCCAGTTGCGGATGACTCTGGGGTTGCGGTGCTCTTCTCGCTTTACTGGCTGAGGGAGCCGGCGTACAGCTTCCGGGTCATGTGGCCGGCAGGACTAAGCCGCTTCTGGCGAACCAGAGCAGCGCACGGAAACACCGTTTACCTTCCTGCCGGAGCCGTACCTATTTATCTACTTGCACTTTGACGTGCTTTCGAACTGCTAGGTTGGCAGGAGCAGGGACCGAGCAACGGGAGCTCACTCCGTCACGGGGATTCGAACCTCCGACCTTCTGATCGGCAAGTCCTAGGCTCTGTGGTTTAACCCACAGCGCCACCCGCATCCCCTAAGAATCTATGTACTGTACTATGAATAAGACAGTATTGTAGATGATAAAAATCAAAATCATTATGTTTTCCTTACCTGCACCGATGATAGTCATTGTTTGGAGGGGGGGCTTTCATCCGTTTCTGCAGCCACACAATCCATCAGTAACTGAACTGGGTTCCAAACAATCACAAAAACAAATGATCCAAAAAAAGCCTCAAAAACAAAAATGCAAAATAAATAGCAAAAACCAAAGCGCCAAACTTAATCCGTTCCGGAAGTCCGTTTGACTTGCGAAATGTTCGGAAACCAAGGTTTGGTGCAGGCGCCCCGGAAACAATAGCCGACAGCCGCATCGGACGTCCGGCTTCCAAAAAACATTTGCAAACCAGAACGCTTCCGTGTTTTTGGCGTTTGGGAACCAAGGTGTTTGAGAACCAAGGTATCACTGTATTCTTTCAACTTAAAAGGTTCCAGTCCTCTTTAGTTGGGACCTTGCTTACTTTCCATTTTGGGAGCTAACAAAACACTTTGGGGCCACATAAATAGATTCCAACTAAACTTTCTGGCAGCAAGTCCGCCTTTGCTGGAGGTTTTCCAACAGAGGTCGGATCCCCACCTGTCAAGAATTATTTTGCAGCTTTGCAGGGCAGCTTTTAAGGTTTCCCCTTCCAAGCAACGCTCTGAGCCCATGAGGACTAGAAACCTGTGTTTGCTTTCTAATGCAAGCCGGAACCCCCAGCTTGATATAAGCTCCAGCCATGGGTGTTCAGCTACCTCCTGTTTTTCTCCTGAGTAGCCCGTGAAGAAGAGGGGATGGCCGAAAGGCAAGAAGAGGAAGAAGATTCTCCCGAACGGGCCAAAGGCCCCGGTGACAGGATACGTCCGCTTCCTGAACGAACGGCGGGAGCTGATTCGTATGCAACACCCGGATCTGCCGTTCCCGGAGATCACAAAGATGTTGGGCGCAGAATGGAGCAAACTCCAGCCGGCAGATAAACAGGTGAGATTGGCTGAATTTTCATGGAGGAGAGTCAACAATGGGTTTTAGCCACGATGGCTCTGATCTGCCTTCTCGGACGGAGGCGGCGATGCCTGTAATAATAATAATAACAATAATAATAATAATTTATTCTTTATACCCCGCCCATCTGGCTGGGTTTCCCCAGCCACTCTGGGCGGCTTCCAACAAAACACTAAAATACAATAACCTATTAAACATTAAAAGCTTCCCTAAACAGGGCTGCCTTCAGATGTCTTCTAAAAGTCAGGTAGTTGTTTATTTCCTTTAAATCTGGTGGGAGGGCGTTCCACAGGGCAGGTGCCACCACCAAGAAGGCCCTCTGCCTGGTTCCCTGTAACCTCGCTTTTCGCAGGGAGGGAACCGCCAGAAGGACCTCGGAGCTGGACCTCAGTGTCCGGGCAGAACGATAGGGGTGGAGATGATCCTTTAGGGATACTGGGCCGTTTAGGGCTTTCAAGGTCAGCACCAACACTTTGAATTGTGCTCGGAAACGTCCTGGGAACCAATGCAGATCTCTCAGGACCGGTGTTATATGATCCCGGCGGCTGCTTCCAGTCACCAGTCTAGCTGTGGCATTCTGGATTAATTGCAGTTTTCGAGTCACCTTCAAAGGTAGCCCCACGTAGAGCGCATGGCAGTAGTCCAAGCGGGAAATAACCAGAGCATGCACCACTCTGGCCAGACAGTCTGCGGGCAGGGAGGGTTTCATCCTGCGCACCAGATGGAGCTGCCCTGGACACAGAATTCACCTGCGCCTCCATGGACAGCTGTGGGTCCAAAATGACTCCCAGGCTGCGCACTGGTCCTTCGGGGGCACAGTGACCCCATTCAGGACCAGGGAGTCCCCCACACCCGCCTGCCCCCTGTCCCCCAAAAACAGTCCTTCTGTCTTGTCAGGATTCAACCTCAACCTGTTAAACAGGCAGCCCTATTTAGGGGAGTTTTTAATGTTTGATGTTTTGTTGTGTTTTTAATATTCTGTTGGGAGCCGCCCAGAGTGGCTTGAGAGGCCTGTCCAGATGGGCAGGGTATGAGGTTGTTGTTGTTAATTAACCACCAAATTCTGGGCACTGCAAGAGGGAAGAGGGCTGGGCTTAGCTGGGAGGGGGTTTGGTTGGGTGTACAGTGGTAAAGGGACCCCTGACCATTAGGTCCAGTCGTGGCCGACTCTGGGGTTGCGGCGCTCATCTCGCTTTACTGGCCGAGGGAGCCGGCGTACAGCTTCCGGGTCATGTGGCCAGCAGGACTAAGCCGCTTCTGGCGAACCAGAGCAGCGCACGGAAACGCCGTTTACCTTCCCGCTGGAGCGGTACCTATTGATCTACTTGCACTTTGACGTGCTTTTGAACTGCTAGGTGGGCAGGAGCAGGGACCGAGCAACGGGAGATCACCCCGTCATTGCGGGGATTCAAACCGCCGACCTTCTGATCGGCAAGTCCTAGGCTCTGTGGTTTAACCCACAGCGCCACCCGTGTCCTGTGTACAGTGGTACCTCGGGTTAAATACTTAATTAAATACTTAATTCGTTCCGGAGGTCTGTTCTTAACCTGAAACTGTTAAAGATGGTAAAGATAATACAGTAATAATAATCTTATTACAGTGGTACCTTGGGTTAAGTACTTAATTCGTTCCAGAGGTCCGTTCTTAACCTGAAACTGTTCTTAACCTGAAGCACCACTTTAGCTAATGGGGCCTCCTGCTGCCGCCATGCGATTTCTGTTCTCATCCTGAAGCAAAGTTATTAACCCAAGGTACAATTTCTGGTTTAGCGGAGTCTGTAACCTGAAGCGTCTGTAACCCGAGGTACCACTGTAAAGGGCAGAGGGGTTTGCCAGCTGGAAATAAGGCCAGAGGGGGCTTGAGGGTCGCAGAGGGGGGCTGACCCTTATTCCTCCGTCGTTCCAGCGTTACCTGGATGAAGCTGAGCGCGAGAAGCAGCAGTACATGAAGGAACTGAGGGAATATCAGCAGTCCGAAGCCTACAAGATGTGTGCCGAAAAGATGCAGGAGAAAAAGATCAAGAAAGGTGAGACGGTCGCTAGTAGGTTTGCCAGGAGTTTTGTAAGGCGAATAAAATTTGTCTAGATAAAAAATGGGAAAGCGGAATAATAAGAACGAGATGCGTCCAGATTAATAAATTGTAAAGCAACACAATGAGAAGAGTTGGGAGTCAAACATTTACGGTGTGTTCCACCGTGCGTATGTAGGTAGGTAATGTATCTACTGTACATATTGTATTGTATTAAGTTTATGTAAATGGATGTATGATAAAGATTATTTAAAAGAAAGAAAGAAACAGAAGGGGTGGCCTCCTTCACTGGGAGTTATCGACCTTATTAAACTTTTGGGGAAGAGGCATTGTAAGAGCGACAGATTTCCTGATGTGTTCGCTCGTTTTCCTTTTCCCTCCTCCTCCCTCCTTTCCTTTTGTGTCGTGTCTTTTAGCTAGGAAGCACAGCACAAATTGCTAATTTAGCAGCCTGGGGTTGGGAAAGAGGGTGAGACTCAGGTTTGGGGGATCTTGGCTAGAATCCTGCCTATGCTCCCCAAATCATTCTGTGTGCTCAGTTGAGTCACCATCTCCCCACTCTCTGTTGACATTATTATTGCTTTTTTAAAAATACCTTTCAGAGGATGCCGGTTCTGGAGTCGTGAACACGCTGCTGAACGGGTACAAGGTAAATCAGGCTATCAGACTTTGAGGAAATGCCTCAGGCCTTCTTTTTAAGAATTAAATGTTGTTGTTTCTGTTAAAAACCAATTTTCTTGCATGCAAGCTTTGGAGATTAGCAGAGTTCTTCATCAGCCCATGCCCCCAGACCTACCTTTTAAGAATTTAATTTTGTTGCTGTTGTTATTAAAAGCACATTTTCTTGCATGCAAGCTTTGTAGATTTGCAGAGTTCTTCATCAGCCCATTCCCCCTGATCCTACCTTTTAAGAATTTAATTTTGTTGTTGTTGTTATTAAAAACAAAAATTTTTGTATGCAAGCTTTGGAGAATTGTCGAGTTCTTCCTCAGCCCATCCCTCCCTCCAGAGCTTCCTTTTAAGAATTTAACTTTGTTGTTGTTGTTAAAAGCGCATTTTCTTGTATGCAAGCTTTGGAGATTTGCAGAGTTCTTCATCAGTCCGGAGAAGCATTCTGAAGCACTCCAAAGCTTGCCCACTGCCCACATTTTGTTTGGCCAAAATGAGGATTTCCCTAATTCAGATTTTGGGATTGTTCTTTACGGGCTATCACTGCTGCTACAAGTTTGCTTTTACGTTTTTTAAAATCAATCCCATCAGTTCATCATAAGGCCTTTACAGTGCACAGCCAGGTTATAAAACAACGCTTTATTCTGGGGAAAAACATGACCTATAAAAGTTTACAGCACGCAATAAGGTTTTGAAATTAAAATTAGGAGGCTGGAACATAGCCGGAACGGAGCTTCTTAGCTGATAGAGCAAATTTGGCTGCCGGATGTGAAAATATTTTATCAGACAGAAGTTCCAACGGTCACTTCCTGGGGGGAACGGCCCAAGAAACAGCTAAAAATAGATGATTTAAAAAACAACAATTCTCTGGGCATTTTATATAAAGCAAGTAACACATGATATCTTCAAGGTTATGGGGCCTAGATTGGTTGATAGTGATTTGGGGGTACCAAATAGAATAACGGGCACCTTTTTCCATTTATTTAAGAGTTGAATGTTTTACCCCCTATTTATCCATCTTAAGGGTTGGAGTCCAGGAATGTGGAGGTTTTGTTTTCCGAAGGTGTTTTTCACGGGAAAAGGTCCTGAAACGCACATTTCTGCACTGCGGGGATTTAGAAAACGATTTCCTAAGACTTTTTCCACCTGACTTCTGCCCCCAAAAAACATGCACAACTCCCAATTCATCCCCAAATTTTCCCTGGGAAAATAATGCAAAGTTTTCTATTTGTTCTCTTGTTTCTGTTCACCTGTTTCCTTCTCAATCAGCTGGGAGAGGGAGGCAGCGACGGATTCTCAACATTTGACGTCCCCATATTTACGGAGGAGTTCTTGGACCAGAATAAAGGTAATTTAAGGAACCGAGGGGCCGTCGTGGGCTTACAAAGTTCCTGGGTACCAGTGCCGGATTTACGTATAAGCTAAACAAGCTATAGCGTAGGGCCCCACTCTCTTGGGGGCCCCAAAAAAATTTAAAGGAAAAAAACAACTGGATGTACATTTCCAAAATATAAGATAAAAAAGAAATGAAATAAAACCTGCGTACAGCAACAGTGTTTTGTGTTGTGCAGGCTCCTGTGATGTAAGTCATGGGCCCTGCCTGCTCCCTAAAATATTACTGTTTTGCTCCTTTCTATATATAGGGTAGGGACGCGGGTGGCGCTGTGGGTTAAACCACAGAGCCTAGGGCTTGCCGATCAGAAGGTCAGCGGTTCCAATCCCCGCAATGACGGGGTGAGCTCCCATTGCTCGGTCCCTGCTCCTGCCAACCTAGCAGTTCGAAAGCACGTCAAAGTGCAAGTAGATAAATAGGTACCGCTCCTGTGGGAAGGTAAATGGCGTTTCCGTGCGCTGCTCTGGTTCGCCAGAAGCGGCTTAGTCCTGCTGGCCACATGACCCGGAAGCTGTACGCCGGCTCCCTCGGCCAGTAAAGCGAGATGAGCGCCGCAACCCCAGAGTCGGCCACGACTGGACCTAGTGGTCAGGGGGTCCCTTTACCCTTTACTTGTTGATATACTTCTTGTATTTCAGTTCAACAATTGCTTTGATAAAAGACCTATTTTGTGATGTGCAAATGGCTTTAGATACCTACTAGGTCCATAAACGACCATATAGCATATATTCAACACAAAAAGCAGCGACAATTTGTTGCTGGCAAAGAACAGCTGGACATATAAAGGGCCCCACTACCTTCAGGAGCTGAGGGCCTCGCCAAACCTAAATCCGGCCCTGATCCTGACATGCACAGGTGCCAACTCCCCTGGGTGCCCGTACACCCGCAAAATTCCCCATGCAGGGCACCCACAAATTTCTTGTTCCAATACTCTCCCTGTTATGTACTGAAGTTCTCACCCTGGGCCAGCAGGGGGATACTGTTGATAGTTATGCAAATAAGGGATCGAAAGTGACATTCAGTGATTGGATAGTTTTAGAAAATTGTTACAGTTACGTTGTACTGGAGCTCTATATAAGCAGGCAGACTGAACCCTTCAGTTCAGTTCTGTCCTGGCCTGTGAATAAACGAGAGCTGTTTGAAGAATCGCTGTGTCGTCTGATATGTTCACCCACAACTTAACACTCCCTGTGTTGTCCGTTTGTTTCTCCAGCCCGGGAAGCGGAGCTCCGGCGCCTGCGCAAGGTGAACACGGAGTTTGAGGAGCAGAACTCCATCTTGCAGAAACACACAGAGAACATGAGTTGCGCCAAAGAGCGCCTGGAGCAGGAACTGGCTTTGGAAGAGCGCCAGACCATCGCCTTGCAGAAGCAGCTGCAGACAGTGCGCCAAGCCTTGACCGCCAGCTTTGCCAGCCTGCCAATCCCAGGTGGGCGGCCCCCACCGGGCGGGACGTGGCTAAATGAATGAATGAATGAATCTTTATTTGCGTCAGCCGGCGGTCACAGCAGTAACACAACAATACGCTATACAAAGAATAGAAATAAAAAGTCAATTATGTACAATTGGGACGCGGGTGGCGCTGTGGGTTAAACCGCAGAGCCTAGGACTTGCCGATCAGAAAGTCGGCGGTTCGAATCCCCGCAATGACGGGGTGAGCTCCCGTTGCTCGGTCCCTGCTCCTGCCAACCTAGCAGTTCGAAAGCACGTCAAAGCCAGTAAAGCGAGATGAGCACCGCAACCCCAGAGTCGTCCGCGACTGGACCTCATCTCGCTTTATTGGCCGAGGGAGCTGGCGTACAGCTTCTGGGTCATGTAGCCAGCATGACTAAACCGTTTCTGGAGAACCAGAGCAGCGCACGGAAATGCCGTTTACCTTCCCGCCGGAGCGGTACCTATTTATCTACTTGCACTTTGACGTGCTTTCGAACTGCTAGGTGGGCAGGAGCAGGGACTGAGCAACGGGAGCTCACCCAGTCGTGGGGATTCAAACCACTGACCTTTTGATCAGATATATATCCACTCTGGGATATATATAAATAATAATAGTGATATGGGCAGATGGTCAGTTTGCAGAGTGCGATGGAGGTCAGCGGATATCTGATCGGTTTTTCTCCTCCAGGCACCGGGGAGACCCCTACATTGAGCACCCTCGATTTCTACATGGCGAAGCTCCACAGCGCCATCGAGAGCAATCCGGTGCAGAACGAGAGGCTTGTGGTGCGGGTGAAGGAGATTCTGTCTCGCATCGCCAGGTGAGCCATGCGCAGGACGCAGCCGTCACGAGCGGAGGGTTGGGAAGGGGGCTGCTAACTAATCCAGAATGTGGCAGCCAGACTGGGGACTGGGAGCGACCGCCGAGACCACATAACCCTGGTCCTGAAAGACCTACATTCGCTCCCAGGACGTTTCCAAGCACAATTCAAAGTGTTGGTGCTGACCTTGAAAGCCCTAAATGGCCCAGTATACATGAAGGAGCGTCTCCACCCCCATCCTCCAGCCCGGACACTAAGGTCCAGCTCCAAGGGCCTTCTGGCGGTTCCCTCATTGCGAGAAGTGAGGTTACAGGGAACCAGGCAGAGGGCCTTCTTGGTGGTGGCACCCTCCCTTCAGATGTCAAGGAAATAAAAAACTATCTGACTTTCAGAAGACATCTGAAGGTAGCCCTGTTTAGGGAAGTTTTAAATGTTTGGTGTTTTATTGTGTTTTTAATATTTTGTTGGGAGCCGCCCAGAGTGGCTGGGGAAACCCAGCCAGATGGGTGGGGTAAAAATAATAAATTATGATGCTGATATTGCTTATCCCCCTGTCTCTTCTAGTGAACACTTGTGAGCAGCTACAGACCTCCCAGCGCAACTCGAAAACTTCGCACAAGTCTCCCTGCTTGCAGCTGTCTCCACCTTCCAGACCTGTCCTCTCTTAACTGTGCCTCTTCTGTGGTCCTGAGATGTTTCAGGATCAATCTTCTCCCAATCTCCTTATTCCTCCTCAAAGCTGTCCGTCAGGGTGGTTAGATATTTTAGAACATTAGGGAAAAAATCATGTTTTGCGCAAAGGTTCCTTGAGCTCCGGGATTCTACGGTTCTTCTCGGGGAAGGACGAGGACGACGGGAATTCCAATTTTTGCCGCTGGTGTTTTGGCGTTTTATTGCGGCGAGAACGCCGGTGGCGCGCACATTGCGGCACAAAATCCGTAGGGTGTTCCTGCTTCCGAACGCCCTAATTGACTATAATTGATGGATCCGCGTTTGCCCCTCATTTTTCTGCGCCTGCTGTTTCTTAAACAAGAGAAGAGCACCACTTTCGAATCGGCTAGATTTCTCAAGGATATAACGGAGCTGTTTTCATGGCACCGCCAGCCAGCCCAGAGTCAGGACTTCCGATTTGCGGCACAGTCGGGGACGAATGAATAAATTTACGATAATTGCTGACTAAGGTTTGATGGAAACAGGGCACACGCTGCGTCAGAAATGCAGATTAAATTTTTGCAGGGGCCCCCCGAAGAAGTGTTGCGTTTTAAATTGGGGAGACCCAGAGATTAAACCTTGCATTTCTCCGTGCAAAGTCCCTGAGCTACACGGATCCTGTTCCTTTCTAGGTAAAGGGACTATGCAATGTGGGTTGAGATACAGGTCAGAATTGCTGGAGTCAGTTAGTGGCTTTCCAGGACTTTTAGGGTGGAAAAGACCCGCCTGAAAATCATGCTTTTACAGGGCAGTCACAGGTTAGGCTACTTGGGAGTAAGACCCACTGAGATTAATGGGACTTCACTCTCAGGTTTGTCTATATAGCAGGATCCAGCCAGATATCTTTATCTGCACTATTCTGGTCTCCCGACCACTGCTGAGCTATATCACTGCCTCGACCTGTTTATTCTTAGGGTTAATTTCCTGGAATTTTCACATCCGAGGAAAAAAAAAATTGTCCACAATTTGGTAGGGTAAATAAATAAATATTTTTTTCAAAGCAAAATTAGATCCCAATTTCATTGATCTAAGAATCCAGGCTTTTATCCCTTTTTATAGACAGTTGCAATCAAAAATTATTCAACTCCTCCCCCATTTCAAATCAGGTTTGTTATCAAAATTCACAGATTCACAGGATCAAATCAGAGACGCGTTTTCAGCTGAATTTTGGGGGAGCTGTTTTGAAGCAGCCGCCATGTCAAACTATTTCCTCCTTGCAATCAGCTGAAAGTTTGTGGATTTCGATAATAAACTTGATTTGCAATGGGTTTTTGTTTTTGGAATAATTTCGATTGCAACCGTAGATAAAATTTTCTTGCTCTCCTCATTTTCAGTGGAGCAGGAAATTAAAGAGAGGTCCCCTGGATCGTGTGTGAGGGGGCTTCAAAGCCCTTTCCCTGCTTCCCAAGAGGAGGAAGGAGAATAATAATTTGTAATTATGCGTAATTTTGCTTAATTTGCAGAATGAAATCAGCTGGCAAGACTTGGCCGTTTTTTCGCCTAAACCATGGTTTACTGTGATCAAGCAGACAGTGTGCACCATAGTTCCTTGTTCAGGAGAAATGAGCTATAACCCTGGTTTCGCGTTGCATGCAAACCCTGGTTTGTGGTTTATGTAACTCTAAACTACATTGATCAGCCCAAGGAATTACCAATTATGATTTATTTGGATCGAAACAAAACGATGACTCCTGCTTCGGCCGTAACGCTAAGCCCAGGAATCGTGGTTTCTTTCCTCTGTGCCCTAACCACGGTTTACGTTGCAGAATGCAGAACGGTCCAGTTTGTCAATGGAGGATCTCAAGTTTCCTTGGCACAAAATTTGGATTAATCCGCTTTAGTTTTAGAACGCTCTAGATCCTCTTTCTCACGAGAAAGAGAGGAGAAATCCTGTCTTGTCTGTGTCTCTTGCCTTGTGACGAATTAGCTCTGACGCTCATATATAGACTTTCTGAATCTTGTATTTTCGTAGCGTTGCACGTTGAACGACGGCAGCAGAAAAAAGCTATTTTAGCAGCGAGGGAAGTGGGTATGTTGCTTTTGTGGGTGTAGGGATTTTTTTTTTAATGAAATAAAAAAACTTTTAAAAACACAGACCTCCCTAAGTAATTGTCTGATTTCAAGTCTGGGATGAAACTTGCAGGAGGAACTTTGCATTTGAGTCAAAAACACACAATACAAATTTCATTTCAATAATGCTTGCTTTTTACCATAAGAATTGCACTTAATTTTTATTGCGGGGTCGCAGCTTGCATCGACGCGGAAACCACTCAACAGTTACCTTAAAACGACTCACGTTGATGCATTTAAACTACATATCGAAAGAGGTGGTTTTGCACGGATAATATTCCCTAACGTGGTTTATAGACCCCACTCTCTCCCAAAAAAGGCCATTTTGAATGTATAACTGAAAATCAAATTTTGATTAAGAAAAATAAAAGATCGCATTGGCAATTCGCAGTGTGATCCTTTACCAACAAAAGCCTATCAATGCTTTGTCCTTGCAAATAATTGAGCTCTTACCATAACTGAATAATGATATAAAGTGTTTTGAAGGATAAATGATGACTCACATCCCACCTCTGGAAAAAAAGGTGAATCTACAAACAGGTTAAAGGGGTTTTCTTCCATGTTCTTGCTGTGGCCTTCTAAATGGGAGTTTACTTATTATTTTTAAAATAATGCCTTCCTTTTGCTCTGGAAAGAGCTGTTGTTGCAAGGACAGATTGTGCATACTGCATATATATGTAATTTTTTGAAAATAGGGGAACAATTTATCTCCCGCTCTTCAGCAAGCAATCTTTCCAAAAAATAAAATAAAATAAAATAACAGTATAGTTGTTTTATGAAATGGCTGTGGTTGTTGCATGTTCTTCTGAAATTGCTTTGAGATGCTTTATTATAGGAAGCGATTCCTAAACGGAATCTTTCAAACAACATTATAGAGGTTCCTTTGAGCATGTGCAGAGTGCCCTGACGGATATAATGGCTGTAATCTGCACCATTTGGCCATCTTTCGACGATTCCTGATGTCCCGGCCTTCCTTATTTAGCTTGCCGATTACGAAAGGCAGAATAAATACGCAGCTTAAGCAAATCTCCCATTTTTTTTTTGCAAGAAGGGCGTTGTTTTTAAAGCGTCGCCATTTTTCGCTCTGGAAACAAGACCCAGCTTGCAAAGCAAGGAGGACTTTGCCTGTGCATTCCTAACCAAGCCTACTCAGAGCAGCTAGTCCTTTTGCATTCAGTTATGTAAAAAAAACCCCTTTTTTTGGCTGGAAAAACATCTATAAAAACAGCCCTATGTGTCCAAAATGCTCTAAAACGAATTAAATGAACTCCTTGGGAAGCTTCATCCTACATTCCCTGCATCCATTTTGTGTGGTGCACATTTTTAAATATTTTATTAAGTTTATTCGTTTTGTTTTGTTTTCCCCACGCGAGGCAGGCTCGGCGGGGCGCAGCTAGGCCGCGGGTTGCCAGGGGCAACGGCGACGCGCTCTTCTTCCGTCATCTCCGCGCCCCGCCCCTCCTCCCCTCCGCAGCGCTTGGCTCTTTCCTTTTTGTATTGATTCGAACGGGGCCAATGGGAGAGCGCGGGGGGCGGGGAGGAAAGTGACGCGGCGCTCCGGTTTCCCGTGATGCCCCGCGCGTCGGGCTCTCAGAGAGAGCTAGAGAGGGGCGGTGGGCGGGGCCGCGCGTCAGAAGTGGGCGGGGCCGAGGGCAGAAGAGAGCAAGACCGACGCCATATTGGAAGGCTCTGGATGAAGGCAGGTGAGAACCTGGGGGGGGGGGCAGGTTCAATTCATGGCCTCCCAGCCCCCCCTTTCCCCCTCCCCCCCACTTTCAGGGGGGGGTTGGGAAGAGGAAACCCCCCCATAATTTTCAGCAACAGAAAGGGAAGGGGGGAGGGAGAGAAAAGAGCCTATTTTTAATGCAATTGGTTATGGGGGGTGCGCCCCCCCCGTGGAGGGAACCTTGTTTTTAAATGGGGGGGTGGTCTATGGGGTGAGAAGCTTCAGAGGGAAAAGAGTGGGGGGGTGAATTACAAGCCAGCCCCCCCTCTCCTTCAATGCTTTCCTGTAATTGGGGGGGTGCTTTAAATCAGTGGGGAGGGGTGTTTTTTGGGGGGGTCTATGGGGTGAGAAGCTTCAGAGGGAAGAGAGTGGGGGGGTGAATTACAAGCCAGCCCCCCCTCTCCTTCAATGCTTTCCTGTAATTGGGGGGGTGCTTTAAATCAGTGGGGAGGGGTGTCTTTTGGGGGGGTCTATGGGGTGAGAAGCTTCAGAGGGAAGAGGCTGGGGGGTGAATTACAAGGCAGCCCCCCTCCCTCTATGGGGTGAGAAGCTTCAGGGGGGGTGAATTACAAGCCAGCCCCCCCTCTCCTTCAATGCTTTCCTGTAATGGGGGGTGCTTTAAATCAGTGGGAAGGGGTGTTATTTTGGGGGGCTTGTCTATGGGGTGAGAAGCTTCAGAGGGAAGAGGCTGGGGGGTTTGGGGTGTGCGTTAATACGGGGGGGGGTGAATTACAAGGCAGCCCCCCTCCCTCAATACCCACTTTCCAGTACTTGGGGGGGGGGCTTTAAATCACTGGGGAGGGGAGTTATTTTTTGGGCGGTGCAGAGATGGGGGTGGGAATTTACATTTATTTTCTCCACCTCATTACCAGCTGCAGGGTTTGGGGTGTGCTTTAATATGGAAGGTGGTGAATTACAAGGCAGCCCCCTCTCAATACTTTCCTGTAATTGGGGGGGGGGAGCTTTAAATCAGTGGGGAGGGTGTTATGTTTTTTGGGGGGTGCAGAGGTGGGGGTGGGAATTTCCATTTATTCTATCCACCTCTTTTCCAGCTGCAGGGTTTGGGGGTGTGATTTAATACGGGGGGTTCTATGTTATTGGGGGTGTCCCCTGGTGTGTGTGTGTTTTTTGGGGGGTTGCTAATTGGGTGAGGAGAAGGTTGATTGGAGTGGGGGGGGGTTGGAAGATGTCCGTGTGTCCGCCCCCCCCATTTCTCATAGCAGGGTTGCAGAGGGTGAGCCTGTGCTTTATTTGGGGTGCCCGGGGGGGCTGTAATAAATTGGGGAGGCTGAACCTGTGCTTTAATTTGGGGGGGGGACTGTAATAAATTTTATTATTATTAATAATAATATAGAGGTGTCTTCCGGAGAGTGATGGAGGAACTAATTAGGTGAGTGGATGAGAAGGAAATGGGGGGGGGGTCGATTGAAGGGCCCCTCCCTGCCTTTTCTGTCATGGGAAGGGTGGGGTGGAGTTGAGTGGGTGAGGAGAAGGTCTGGGTATTTTTTTGGGGAGGGGGGCAGATTTGAAGACCACTCAAATTTCCCAAAGCAGGGATTGAGAGCCTGTGATTGAATGCAATGGGAGAAGAGGTCTGTTATTGCCGGGTGGGGGGGGGGGACGACTTCCTGGAGAGATGGGGCAGCAAGGGGGGGGGCAATGGAGTCCTCCCCCCTCCCCTCCCTTTCATGTGACAGATAAGCTATTAATGGGGGGGGGGGTGAGCCTTGCTTTAAAGCAATTGAGAGGAGTACTATTGAGGTATCTTTTGTACGGGGGGGGGGAGGCAGGCTAGAGTTGGGGGGCGCACACTTGGGTGAATGGATGACGAAGGGGGGGCCAGGAAAACATTGCACCCCTTTCATATGGGGCTTCGTTTAAGGAGAGTGGGGGTTCTGTTATCGCGGTCGCACTTTGGTGGGAGACTGGACCTAATTGGGAATTCAGTGGGTTGGTTTTTTTGGGGGGGGGGTGCCCACTCCCCAATTTTACCCGCTATTTCTCTCCGTTAAAAAAGGAACTCGTGTCTCCTTTTACCTGTTTCCCATTTTCCTCCCCTGCAACTGGGGGGGCCGCGCGAAGTCTGTGCTTTAAGGTAACAAAATACTAAGGCTTAGTATTTTTGGGGGGGCTGTCTGCTGGAGGGAGGCAGGTGGGTCACCCAGTTGCATTAGCAAAGTGGGGGGGGGTGTTCCTTTAACATAAAAGTGGTAGATCTGTGGGAGGGGGAGACTTTATTGCAGCAGGCAGGTGTTTCATTTTGGGGGTGACTTAATAGGGAAGTTGGAGGTTCCCTTCCTTCCTATTAATTACCCCCCATCTATAGACCAGCGAACCTCCATTTCTTTCGTGGCGAGGGTCTGATCTGTGTGTGTCGTCCCCCCCCGCAAAAAGGGGAATTGTGGGGTTCTGTGCTTTAATGCAATGGGAGGTTATGTACAACGGATAGCAGCTGGAGGAGGGCCCAGTTAGGAAGTCGAGAGTGGGGGGCTGCTGATGCTGCCCCCTTGCCATTTATTTCCCTGCCCATAGTCCATTTAAAGCGCCCCCCCGGTGCCATGCATTGGGTTCAAAGTGTCCCTGCTACAGAGGATAAAGGTAAAGGGACCCCTGACCGTTAGGTCCAGTCGCGGACGACTCTGGGGTTGTGGCGCTCATCTCGCTTTACTGGCCGAGGGAGCCGGCGTACATCTTCCGGGTCATGTGACCAGCAGGACTAAGCCGCTTCTGGCGAACCAGAGCAGCGCACGGAAACGCCGTTTACCTTCCCGCCGGAGCGGTACCTATTTATCTACTTGCACTTTGACGTGCTTTCGAACTGCTAGGTTGGCAGGAGCAGGGACTGAGCAATGGGAGCTCACCCCGTCCATCACGGGGATTCGAACCGCTGACCTTCTGATCGGCAAGCCCTAGGCTCTGTGGTTTAACCCACAGTGTCACCCGCGTCCCTAGCTACAGAGGATAGGATCCCGTAATTCCCCAGCCCCAGCCCAGGAAAATGCCCTCAGGGTATGGCTTTAGTGGAGGCTGAGACAAGCCACCACCTCCTCTATTTTCTGACTTGTACGATTTATTCTTTCTTTAGACCAGGCATGGCCAACAGGTAGATCACTGGATGTATGGGGTCAATCGCTGGCTTCCCCAAGAAAGCTCAACGTTTTAGCCCAGTACCCCCAAAAACGGGGCTTTCCTCCTCCCTAAAAAAAGCTCAACACCTTAGACCCGAACCCTCCAAAAGAGCGTAGATCACTGCCAGTTTTTAACTCTGTGAGTAAATCGCAATCTCTTGGGAGTTGGCCACCTTTAGAAGAATCTTTATTTCCAGTAACAAGGTGCCGAAATGTGAGGCTGCTTGTTTTTATTGCATTAACACCCCATTTTTTGAGTTGCTCAAGGTCCCCCCCCCTTATTTAACCCGAACAGCTACCCTCTCTGTAGACAGACAGGTAAGGACTGGCCCAAGTTCACCTCCTGAGGTTCATAGCCAAGTGGGGAATTTGAACCCGGGCCTCCCCAGATCCTAGGCCTACTCTAACCCTCTCCAATTAGGGCTGGGACGATACCCCTGAACCCGAAAATTATAGAGAGCTTCAGTGTAGAAACTAGTTAGCTCGGTGGACCAGTGGTCTTGACTGTCTAAAGCTGCTTTCTGTTTAAATCGGCCCCTTTGTTCAGGACATTGTGGACTAGAAACTTGCTTCATCTCTAGGGGAATGACCGTAGTTTCTTAGGCGGAGCTCCCATTTATTCCCATTCCATTCCGACTTGTGGGTTTGGGGTCTTCCGTAAGGAGTGCTTCAATTTTTTATTGCTGGAGTCGTTTCATTTTTTCTGCTGCAACGAGCCCTCCTCGCTTTCGAAAATGTGTGTTGCTGGGGAAGAGCTGTAACTCGGAATTAGAGCTTTGCCCTCAAAAAGGTCCCCATTTTCCATCACTGGCCTCTCCAGTAGAGACTCCTGCCTGCTTGGACTACTGCCATGTGCTCTCCGTGGGGCTACCTTTGAAGGTGACCCAGAAACTGCAACTAATCCAGAATGCGACAGCTAGACAGGGGACTGGGAATGGCCACCAAGAACACTGGTCCTGAAAGACCTACATTGTCTCCCAGTCTGTTTCCGAGCACAATTCAAAGGGTTGGTGCTGACCTTGAAAGCTCTAAATGGCCCAGTATCCATGAAGGAGCGTTTCCACCCCCATCGTCCAGGCCGGACACCAGGGTCCATCTCCGAGGGCCTTCTGGCGGTTCCCTCCCTGCGAGAAGCGTGGTTGCAGGGAACCAGGCAGAGGGCCTTCTCGGTGGTGGCACCTGCCCTATGCAACGCCCCCCTTGACATTTCCTTGACATCTGAATGGAGGGCGTTCCACGGGGCGGGCGCCACCACCAAAAAGGCCCTCCGCCTGGTTCCCTGTAATCTCACTTCCCTTTCAACTCTACAGTTCTATGATAAAAGTATTATTAGGTTCTGGTTAGTTTCTGGGCTCAGTTCAAGGTGCTGGTTTTGATCTGTGAAGTGCCAGAATCTGAGAACTGCCTCTGCCTACTTAACTGGGCCTTCTCGGTGGTGGCGCCCGCCCTGTGCAACGCCCTCCCGTCAGATGTCAAGGAAATAAACAACTATCTGACTTTTGGAAGGCATCTGAAGGCAGCCCTGTTTAGGGACGTTTTAAGTGTTTGGTGTTTTTAATATTCTGTCGGGAGCCGCCCAGAGTGGCTGGGGAAACCCAGCCGGATGGGTGGGGTAAAAATAATAAATTATGATGATGAAACAGGAGAGCCGCTACCAGTCAGTGTACTGAGCTAGAGCATATTTAAGAGCATGGTGCTGCTGGTGCCACGGTTGCAGGTTCAATTCCCAAGTGCGAAAGCTGCATATTCCTGCATTGCAGAGGGTTGGACTGGATGATCCTCAGGGTTCCCTTCCGACTCTACAATCCTAGGTCTCCCTTGGGAGGTTATGGACTCTCCTTCTTTGGAGGTTTTTAAGCAGAGGTTGGATGGCCATCTGTCATGGATGCTGTAGCTGAATTTCCTGCATTGCAAGGGGGTTGGACTGGATGACCATTGGGGGTCCCAAACTGCTGCCTTAATGTGCTGCTTCCTTTTTCCTCTCCCCTCCCCAGCACACCCTGGACCCCCTGCTCTCCATGAACATCAGGGCGTGAGGCTGTAATAAGGCACTTGGCTCCCCTTCTCTCCTTCTCCCCGCGCCCCTTGACCGCTTCCACCATGGATCAAGACTACGAAAGACGCCTTCTCCGCCAAATCAACATCCAGAATGAAAACATGATGCCTTGCGTAAGACTTGCAAAACACTACTAAACCGTGTTGTTGTTCTTTAGTCGTTTAGTTGTGTCCGCCTCTTCGTGACCCCCTGGACCAGAGCACGCCAGGCCCTCCTGTCTTCCACTGCCTCCCGCAGTTGGGTCAAACTCATGCTGGTAGCTTCGAGAACACTGTCCCACCATCTCGTCCTCTGTCATCCCCTTGCGCCCTCCATCTTTCCCAACATCAGGGTCTTTTCCAGGGAGTCTTCTCTTCTCACGAAGTGGCCAAAGTCTTGGAGCCTCAGCTTCAGGATCTGTCCTTCCAGTGAGCACTCAGGGCTGATTTCCTTAACAATGGATCAGTTTGATCTTCTTGCAGTCCATGGGACTCTCAAGAGTCTCCTCCAGCACCAGAATTCAAAATACTAAACCGTAGGTTACGTAAAATGCAATCCTGGTAACAGCACACACAACCTAACAGGCTGTTTTTGGGCTATGTAACTTCTGTTTCAAACACAATTCAACATATAATATCTCGCAGTGTGTAATTCCATAGACCAACACATCATATGTAAAGAGAACATATCCTGAGAAATCAAAGTCCAATGGATGGTCAGGTGATAAAGTCCATTCAGTTCCTAAATTGGCATAATGGCAATAACCACAATATGGTATGCTTATCTTATCTTATCTTACCTTACCTTAACTTACCTTATGGTGTTGCCCTAGAATAGGCATAAGCAAACTCGGCCCTCCAGATGTTTTTGGACTACAATTCCCATCATCCCTGACCACTGGTCCTGTTAGCTAGGGATGATGGGAGTTGTAGTCCCAAAACATCTGGAGGGCCGAGTTTGCCTATGCCTGCCCTAGAAGTCTTCCTAGAAAAACTCTGAACCAGTTTTTGCCTAGCTGGAAATGTGTCTCTGAGCTCTGATAACGCAACTTTTCCACTGTGCAGAAAAGCAATCATTTCCTTAATAACAATTTAAACTATTTATTTAACTGAAACAATAACGTTATAGCATATGTATCCATGTTTGTTAACGAATGTGGTTAAACAATAGAAAACAACTGAGTCTCAGCACACAGACAAAATCTTATTTCCTGATGAATAGCCTTTGGACTGTAATGTAACTTAAACAGAAAATCTTTAGAAAGATTTTTCCTTCCAAAAAAATCAATTTAAAACAAAAAAATCATTGATTTTTATCCACCCTGGGCGCCACAGAATGGAGGGAAAGAGGAAGAACCTACTAGTTTCTCAGAGGGCAGGTGTTGGGGTGTATGGGTTAGAAAAGCAGTAAATCTAAAAGCTTAAAGAAACTCCGTTCCAAGTTGAAATGACAACGGTCTCTCTTCTGATGACGGGGGCGTGTTTCTCTGTTGCCTGATTTCTCGGCTTGGCACCCACAAATTGCAGGTTGCCGACATGAGGAGGACCCTGACGCCTTCGAATTCCCCCGTGTCGTCTCCCAGCAAGCACGGTGACAGGTTCATCCCATCCCGAGCCGGGGCAAATTGGAGCATCAGTTTCCACAGGATAAACGTGAGCGTCACAAGGAAGCGCCCTTGGCTGTTTCTTTTTTTTACAGTGGTACATTGGTTCTCAAACTTAATCCGTTCCGGATACTATTGTATTTATTTTATAGTACGGTACATTGATTGATTAGGGACACGGGTGGTGCTGTGGGTTTGCTGTACTATTGCAGACACGTGATTTATATACTTAACATATGTGTTTGCCTTGTACATTTATGAACATTTATTATACATATATGGGACGCGGGAGGCACTGTGGGTTAAACCACAGAGCCTAGGGCTTGCCGATCAGAAGGTCGGCGGTTCGAATCCCCGCAATGACGGGGTGAGCTCCCGTTGCTCAGTCCCTGCTCCTGCCAACCTAGCAGTTTGAAAGCACGTCAAAGTGCAAGTAGATAAATAGGTACCGCTCTGGCAGGAAGGTAAATGCCGTTTCCGTGCGCTGCTCTGGTTCGCCAGAAGAGGCTTAGTCATGCTGGCCACATGACCCGGAAGCTGTACGCCGGCTCCCTCGGCCAGTAAAGCGAGATGAGCGCCGCAACCCCAGAAAAATGATTTGCACCATCAAACAAGCCCTCATTTTCTACGCTTCGCAGGAAAACGAAAAGTCCCCGAGTCAAAACAGAAAAGCAAAGGACGCGACTTCAGACAATGGCAAAGGTAGACCTGAACACCTGCCTCTTAAAAATTATTATTATTATTATTTATTATTATGCGTCTGTGTTCTGTGTTTGGATAGACTGCAAGGTTTATTTCCGTTCAGCGAAAAGAGGAGGGTCCCTCAAAGCAAAATAACTGCCGTGTTGTTTTGGTTTAGCTTTCACACGCTGCAGTCCATGTCATTGCAGGAGGTTATGCCATAATAGATTTCTTAGTCTCTATAAAGAGTCCTTGTTGGTTCACCACCAGCCCACCCTGCAAAAAAAATCTCTTTATTCTGCCTCTCCTCATTGACTCGGTACTCCTGTTTGCTGCGGTTGTAACTATTTTCCACCTTCCCCTTTCGACTCTCTGGCACCCTATCTGCATAAAATTCCAAAATATAGATGCGCTTTTACCCTCGCAAGATTGAATGTCCTGCCCTCGGCTGGACTCGATTCCAACAGATCCGACACGAAAACCTCTTCTTTCCCTGCGGAGACGGCCGTCCCGAATCGGTGGCGCATGCCCTTCTGGCTTGCTCTCTTTATAAAGACTTGAGGAATGAGATTATCACCCCTCTTTGATTGTTGGACTACAATGGAACTTAAATAGAAAATTTTCTGAAAGATTTTTCCTCCAGAAGCATTTTATTTTAAAAATCCGATTGAAATAAAAAAAAAATCTGATTTGAATTTTTAAAAAATCCGATTTAAATAAAGAAAATCTGAATATTATTATTATTATTATTAAAAAAATCATTGATTTTTATTCACCCTCATTCTTTGCATCAGTAAATGCTTTTGTCGTGTAAACATATACCCTTGTGTCCAGATTATGGTGCTTTAAAAAGACTCTTTAAGCAAGGAAAAGGCAGGGGCCATGTGTTTGTGTTTGTGTTTTATTTTAAACGAGGCTTGACTTTGAAGTCCCCCGCTTCTCTCAACCCCGCAGATGGCCTTGCGTACTCAGCCTTGCTAAAGAACGAGCTCTTGGGGGCCGGGATCGAGAAGGTGCAAGACCCCCAGACGGAAGACAGGAGGCTGCAGCCCTCCACGCCGGAAAAAAAGAGCCTTTTCACGGTATTTGTTTTCTTCATTTTGTCCGCTGACTCTCAAGGGGCTCACCCTTCGGTCGAAAACACTCCCAGCCGGTCCAGTGTACAGTTCCGGACATGACGTGTAGCCTTATTGGAGTTCACCAATTGGGTCTGCGTTGCTCCGGGACAGGAGGAAGGAAGTCAAATGACACCGAGGTTGATTGCAAGAAAGAGTTTATTCTGCTCTCCGGATAGCAGAAGGCACTTGCGTGATCAGGTCCACAGCAAGTCCAAAGAAATGACAAGTTTCACGCAGTATATATATCCTCCAGGCACCCTCTCCCTCCTTCCCATATAAATCCATCCACGTCAGCCTATGTACGCAGGTTGACATCACATATGGTGACTGGGGGCGGCCACCGAGACCACATAACACCGGTCCCGAAAGACCTACATTGGCTCCCAGTACGTTTCCGAGCACAATTCAAAGTGTTGGTGTTGACCTTCAAAGCCCTAAACGGCCCAGTAGACCTGAAGGAGCGTCTCCACCCCCATCGTTCTGCCCGGACGCTGGAGTCCAGCGCCGAGGGCCTTCTGGCGGTTCCCTCATTGCGAGAAGCAAAGCTACAGGGAACCAGGTAGAGGGCCTTCTCGGTGGTGGTGCCCGCCCTGTGGAACGCCCTCCCATCAGATGTCAAAGCGATAACTACCTGACATTCAGAAGACATCTTAAGGCAGCCCTGTTCAGGGAAGTTTTTAATGTGTGATATTTTAGTGTATTTTTAGTTTCTGTGGAAGCTGCCCAGAGTGGCTGGGGAAACCCAGCCAGATGGGCGGGGTACAAATAATAAGTTATTATTTTTATTATTATTGCTCTGGTATTCTTAACCATAAAAGGGTATTCCTTCCTGTACTTCTGACCATAAAAGGATCTTCTTCTTCCTACTCTTTATCTTGGAGGAAGAGGTGTCATCTCCGAGAACACGCTTTTGGCCTTGTTCCCGGACTTAGGTCTGTGCGTCTTTTGTGGTCAGCACATAAGATAAGGCACGGACGTGTCTTCTCTGTTCTGCTGGTGCAGTCAGGGTCATCCCTGCGGTCACAAACTGATAAAGGAGAGGGCTTTGAGCACAGCCGGGTTTTTGTTTATACATTGTCTCAGAGCTCAAGTTAATGGATTTTAGCTAAGGAAAAATAGGGATTTTGGTGCAGTTTCAAACTGCCTGCACAGTCAGTTTTGGGTTTGGGGAACCCATTCCTTCAGACCCAAAAGGAAAGAGGGATGAGGAGGGTAGAGGAAAAAACGCCCGTTTGGAGACCAGTGCTTTAGGCAGGAGCAGGGAGCCTGTGTCTCTGGTGTATGATGGGAGTTGATGCCCCATAACATCTGGGGGGCGGCACCGGTTAGCCACACACCCCATTCATTTGTTCTTATTTTTTCAAACTTGCATGCTGCCTTGTATTTCAAGGAATCTGCTAAGCGGCTTACGTACCTCAGCACAAAATCACTGTGCCTCATGATTGCAGCAGGGGTTTGAACCAGATTAACTTTTGGTTCCCTTTCAACTCTACAGTTCTATGATAAAAGTATTATTAGGTTCTGGTTGGTTTCTGGGCTCCGTTCAAGGCGCTGGTTTTGATCTGTGAAGTGCCAGAATCTGAGAACTGCCTCTCCCTACTTAACTGGGCCTTCTTGGTGGTGGCTCCCGCCCTGTGGAACGCGCTCCCATCAGGTGTCAAGGAAATAACCTGGCTTTTAGAAGACATCTGAAGGCAGCCCTGTTTAGGGAAGCTTTTAATGTTTGGTGTTTTATCGTGCTTTTAATATTCTGTTGGGAGCCGCCCGGAGTGGCTGGGGAAACCCAGCAAGATGGGCGAGGTATTATTATTATTATTAATAATAATAATAATAATAATAATAATAATAATAATTTATGCCCTGCCCATCTGGCTGGGTTTCCCCAGCCACTCTGGGTGGATTCCAGCAAAAGATTAAAAATACATTAAAACATCAGTCATTAAAAACTTCCCTAAACAGGGCTGCCTTCGGATGTCTTCTAAATGTCAGATAGTTGCTTATTTCCTTGACATCTGATGGGAGGGCGTTCCACATGGCAGGCGCTACCACCGAGAAGGCCCTCTGCCTGGTTCCCTGTAACCTCACTTCCATCAGGGAGGGAACCGCCAGAAGGCCCTCGGGAGATGGACCCCGGTGTCCGGGCTGAACAATGGGGGTGGAGACGCTCCTTCAGGTCTACTGGGCTGTTTAGGGCTTTCAAGGTCAGCGCCAACACCTTGAATTGTGCTCGGAAACGTGCTGGTAGCCTATGCAGGTCTTCAAGACCGGTGTTGTTATTATTATGGAACCCTTTGCTCATCACTCGAGGCCCTTCGTGGGCTGTTTGATGGAGGTGCATGGGGTATCGACAGGGCCTTCTCAGTGGTGGCTCCCTGCTTGCAGAAAGCCATCCCTGGGGAGGCACGCTATGGTTGCCATCATATCTTCATAGGCTCCAGGCCCCCAAAAAAGAAAATAAATTCCTTTTCCGCCAGGGTTTTGCAATTTAATAATCTGTGGTTCCCTTCTGTGGGTGCGGTGCCTTAGCGCTGCCTGTTTAATAATATGGATTTTTTATTCCTTTAGAACAGTTTGAGCTTTATGTTGGGTTTAATGTGTGTGATGCCTTCTCGCCCATCCAGTACTCCCTCACCACGAAACGCTCCAGCCCGGACGACGGCAATGAGGTCTCCCCCTATTCGCTCTCGCCCGTCAGCAACAAAAGGTTTGGGCTCCCTTTTTAGCGAAGTGTTTTAGGAAACACAGCAATACAGGGTGAAGGTTTTCCTGCGGAGGTGGTGCTATAAGAAAAATACTGCTCCTTTTCCCTTAATGGGCTACCCAAGAGCCCGTATAGAGTCCTTAAGTAGGTTCCCTTTCTAATTGAGGTTTCCCAGGAGCTATCCTGGGCCATATAAGCCCCTTTTTGGCCAGGAATTTGGGAAGACACCCTGCTGTGGCTTAGCGGTATATATAGCCAAACCACCGATTCTGCAGTCGCCCGGTTTAAAAGAGAAAATGACCTTGCTTCGTGGAAAGTTGCAGAAGGTGGAGACGCTCTGTTGTAACTTACGTATGTGTTTTCCTTGTACGTTTATGAACGTTTATTTTATATATATATATATAAGACCTTAGAATTCCTGTAACAAGGGGCTCCTCAGACAGGTTGCCCCCTCTCAGTTACTCTATGGGGCAGGTAGAACTAAGGTCCAGGGTCCTTTTGCGACTCGACCACCGAGATCACCGGCAGGAGCGTCACTGGTCCCTCCCTGAATTGTTGGAGCTCCTTTGACAGCAACAAGAAACCGAGCTTTTAGTGTCACCGGCCCAGTCCTGTGGAACCCTCTGCCACCAGAGATTTGGCGTGCGTCTTCTGCGCCAACTTTTTAAAACGCTCGCTGGAAACTTTTCTGTGCACGCAGTTGGAGCGCATCTTTCCACAATGCTTAACTGAGGCCTCTTTTTTAACTTTGTACAGCGGTACCCGCGATTGTTTTTCTCCTTCCCGCGAGGTACAGCAGAAAAGCTGTCCGAATATAAACAGTCAACTTATTAAAGCTCACAATCATTTCATAATTGTCTGTCTTATGTATTTCTAACAGTGTAACCAAATCAATTTGCTATAACTGTAAAAAAACAACAACTTATCATTCCAAAAATGAAACCTTCCTCTGGTTGTAAATGTTAAGATGATAACAGCAAGAATGAGTCTTTCTGTTTAAAAATAAAATAAAATTCAATCAAGTCTTACTGACTAGTGATTTAAATCGCGGTTCGAATCGTGATTTAGATCTATTTCATTTAGATTGTGATTTAGATCGTTTTGATTTAGATCATGATTTAGATTTGATTTAGACTTCGGTCGAGTTGATTGTGATTTAGATCGATTTTATTTAAATCAAATCCACCCTGCTTGGAGGGAATAATGATGCTTCCTCCCTCTTCACACATCCTTCTTCTTCCTCTTCCCCAATTTCCCACGCGGCCGAAACAGCCAAAAGCTGCTACGGTCTCCTCGGAAGCCCACGAGGAAAATCTCCAAGATCCCATTCAAAGTATTGGATGCCCCGGAACTTCAGGACGACTTCTACCTAAACCTGGTCGACTGGTCGTCCCTTAACGTTCTCAGCGTCGGCCTCGGAACCTGTGTTTACCTGTGGAGTGCCTGTACCAGCCAGGTAAAGTCCTTATTTTCTTACGTTACGAACAGGGCCTAATAGGTATCTCAAGCCACTTGTACATCACAAAATATGTATTTTATCAAAGTAATTGTTGAACTGAAATACAGTTATATAAATGCAAGGTACCGCTGTATACAGAAATGAGCAAAGCAGTGATATTTTAGGGAGCAGGCGGGGGCCCATGACTTACATCCTAGGAGCCGACACAACACAAAACACTGTTGCTGTATGTAAGTTTTATTTTACAGTGGTACCTCGGGTTACATATGCTTCAGGTTACATACGCTTCAGGTTACAGACTCCGCTAACTCAGAAATAGTACCTCGGGTTAAGAACTTTGCTTCAGGATGAGAACAGAAATCAGGCTCTGGCGGCACAGAAGCAGCAGGAGGCCCTATTAGCTAAAGTGGTGCTTCAGGTTAAGAGCAGTTTCAGGTTAAGAACGGACCTCCGGAACGAATTAAGTACTTAACCCGAGGTGCCACTGTATTTGTTTCTTATCTTATATTTTGGAAATATACATCAAGTTTTTTTTCCCCTTTAAATTTTTTTGGGGGGGCCAAGACAGTGGGGCCCTAAGCTGGAGCTTGTTTAGCCTATACAGTGGTACCTCGGGTTACATACGCTTCAGGTTACAGACTCTGCTAACCCAGAAATAGTATCTTGGGTTAAGAACTTTGCTTCAGGATGAGAACAGAAATTGGGCGGCGGCAGCAGCGGGAGGCCCCATTAGCTAAAGTAGTGCTTCAGGTTAAGAACAGTTTCAGGTTAAGAACGGACCTCCAGAACGAATTAAGTATGTAACCAGAGGTACCACTGTACATTAATCCGGCACTGATTACAAAACAAACAAACAAACAAACAGCTACTGGAAGAAAAACTCGCCCTTTCCGGAGACATGATGTTGGATAACATTCACCTTTGCCTTCCTCTCGCCTCTTTTGAATTGACCTCTTAATGGGAGGCCCGACAAAATGTTCCAGCCTTTGGCTGAGTCTGCCTGTTGCTTCTTTGCGTGAGTCCCTGCTCCAGAGGCTTTGTAGAGGGAGCGTGTCCCCAAATAGCGACTCCTGCCTACAAATTGAGGGTTCTTCCCGATAGCAGATGAACTGTGTGCGGCATATATATATACACGGTGGAATCTCGGTCGTCGAACGTAATCCGTTCCGGAAGACCTTTCGACTTTCAAAACATCCGACAACCGAGGCGCAATGGGTGGCCAGAAGATTCCAGTGGGGAATTCGAGAAATGCGCCTTGGGAGTCGTTCGACTTCTGAGGCACGTTCGAAAACAGAAGCAATTCTGGGTTTTCAGCATTCGAAAATGGAAACATTCAGCTTCTGAGACGCTCGAAAACTGAGTTTCCACTGTATATATATTTTAATCAAGCCTGCTTAGGCACAAAAGTGTTCTTCCCCTTTTTAATTTTCCAAAATAAAGAAAAAAGCCATTTCTAGCAGTTGGTGGAGACGTGGGTGGAGCTGTGGGGTAAACCATTGAGCCTAGGACTTGCCGATCGGAAGGTCGGCGGTTCGAATCCCCGCAATGACGGGGTGAGCTCCCGTTGCTCGGTCCCTGCTCCTGCCCACCTAGCAGTTCGAAAGCACGCCAAAGTGCAAAGTAGATAAATAGGTACCGCTCTGGCGGGAAGGTAAACGGCGTTTCCGTGCACTGCTCTGGTTCGCCAGAAGCGGCTTAGTCATGCTGGCCACATGACCCGGAAGCTGTACGCCGGCTCCCTCGGCCAGTAAAGCGAGATGAGCACTGCAACCCCAGAGTTGGCGACGACTGGACCTAATGGTCAGGGGTCCCTTTACCTTTGCCTTTAGCAGTTGGTGGGCCATTGCCCTGACCCAGCAGACAGGCTCTTATGTATAATGAAACTCTCGTTATTATTATTACGGTCTTATGCTTCCTTGCTGGGGACAAGGCTGCTTGTGGGAGGCCCACGACGTCAACGGTCCCCTCCTCCTTTCCCTCCCAGTGCCTTCTCCTTTTCTCATTCTTTCTTCCTTGTCTCCCCTCTCCTCTTTCTCCCAAGGTGACCCGGCTGTGCGACCTCTCCGTGGAAGGCGATTCCGTCACCTCCGTCGGGTGGTCAGAGCGGGTGAGTACGCCGTCAAGTTTCCGCCAAAGCGCAGCGGTTGTGGATGGCGGGCAGGGCTGTGATGGCGAGGCGAGGCAAATTAGTGCCATTGCCTTCCGTTAAGCGTTTGGATGTAATCCTTGACGCCTCCCTTTCCATGGAGGCGCAGGTTACAACAACAGCCAAGGCGACATTTTTCCACCATCAAGCAGTTGGTCCCTTACCTTTCCCGCCCCGACCTGGCCACAGTGACCCATGCGGCGGTCACCTCCAGGCTTGACTACTGTAATTCGCTCTACGCGGGGCTGCCCTTGAAGCTGTCCCAGAAACTCCAGCGGGTGCAGAATGCTGCAGCGAGGCTCCTCACGGGGTCCCTGCCATGGGAGCATATTCACCCAGTGCTTTTCAAACTGCACTGGCTCCTGCTGGAGTACAGGGTCAGATTTAAGGTGCTGGTTTTGACCTTTAAAGCCCTTCACGGTCTAGGACCCTCGTACCTACGGGACCGCCTCTCCCAGTATGCCCCACAGAGAGCCTCAAGGTCCATAAATAGCAACACCCTAGTGGTGCCGGGCCCTAAGGAAGTTAGATTAGCCTCAGCCAGAGCCAGGGCCTTTTCAACACTGGCTCCGGCCTGCTGGAACGCTCTGTCTCTTGAGACCAGGGCCCTGCGGGATCTGATTTCTTTCCGCAGGACAGAGTTGTTCCACCTGGCCTTTGGCTCAGAATCAGTTTGATTCCCTCCCCCTTTTTCTTTTCCTTTCTCCTCCTGTGATGAGACTGCTCCCTAATTGTTTTAATGTTGTATCTTAATCTTTTAAATTGTATTTTAATCAACTTGTTATTATTGGTTGTTAGCCGCCCTGAGCCCGGTCTTGGCTGGGGAGGGCGGGGTATAAATAAAAAATTATTATTATTATTAGGGGGGATCCTTTGGCCCTGGGGCTGAATGTGGCCCTCCAAACCTTGCCACCCGGCTCTCGGAGGTTCTCACCCTTTGCATCCCTTCTCCCCGATTAGGGCAACTTGGTAGCGGTCGGGACCCACAAGGGCTTTGTACAGATCTGGGACGCTGGAGCCGGCAAGAAGCTCTCCATGCTGGAAGGGCACACAGCCAGAGTAGGTAAGGAAATCCTCTGGAAAAACAATCTCTCAAAGGACCTGTTGAGGGCATTTTACCATTGCACTCTGGAGAGTGTATTAACTTATGTTCTGTGTGTTTGTTTGGGAGCTGCACGGCCAGGGAAAAAACAATGCTGTCCAGGGTTGTAAAGACTGCGGAGAGAATAATTGGGTGCACTCTTCCCACCTTGGATCAAATCTACGCTTCCAGGTGCCATAAGAAAGCGGCAGAGATAGCGCAGGATAGTGCGCACCCCGGAAATGATCTCTTTCAGCTTCTGCCTTCTGGAAGAAGGTCCAGGGTTATAAAGGCCAGGACTAGCCGCCTGAGAAACAGTTTCTACGCAAAAGCAATTCTGGTTCTAAACGCAGCATAAGGGGTCTCTATAGTATAGTGTATTTTAAAATGGGGTTTCAGAGTTTTTAGGGGGTTTTGAATGTTTTATGTAGTTTTGTAGTAGTTTTATGTAGTTTTGTAGTAGTTTTATGTAGTTTTTCAATTTCATTGTTCTGCATGGGACAATGACAATAAAGATATCGTATATCGAAAGTGGGGCAAGCAGAACGCATAAACCGAACGCCAATTTCCTAAAAGCCCCATGCGAAGCCCTACAGAAATAAGAATATTAATAGCAACTTATTGCAGTGGTCCCTTGGTTCTCAAACGCCTTGGGACTCAAACAGCTTGGAACCTAAACACTGCAAACCCGGAAGTTAAGTGTTCCGGTTTGCGAACTATTTTCGGAAGACGAATGTGCTCCGTTTTGAGTGTTAACGCTTCCGATTTGAGTGTTACGCTGAGGTCTGTCTGTCTTTGCTATTTATTTTGCGTTTTTGTGGCTCTTTTTGTTTTGTTTTGGTGACTGTGTGGAACCCAGTTCAGCTACTGATGGATTGTGTGACTGCAGTACATCGTTTATTGCTTTCGTTTTATGGATCAATGGTCTCGTTAGATAGTAAAATCCATGTTCAATGGCTGTTTTAGGGGTTGTTTTTAAAAGTCTGGAACGGATCAATCCGTTTTGCATTGCTTTCTATGGGAAAGCGCGCCTTGGTTTTGAAACGCTTTGGTTTTGGAACGGATTAAGTTTGAGAACCAAGGGACCACTGTATTCGTATCCTGCCCATCCAACTGGGTAGCCCCAGCCACTCTAGACGGCTTCCAACATCTATAAAAACATAATTAAACATTGGAAAACTTCCTTATATAGTGCTGCCTTCTGGTGTTCTTCTAAAGGTTATATAGCGACTCATCTTGACATCTGACGGCAGGGCGGGAGCCACCACCAAGAAGGCCCTCTGCCGGGTTCCCTGTAGCTTCGCTTCTCTCGGCGAGGGAACCGCCAGAAGGCCCTCGGTGACGGATCGTAGCGTCCGGGCTGGACGATGGGGGTGGAGACGCTTCTTCAGTGGGGAGACAGACACATTGCACCAGGGAGAACATACAGCACACACAGAACTACCACCGAGAAGGCCCTGTCCCGGGCTGCCTCAACAAGGCCTGTGTGTTGGAGGGTCTAAGAGTGTTAATCCGTTTCACTGGTGGTTCTGCTGCTGCTGGCTTAACTGGGTGGGTTGGGGTTGCTTGTGGGCATGCTGTGACCTCACAGCAGCTCAGCCAATAGCAGCAAGGGAGGCTCAGCAAGCGGTGGGCGGTGTTTCTAACAAGCAGGGGCACACGGGTGCTCACTGATGGTGCCAGGGTGTTCAGTTTCCCTGTGTCTGTCTGCATCCCTTCCTCCCCGCGCCTCCCCAGAAACTCCAGCGGGTGCAGAATGCCGCGGCGAGACTCCTTACGGGGTCCTCGCTGCGAGATCACATTCACCCGGTGCTATACCAGCTGCACTGGCTCCCGGTGGGGTACAGGATCAGGTTTAAGGTGCTGGTTTTAACCTTTAAAGCCCTATACAGCTTAGGACCCTCGTAACTATGGGACCGCCTCTCCTGGTATGTCCCACGGAGGAACCTACGGTCTTCAAACAAAAACATCCTGGAGGTCCCAGGCCACAGAGAGGTTAGGCTGGCCTCAACTAGAGCCAGGGCTTTTTCGGACGTGGCTCCGATCTGGTGGAACGCTCTGTCCCAAGAAACTAGGGCCCTGCGGGACTTGACATCTTTCTGCAGGGCCTGCAAGACAGAGCTGTTCCACCAGGCCTTTGGCCAGGGCACAGCCTGACTCCCTCCTTTGGCAATCTTCACAGAACTTTAGCCTAATGGTTGCCATCAATTTGATTTGAACTGATTTTATAATGAAATGATTTTAGAATGTTAGAATCATAGAGTTGGAGTAGACCACAAGGGCCATCAAGTCCAACCCCCTGCCAAGCAGGAAACACCATCAGAGCACTCCTGACATATGGTTGTCAAGCCTCTGCTTAAAGACCTCCAAAGAAGGAGACTCCACCACACTCCTTGGCAGCAAATTCCACTGTCGAACAGCTCTTACTGTCAGGAAGTTCTTCCTAATGTTTAGGTGGAAACTTCTTTCTTGTAGTTTGGATCCATTGCTCCGTGTCCGCTTCTCTGGAGCAGCAGAAAACAACCTTTCTCCCTCCTCTATGTGACATCCTTTTATATATTTGAACATGGCTATCATATCACCCCTTAACCTCCTCTTCTCCAGGCTAAACATGCCCAGCTCCCTTAGCCGTTCCTCATAAGGCATCGTTTCCAGGCCTTTGACCATTTTGGTTGCCCTCCTCTGGACACGTTCCAGTTTGTCAATGTCCTTCTTGAACTGTGGTGCCCAGAACTGGACACAGTACTCCAGGTGAGGTCTGACCAGAGCAGAACACAGTGGCACTATTACTTCCCTTGATCTAGATGCTATACTCCTGTTGATGCAGCCCAGAATTGCATTGGCTTTTTTATGTTGTACTATCTTATTGTTGTTAGCCGCCCTGAGCCCGGCTTCGGCTGGGGAGGGCAGGATATAAATAAAATTTATTATTATTATTATTCTCAATGCTCCAGGTGCCCTGGCGTGGAACGCGGACCAACTGTCTTCCGGCAGCCGGGACCGGATGATCCTGCAGAGAGATATCCGGACGCCCCCCCTTCAGTCCGAACGCCGCCTCCAAGGTCACAGGCAGGAAGTCTGCGGACTCAAGTGGTCGACCGACCACCAGCTCCTCGCATCCGGGGGGAACGACAACAAGGTAATAATAATAATAATAATAATAATAATATGATGGAATTTTCGGAGCTAGCCGCCCTAACCGGAAGAGTCCGCAACCAGAAGGAGGAGGAGTATCAGGAAGAGTGGAATAGATTTACAGTGGTGCCCCGCAAGACGAATGCCTCGCAAGACGAAAAACTCGCTAGACGAGTTTTCCGTTTTCTGAGTCGTTCCGCAAGACGAATTTCCCTATGGGCTTGCTTCGCAAGACGAAACGTCTTGCGAGTTTGTTTCCTTTTTCTTAAAGCCGCTAAGCCGTTAATAGCCGCTAAGCCGCTAATAGCCGTGCTTCACAAGACGAAAAAACCGCAAGACGAAGAGACTCGCGGAACGGATTAATTTCGTCTTGCGAGGCACCACTGTAATGATTATTTAGTTAAATTTGTTAAGTTAAACTAACTGCAAATAGCTTGCAGATACCTAATGGGCTTAGGATTTTATTTATGTTAAGTGATGAATTAATATGTTTGATTCCATAAGGTGAAGATCTAAGGATGTTAATGTTTTAAGTTAAATTTCATAAGAATTGGGATTTGGAAAACCGTTAAAAGGACATGCAATGAAATTCAACCAAGGGGAAGCGAGGAAGTCACTTAACAAAGTTAATAACTGTAATTTTCAGTAAGGCTATGATTTATGTTTGTTTGTCTTGTTTGTTTATAAAATTGTGAAAACTAATAATTTTGGGGAATAATAATAATAATAGTAGTAGTAGTAGTAGTAGTAGTAGTAATAATAATAATTTATTTATACCCCGCCCTCCGCAGCCAAGACCGGGCTCAGGGCGGCTAACAACCAATAATAAAAACAAGTCGATTAAAATGCAATTTAAAAGGTTTAAGATACAACATTAAAACAATTAGGGTGCAATCTCTTCATAGGAGGAGAAAGGAAAAAGAAAGAGGGGGAGGGAATCAAACTGACTCTGAGCCAAAGGCCAGGTGGAACAACTCTGTCTTACAGCCCCTGCGGAAAGAGATCAGATCCTGCAGGGCCCTGGTCTCAAGGGACAGAGCGTTCCACCAGGACGGAGCCAGTGTTGAGAAGGCCCTGGCTCTGGTTGAGGCTAATCTAACTTCCTTAGGGCCTGGAACCTCTAGGATGTTGCTATATATGGACCTTAAGGTCCTCCACGGGGCATACCAGGAGAGGCGGTCACGTAGGTACGAGGTACAGTTGCCGTGGAATTCTACTCAGTATCGATCCAGAGCAGATCCCAATGTTTTTTAGCAGAGCAACAATAATAATCAATCAATCAATCAATCAATCTTTATTACGGTCCAGAGACCCAACAAATCATTACAAATCAAGGCACAATTCAGGCAGCCTACCTCCGGGTTAAACAAGCATTTTGTTCAGACTTAAAGATAAGGATCATTGGTTCTTGCAACCACTGATAAAAACTTCGCCACTACTAATGTTCTAGTGTTTGTCCGGTCTTCCAATAGGAACGTGACATAGTGAGCCTCTGATTTTCCCGGGAAAGGTACCAGCAAGGGTAATAGATGATGATGATGATGATGGTGATGATGATATTTGTACCCTGCCCATCTGGCTGGGTTTCCCCAGCCACTCTGGGCGGCTTCCAACAGAATATTAAAATACAATAGTATATTAAACATTAAAAGCTTCCCTAAACAGGGCTGCCTTCAGAAGTCTTCTAAAAGTCAGATAGATGTTTATCTCCTTGACATTTGCTGGGAGGGCGTTCCACAGGGTGGGTGCCACCACCGAGACAGCCCTCTGCCTGGTTCCCTGTAACCTCACTTCTCGCAGGGAGGGAACCGCCAGAAGGCCCTCAGGAGATGGACCCCGGTGTCCGGGCTGGAAGATGGGGGTGGAAAGGCTCCTTCAGGGATACTGGGCCGTTTAGGGCTTTCAGGGTCAGCACCAACGCTTTGAATTGTGCTCGGAAACGTACTGGGAGCTAATGTAGGTCTTTCAAGACCGGTGTTATATGATCTCGGCGGCCGCTCCCAGTCACCAGTCTAGCTGCCGCATTCTAGATTAGTTGTACTTTCCGGGTCACCTTCAAAGGTAGCCCCACGGAGAGTGCATGGCAGTAGTCAAAGTGGGAGATAACCAGAGCTTGCACCACTCTGGCCAGACAGTCTGCGGGCAGGGAGGGTCTCAGACAAAACTCTAGTTCTGTCACCCCCTGCCCGAAAAACGGGGCTGCCGGTGACGACTCCCTCTCCCTCCCTCGCAGCTCCTCGTGTGGAACCACTCCAGCCTCAGCCCCGTCCAGCAGTACACAGAGCACCTTGCAGCCGTCAAGGCGATCGCCTGGTCCCCTCACCAGCACGGGCTGCTGGCTTCCGGCGGTGGGACAGCGGACCGCTGTATACGTTTCTGGAACACGCTGACCGGACAGCCTCTGCAGTGCATTGACACCGGGTCGCAAGTCTGCAACCTCGCCTGGTCCAAGCACGCCAACGAGCTGGTAAGGGAGTCCTCGTCTCCTGTGTGCTTCTCCCTATCCTTTGCCTGCCCATCCCCTGGAGGGCTGGCACTTTATTTTCCTAGTTACTTTAAGGTAAAGAGACCCCTGCCCATTAGGTTCAGTCGTGACCAACTCTGGGGTTGCGGCGCTCATCTCGCTTTATTGGCCGAGGGAGCCGGCGTCCAGCTTCCAGGTCATGTGGCCAGCAGGACTAAGCCACTTCTGGTGAACCAGAGCAGCGCACGGAAACGCCGTTTACCTTCCCGCCGGAGCGGTACCTATTGATCTACTTGCACTTTGACGTGCTTTCGAACTGCGAGGTTGGCAGGAGCAGGGACTGAGCAACGGGAGCTCACCTCATCGCCGGGATTCGAACCGCTGACCTTCTGATCGGCAAGCCCTAGACTATGTAGTTTAACCCACAGCGCTACCCGCATCCCCCTAGTAACTTAGGCGGGTTTATTTGGCAGGTTGCTTTAGGGGTGCCCCGGCCCTATCAGGCGCAGGGGTAAAACTGCCTCTGCTTCCTCACCAGGGCTCGGTACAGCTTGTTCCTCCTCTGCTTTCCAACATCACAGTGTTAGCCTGGTGATATTCCTCCCTCCCTCCCTCTCTCTCTCTTTCTCTGTCTTCTTTTCTTCTTTGGCGATCCCTCGTAGCCGAGTAAGATTGTCTTCCAAAACAGGGTTTTAGCAGTGAGTCCATAAGTGACTATGGAGGCCAATTCTGGATCCCCACATCCTTCCACAGTGGGGACATTGGTTTCCGGGCCGGAGTTGATCCTAGTGAGGGTTTGCCAAGCGTGCCTTCCTCTTAGCACGTTTCTCCCTTGCGTCCTGAGTTCGAGTGTCTTCAAAGCCCACGACACCTTTGGGAAAGGCTGTTCTCCAACTGGAGCGCTCGCAGGCCAGTGTTTCCCAGTTGTCAGTGTTTATACTACATTTTAGATTTGCCTTGAGAGAGTCTTTAGACCTCTTTTGTTGACCACCAGCATTACGCTTTCCATTCTTAAGTTTGGAATAGAGTAGTTGCTTTGGAAGACGATCATCAGGCATCCGCACAACATGGCCAGTCCAACGAAGTGGATGTTTTAGAATCATCGCTTCGACACTGGCGATCTTTGCTTCTTCCAGTACACTGGCATTAGTTTGCCTGTCTTCCCAGGTGATGTGTAAAAATTTCCAGAGACACCGTTGATGGAATCTTTCGAGGAGTTGTTGACCCAACAGCATTACGCTTTCCATTTTTAAGTCCACATACTCATCCATCTCTCTCTCTCTCTCTCTCTCTTTTTCTCTCTAGGTGAGTACTCACGGATACTCTCAGAACCAGATCCTCGTCTGGAAATACCCGTCCTTGACTCAAGTCGCAAAGCTAACCGGGCATTCTTACAGAGTCCTCTACCTGGTGAGTAACTGTCCCCCCCTCCAAAAATAAACCCCTCTCTGTGGAAGCCTTTTTGGCCTGTTGCTTATGCATGCATTGTTGTTGTTCGCTGTTTTCTTTTTCCTTTGTTCTGGGGTATTTTGAATGCGAAAGCAGCTCCAAAATCTGAGGCAGACTGGGTAGCTTTTTTGGGGGGGTGTCCACCCTTTGCAGCAACCTCCCTCCTTCCCAGAAACATTCCCTGCCAGGGATCTGTTCCCAAAGCAAAGGGAAGGATTGAACTCTGATTAATAAGAATACACACAGAGGCTTGAACCAGCAAGACTCTGGGAAGGGTCCGTATAATAATCTCTGTCTCCACCCTTGGGCCCAGGTCGTTTTATTCACAAAACAACTTTTTACAGAGTGTTCGTAAGAACCAATCAGATTTCTTCTGAGCATTTCAAGAAACCCCACGTGGGGACAAAGTTAAACTACCAAAACTAATTAAGCACAGGGTAAACTGTGGGTTAAACCACAGAGCCTAGGGCTTGCTGATCAGAAGGTCGGCGGTTCGAATCCCCGCAATGACGGGGTGAGCTCCCGTTGCTCGGTCCCTGCTCCTGCCCACCTAGCAGTTCGAAAGCACGTCAAAGTGCAAGTAGATAACTAGGTACCACTCCGGTGGTAAGGTAAACGGCGTTTCTGTGCGCTGCTCTGGTTCGACAGAAGCGGCTCAGTCCTGCTGGCCTCATGATCCGGAAGCTGTACGCCGGCTCCCTCGGCCAATAAAGCGAGATGAGCGCCACAACCCCAGAGTCGGCCATGACTGGACCTAATGGTCAGGGGTCCCTTTACCTTTACTTAAAGAAAGAACAGAACTACAAAGGAGTACATTTGGCAACCCCGGAGGTCATAAACAAGCAATATTCATGATAAGAAGGATGGCCAGGAGGACAGCGATCATTATCACCTTACAGTGGTGCCTCGCAAGACGAAATTAATCCGTTCCGCGAGTCTCTTCGTCTTGCGGTTTTTTCGTCTTGCGAAGCACGGCTATTAGCGGCTTAGCGGCTATTAGCGGCTTAGCGGCTATTAGCGGCTGGTTAAGAAAAAGGAAACAAACTCGCAAGAACTTGCAAGACGTTTCGTCTTGCGAAGCAAGCCCATAGGGAAATTCGTCTTGCGGAACGACTCAGAAAACGGAAAACTCTTTCGTCTAGCGCGCTTTTCGTCTTGCGAGGCATTCGTCTTGCGAGGTACCACTGTAATGTGAAACCTGTTTCCTGGCCCTAAGATTAACATCCTAAGATTAACATATCAGAAAAGCTACATCAAAGAAACTGCCCACTGTCTTTGAGGACCCAGGACGCCTGCCTGTCCTTGTACGTGACTCCTAAGAAAGAGAAATGGAACAGGGATGCAGAGGTGTGGATTGATCAAGAATCATATCAAAATAGTTTAAACCCAGTCAACGCAATGCTTTCATTGCTGACACAGGTGGCTTACTCTATATTTGTTATAGCATCTTAAAAAGCAGAGACATCACCTTGCCAACAAAGGTCCGTATAGTTAAAGCTATGGTTTTCCCAGTTGTGATGTATGGAAGTGAGAGCTGGACCATCAAGAAGGCTGATTGCCGAAGAATGGATGCTTTTGAATTCTGGTGCTGGAGGAGACTCTTGAGAGTCCCATGGACTGCAAGAAGATCCAACCTCTCCATTCTGAAGGAAATCAGCCCTGAGTGCTCACTGGAAGGACAGATCCTGAAGCTGAGGCTCTAAGACTTTGGCCACCACGGGAGAAGAGAAGACTCCCTGGAAAAGACCCTGATGCTGGGAAAGATGGAGGACGCAAGGAGAAGGGGACGACAGAGGACGAGATGGTTGGACAGTGTTCTCGAAGCGACCAACATGAGTTTGACCAAACTGCGGGAGGCAGTGGAAGACAGGAGGGCCTGGCGTGCTCTGGTCCAGGGGGTCACGAAGAGGCGGACACAACTAAACAACAACAACAATATTTGTTTATAATTCCTCATAGCAATCCCACCTGATCACTACAGGATCTAGGAAGCGGCCTGATGGGATTTCAGAGCTGATGCAGCTGCCCTTGGGGGAGCTTCAACCGTTCCCAACCCTTCCAGGAAATGTTTGGGGCCAAGAGGGTGCTCTGCTGCCGAACCACAGCTCTTCCTCTAAATTCCCAGGGGTCATATTCCCAGGTGTCAAAAAGGTTGTTTATGTGTTCAACAACTGCGGCCTGTGTTTCGTTAGCCCAGAAATGGAAAACGAGCAAGGTCTGGCAACTTAAGCTGATGGAATATGTGCAGCTCGCAGGCTTAACATATAGAATAAGAGAACAAGGAGAACATAGGTTTAAAGAAGATTGGAGAATGTTTATTGATTATATGGGGAGGGAATGTGTACAGCTGAGAACGCCAGCAGCATTAAGATAAATTCAACAGTGCAAATAAGTTTTGAGGGATGTAATAATGGAATATGCAAGGATTTATAGGTAGGTAAAGGGACCCCTGACCATTAGGTCCAGTCGCGGCCGACTCTGGGGTTGCGGCGCTCATCTTGCTTTACTGGCTGAGGGAGCCGGCGTACAGCTTCCGGGTCATGTGGCCAGCATGACCAAGCCGCCTCTGGCAAACCGGAGCAGCGCACAGAAACGCCGTTTACCTTCCCACCGGAGTGGTACCTTTTTATCTACTTGCACTTTGACGTGCTTTCCAACTGCTAGTTTGGCAGGAGCAGGGACTGAGCAACGGGAGCTCACCCCCTCATTGCGGGGATTCGAACCGCCGACCTTCTGATCAGCAAGTCCTAGGCTCTATGGTTTAACCCTCAGCACCACCTGCGTCCCATATGCAGGGATTTAGGATATGCAAAATGAACCATGGAAAGAGGAGAAGGGAAGTCATTTATATTTTAAGGAAGTTTAAATGTGTATTCTAAATTGCAGTACAGAAAATTTAATACATATATAGTGCTTTTTTTCTTTGAAAAATGTTGAGGGGTACTCTCATTTCCCTACTCATATTGAAATACTGTCCCTCAATGAGGCCAAGCTTAGATTCACAAAGTGATTAGGGATATGCGTCTCTGCAGAAAAGCTTTATGCACAATCAGACCATTGGGCCCACCTGTCCCCGTATCATCTGCCCTGGCTGGCAATGGCTTTCCGGGGTTTCATGCCGGGGGGGCGCGTTCCCCAAAATCTAAAGTTAAGGTGTTAGTCCTCATGGGCTTGAATGGGGAGAGCCTGATTTCCGCGACGTGCTCTGCCACTGACCCCGCTCCTTCCCTTCTGCAGGCGATGTCACCCGACGGAGAGGCCATCGTGACGGGCGCCGGGGACGAGACGCTGAGGTTTTGGAACGTCTTCAGCAAAACCCGCTCCACCAAGGTAAGGGAGACAAGGCCTTCGTGGACTGAGAAGAGGAGAAGGCAGAAAATTAGGTTGTTTTGGTAGATATGATATAAAGGATTAAGCAAAAATGAGTTGATGAAACTGATGAAACAGAGGATGTTTAACTACATTATTTTAAATTAAAATACGTAAATGAAAATAAGGTTAGAAGGATTTGCTGGAAATACGATCTGAACTAGAATACAAAATTGGGAAGTGAGAGGAGGTCATGGAAATAAGTAAAGGGAAAAGGTTATGTAAAGGTTTAATCTGTTTTTGTTCTATTTTAACTCAATGCATTTTTATATTTTTTGCTTCGTCTTCTTCTTTACTCTATTTTATTGTTTACTTATTTTGTTATTTTTCGCTTTGTTATGGTTAAATTTTTCTTTGTATTTTGTATTGTTGCTTTTTTTGCTTTTTTTTGTAATGTTAAAGTTGGAATAAATATCATTTAAAAAAACAACAACGAGAAGAGGAGAAGGCTTTGTTTATTCAGCTACTTTGTGTTATACAGCTATACAGCTCAAGCTAAGGCATTTTGGCTAATGAATCCTCAAAGAAAGAATTTTTGGAAGTTTGGGGGGGCCTAGTTGGGGTGACTACGCAGTCAGTTTTGGGTAACCTGTCCCTTCAGACGAGCATCCTCTCGTCCCAAGCCCTTGGCCACGAGTCGCAGAGGGAACGCGGCACGCCTGCTAACCATCCCTTCTCCTTCCTTTCAGGAGTCCGTGTCGGTCCTTAACCTCTTCACCAGGATACGGTAGAAAAGAAAACAGGACCACGGAACAAGAGACTGTGCTTTGGGGTGGAGAACCACTAAACTGGCCTGCGTGGGACCTCGGGCCGTCATCTCGGGGTGGGGGGAACAGGGAGGGAGTGGGGCGATGTGTCCCAAAAAAAAGATATTCAGAGGTTTGGGGGGGGGGACCTCAAAAGATCCTTTATTAAATATCTGAGTGTGAATGTTATCGGATGTTATTTGGGTCCAGGGGAACCTCTGGACCAATTCTATTCCTTCCTTGGAGCCCGGAGAGTAAATATAACATGTATATTTTGGGGCCTGTTTTTCAAAAAGACAGGAATGAGGTTGTTTTCGTCCTGGGGGGGGGGGGACTTGCCAGATGCAGCCAAAATGCCTGCTCTTGTCCCCACCCCCCCCCCACCCCCGCTTTTCCCCCCTGTCTCTTTTGCTCTGGGGGAAAACCAGCACTTGTGAGTGTTCGGGAAGAGACTAGTGCCCGTGATTTAAAAAAGCAACAAACACGGAGGCACGATTACCCCCTGCTCTTAAATTTCACCCCCCCCCCTTGTGTGTCTGGAATGCTTTTGCCCAGAAACAGTGATGCCTGCCTACCCAAATCGCTGCTCGGGGGTGGTGGATGCAGTCTAGCCACGCATCCTCGCTTAAAAACAAAAAGGATTAATCGCTTGCAAGATCACTTGTCTGGAGGAGGCATTCTTTCCTGAGAGCGGCGGGGAAAAGCCTCTTAAATCCAGACCAGGGTGGAACTGGCAGCCGCCTCCAGCTGTTGCAAAAGCGGTCAGGAACGGCGGGAGCCGGGAAACCCGGGAACTTAAGAGGGAGGCTCGGCGAATCGCCATCCCCAGCTGCGTGCAAGAGGTTGGTTGTTCGTAGAAGAGGCGTCCTCTTTCTGAGAACGGGGAAGACCTCTTCTCGGGTTAGGGATGTGGGAAACATGTTGGATTCCCGACTCCCAATTGTTATGGGCGCTGGGAGTGCAGCCACACGAGGTTGAGCCTTCGGCTCTGCAAGCTTCTGGATCCCAGAGGGGCTTTTAAACCCCGGAATCCCGGTGGGAGTGCCGAGTGCGAATAGCGCAGAGCCGTCGATGGGCTGACTTCTGAGCAAGTGTCCCAGTGAAGAACCTCTTTACTCTCGTCTTTTTCTCTCCCTCCATCTCTCTCGTCTGCCTCTGTTAAGAGAGCGTGCCATGTTGAGTCCGTGTGCCCCGCGGTTAGAAAGCAATGTTGAGCTTCGCACCGCTCTTGGGGACTAGTCGCTGTCGGGCTTTCGTGAAGAGCTGGGGCGCCCGCCTTCAAACAAATGCCCTGTGTATGTTTGTGTGTCTGTGCACGTCTGTCGATTCGATTTGGCAAAGAGGCGATTTACAGCGAGCGAAGGCTTGTAAGTTCGCATTTGGCACACGCGGCTATTTCAGGCCGCAAGTTGGCGAAAGTTCTGAGAATTAATATTTGGGATAGCGCTTTTTCTCTACCCCCAAAACTCCCCTTCCTGCCGGCAAGAGGTCAAACGCGGCTACCTTTGTAAACAATACCTTGGGGGGAAATTCAGTGTATCTGGCATTAAAAGGACATGTGGATTTCAAAAGCGGCCTTCGCCCCCAGCGTGTGGTGTTTTTCGAAAGCTTTGCTGGGGGATGGGGGAGTTTTCAGGCGCTTATTCTCTCTGCTTCCCCCTCCCGCCTGTCCCCTCCTCAAATTCCTGCAATCTGGTGCACCCCCTTGTAAGGCGGGGTGGGGAATGTTGCATATTCGCACCCCAGCCCGTGGATTGCGCCTACCCATAGCTGTCAACTTACAGATTTGAAAATAAGGGACCAGCGGCCTCGAAAATAAGGGATCAGCAGCCAAAATAAGGGATTTTAGTCAACCAGCAGCCAAACGAAGCCTCAAGCAGTGGTTCCCACGGCGCAGCAACCCGGCAAAGGGGACGCAGCAAGGAAAACCACCGTCACCTCTCCGCTGGGAAGCGCTGAGCAAAGGAGAGTCCCCAGGCAACGCGGCCGATTTGATCGGCACAAGGCATGCAAGCTCCACCCCCCAGTCGTTCTTAGACTCCTTATTGGGTGAGCAACGCAGCCAAGCAACACAGTTGGAACCTCCCTCCTCCCTGGCCGGCAGGGAGGGAAGGAGAGGAGCTGCTTCCTTTGAAACCCGGGAAATTCAAGGGACATCATTAATAAGGGACAGCAGTGGGACACGGCGCTGGGACAAGGGACTTTCCCGCCAAATAAGGGATGGTTGACAGCTATGCGCCTACCTGTGGCCTCTCTCTTAGGACAGAGATGTGATGTGGTAGGCGGGGCCAGTTGAAAAGTGGGAGGAGCCATGAATAGAATTTAAACCCTCTCCTCTATCTTCCGCCCCCAAAACAGGAGTTCAAAGTTGCTTTCTGCCCTGGGAGGGTGGGGGAGCAAGGAGAACAAGGGGTTTGTGGCCCGGGGAAAGAGGGTGTAGCAACGGTACCTTGGTTCTCAAACTTAATCCGTTCCAAAACCAAAGCGTTCCAAAACCAAGGCGCTGCTTTCCCATAGAAAGCAATGCAAAATGGATTAATCCGTTCCAAACTTTTAAGAAACAACCCCTAAAACAGCAATTGAACAGGAATTTTACTCTCTAACGAGACCATTGACCCATAGAATGAAAGCAATAATCAATGTATTGTACTATAAAATAAGACAGTTATTGTAGATGATAGAAATTAAAAATATTTTTTTTTCTTACCTGCACTGATGATAGACATTGTTTGGATGGGGGGCTTTTAACCAGTTCTGCTGTCGCACAACTGGGTTCCAAACAGTCACAAAAGCAAATGAACTGAAAAAGCCTTTTTAAAAAACGCTAAATAAATAGCAAAAGCAAAAGTGCCAAACTTAATCCGTTCCAGAAGTCTGTTTGACTTACGAAATGTTCAGAAACCGAGGCACAGGCGCCCCGGAAACAATAGCCGACAGCCACGTTGGACGTTCGGCTTCCGGAAAACGTTCGAAAACTGGAACACTCGCTTCCGGGTTTTAGGCATTTGGGAACCAAGGCGTTTGAGAACCAAGGCACCACTGTACCTGTCAGTGATGCGCCTTTGGAGAGAAGTGGTCATAAGTACCAGCAGTCCAGGGCATAGGGGTTGGATATTGGACCAGGCAGGCCATGATCCTGCAACTTTTCTCAGGTCCACTGGTGCTGTTTCCTCAACGCGCTGTAACTCTCCGTCCCCGGAGAGCGAGTGGGAGCTAGGGGCTTGCCCAACTGCGCCTACGACGGCTCTTTTGATTTCCACCAAAGGAGAAGACGGAGACATTTCAAGTTATGCCTTTTCATTTCGCTTTGTTCTGTGTCCGCATCTGTCCGTCTCGAGAGACAATGGAGTTCGCCTCCGGGGGTGAAGCCAAACGGCTGCGTGAGCGGCCCCAAAGTGATCTCCCCAAGGCGCCATGTGTCTGGGGGTTCCTGGACTGCCCAGACGACAAGACACACCCCGGCCTCAAAGATGGGGTCCAAAGGAAAGCAGAGCAAGACATTTGGTACCAGCTTAGTTGCCGCCGGTGGCGCTGTGGGTTAAACCACAGAGCCTAGGACTTGCCGATCGGAAGGTTGGTGGTTCGAATCCCTGCAATGACGGGGTGAGCTCCTATTCCTCAGTCCCTGCTCCTGCCAACCTAGCAGTTCGAAAGTACGTCAAAGTGCAAGTAGATAAATAGGTACCGCTCCGGTGGGAAGGTAAACGGCGATTCCGTGCACTGCTCTGGTTCGCCAGAAGCGGCTTAGTCCTGCTGGCCACATGACCTGGCTCCCAGAAACGACCAAGTAATAATAATGAAATAATAATAATTTATTATTTATACCTTGCCCATCTGGCTGGGTTTCCCCAGCCACAGAATATTAAAAATACGATAAAACATCAGACATTAAAAGCTTCCCTAAACAGGGCTGCCTTCAGATGTCTTCTAAAAGTCAGGTAGTTGTTTATTTCCTTGACATCTGAAGGGAGGGCGCCACCACCGAGAAGGCCCTCTGCCTGGTTCCCTGTAACCTCGCTTCTTGCAGGGAGGGAACCACCAGAAGGCCCTCAGGAGGAGGACCCTGGTGTCCGGGCTGGACGATGGGGGTGGAGATGCTCCTTCAGGGATACATGGCTGTTTAGGGCTTTCAAGGTCAGCACCAACCCTTTGAATTGTGCTCGGAAACGTACTGGGAACCAATGTAGCTCTTTCAGGACCGGTGTTAATATGGTCCCGGCGGCCGCTCCCAGTCCCCAGTCTGGCTGCCGCATTCTGGATTAGTTGTAGTTTCCGGGTCACCTTCAAAGGTAGCCCCACGTAGAGCGCATGGCAGTAGTCCAAGCGGGAGATAACCAGAGCATGCACCACTCTGGCGAGACAGTCTGCGGGCAGGGAGGGTCTCATCCTGCGTACCAGATGGAGCTGCCCTGGACACAGAACTGACCTGCGCCTCCATGGACAGCTGTGAGTCCAGAATGACTCCCAGTCTGTGCACCTGGTCCTTCAGGGGCACAGTCACCCCATTCAGGACCAGGGAGTCCTCCACACCTGCCCGCCCCGTCCCCCAAGAACAGAACTTCTATCTTGTCAGGATTCAGCCTCGATCCATGAGCCACCATCCATCCTCCAACCGCCTCCAGGCACACCTGAGGGCTGTTATCTTTTGCCATCACCCCCTTTGACCCGGGCTGCCTGCCTGCCTCTTGTTGCTAAGGGAATGGTTGCCATGAAAGGTTTGTATAGCAAACAATGATGGAGGATCTCCTCTCACCCTTTAAGGACTATAGGAAGCTGAGCTTGGTCCCCTCCTCTTGCAAACCAGCCTGGTCTGGAGTCGGAGGGGGCTCCTTGCAGCCCCAAAATGGATCTCCAGTGTCTCAACTATCGGGATCTGGTGCTCAACCGACCCTACGTGCCCCAGGTCTCCTTAGAGACCGATTACCCGACGCCACTGTACAGGTGAGTGTTTTGTCTCCTGCCCTTCTGTTTTTCCCAATTAAGGTGCAAAAAATAATAATATTTTTTTGGACAAGTTTTAATAAATCTCCGGAACGCTGCTTTATAAAACGTGGCCCGTTTTGCAGGATTTCGTTCGAACTCTTAAAGGATCAGCAGGTTTGATTCCTGGGTTCAGGGACTCCCTTTGAAAAGCTGCCGGGCATCTGAGATGCGAGTGCCTCTGAGCGCGTGAAGAGCGTGTTTCTCTCGTCGTTACAGGGCTGCCGTAACAAAATTTCCCAGACCTGTTCTGGTGGGATTTCTGAAGGTCGTTTGAAAACGTCCGGGAAAATCTAGGCCTATGGCAACCCATGTCTGAACTGTTGGGAGTTTTTTTTTTTGGGGGGGGGGTGAATTTCCTATTTAAAAAATAGCTCAGAAAACTCCCGCCCCCCATCCTCCTCCCCATTTCATCCTTGCAATCTGGATTTTCAATTTTTGAAATAGGGCAACCCGACATTATTTTCATTTATCGTATTTATATAGCTCCTTTTTGTCTTCTGAAGAGGTTCCTAGGCAATGTTCATAGTTCTTCCCCTCCCCATTTCATTCTTCTAATAACCCTGTGAGGTAGGTTAAGCTAAGAGATGGTGCCTGGGCCGAGGTCACCCAATGAGCCTTTCACGTCTTTGTGGGAATTCGAACCCGGCTCTCCCGGGTCACAGCCTGACACTCTAACCATTAGGACACACTGGCTCTTATTAAATGAATTGTAGTCTAGGCCTCCTTCGGACAGCCGATTCCGTTCCAGAACCAAAGCGTTCCAAACTCAAGGCGCGCTTTCCCATAGAAAGGAATGCAAAACGGATTAATCCGTTCCAGACTTTAAAAAACAACCCCTGAAACAGCCATTGAACACGGATTTTACTATCTAACGAGGCCACTGATCCATAAAACGAAATCAATAAGCAGTGCACTGCAGTTGCGCAATCAATCAGTAGCTGAACTGCGTTCCACACAGTCACAAAAACAAAACGAAAAGAGCCGCAAAAGCAAAAACGCAAAAGGAATAGCAAAAACAGACAGACCTCAGCGTAATGCTCAAAATGGAAGCTCAACACTCAAAATGGAGCACGTTCGGCTTCTGAAAATAGTTCGCAAACCGGAACACTTCCTTCCGGGTTTGTAGTGTTTGGGTTCCAAGTTGTTTGAGGACCAAGGCGTTTGAGAACCAAGGTACCACCGTATATATAGACAGTGCTTTTTTTTTCTTCTTAAAAAAATGTTATGGGGTATTCTCATTTTCCTACTCATATTAAAATACTGCCCCTCAATGAGGCCAAACTTAGATTCACAAAATGTTTTGGGGTATGCGTCCCCCTGCGTCCCCCAAGAAAAAGCACTATCTATCTATCTATCTATCATCTATCTATCTATCTATCTATCTATCTAACATCTATATCATCTATCTATCTATTGATCTATCATCTATCTATATCTATCTATCTATCTATCTATCTATCTATCTATCTATCTATCTATCTATCTATCATCTATATCTATCTATCTATCTATCTTGGCCAATAAAGTGAGATGAGCACCGCAACCCCAGAGTCGGTTACGACTGGACCTAATGGTCAGGGGTCCCTTTACCTTTAACATGGGGATTAGCAGCTAATAAAAGTTTGGGTTCTCTTTTGTCTGGGGCTTCCATCCTGTTCCACCTGGTGGCAGGTGGGAGTCCTGTCGTGATAGTCTTCAATAAAGACCAAGCCTACTGGCTGCTGTTTTGCTCTGGTATCCTGGCTGGTGTCCTTGTTTTTTGTCCAAGGGAGCCCCCAGATTTCTCCGTTAACAGTGTGGAACTGATGGATCCTTTGTGGGTGCCCGGCTAATGTCTCTTTCCTCTCCCTGGACGCAGCGATGAGTACCTGACGTTGAGGGGCCCACGGAACCCCCCCATTCTCCGCCAGGCCGTTCGCTGGAAGTACACTCCAATGGGGTGGGATGCCATCCCCCAGACCTGGTATACGGGGCTGACCAACAGCCACAACCGCAACGCCTGGTACACCCTCACCGACCCGATCGGCCGCAAGGCTTATTACCGCTGGCAGAAGTGGCACGACCACAGAGAAAGGAATCTACCAGCTGGTAAGGTCCAGGGACGCGGGTGGCGCTGTGGGTTAAACCACAGAACCTAGGGCTTGCCGATCAGAAGGTCGGCGGTTCGAATCCCTGCTCCTGCCAACCTAGCAGTTCGAAAGCACATTGAAGTGCAAGTAGATCAATAGGTACCACTCCGGTGGGAAGGTAAACAGCGTTTCCGTGCGCTGCTCTGGTTCGCCAGAAGCGGCTTAGTCCTGCTGGCCACACGACCCGGAAGCTGGACGCCGGCTCCCTCGGCCAGTAAAGCGAGATGAGCGCCGCAACCCCAGAGTCGTCCACGACTGGACCTAATGGTCAGGGGTTCCTTTACCCTTTACTTAAGGTCCAGGGTCCTCAATTGACCCCAAGATCGACCTGCTGCAAGATCCTCCTTAACTCTGGTTTTTTTTTGGGGGGGGGGGGGAGAACAAGGAATTTGTGAACTCGAAAGAGCAGGGACAATTTGCCTTATTCCGAATCAGACCACTGAGCTCAGTAGTGCCAGCAGCTCACCAGGGATTCAGACAGGGGCCGGATTTAGGTTTGATGAGGCCCTCAGCTCCTGAAGGTAATGGGGCCCTTTATATGTCCAGCTGGGACACGGGTTGCGCTGTGGGTTAAACCACAGAGCCTAGGGCTTGCCGATCAGAAGGTTAGGGTTTCACTGGAGAAATGTTGGAGGGGATGGAAAAGGACGTCCCCGTTTTCAGGGGAGAAATGTTGGAGGGGATGGAATAGGACGTCCCTCTTTTCACAGGGGGACACGGGTGGCACTGTGGGTTAAACCACAGAGCCTAGGACTTGCTGATCAGAAGGTCGACGGTTCGAATCCCCACGAAGGGGTGAGCTCCCGTTGCTCGGTCCCTGCTCCTGCCCACCCAGCAGTTCGAAAGCACCTCAAAGTGCAAGTAGATAAATAGGTACCACTCCGGCGGGAAGGTAAACAGCGTTTCCGTGCTCTGCTCTGGTTCGCCAGAAGCGGCTTAGTCATGCTGGCCACATGACCCAGAAGCTGTACGCCGGCTTCCTCAGCCAATAAAGCGAGATGAGTGCCGCAACCCCAGAGTCGGCCACGACTGGACCTAATGGTCAGGGGTCCCTTTATCTTTACCTATACGTTCAGCTGTCCTTTGTCAACAACAAATTTGAGAGCAATCTACCCACCTTGCCACTTGGGACCTCCAAAGTGTGGTCATTTGTGGACCTTAAGGTCCTCCGTGGGGCAGACCAGGAGAGGCGGTCCTGTAGTCCAAAAACATCTGGAGGGCTGAATTGGCCTATGCCTGCCCTAGTCCATCAGCTAGCTCCTTCCTGCAAAGTTTGGCGAACTTGTTTTGTGCATACCAATTTGCCCCATGTGTGGGGCAGGTGGCCATGGTTTTGGGGAAATGGCCAGCGGGCCAAACAGGGACTCTTGCCAGATCTTAAGGCTCTCCACCTCTGCCAAAGAGAGAGGGAGAAAGAAATTAAAGTGGCGGCCTTTTCTGCTGCAGCGGCACGAGGTTGGCTCAAATCTGTGTCTTCCGTTTTCTTCCAGCGTACGCTCAACATCTGCAAGACAGCTGTTGCTTCGACCCCATCGTCCCCGCCCAATACTTGAGCCCTAAGACGAGATGGGGGGCATTCATGTGGAGGGACAGACCCATTCTCGGAAAGGAATTTGGTAAGGAGGAGGGTTGCGTCTGGGCGGTGAAGAGGGGGAACCTGGGAGAGGGGCTGAGATATTCTCTGAAGAAAGGCAGTGGCAATGCTCTGTCCCATGAGACCAGGGCCCTGCAGGATTTAACCTCCTTCTGCAGGGCCTGTAAGACAGAGCTATTCTGCCTGGCTTTCAATCTGAACTTCTTGTTGTTGTTCAGTCATTTAGTGGTGTCCGACTCTTCGTGACCCCCTGGACCAGAGCACGCCAGCCACTCCTGTCTTCCACTGCCTCCCGCAGTTTGGTCAAACTCATGCTGGTAGCTTCGAGAACACTGTCCCACCATCTCGTCCTCCGTCGTCCCCTTCTCCTTGTGCCCTCCATCTTTCCCAACATCAGGGTCTTTTCCAGGCAGTCTACTCTTCTCATGAGGTGGCCAAAGTCTTGGAGCCTCAGCGTCAGGATCTGTCCTTCCAGTGAGCACTCAGGGCTGATTTCCTTCAGAATGGAGAGGTTTGATCTTCTTGCAGTCCATGGGACTCTCAAGAGTCTCCTCCAGCACCAGAATTCAAAAGCATCCTAGTCCTCATGAACCCGATTTCAACGGAAACATCGGATGTTGCCTCCTATAGTTCCAACACTGGGGTCCTCTTTGCAGAGGATCTCTGAGGTTTCGGGACGGGGACATTCCTGGGCCTATCTGGGACCTTCTGCACCCCGGGATCTGCCTGAAATCTACAGTTTTCTCTCTTTCTTCTCTCCCAGTGGTCAACCGCAACCGTGGCCCCGAGGAGCTGAAGGGGAAGCCCGGATACGTGCCACACCTGACCATCCACACTCCAATGTTCACCGCCAAAGACTATCGCACTTGGAGGATGTTTGACCGACAGCCTTCGACCAAACACCAGCACTAGTAAAAAACTTTTCCCCCGCTGCTTCGCGTGACCCAGGTGTCCTCCTTCGTGCCAGAAGTTGGTGGTGGGGGCCTGAGTCCCTTTCCAGGCAAAGCTGTGCCAACGCCCACCTGTGAGTGAGTGTTCCGGTTTTCGAATGTTTTTCGGAAGCCGGACCTCCGACGCGGCTGTTGTTTCCGCCAATCAGAAGCCGCGCCTCGGTTTCCGAACATTTCGCAAGTCCAACGGACTTCCGGAACGGATGATGTTTGGCGCTTTGGTTTTGGCTATTTATTTTGCATCCTTTTTGTTTTTTAGGCTTTTTCGGTTCGTTTGTTTTTGGAACCCAGTTCAGCTACCGATGGACTGGTTGTGTGACTGCGGAAATGGATAAAAGTCCACCATCCAGACAATGACAATAGGGACGCGGGTGGCGCTGTGGGTTAAACCACAGAACCTAGGACTTGCTGATCGGAAGGTCGGCGGTTCGAATCCCCGCGATGACGGGGTGAGCTCCCGTTGCTCGGTCCCTGCTCCTGCCAACCTAGCAGTTCGAAAGCATGTCAATGTGCAAGTAGATAAATAGGTACCGCTCCGGTGGGAAGGTAAGCGGCGTTTCCATGCGCTGCTCTGGTTCGCCAGAAGCGGCTTAGTCCTGCTGGCCACATGACCTGGAAGCTGTACGCCGGCTCCCTCAGCCAGTAAAGCGAGATGAGCGCCGCAACACCAGAGTAGGCCACGACTGGACCTAATGGTCAGGGGTCCCTTTACCTTTTACCAAACAATGACTATCATCAGTGCAGGGAAGGGGGAAAAAATCATTTTACTTTTTATTATCTACATTATCTTATTTATTTTATAGTACAGTGGTACCTCGGGTTAAGTACTTAATTCGTTCCGGAGGTCCGTTCTTAACCTGAAACTGTTCTTAACCTGAAGCACTACTTTAGCTAATGGGGTCTCCTGCTGCCCCCGTGCCGCAGGAGCACGATTTCTGTTCTCATCCTGAAGCAAAGTTCTTAACCTGAAGCACTATGTCTGGGTTAGCGGAGTCTGTAACCCGAAGCGTATGTAACCTGAAGTGTCTGTAACCCGAGGTACCACTGTACAGTGGACGTTCGGGTTGCGAACGTGATCCATGTGGGATGCAATGTTCGCAAACTGCGTCTGCGTATGTGCAGGTTGCAATTCAGTGCTTCTGCGCTCTCTGTATCCTCTGGTTTGAGGAGTGTCCCAGGGGCCTGTCAGAGAAGCATATGGCCCTCAAATTCCTCAATTCCTCTCCTCCAAAAGGAGCCTAAATGTTTAGGGAAAAGGCAGCCCTGTTTAGGGAAGCTTTTAATGTTTAATAGGTTATTGTATTTTAGTGTTTTGTTGGAAGCCGCCCAGAGTGGCTGGGGAAACCCAGCCAAATGGGCGGGGTATAAATAATAAATTATTATTATAAATCTTAACACCGTCTTGGAGTGCAGACGACTTGAAAAATCTCCAGCTTTGCCAATAATCCCGGTTTTCCAACGCAACAAGGCGCCATCGCTTCCAAAATAATATGCCACTTCCAAAAAACCTCAGGCAAAAACCGCACTGGCTGTCTAATAATAATAATAATAATAATTTTTATTATTTATACCCCGCCCATCAAACACCCACTTAGCAAATACGCTCTACTTGAAACACCATTCCATCCACAAAACGTATCGTCATTCACGCAACGCTTCTCATTTTCAAATGTATAAATAAACAGTTGGATTTATTTTTTATTTTTAAAAAAGGCTATGTAGGTTGAAGTGTATTTTCTCCCTTAAAGTGCTTTTCGCTATAAGGCTGCTTTTTAGTATCTTGCCGGCGAGCCTTCAACTGTTGCAGTGCTTTTTTCCTAGAAAAAAATATATATTAGTATATTAGCTCTATCTGAAATTTCATGCATATCAGTTAATATCTTGACCCTGCTCTGCTGAACTGAAATTTCAGCCTTCGCGACATAGGAAAACGACCAAGTAAACAGCTATTTTCGTGGAAGAGGGTCAAGATATTAACTGATATGCATGAAATTTCAGATAGAGCTATATATTTTTTCTGGGGGTGCAAAGTACCGGCACATCTTTCTTTTTCCTTTTTCCTGGTTAAAAATGTGGCACTTGATATAACAACTTCGTGGTGAGTACTGGCACCTACCGTATTTTTTGCTCTATAAGGCTCACTTTTTCCCTCCTAAAAAGTAAGGGGAAATGTGTGTGCGTCTTATGGAGCGAATGCAGGCTGCGCAGCTATCCCAGAAGCCAGAACAGCAAGAGGGATTGCTGCTTTCACTGCACAGCGATCCCTCTTGCTGTTCTGGCTTCTGGGATTCAGAATATTTTTTTTCTTCTTTTCCTCCTCCAAAAACTAGGTGCATCTTGTGGTCTGGTGCGTCTTATAGAGCGAAAAATACGGTAATCCCTAGTGTAGTAATTTAAGAACAGGCATATTTTTTTTACAAAAAGTTTTTTATGAACCGCCCTAGTGAAGCCGTTCTTTTGTGGGGGGCGGGATGTAGGAACTTTTCATTGCATGATTAATATTTGAATCTTTTTAATATAAAAAAGGGAGCCAGAGCAAAAAACCAAAAAGAGGACAGCTTCCTCTCAAAATCTCTCGCTTTTTAAAAAAGGTTTTCTTTTCCCACCTTTTTTAGAGAGGATTTTTGAAAAATATGGTAAAAAGAACTCCGCTACATGAGTCAAAGAAACAGCGTTTTGAACGCATTATACACATGCAACACCAGAGGGCGATGGAGAGCAAAGAATTTTTTAGATGCGATTTTCCATAGCGGTTTTTCTGCATCTTTTGTTATAACGATTTAATTACTGACTTGTTTATAGAGTGTTTTCCCCTCTGTGTTTTTAGATCTAGTCAGAGTTGGGTTTCGAAAGGCACCTTGCAGATTTTCTGCACAGAGATCCCCAAGATATAATTAGGGGCGCTAAAAAAAAAATTAAAATACCTTAAAGACAGTATAACTTATATCATTTAGGATTCAAGGCGCGTGCTAAAATAATTGTTCTTCCTTTGCCGGGCTGCTGAAACAAGAACTGTCCTCCGTTTTTGCGACTCAAGACGTTTTTTCGGGTACCCACAGTGCCGAAGCAAAAGTCTCTTTAGGGCTGCCGTATTTTGAGAAATAAAAACCCGGACACAAAAAATTGTGGGTTTTTGGGGGGTTGTTGAGCTTCCCGGTTCTGTTTGCAAAATCCCAGACATTTTGCTGGCTTTTCAAAAAATAAAATAAAACGTTATTCCCCCTGGATGCTAATTTCGTCGCTGGAATCCTGGACATGTCCGGAAAAAACCTGGACTTTTGGCAACCCTATTTCTCTATTTCCCAACCAGCAGCAGATGGCCTGGACATCTTGCGAAATCCTCAAGTTGTCTTATACCTGTCCAGGAAGAAAATATTTAAAAGTTACAAAGCTGAGAAAAAGAAGAAACTTTCCCCCTGTTTATTCAGCCTACTGGAAGCAGCCGACGGACCACTGCTGAATAATATTTTTAACCGGGCTTTGAATAAATGTGCCATTAACTGTTAAGGTTTTGAATTATTATCTTCCTTAGTAGATTGTGCAAGCCACTGTTCTGAATCCTGCTTTTTCTAGAGGGTACGGGGGGGTTATTCTGAATTATGCTTTTTTATAGAATTGGGGAGTCCAACCCCTGCGATGCAGGAATATTTTTGTCCAGCGCATGACTCGAACCCAGACCCTGAGATTAATCATCTCAGGTAGGACCAACTGAGCAAGGGGCTATTCTGAATCATGCTTTTTATAGGGTTGGGGGCTATTCTGAATTCTGCCTCTTGTAGGGTAGGGGGCTATTCTGAATTCTCCTTCTAATAGGGTTGGGGTCTATTCTGAAGTCTGCCTCTAATAGGGTAGGGGGCTATTCTGAATTCTGCCTCTTATAGGGTAGGGGGCTATTCTGAATTCTGCCTCTTATAGGGTTGGGGTCTATTCTGAAGTCTGCCTCTAATAGGGTTGGGGTCTATTCTGAAGTCTGCCTCTAATAGGGTAGGGGGCTATTCTGAATTCTGCCTCTAATAGGGTAGGGGGCTATTCTGAAGTCTGCCTCTAATAGGGTAGGGGGCTACTGCATTCTGAATTCTGCATCTAATAGGGTAGGGGGCTACTGCATTCTGAATTCTGCTTCTAATAGGGTAGGGGGCTATTCTGAAGTCTGCCTCTAATAGGGTAGGGGGCTACTGCATTCTGAATTCTGCATCTAATCGGGTAGGGGGCTACTGCATTCTGAATTCTGCCTCTTGTCGGGTCGGGGGCTATTCTGAATTCTGCATCTAATAGGGTAGGGGGCTACTGCATTCTGAATTCTGCTTCTAATAGGGTTGGGGGCTGTTCTGTATTCTGCCTCTAATAGGGTAGGGGGCTATTCTGAAGTCTGCCTCTAATAGGGTATGGGGCTATTCTGAAGTCTGCCTCTAATAGGCGTACCGGACCATTCTGAAGTCTGCACTCTAGTTTTGGGTAGGAGACTAAGCCTCAATAGGAAAAGACTATTCTGAATCTGCCTCAATGGGGCTGGAGGCTAATCTGAAGTCTGCCTCTAATGCGGTGAGGGCTATCCTGAAGTCTGCCTCTATGGGTAGGGGCTGTTCTGAGTCTGCCTCTAGTGGGTAGGTCTGCTCTGAAGTCTGCACTCTACTCCAGGGTAAGGCGCTACACTGACATTTCCGCTTACTTTTAGGGTAGGGGCTATTCTGAAGTCTGCTTCTAATAGAAAAGTGAGTCTTATAGAGCAAAAAATACGGTAAGTGACATAGCCTTTGCCCCTCTCCTTCTGTGGGGTGTGTGTGTGTGTCTGTTTTAGAGAGTTAACCAGGACTGTCATTTTATGCCAGGGGTCAGCAAACTTTTTCAGCAGGGGGCCGGTCCACCGTCCCTCCGACCTTGTCGGAGGCCGGACTATATTTTGGAAAAAAACCGAACCAATTCCTATGCCCCACAAATAACCCAGAGATGCATTTTAAAGAAAAGGACACATTCTACTCTTGTAAAAACACGCTGATTCCCGGACCGTCCGCCTGCCGGATTGAGACGGCGATTGGGCCGGATCCGGCCCCCGGGCCTTAGTTTGCCTACCATATTTTACACCGTCAGCCGTAAAACGGAGGTAAAACAGAGGAACGAAAAGCCCCAAAAACTCACTGGTGCTGCTGCAAGTCTATTTCGGGCCACGCTCCCATGGAGATCAACTGTTCTTCCAGTTGCACGATGCGCAGGCCGATATAACCCGAGGAAAGGAGTAGGACCACCACCCTGAAAACGAGATATCACAATATTAAGATTTTATAAGAGCGTCTCCACTCTCTCTCTTCCAAGCTAAACATATCCAGGTCCTTCAACCGTTCCTCATCAGGCTAAGGTTTCCAGAACCTCCATCGCCTTGGTTGCTCAGTGGAGAGGAAAAAATGAAGCCATTGTGGCTAACAGCGATTGGCAATTTTATCCTCCAGCCAATGGGACGATCGTCTTAATTTTTCTTCTAGGTAAAGGTAAAGGGACCCCTGACCGTTAGGTCCAGTCGTGGCCGACTCTGGGGTTGTGGCGCTCATCTCGCTTTACTGGCTGAGGGAGCCGGCGTACAGCTTCTGGGTCATGTGGCCAGCAGGACTGAGCCGCTTCTGGCGAACCAGAGCAGCGCACGGAAACGCCGTTTACCTTCCCGCCGGAGCGGTACCTATTTATCTACTTGCACTTTGATGTGCTTTTGAACTGCTAGGTGGGCAGGAGCAGGGACTGAGCAATGGGAGCTCACCCCATCACGGGGATTCGAACTGCCGACCTTCTGATTGGCAAGTCCTAGGCTCTGTGGTTTAACCCACAGCGCCACCCGCGTCCCACCAATAAGTCTTCTAGTGCAGCCAAAAGTTTAGTAGGGAAGGGGCCAAGAGGTGGATTCAACAAGCTGCGTGGCTTCATGGAATCGTAGAATTGCACAGGCAGAAGGGAACCCAAAGGTCATCCATCCCAACCCGCTTTCAGTGCAGGAATCATAACGATCGCCCCCCAGAAAACTGGCCCACTCACAAGCAGAGATAGATGAGGATGACAGTGTTGAGGGGGCTGAGGTGAGCCTTCCAGCTCCGCCAGGACTTTGTGGACCTTACCCCTCCTGGAAAGAAAAAGAGGCGGTATATTATTATTATTATTATTATTATTATTATTATTATTATTTAATTATTAAAAAGGCCTGGGAAAAGACATATGAATTTATTTATTTATTGGATTATTTTATTATTATTATTAATGCACAACAAACAAAGCCATACATCCAAACTGAACAAAAAAAAAGTAGAAATAATAATAAACGCAGTAAAAACAAAACACAAAGCGTTTTAACAAAAAGGAAAGAGGTCTTTCGACTATAGACCTGACCTCCTGTCTACTCCTTAAGTCAATTACATATAACTTATTGCTGCACCACTCTGGCCAGACAGTCTGCCGGCAGGGAGGGTCTCATCCTGCGTATCAGAACACAGAATTGACCTGCGCCTCCGTGGACAGCTGTGAGTCCAAAATGACCCCCAGACTACGCACCTGGTCCTTCAGGGCCACAGTGACCCCATTCAGGACCAGGGAGTCCCCCACACCCGCCCCCCTCCTGTCCCCCAAAAACAGTCCTGTCTTGTCAGGATTCAGCCTCATTCTGTTGGCCGCCATCCATCCTCCAACCACCTCCAGACACTCACACAGGACCTTCACCGCCTTCACTGGGTCTGATTTAAAGGAGAGGTAGAGCTGGGTGTCATCTGCATACTGATGAACACCCAGCCCAAAAAACTCTGATATCCCACAATTGAATACAATTCAATTGGTCTCTTGATGGCTGAGAGTCTCTCTCTTTGGCCTTTGGATTGCAATGCCCAGTTTGGCTGGCGAAAAAGAGGTTTCAGGAGAATTTGGAGAGGGCGGTTTGCAAAACGGCGAGGAAAGCCACTCACCTCTGTTTGCTGCTGCCCAGTGTGGTTCGATAGCTGCCGTTGGGGGGCTCTGGCTCTTATCTGCCCCATCTGCGAAAGAAGATGGTTAAGGCTTTTTATTAAAAATAAAATAAAATTAAAGTTGCATTTCACCCTCTCAACAACCCTGCGAGGGCAGTCAGCCTGAAAGCGAGGTATTGACTCAGTGCCGGATTTACATATAAGCTAAACAGGCTATAGCTTAGGGCCCCCCCAAAAAATTTAAAGGGATGTACATTTCCAAAATATATGATAAATAAAATAAAATAAAACCTACATCAAGCAACAGTGTTTTGTGTTGTGTAGGCTCCTAGGATGTAAGTTATGGGCTTGTATTAACTACAGTTTTGATCCACTTTTAAAATGAGGCTGCATTTTAAATTGTATTTTAAATTATGTTTTTATTGTAATTTTACTGGTGTTAGCCACCCTGAGCCCGGCACTGGCCGGGGATGGTGGAGTATAAATAAAATTTATTATTATTATTACAATTGCATTTGTTTATAACACTCAATTTCACATTAATAAAGCTATTTCTAATTATTAGTAGTTTGCATCATATATTTGCACCTCTTATTATTTCATGTTACAGCAGGCTTCCAGAGAATAGATGATGAGTCTTTGGAAACTGTTTCTAAAGAACTTTTGCCATTGCCAAATGCCAATGTGTTTGCATTATTAAGTTTGTTATGGATAAAAAAATCATTTTAAGTTAGAGCTTAATAATTATTTCCCTATGAATATGCTTCTTCTTAATTGTATTTCACTGTATACTTCTTAATTGTATTTCAATCCAACAATGACTTTGATAAAATACATATTTTGTGATGTGCAAATGGCTTTAGATACCTACTAGGTCCATAAATCACCACCCTGGATTTAAGATTAAAATGGGACGTGAATTGGAAATACATAATGGAATACGAAGGACAGAAATAGGGGGAAGAAGGGACCTTATTGATGACAAAGAGTGTCAACTTAATGGGATTAAATCTGGTGCAATTTGGGAGGATTTGTTAAAAATTCGGAAAACTAATAAAAATTATTTGGAGGGGGGAAAAATACTAAAACGGATTAAAATTACTTTCTAAGCAACAGGGCAGGATTGTTTAAACAGTAATGCTTTCAGCAGGGCAGCAAAAAAACTACTGAGAAGGCACCTGCTTAATATCACTAGGCGGGCAGTTCCAAAGGTTAGACACTGAACTTTGTATCAAATAAACAGAAACGACCCAAATCTCACCAGGCTCTTCCGGGAGGGTTTCGTCCAGGGGGGGCGTCCGGCTGCCGTCCAACTCCTTTGGGGTCTGCGAGGGGAACGAAAATAGCGAGAGGTTGGGAACGATGGGGGGGGTGGGGGAATTTGGTTGCGTCCAGACACCTAGCTTAGCATTGCCTCCGCTGACCAGGGTTTTGACAGGCAGGAGTTTTTCCCAATCTTGGCAGTGCCAGATTTACGTCTAAACTAAACAAGCTATAGCTTAGGGCCACCAAAAATTTTAAAAGCGGGAAAAAACTGGATGTACATTTCCAAAATAGAAGTTTTCCCCTCCAAAAATGAAGGGGAAATGTGTGTGCGTCCTATGGGGAGAATGCACCCCTCTCGCTCTCCAGGCTTCAGGAAGCTCTCCGCAAGCCGTGGGAGCCTGGCGGGAGTTCCCCGGGCTTCGGTTCCCCGACCTGGTTTGGAGGCTGGCGGCGGGGAGATGCGCGCTTCTCCCTGCCGCCAGCCCCACAAGCTCGGGGGACAGTGGGGAGACGCAGCGCCGCCATCCCGCTGTTCCCCGACCTGGTTTGGGCTTCAGGCAGATATCCGCAAGGCGTGGGAGCCCGGCAGGAAGTCGCGCCGGTCTCCCAAGGCTTGCGAAGAGCTGCCTGTTCTGGGGGCTGGGGGGAAAATTTTTTTTTCTTTATTTCCCCCCACCAAAACTAGGTGTGTCCTATGGGCTGGTGCGCCCTATGGGGCGAAAAATACAGTAAATAACCGGCCCCGACTGCTCGTCTGCTCCCTAAAACATCACTGGTTTGCTCCTTTCTATATATAGGGTGCCTTTCTATATATTTGTTGTTGTTTAGTCGTTTAGTCGTGCCCGATTCTTCGTGACCCCCTGGACCAGAGCACGCCAGGCCCTCCTGTCTTCCTCTGCCTCCCACAGTTTGGTCAGACTCATGCTGGTAGCTTCGAGAACACTGTCCCACCATCTCGTCCTCTGCCGTCCCCTTCTCCTTGTGCCCTCAATCTTTCCCAACATCAGGGTCTTTTCCAGGGAGTCTTCTCTTCTGCTGAGGTGGCCAAAGTCTTGGAGCCTCAGCTTCAGGATCTGTCCTTCCAGTGAGCACTCAGGGCTGATTTCCTTCAGAATGGAGAGGTTTGATCTTCTTGCAGTCCATGGGACTCTCCAGAGTCTCCTCCAGCACCAGAATTCAAAAGCATCAATTCTTTGGTGATCAGCCTTCTTGATGGTCCAGCTCTCACTTCCATACATCACTACTGGGAAAACCATAGCTTAAACTATACGGACCTTTGTTGGCAAGGTGATGTCTCTGCTTTTTAAGATGCTGTCTAGGTTTGTCATTGCTTTTCTACCAAGAAGCAGGCGTCTCTTAATTTCGTGGCTGCTGTCACCATCTGCAGTGATCATGGAGCCCAAGAAAGTCAAATCTCTCACTGCCTCCATTTCTTCCCCTTCTGTTTGCCAGGAGGTGATGGGCCCAGTGGCCATGATCTTCATTTTTTTGATGTTGAGCTTCAAACCATATTTTGCGCTCTCCTCTTTCACCCTATTTATAGGGTGGCTAAAATATCCCTGGTTTGCTCCTTTCTATATATAGGGTGCCTACATTCTGCATGGACTGGTTATATGGCAACATGGGCAAATGGCTTGAGATACCTATGAGGTCCATAAATTACCATATAGCATATATTATTTTATAAGCGGGTGCCCTACACCTGTAGCCTTTTGATCCTAATTATTCCTAATCCCAAAACGATGGCTGGGCACACAAAACACAGAGACGGCAACTTCTTACCAGGGAAATCTTAAGCAGCTGGTCCGAAAGGTTTTGCGCTGTGGTTGGGCTGTTGTTTCGACTGCCGTCCTATAGAGGAAGCAGAAGAGAAATAAAGAACTGGGACCATAGAAGTGGAAGGACCCTCCAAAAGTCATCTATCCCAACCCCCCATGAGATTCATAGCTGTACCTAAGACGGACCGGATTTCCTAATTTCAGGACTGTGGATTATCTTTAATAATAATAAAAATTATTATTATTATTATTCAATTCCAATCCATCTATAGCAGGGGTCAGCAAACTTTTTCAGCAGGGGGCCGGTCCACTGTCCCTCAGACCTTGTGGGGGGCCGGACTATATTTTGAGGGGGGAAATGAACCAATTACTATGCCCCACAAATAACCCAGAGATGCATTTTAAATAAAAGCACACATTCTACTCATGTACAAACACCAGGCAGGCCCCACAAATAACCCAGAGATGCATTTTAAATAAAAGGACACCTTCTACTCATGTAAAAACGTGCTGATTGGAACGGATTAATCCGTTTTGCATTACTTTCTATGGGAAAGCGCTGTCTTGGTTTTGGAATGCTTTGGTTTTGGAACGGATTAAGTTTGAGACCCAAGGTACCACTGTATTACAATTCCGCCCCATCTTTTCTCCAACAAAAGTTCTTGCTCCCTCCATTTTTTCCCCTGGGTAGAGGTAATGTTGGTCACAACGACTAGAAACTTAGGATGGTTTAAAAAATGAAAGATGGTATCTTCCTGAGATTTTGAATCTTGGCACCACATCAAGGTGTGTGTGTGTGTTTCCCAACAGAGAACCAAGGCACCACTCTATTATTATTATTATTATTATTATTATTATTATTATTATTAATTACCTGGAGGTGTTTGCAGATGGAACGCAGGACCTGGTAAACGGTTTCCCGGGAGCGGAGGGACCCAAACAGGAACTGCGGAGTGGGAAGAAGGGGTAAGATAAAATAAAATAAGATTGCAGTCTTCACCCCGTGGAACAAAACAGACCCCTCAATCTCATATTTTGCTTTCTGTTCCTTTCCGACGGGGAGCCAGCCTAGCCTTCCACACAGAAATAACACCCCATAATAGATCGGAAAGCGTGCTAGAGGAAAAGCCCGGGCAAAGAGGACTAGAGCCTTGCTGGGTTTATTTTAAAAATGGGATTCTTAGGAGGCTGAAATGTTCGGAGTTTCCGTCAGGGCCAACATACAAATTCTGCAAACTGCTTTGTGAGCCTCGAATGGAGTGGAGCGTATCAATTCAATAAAGAACCGTAATTTAAATCACATTCAATGCACACTTAAAAGCATTCCCCTAGGACCTGTTGCTTCAGCGAAGGGCTGCCATGAGTCCAGAATTTCCCGGACATAGCGGAAGTGTAAAGGTAAAGGGACCCCTGACCATTAGGTCCAGTCGTGGCCGACTCTGGGGTTGCGGCGCTCATCTCACTTTATTGGCTGAGGGTGCCGGCGTACAGCTTCCGGGTCATGTGGCCATCAGGACTAAGCCGCTTCTGGCGAACCAGAGCAGCGCACGGAAACGCCGTTTACCTTCCTGCCAGAGCGGTACCTATTTATCTACTTGCACTTTGAGGTGCTTTCGAACTGCTAGGTGGGCAGGAGCAGGGACTGAGCAACGGGGTACGTCGTGGGGATTCGAACTGCCGACCTTCTGATCGGCAAGTCCTGGGCTCTGTGGTTTAACCCACAGCGCCACCCGTGTCCCTGGTGAAAGTGTAGTTAAACTCTTCTTTTCATTATTGATTTGGAGATTTTGCTCAACGAAAAGCGCAACAGCTTTCGGCAAAACTAGGAAAAACAACTTTGCGAACCCATTGACATAGCCAGGGCCAGATTTAGGTTTGATGAGGCCCTCAGCTCCTGAAGGTCATGGGGCCCTTTCTATGTCCAGCTGTCCTTTGTCAACAGCAAACTGTCGCTGGTTTTTGTGTGTGTTGAATATATGCTATATGGTAATTGATGGACCTAATAGGTATCTAAAGCCATTTGCCCATGTTGCCCTGCAACCAGTCCATGCAGAATGTAGGCACCCTATATATAGAAAGGAGCAAAGCAGGGATATTTTACGGAGCAGGCGGGGCCCATGACTTACATCACAGGAGCCTACACAACACAAAACACTGTTGCTGCAGGTAGGTTTTATTTTATTGTTTTTTTTATCTTATATGTTGGAAATGTGCATGCAGTTTTCTTTTCCCTTTAAATTTTTTTGGGGCCCCCAAGAGAGTGGGGGGGCATGGGTGGCGCTGTGGGTTAAACCACAGAGCCTAGGGCTTGCCGATCAGAAGGTCGGCGGTTCGAATCCCCGCGATGACGGGGTGAGCTCCCGTTGCTCGGTCCCTGCTCCTGCCCACCTAGCAGTTCGAAAGCACGTCAAAGTGCAAGTAGATAAATAGGTACCACTCTGGCAGGAAGGTAAACGGCGTTTCCGTGCGCTGCTCTGGTTCGCCAGAAGCGGCTTAGTCCTGCTGGCCACATGACCCGGAAGCTGTACGGCGGCTCCCTCGGCCAATAAAGCGAGATGAGCGCCGCAACCCCAGAGTTGGTCACCACTGGACCTAATGGTCAGGGGTCCCTTTACCTTTAAGAAAGTGGGGTCCTAAGCTAGAGATATGTTGAGCTTATACGTAAATCCGGCGGTGCTCGGCTCTCACCTTTTCTCCATCCGATGTCCGGATGCAGACGGCGTTGGGTACCAGCAAAGCTGTGTTGGCCTTTTTGAGGATGCTGATGGATGGAACTGGGATGACAACCTGTCGGTCCGGGAAAAGGAGAGGAAGGAGAGAGAGAGAGAGAGAGAGAGAGAGAGAGAGAGAGAGAGAGAGATGAGGGACAGGGAAGCACAGGATATGACCCAACATGCTTCATGGGGAAACGGTATCTTTATACCACAGAGAGAGACCACAAGACTATGTTAACGGAGAAATCTGAGGGCTCCCTTGGACAAAAAACAAGGACACCAGCCAGGAATACCAGAGCAAAACAGCAGCTAGTAGGCTTGGTCTTTATTGAAGACTGTCGCCACAGGACTCCCACCTGCCACAAGGTGGAACAAGATGGACGCCCCAAACAAGAGAGAACCCAAACTTTTATTAGCTGCTAATCCCCATGTTACAGCCCCCAAACTACATCACTAATACATCATGGTTACATCATGAAATGGGAGGTCTGGTGGCCATAATCTGAGCATCCTGGACCCTGCCCCATGGTTCCCCTTGCCCTCCACCAAACACCCATCAAGTGGAACAAAAGAGATATTTACATTTCCCTGTTTCCCAGCCAAGTTCATCCCACCCTTTTGTCTTCATCTGGGTTTGTTCTTTCTGGAATGGCTACCTGTCTGGCACTCAGGTATCAGGAGGCCAGGGATTATCACTCAGGCAGAGGGGCTGCTGAGGAGCTGAGCTCACAGGTCTATAGGAATTTCTGAAGTTTTCCCAGTGAGCCAGTACATACAGACATTGATCAGTGAATTCTGACATTTGGTATCGTGCAGCAAAGGCCCTTTGTATAGATAGGAAGAAACTGCGATGAAGTGTTTTGTGGGGACAAATCATAAAGTCACAAAAGCGATGGTGCTGGTTTTGGTAGTGGGCTGCATGTGCGTGATATCTGCTGGAGGGGCAAACCCACTCCCAACCTATACATAAATTCCTGCAACAACTATAAGAAGAGCTTATGACGTCCCACAACATTATCCCAGCTAGCTTTTGTCTAGGCAACGAAAGGGAAGGAAGAATAACCTCTGCAGATCCTCAACCCGGGGGCCGGATCCGGCCCAATCGCCTTCTCAATCCAGCCCGCGGACGGTCCGGGAATCAGCGTGTTTTTACATGAGTAGAATGTGTGCTTTTATTTAAAATGCATCTCTGGGTTATTTGTGGGGCATAGGCATTCGTTCATTTCTTTTTTCCAAAATATAGTCCGGCCCCCCACAAGGTCTGAGGGACAGTGGACCGGCGCCCGGCTGAAAAAGTTTGCTGACCCCTGCTTTAACCTCGGCCCGAGAGCCCCTACCTTTACTTCCCGGTGCACCATGCTGCAGTAGAAGCAGACGTGATTTTCGGATATATACAGGCGGCCGTGATAAGGAACCTCCCGTTGCCAGGCGCACGAAAACGCTGCGGGGGAAAAACCAGGAAGGAAGGGTTGGCAAAGAAGCTGCCATGATTCTAGTCCTCAGTGTGGCGAACCATCACACAGCAACCAGGGTCGGGCCCCCTGGGAGGAGCGGGTTGCATGCAAACTCCTCCTAACTTCTCTTCGTTTTTCACGAAGCACGGAGGAGCGAAATGGATGCAGAATAGTGGCGGCGGCTGCACACCCTCCAAGATTTTTATCAGTGCCTAAACGATATTGAAGGGACGCGGGTGGCGCTGTGGGTTAAACCACAGAGCCTAGGGCTTGCCGATCAGAAGGTCGGCGGTTCGAATCCCCGCAATGACAGGGTGAGCTCCCGTTGCTTGGTCCCTGCTCCTGCCCACCTAGCAGTTCGAAAGCACGTCAAAGTGCAAGTAGATAAATAGGTACCGCTCCGGCGGGAAGGTAAATGGCGTTTCCGTGCGCTGCTCTGGTTCGCCAGAAGCGGCTTAGTCCTGCTGGCCACATGACCCGGAAGCTGTACGCCGGCTCCCTCGGCCAATAAAGCGAGATGAGCGCCGCAACCCCAGAGTCGGCCATGACTGGACCTAATAGTCAGGGGTCCCTTTACCTTTAAATGATATTGAGCGTTGGAACAACTTGGCCACAATAAGGAAATTGTGCCGATGGCATGACTATTTTCCACCTTCCCATTTCGACTCTCTGGAACCCTCTCTGCATAACCTAGCAATTCTATAATATAGAAACGCTTTGAGTCTCGCAAGATTGAATGTCTTGCCCTCGTCTGGACTCGAGGGACGATTCCAACAGATCCCACACAAAAAACGTCCCTGTGGAGACGGCAGTCCCGAATCAGTGGCACATGCCCTTCTGGCTTGCCCTCTTGATAAAGACTTGAGGAATGAGATTATCACCCCTCTTTTATCGTCCATCCCGGGTCGTCCAGCCCCTGCCCCAGTGTCCTTTCCCTTGGCAGATCAAGAGGAGCAGGTGACGGCAAAGGTGGCAAGGTTTTTCGCTGGGGCAATCAGAATAAGATCCACTATTTGACCATTGATCCAAAGCCCTCAAATGTATTGTATATAATTGACTTTTTAGTTCTATTCTTTGTATATTGTAGTGTTGTTTTATTGCTATGGTCGATGGCTGATGCAAATAAAGATTAATTAATTAATTCAAGCACTTACTCTGCAAGAGATCTTCCTCCTCAGGGAAGTCTTTGAACACCCTTCGGAAGTTGAGAGCGTGTTTCACCAGCTGTGGAAAGGGGAGAGAGAGAGAGACAGGTTATCTGTTTAGCCCTGATCCGGGTCAGCTGAGATTCCTGCAGTTCAGGATTCTACGATTCTACAATACTTATTAAGGACCGGAAACTTCTGACGGACTTTTAGCGTGAAAGAGAAAACGAACTCGTAACAGATGGATTTGAAGATTGGGGTGGGGGGAATTACTGGCTTATAGAAAACAGAACAGATGGATGTTAATATGTGAATACTATATTTAACAGACTGAGAACCAGAAGTCTTTTTGTCGTTCATTTTCTCTTTTTTCTTCCCTCCCTTCTTCCCTAACTATGGCAGGGACATGGCCTTTTTGGTGGTGGCTCCCTGGTTGTGGAACGCTCCCCACCCGTCTCAATCGCTATGAACTTTCAGGTTTTGAAGGGGGAAGGAATGGGTTTCTGTGCAGTCAGTCTGAAACGGGACCCAAAATCCACATTTTTCCTTCTCCAAGGGAGCATTTCTAAAACGCATTAACTTGAGCTCTTGAGCCAATGTATAAACAGAAGCCCAACTGTATAAACAAGTGCTCAAAGCCCTCTCCTTTATCAGTCCGTGACGGCAATGGATGGCCTTGCCAGTTCCGAGTGGAGCAGGGATGGCACGTCTGGGTCTTATCTTACTTCCTGACCACAATGACGCACAGACCTTGTCAGCCCCCCGGGAACGGCTCCAGGAGTACTCTTAGAGTTGGTGACCTTCTTACCCCAAGATAAGGAATACAGGAACAGGAACACCCTTTTATGGTCAAGAGTACCAGAACAGGAACATCTGTGATGTCAACTTACGTGTATAAGCTGACGTGGTTGGATTCCTGGGGAAGGGGGGAGAGGGTGCCTGGAGGATATATATATACTGCATGAAATTTCTCATTTCTTTGGACTTGCTGTGAACTGACCACGCAAGTGCCTTCTGCTATCCAGAGAGCAGAATAAACTCTTTCTCTGAATCAACCTCAATGTCATTTGACTCCTTCCTCCCTGTTCTGGGAGCAACGCTCACCGTGCCATCGGTAAAGTCTAATAAGGCTACAGTTTGAAATGGTAGATGTGTCAGCCGCTTTGCGGAATCAGGGCAGGATAGAAAGTCTATTATTCATCCCTGCACTGCAAGGGGGTTGGATTGGATGACCACTGGGGGGCCCTTCCAACTCTACGATTATACGAACTAGTTAATAATTACAAATCAGAGCAGTCGGAAAAGGCTCTCTCTGCCGGCCAAGCTTACATTGGAGTCCAACTTCCTGTGCTGAGCAGAGGCCAAAGTTTCTTTCTCGGCTTCTTTGGAGTAAGACGGATCGTAGGTCTTGGATCTAAAAGGAACGGGAGAAACAGAGATGCTCTTAAATAAGAGGAAAAGATTGTCGAAAATGTATAAATTACTGCTGGCACACTAAGGATGAGGAGGTCAAAGGGGTGATGTTACAATGGGCTAAAGATTTTGGAGTTAATATTCAGTTAGAATCCTGGGAAACGTTATGGAAGGATTACTGTAATTTTATTGCATGCAATGCACTTGAAGAAAATGTTATGAAAATGATGTACAGATGGTATTCAACACCAGCTAAACTTGCTAAAAGGTTACTAGACATCCCCGTTTCCCGGGGATAGTCCCCGGATTTATAAATCAGTCCCCTGTCAAAATCCATCAGACCCGAAGTTGATTAAAAATTATAGACCGATTTCTCTGTTGAATATAGACTATAATTTTTTTACTGGGGTCTTAACAAATAAGATGAAAATCATTTTTAAAAAGAATTATAAGGAAAGACCAAAAGAATATAATCCAGAAACAATGGAAATGAATTTAAATGATTATTTATGTAGACAAAGGGATGAAGGGAGGGCGTTCCACAGGGAGGGCACCACCACCGAGAAGGCCCTCTGTCTAGTTCACTGTAACCTCACTTCTCGCAGGGAGGGAACCGCCAGAAGTTCCTCGGGAGATGGACCCAGGTGTCTGGGCAGAATAATGGGGGTGGAGATGCTCCTTCAGGGATACTGGGCCATTTAGGGCTTTCAAGGTCAGCACCAAGACTTTGAATTGTGCTTGGAAACATCCTGGGAGCCAATGCAGATCTCTCAGAACCGGTGTTATGTGGTCTCCACTCCCAGTCACCAGTCTAGCTGCCGCATTCTGGATTAATTGCAGTTTCCGGGTCACCTTCAAAGGTAGCCCCCCATAGAGCGCATTGCAGTAGTCCAAGCGGGAGATAACCAGAGCATGCACCACTCTGGCCAGACAGTCTGCGGGCAGGGAGGGTCTCATCCTGTGTACCAGATGGAGCTGTCCTGGACACAGAATTGACCTGCGCCTCCATGGACAGCTGTGAGTCCAAAATGACTCCCAGGCTGCGCACCTGGTCCTTCAGGGGCACAGTTACCCCGTTCAGGACCAGGGAATCCTCCACACCTGCCCGCCTCCTGTCCCCCCAAAACAGTCCTTCTGTCTTGTCAGGATTCAACCTCAATCTGTTAGCCGCCATCCATCCTCCAACCGCCTCCAGGCACTCACATAGGACCTTCACTGGTTCTGATTTAAAGGAGAGGTAGAACTGGGTGTCATCTGCCCTAAAGTAGGTCAAACACACAAGCGATTCGGAGCCTCTCTTTTTGCCAAAACTCACCGCGAAAGGGGCGGGTTGTGTCCATTCCTGGCTGCCTCACCAACCGTCTCCTCCAAACTCTGGGACTTTTTTTGCTCCGACATCCTTCGCTTGCTTTTCCTTGGCTTTCCGGAGACTTCCGACAGGCAGCTGGGAAGGAGCGAGAAATTCCCTGATTAATTATGTTGCTTCACAAGTCCCCAACCTTAGCCTTGGGCCGACACTTCCTCCTCAGACACCGTCACCCTCGCGGCTGATCCACCCATCCTTGCTCCTGCGCCCATTTCACAGACGGGCACAAGAGAGGCAGAGATTTAAGCAAGGGGGAAGGCGGCGAAAGAGGCCCTTGGCTAGACTTGAACCATTTTGGATAAGTTCAGAACGGCATGCCTTCAACGCGTCTCTGAAACGCAGACAAGGAATTTTATTTTTATTGCGATTGCAGGAGGATAAATTTCCCCGTTCCTGCTCACCTCACTGCTGTGCTTTGCCGTGCAAAGCGATCCCTCTCTAGCCTGTCATCAGTCAGAATTTAATGAGATTATTTCCCTCCCCTTCCCTATAATTAGCCGCGTGCCGATGAAAACAGCCCTGCCCCGATACAAAACCCGAGATTGCGATCGCTTTATGTAACGTCTCAGGGGATGAGGGAGTGGGTGGTATCTCAGTTCAATTTTCGGCCTGCCGTAAAGGACTCTACCTAATCCTGAGGATGATCCATAGAGCTTCCTCATCCAGGAGCAGTTTAGCACTAAATACTGCTTGCTGCGGGCAGCGGTTTACACAACAACGCAGGAAGACAGAAGAAGTTGCTTTTGGTATTTCGCAGAAATATCCGGCTGGACGCCGGTTCGCTTTTAGTCCGATAAGCGTCCGCGACTGACGATTAAAGGTAAAGGGACCCCTGACCGTTAGGTCTAGTCGTGGCCGACTCTGGGGTTGCGGCGCTCATCTCGCTTTATTGGCTGAGGGAGCCGGCGTACAGCTTCCGGGTCACGTGGCCAGCAGGACTAAGCCGCTTCTGGCAAACCAGAGCAGCGCACGGAAACGCCGTTTACCTTCCCACCGGAGTGGTACCTATTTATTTACTTGCACTGGTGTGCTTTCAAACTGCTAGGTTGGCAGGAGCAGGGACCGAGCAACGGGAGCTCACCCCGTCGTTGCGGGGATTCGAAGCGCTGACCTTCTGATCGGCAAGTCCTAGGCTCTGTGGTTTAACCCACAGCGGCAAACCAAGGCAGTAGAACAGGGCTCAGCAAACTTTTTCAGCAGGGGGCCAGTCCACTGTTCCTCAGACATTGCGGGGGGCCGGACTACATTTTGAAAAATGTAAATATAGCGGTACCTCTGGTTATGTACTTAATTCATTCTGGAGGTCCGTTCTTAACCTGAAATTGTTCTTAACCTGAAGCACCACTTTAGCTAATGGGGCCTCTTGCTGCCACCACTGCACAATTTCTGTTCTCATCCTGAAGCAAAGTTCTTAACCCAAGGTACTATTTCTGGGTTAGCGGAGTCTGTAACCTGAAGCGTATGTAACCCGAGGTACCCCGCGACGTGCTCGCCACGATGCCCATAGCACGGCCCAGACCTGCTGCCCGGGTTTACCTCAGCCCGCAGGTGGCCCGGCTTTGGATTGGCTGCAGGAGCTTTCGGCAGCCGATCTGAAACTGTGCCAGCGCCGCGGAAGTCGGTCTCTTTTCAAGGAAACGCCATGCCGGTTTAGCTCAGCACTGGGACCGGATTGGTGAGCCTGGTGGGGCCACATCCGGCTCCCGGGCCGTAGTTTGCCGACCCCTGCGGTGGAACCTCCATGCGCAGGAGCAACCTACCTGAAAACATCAGCCGATCAAGCGGCGAGAGAGGGATGTCCGGGAACTCTGGCTCTGCGGCTCGGAGGCAGACCCAAGACCCATAACCTTTCGCATCAATATTGCAGCTTATTTCCTCAGCATTTCACGTTATCGTTTTCATTTAGGGAATTTGTTTTATTTTATTTTTAGGGGGGTGGGTCAGGAGTTCTACACCCAGCGAGAGAAGGGTGAAATAACACGTGAGGTTATTTCTTTATAATCGAAATTCTATCCATATTATAACGATTTACGCCAGGGAGACTTCCCGGCTGGGAGCTGTGATCTGGAATCCATGCTTCGGAGTTGCTATGCAAAACAGGATACACAGAAAAGGAAAATAACCAGTCCGACTGGCTGTTGGCATTCCTGGGATTTTCCCAACCGGCCGCCAGGGGAAAAGTCACCGGCGCGGAAAATCAGAGCTGCCGCAAAACACCAGAATTTACCCCTCGGCCAAATCCCAGTTTTCCTTTTCAAAAGCCAATCGTTTGCTTTTTATTGCTTCCCTCCAAAGAGCTCCAGGCTGGGCTCAGGGGTTCTTCCTCCCCGCAACCTCATTTTATAGAATCAGAATTGCAGAAAGGGACCCCGCTCCCTGGGAGGGTCATCTAGCCCAACCCGCAAACCTCCAAGGCAGAAATTGCAGCCACAAGCTTTCGAAAAATTACTGGCCGATTGGTACTCACCAATCAAGCTTCCAGCAGAGCCAATGCTACCCCCTCGGCCCCCCCGCTTCTTATCGCCTCCGTCCTTAAATAGGACTAGAAACTTGGGCTGCATTCGCCACACTCCTTGTCCTTCGGCATTCCTAGCCAGTGGGGTTGCAGGGATCGGGGATCGGCAGGGACGATCTCCAAAAGTAAAGAGGTCTAGAAACTTAGGCTGCGGTTTTATACACGCCCATTGGACCAGATGGCCTCTGGGCAGACACGTGTTGGACTGTGTATCGTATACTTGGAGGGATTCCAGGGCTCTTCCCTTTCCAGACTGATGCTTCCGTGATGCTAGTCCTAGCCTGAGACGCCAATCTTTCGCAAGATCCAAAATCCCACGTGCGCCCATAAATACCGTATTTTTCGCTCTATAAGGCGCACCAGACCACAAGACGCACCTAGTTTTTGGAGGAGGAAAACAAGAAAAAAGATATTCTGAATCTCAGAAGCCAGAACAGCAAGAGGGATCGCTGCACAGCGAAAGCAGCAATCCCTCTTGCTGTTCTGGCTTCTGGGATAGCTGCGCAGCCTGCATTCGCTCCATAAGACACACACACATTTCCCCTTTTCAGGAGGGGAAAAGTGAGTCTTATAGAGCAAAAAATACGGTAGCCAAGATATATGCATGCCTTCCCATGGGCCACAAAAGATGGGTGTCTCTGTTATTATTATTAATAATAATAATAATTCATTCTTTATACCCTGCCCATCTGGCCGGGTTTCCCCAGCCACTCTGGGCGGCTTCCAGCAAAATATTAAAATACAATACAGTGGTACCTAGGGTTACAGACACTTCAGGTTACAGACTCTGCTAACCCAGAAATATTACCTCGGGTTAAGAGCTTTGCTTCAGGATGAGAACAGAAAACGTGTGTCGGCAGCAGCAGGAGGCCCCATTAGGTAAAGTGGTGCTTCAGGTTAAGAACAGTTTCAGGTTAAGAATGGACCTCCAGAACGAATTAAGTACGTAACCAGAGGTACCACTGTATTTATGTTCTTAACCCAAGGTACCACTGTAATTCATTAAATATGAAAAGCTTCCCTAAACAGGGCTGCCTTCAGATGTCTTCTAAGAGCCAGATAGTTGCTTATTTCCTTGACATCTGATGGGAGGGCGTTCCACTGGGCGGGTGCCATCACCAAGAAGGCCCTCTGCCTGGTTTCCTGCAACCTCACTTCTCGCAGGAAGGGAAGTGCCAGAAGGCCCCCAGGAGATGGATCCAGGTGTTCGGGCTGGAAGATGGGGGTGGAGATGCTCCTTCAGGTCTACTGGGCCGTTTAGGGCTTTCAAGGTCAGCACCAACACTTTGAATTGTGGTCAGAAACGTCCTGGGAGCCAATGCAGATCTCTCAGAACCGGTGTTATGTGGTCCCGGCGGCCGATCCCAGGCCCCAGTCTGGCTGCCGCATTCTGGATTAATTGCAGTTTCTGGGTCACCTTCCAAGGCAGCCCCACGGAGAGCACATGGCAGTAGTCCAAGCGGGAGATAACCAGAGCATGTACCACTCTGGCCAGACAGTCTGCAGGCAGGGAGGGTCTCATCCTGCGTACCAGATGGAGCTGCCCTGGACACAGAACTGATCTGAGCCTCCATGGACAGCTGTAAGTCCAAAATGACCCCCAGGCTGCACACCTGGTCCTTCGGGGGCACAGTGACCCCATTCAGGACCACACCTGCCCGCCCCTTGTCCCCCCAAAACAGCACTTCTGTCTTGTCAGGATTCAACCTCAATCTCCGCAGATAGTGCTTGCTCCAATCTGCCCCAATATCACATAGGACAAGCATCCATCTATGCCCCAGCGTCCTGTCTCCAACAGAGGACATCCACAGACTTCTTTGTTGTTGTTGTTGTTTAGTTGTTTAGTCGTGTCCGCCTCTTCGTGACCCCCTGGACCAGAGCAGGCCAGGCCCTCCTGTCTTCCACTGCCTCCCGCAGTTTGGTCAAACTCATGCTGGTAGCTTCAAGAACACTGTCCCACCATCTCGTCCTCCGTTGTCCCCTTCTCCTTGCGCCCTCCATCTTTCCCAACATCAGGGTCTTTTCCAGGGAGTCTTCTCTTCTCCTGAGGTGGCCAAAGTCTTGGAGCCTCAGCTTCAGGATCTGTCCTTCCAGTGAGCACTCAGGGCTGATTTCCTTCCGAATGGAGAGGTTGGATCTTCTTGCAGTCCATGGGACTCTCAAGAGTCTCCTCCAGCACCAGAATTCAAAAGCATCCATTCTTCGGCAATCAGTCTTCTTGATGGTCCAGCTCTCACTTCCATACATCACTACTGGGCCACAGACTTCTAGGAACCCGCATTGCTGGGGGGTTGGACTAGATGACTCCGACTCACAATCTTATGGTTCTAACCCCCAGAGGGGGGTCACTTCTTTCCCCAAGTGCCTGCCTGTTCAGTGGTAGACTGCCCTGAACTAGGAAGCTCTACTTTTAGCAGTAGAGAAAGGCTTTCTTCAGTAAAAGGAGCAGCCGAGGGGGTGTCCCTCCCGGGCTCCGAACTGGCTGCCGCCTCTAACCATTGGTCCTGCTGGTTGCTGGGAGACGGGGCCTATTCTTATTATTGATTCAGTTCAAGGCGGCTCACAAACAAGAACATGCGCAGAGCATGCGCACCCGGCGCAAACGTCCCGAAAGAATTGGGAGTGGAATCACTGGTGGGCTGGGAATCCCCTGTGCTGAGAGCCTGGCCAGGACGCCTGGGTCCCTTCTGGGATGCTGGGAAGGGGCTTTGCATCCATTGGAAGCGGGAGGTCTCTGGCAGAGCGCCAGGACACCAGGGTTCTTCTTGAGAGAAGATGCCAGGTTTATTTTTAGAGGGTTTGGAAATAGGAAAGGCGGAGGTGGGAGTGGGAGAGAGAGAGAGAAAGGAAGGAAGGGAGGGAGGGAGGGAGAAAAAAAGAGCGAAAGAAAGAGAGAGAGAGAGAGAGAGAGAGAGAAAGGAAGGAAGGAAGGAAGGAAGGGAGAGAAAAAGAACAAAAGAAAGAAAGAAAGAAAGAAAGAAAGAAAGAGGGAGAGGGGGAGAGAAAGAGAGCGGAAGGGAGGAAGGAAGGAAGGAAGGAAGGGAGGGAGGGAGAGAAAAAGAGCGAAAGAAAGAAAGAGGGAGAGGGGGAGAGAGAGAGAGAGAGCGGAAGGAAGGGAGAGAAAAAGAGCGAAAGGAAGGAAGGGAGGAAGGGAGGGAGGGAAAAAGAGCGAAAAGAAAGAAAGAAAGAAAGAAAGAAAGAGGGAGAAGGGGAGGGAGAGAGAGAGAGAGAGAGAGAGAGAGAGAGAAAGAGAAAGGAAGGAAGGAAAGGAGGGAGGGAGGGAGGGATAGAAAAAGAGCGAAAGAAAGAAAAAGAAAGAGAAAGAAAAGAAAGAGGGAGGGGAGGAGAGAGAGAGAGAGAAAGGAAGGAAGGAAGGAAGGAAGGAAGGAAGGAAGGAAGAAAAGAGCGAAAGAAAGAGGGAGAGGGGGAGAAAGAAAGAAAGAAAGAAAGAAAGAAAGAAAGAAAGAAAGAAAGAGGGAGAGGGGGAGAGAGAGAGAGAAGGAAGGAAGGAAGGGAGGGAGGGAGGAAGGAAGGGAGGGAGGGGCTTGTCCCTAAACCCGGACGCCTGGGTTCTCCTCTCCCTAAAGGAGGTGACTACCTGATGTCGGTCAAGGAGAGGCTATCAGGTCCCGGGGCGACTCCGAGCTTGACCATCGCGGAGCCTCCGCAGATCCGATGCCCGGCTCCTGGGCGGGGAGAAGGGAGGCGCGCGGACGCGAGGGAAGACCTTGAACCTTTCCCTCCGCCTCCCCGCGATGACTCCCGAAGCGAAGGGTGACGGCGGGCCACCTTGGACTCCTCCTCCTCCTCTCACCTTCCTGCCCAGCAGCCGGGATGAGCCGGCAGCGGTTCTGAGTCACCCGAGAGAAGCGGAGCGACTCCGGATTCACCCGTGAGAAGCGGAGCGACTCCGGATTAAGCGCCGAAGCGTCTGAAACGGGTTCTTCCCCCATCCCTGGTCTAACAAATAGACCGCAGGCATGTCCAACAGGTAGATCGTGATCTGGTAGATCTACCAGAAGATCACTGGACGTCTGCAGTGAAGCTGAACAACTGTGGCTCCCCTAAAAACCCCCTCAACCTTTTACCTCCTCCCTGAAAAAACTCAACAGGTTTGACCTGAACCCCCCAAAAGGGGGTAGATCACTGACAGTTTTTAACTCCGCGAGTAGATCGCAGTCTCTTGGGAGTTGGCCACCCCTGAAATAGAGGCAGTCCCAGGAAGGGATGTCCTTTCTGAACTCCCATCTTTCATACCCTCCAACGTTTCTCCCCTGGAAATAGGGACGTCCTATACCATCCCCTCCAACATTTCTCCCCTGAAAATAGGGACGTCCTATACCATCCCCTCCAACGTTTCTCCCCTGAAAATAGGGACGTCCTATTCCATCCCCTCCAACGTTTCTCCCCTGAAAATAGGGACGTCCTATACCATCCCCTCCAACGTTTCTCCCCTGAAAATAGGGACGTCGTATTCCATCCCCTCCAACGTTTCTCCTGTGAAAATAGAGACGTCCTATTCCATCCCCTCCAACGTTTCTCTGATAAAAATAGGGACGTCCTATTCCATCCCCTCCAACGTTTCTCCTTGGAAAATAGGGACGTCCTATTCCATCCCCTCCAACGTTTCTCCTGTGAAAATAGGGACGTCCTATTCCATCCCCTCCAACATTTCTTTGATGAAAATAGGGACGTCCTATTCCCTCCCCTCCACCGTTTCTCCCCTGAAAATAGGGACGTCCTATTCCCTCCCCTCCACCGTTTCTCCCCTGAAAATAGGGACGTCCTATTCCCTCCCCTCCACCGTTTCTCCCCTGAAAATAGGGACGTCCTATTCCATCCCCTCCAACGTTTCTCCCCTGAAAATAGGGACGTCCTATTCCCTCCCCTCCACCGTTTCTCCCCTGAAAATAGGGACATCCTATTCCCTCCCCTCCAATGTTTCTCCCCTGAAAAGAGGGACGTCCTATTCCATCCCGTCCAACGTTTCTCCTGTGAAAATAGGGACGTCCTATTCCATCCCCTCCAACGTTTCTCCTTGGAAAATAGGGACGTCCTATTCCATCCCCTCCACCGTTTCTCCCCTGAAAATAGGGACGTCCTATTCCATCCCCTCCAACGTTTCTCCCCTGAAAATAGGGACATCCTATTCCCTCCCCTCCAAGGTTTCTCCCCTGAAAATAGGGACGTCCTATTGCATCCCCTCCAATGTTTCTCCCCTGAAAAGAGGGACGTCCTATTCCATCCCCTCCAACGTTTCTCCCGTGAAAATAGGGACGTCCTATTCCACCCCCTCCAACGTTTCTCCCCTGATTTCCAGCGGGGGTGGAATCATATCGACTGCAAGTGTCCCCTTCCCCAAAATAGCGCAGCCACTTACAGCTTACTCGGCCGCCCCAAGATGACATCTTCAGCAGCTTTGAGGTGGTCCATTTCTCACGCAGAAGAGCCGTCTTCCTCTTCCTCGCCTTCCTCTCCAGTCTTCTGCCCTCTGAACCTCCCCTCAGCTGCTTTTATCTGCAGGGAGGGTGGGAAAAGTCTGAAGTCCAACGCCGTCCAGGATTCCACCTGCTGTCAGCAAGACCAGGAAGCTGTCGAATCCAAGGCGATTCGGAGCGCAAACATGACTTCTCCTCTGGCAGCCCAAGTTGCCTGGAGACAGACATTCTTCAAACGGTTGCTGCGGCAACGGCATAGGGACTCCCTTTGGTGTGAAGGGAGGTTGCCGGCGCCTCCCCCACGGCCACTCATGTTGCCTATGCTCTGTGGTACCCAAAGATGCTCTCCAGCTCCCCAAAAGTTGTCCGTCTTCCCAGTCCATCTTCTGCTTGCAGCAGAGATAAAGGTAAACCTAGACAGCATCTTAAAAAGCAGAGACCTCACCTTGCCAACAAAGGTCCGTATAGTTCAAGCTCTGGTTTTCCCAGGAGTGATGTATGGAAGTGAGAGCTGGACCATCAAGAAGGCTGATTGCCAAAGAATGGATGCTTTTGAATTCTGGTGCTGGAGGAGACTCTTGAGAGTCCCACAGACTGCAAGAAGATCAAACCTCTCCATTCTGAAGGAAATCAGCCCTGAGTGCTCACTAGAAGGTCAGATCCTGAAGCTGAGGCTCCAAGACTTTGGCCACCTCATGAGAAGAGAAGACTCCCTGGAAAAGACCCTGATGTTGGGAAAGATGGAGGGCACAAGGAGAAGGGGACGACAGAGGATGAGATGGTTGGACAGTGTTCTCGAAGCGACCAGCATGAGTTTGACCAAACTGCGGGAGGCAGTGGAAGACGGGAGTGCCTGGCGTGCTCTGGTCCAGGGGATCACGAAGAGGTGGATACGACTAAACGACTAAACAACAACAAAGGGACCCCTGACCATTAGGTCCATTTGTGGCCGACTCTGGGGTTGCGGCGCTCATCTTGCTTTATTGGCCAAGGGAGCCGGTGTACAGCTTCCGGGTCATGTGGCCAGCAGGACTAAGCCGCTTCTGGTGAACCAGAGCAGCGCACGGAAACGCCGTTTACCTTCCCACCAGAGCGGTATCTATTTATCTACTTGCACTTTGACGTGCTTTCGAACTGCTAGGTTGGCAGGAGCAGGGACTGAGCAACGGGAGCTCACCCTGTCACAGGGATTTGAACCGCCAACCTTCTGATCGGCAAGTCCTAGGCTCTGTGGTTTAACCCACAGCGCCACCCGTAGGAACGTAGAACAATGGTGTGCAAGCCCTTATATAGACTTTTTGAAATTGCCCACCCTGTAGCCCAAGATCACCCCAAAGAGCATCACAGAAGGAGGCGGTCTACAACAGAAATCCTGTCTGCCAGGATACTTGATAATGGTCACCGATTGCATTACCTGGGCTGTTCTTTTGTGAAGGTAAATACTTTAATTCCTGATTCCAGGTTACAGGCTCACCTGCTTTTTCTATTTCCTTAACTACCTCTTGAGCTCTCTCCAACAAACATTGTCTTTGGAACATCTTCGAGCAAACTGTTTGCCCAGGCTCAATAGATCTTTTTCACCTCCTGTTCTCCAGGTCATATAATCCGTTGTTAAGAAGCACGTCAGAGTAACCGAACCATAAATTCTAACACTTCTAGCTTTGATTACGCGAAGCGGCTTTTGTCCCACAAAGCCCAGCAGAGCTGCCGTTGTTCTCTGGAACAAACAGGATTATTAGATTAGATTATTAGAGTTGGAAAGGATCCCAAGGGTCATCTACTCCAACCCCCTGCAATGCGGTGGATTTAAGGTCTCAAATATACAAATTAAATGTTCATAAATTTACAAGGCAAACACATACTTAAGTAGGTGAACCACATGTCTGAAACAGTGCAGAAGAACAATCCTGAAACAAATTTTGACTCTCCCAAATTGACCTCAAATGTTTCTCTGCAAGGAGGAAGGAAATGGGAAAACCTCTCAATTGTCTTTTGCTTAGCTGTCTTTAGGGCATTTTCTCCCTATTTCCACAGGAGAAACGTTGGAGGGGATGGAATAGGACGTCCCTAATTTCAGGGGAGAAACGTTGGAGGGGATGGAATAGGACGTCCCTAATTTCAGGGGAGAAACGTTGGAGGGGATGGAATAGGACGTCCCTAATTTCAGGGGAGAAACGTTGGAGGGGATGGAATAGGACGTCCCTAATTTCAGGGGAGAAACGTTGGAGGGGGTGGAATAGGACGTCCCTATTTTCATCGCAGAAATGTTGGGCGGTATGCAATGCATCTTGATTATATTCAGCCCAGAGGACAAGCTACCCATGTCCCTCAGAGCGTTCAGCTCCTGTTTCCACCAAGACTCTCTTTTCCCCACTGTTGGTTCCTGCAAGGGTTTAATTATTGTCTAGCATCGCAAGAGTCCTTCACCTCGAAAGCACCTCCGTTGCCTCATCAGACAGGTGAGCTCAGCCATAAAAGAAAAAGAAGAAATAGGAGAACGCCCCTGAAATAAACGTTGTATAACTGGCAGATGGCACACACGGGGCTTTTGAATCTGACCTAATTCATAGCAACAAGGGACACGGGTGGCGCTGTGGGTTAAACCACAGAGCCTAGGACTTGCTGATCAGAAGGTCGGCGGTTTGAATCCCCACGACGGGGTGAGCTCCCGTTGCTCGGTCCCTGCTCCTGCCAGCCTAGCAGTTCGAAAGCACGTCAAAGTGCAAGTAGATAAATAGGTACCACTCCGACGGGAAGGTAAACAGTGTTTCCATGCGCTGCTCTGGTTCGCCAGAAGCGGCTTAGTCCTGCTGGCCACATGACCCAGAAGCTGTACACCGGCTCCTTCGGCCAGTAAAGCGAGATGAGCGCCGCAACCCCAGAGTCGGCCACGACTGGACCTAACGGTCAGGGGTCCCTTTACCTTTACCTAATTCATAGCAACAGGGGCCTGGTTCCTTTGGGGGACTGGGGCACAGCCCCCACAACCTCAGATGACACCAAATTAAACACTTGGTATGTGAGCACTGTTGTCTTTGTCCATGGGGTTTTCTTGGCAGGGATACTGGAGTGGCTTGCCGGTTCCTGCTCCAGGTGGATCACGTTTGGTCAAAACTCTCCACTATGACCTGTCCATCTTGGGTGGCCCTGCACGGTGTAGCTCATAGCTTCTCTGAGTTATTCAAGCCCCTTCGCCACGGCAAGGCAGTGATCCATGAAAAATGGATGCTTTTGAATTCTGGTGCTGGAGGAGACTCTTGAGAGTCCCAGGGACTGCAAGAAGATCCAACCTCTCCATTCTGAAGGAAATCAGCCCTGAGTGCTCACTGGAAGGACAGATCCTGAAGCTGAGGCTCCAAGACTTTGGCCACCTCATGAGAAGAGAAGACTCCCTGGAAAAGACCCTGATGTTGGGAAAGATGGAGGGTGCAAGGAGAAGGGGAGGACGGAGGACGAGATGGTGGGACAGTGTTCTTGAAGCTGCCAGCATGAGTTTGAACAAACTGCGGGAGGCAGTGGAAGACAGGAGGGCCTGGCGTGCTCTGGTCCAGGGGGTCGCGAAGAGTCGGACACAATGAAATGACTAAACAAAAAAAAATGTGAGCACTTAGAAAAGGACTTTGCTAAGACCCAGCATGGGTTCCTCAAAAATAAGTCATGCCGGATGAATTTACAGCGGTGACATGGTTCTCCAAAACCAAAGCGTTCCAAAACCGAGGCGCGCTTTCCCATAGAAAGGAATGCAAAACGGATTAATCCATGGGTAGGCAAACTAAGGCCTGGGGGCCGGATCCGGCCTAATCGCCTTCTCAATTCGGCCCGCGGATGGTCCGGGAATCAGCGTGTTTTTACATGAGTAGAATGTGTGCTTTTATTTAAAATGCATCTTTGGGTTATTTGTAGGGCCTGCCTGGTGTTTTCACACGAGTAGAATGTGTACTTTTATTTAAAATGCATCTCTGGGTTATTTGTGGGGCCTGCCTGTTGTTTTTACACGAGTAGAATGTGTACTTTTATTTAAAATGCATCTCTGGGTTATTTGTGGGGCATAGAAATTCATTTATTTATTTTTTCAAAATATAGTCCGGCCCCCCACAAGGTCTGAGGGACAGTGGACCGGCCCCTGGCTGAAAAAGTTTGCTGACCCCTGGTGTAACTGAACCACTCAGTTAAACCCGCTAATAAGCGATCCCTAGCGTGAGATTAATCAGGGATCTTAGCAGCTCCACTTTTACTGCCAAGCTGATATTTTTTAAAAAAGAGCACTTCTTCCGCATTCCACTGTCTTGCCAGCCAATAATTTCTTTTGCTAGTTTCCTGTTCAGACAGGTTGGAACTTGCTCCCATTTCAGAGCAGAGCACCCGATCTCGTGAAACGAAACACGCACACATTGTGCAAGCTTCGTGGTTGAGGCTGCCCTGTAAGGAGCTGGCAAGGGGGATCAGGAATAAGTAAATTCCAACACCTAGAAACAGGATCTTGCCAACAAAGGTCCGTATAGTTAAAGCCATGGTTTTCCCAGTAGTGATGTATGGAAGTGAAAGCTGGACCATAAAGAAGGCTGATCGCCGGAGAATGGATGCTTTTGAATTCTGGTGCTGGAGGAGACTTTTGAGAGTCCCATGGACTGCAAGAAGATCAAACCTCTCCATTCTGAAGGAAATCAGCCCTGAGTGCTCACTGGAAGGACAGATCCTGAAGCTGAGGCTCCAAGACTTTGGCCACCTCATGAGAAGAGAAGACTCCCTGGAAAAGACCCTGATGTTGGGAAAGATGGAGGGCACAAGGAGAAGGGGAAGACAGAGGACGAGATGGTGGGACAGTGTTCTCGAAGCTACGAAGATGAGTTTGACCAAACTGCAGGAGGCAGTGGAAGACAGGAGTGCCTGGCGTGCTCTGGTCCAGGGGGTCACGAAGAGCCGGACACGACTAAACAACAAAGAAACAGGATAGCAGTTGGGAAAAGGGAAAAGTTCATTTTGCAATTCCTTTAGATAAAAGAGGAACAGAGACTTCTGTATTTCCGGGCTGGTGTGTTTGTGCATGTTCTGCAATGAAACTCTGGACTCGGCTATGCAGCCGCAAAGGAAAGGTTTCAAGTCTGCTGCAAAGTGCATTATACAAATGCAACACTAGATGGCGATAGTGAGCTACGGAAAATTGAATGTATTTTTCAAAACGTTTTTTTAAAAAAGCATTTTCACGACTTTTAAAATATGTGTCTAGATTCCACCACTGGCACAATGAATCGGTGCCTTAAATGATGGACTGATACAATCACATGTCCTTTTGCTTTTGGCTACAACTGAGCTATACATTCAAACTGGGGTCATAGCACTTAAAACAGGCTTGGCTGCCCCAAAGAATCATGGGAGTTGTAGTTTGTTAAGGGTGCTGAGTGTCATTAGGAAAAACCTATACAGTGGTGCCTTGGTTCTCAAACTTGATCCGTTCCAAAATTCCGTTCCAAAACCAAAGCGTTCCAAAACCAAGGTGCGCCTTCCCATAGAAAGTAATGCAAAACGGATTAATCCGTTCCAGACTTTTAAATTAAACAACCCCTAAAACAGCAATTTAACATGAATTTTACTATCTAACAAGAGCCATAAAATGAAAGCAATAATCAATGTACTGCAGTATAAAATAAACAAGACAGTATGTATATGATAAGAATTAAAATTATTATTTTTTCCTTACCTGTACTGATGATAGTCGTTGTTTGGATGGGGGGCTTTTATCCATTTCCGCAGTTGCACAATCAATCAATCAATCAATCAATCCATCAGTAGCTGAACTGGGTTCCGCAGTCAAAAGACAAATGAACCGAAAAATATAATGAACGAATTCCTATGCCCCACAAATAACCCAGAGATGCATTTTAAAGAAAAGGACACATTCTACTCATGTAGAAACAAGCTGATTCCCGGACTGTCTGCAGGCCGGATTGAGAAGGCGATTGGGCCAGATCCGGCCCCCGGGCCTTAGCGTTGCCTCCCCATGCCATAGAAGACACGTATTACGAAACCATTATATCTTTTTGTAATGTGTTACAAGTCTTTTCGTTGACTGTTTTCTTTTTGGAATCAATAAAGTGAAATATATAGATATAAAAAAAAAAACAACGACACTGGCTTCAACGTCCAGGTTTTTTGACTTAGCGAAGAGACAGACATAAAAGAAACAGCTTTACTTAAACTTCCTTTTTCAATAAAAACACACACCTTTATTTATAATTCTTATATACAAGTAGATTTATATTTATATATGTATATAAAAGTGGTCTGATGTGGCGAGGGCAGGGAAGATAGGGGCTGGGTGGGTGGAGAATGTCTTCATGAGGTCTAGTAACTTTTGTGTTCGACGTGGAAAAGGAAGGGCAGGGCGGGTGTCGAGACGGAACTGTGCAAAATGTGCAAGGAGGGGGAAAAAGAAAGAGTTGCGAATGGTCCCAATTCTCAAGAAGAACCCAGTGGGATCGAGGGGAGGGCAGCCAAGTCTTTGGGTCTTCCTTGCCGTGGAGTCTTCCGGTTCGCTCCCCTTCCAAAGGAAACAGAGCCTCAGTTGACGACACCAGGATTTTCGCCGCCTTCGGAGTTTCCGAGTTCCCTGGATCGCGTGCCGGCCAGTCCAGAAACGGAGACATCATCTGCAGGAAGAAGCGAGAAACAAAGATCGCTGAAACTGTTCATTTAAGTTTTGTTATAGGAACTCTAAGGTCATGTATAGGGACGCGGGTGGCGCTGTGGGTTAAACCACAGAGCCTAGGGCTTGCCGATCAGAAGGTCGGCGGTTCGAATCCCCGCAACGACGGGGTGAGCTCCCATTGCTCGGTCCCTGCTCCTGCCAACCTAGCAGTTCAAAAGCACGTCAAAGTGAAAGTAGATAAATAGGTACCGCTCCGGCGGGAAGGGAAACGGCGTTTCCATGCGCTGCTCTGGTTCACCAGAAGCAGCTTAGTCCTGCTGGCCACATGACCCGGAAGCTGTACGCCGGCTCCCTCGGCCAGTAAAGCGAGATGAGCGCCGCAACCCCAGAGTCGGCCACGACTGGACCTAATGGTCAGAGGTCCCTTTACCTTTACCTTTGAAGGTTATATATATGTATATATATATAGATATATATATGCATGTGTATATACATATATATATATTATAAATGTTCATAAATGTACAAAGCAAACACATACATAAGTATATAAACCACTGAAATAGTACAGGAGAATCATCCTGAAGCTATTTGGACTATCCGAAATTGACCTGATATTAGTATATAGGAAGGTAGACGGCATTTCCGTGCGCTGCTCTGGTTTCACCAGAAGCGGCTCAGTCATGCTAAAATATAAACACGCTTTGACTCTCATGAGATTGAATGTCTTGCCCTCGGATGGATTCGTGGGACGATTCCAACAGATTCCACACAAAAAACATCCCTGTGGAGACGGCAGTCCTGAATCGGTGGCGCACGCCCTTCTGCCTTGCCCTCTTGATAAAGACTTGAGGAATGAGATTATCACCCCTCTTTTATCGTCCATTCCCGGTGGCCCAGCCCACTGCCCCAGTGTCCTTTCTCTGGGCAGACCAAGAGGAGCAGGTGATGGCAAAGGTGGCAAGGTTTTTCGCTGGGGCAATCAGAATAAGATCCACTATTGATTCAAAACCCCAAAAATGTATTGTATATGACTGACTTTTTATTTCTATTCTTTGCGTATCGTATTGTTGTTTTATTGCTATGGCTGATGGCTGACGCAAATAAAAGAATCTGAAGAAGTGTGCATGCACACAAAAGCTCATACCAATAAACTTAGTTGGTCTCTAAGGTGCTACTTGGGACGTGGGTGGCGCTGTGGGTTAAACCACAGAGCCTAGGGCTTGCCGATCAGAAGGTCGGCGGTTCGAATCCCCGTGACGGGGTGAGCTCCCGTTGCTCGGTCCCTGCTCCTGCCAACCTAGCAGTTCAAAAGCACGTCAAAGTGCAAGTAGATAAATAGGTACCGCCCAGGTGAAGGTACGGTGTTTCCGTGCGCTGCTCTGGTTCGCCAGAAGCGGCTTAGTCCTGCTGGCCACATGACCCGGAAGCTGTACGCCGGCTCCCTCGGCCAGTAAAGCGAGATGAGCGCCGCAACCCCAGAGTCGGCCACAACTGGACCTAATGGTCAGGGGTCCCTTTATCTTTAAGGTGCTACTGGAAGGAATTTTTTATTTTTATTTTGTTTCGACTACGGCAGACCAACACGGCTACCTACTTGTAACAAATATAAAGTTCATTTGTTCGCTCTGAGGGGACACCTCTTTCGCCGGCCGGGTCCCTGTCTCCCCGCCCCCCAAGGCAAAACGAAACCCGACTTACGGAACCGGACGCGGATGGGCCAAATCATTATGCAGGCGAGGCCCAAGGTGGCGACGACAGCCATTCCTCCGGTGACAGCCACCATCACCCAACGGTAAAAGGGAACGCAGTTGCCGCAACAGTGTTCCGTCCTGGGGAGAGAGAAGGAAAAGGGGAAGGCAACAGGGGCTTGTTAATAATAATAATAATAATTTATTATTTATACCCCACCCATCTGGCTGGGCTTCCCCAGCCACTCTGGGCGGCTTCCCAAAAAATATTAAAATACTGTAATACATCAAACATTAAAAGCTTCCCTAAACAGGGCTGCCTTCAGATGTCTTCTAAAAGTCTGGTAGTTGTTGTTCTCTTTGACATCTGGTGGGAGGGCGTTCCACAGGGAGGGTGCCACCACCGAGAAGGCCCTCTGCCTGGTTCCTTGTAACTTGGCTTCTCACAGTGAGGGAACCGCCAGAAGGCCCTCGGTGCTGGACCTCAGTGTCCGGGTAGAACGATGGGGGTGGAGACGCTCCTTCAGGGATACTGGGCCATTTAGGGCTTTCAAGGTCAGCACCAACACTTTGAATTGTGCTCGGGAACATACTGGGAGCCAATGTAGGTCTTTCAAGACCGGTGTTATATGGTCTCGGCGGCTGCTCCCAGTCCCCAGTCTAGCTGCCGCATTCTGGATTAGTTGCACTTTCTGTGTCACCTTCAAAGGTAGCCCCACGGAGAGCGCATGGCAGTAGTCCAAGCGGGAGATAACCAGAGCATGCACCACTCTGGCCAGAAAGTGCGCAAGCAGGGAGGGTCTCATCCTGCATCCCAGAAGGAGCTGCCCTGGACACAGAATTGACCTGCGCCTCCATGGACAGCTGTGAGTCCGGAATGACTCCCAGGCTGCACTCCTGGTCCTTCAGGGGCCCAGTGATCCCATTCAGGACCAGGGAATCCTCCACACCTGCCCGCCTCCTGCCTCCCAAAAGTAGTCCTTCTGTCTTGTCAGGATTCAACTTCAATCTGTTAGCCGCCATCCATCCTCCAACCTCCAACCTGTTAAAGGAAGAGTGACTTCGGGCCAAATTCCCGGGAGATCTCTTGTGTACAGAACCGGAAGCAGCCAACAAGCCAGGCGAGAGCTTCCTGGGAAACGATGTACAGTGGTACCTCGCAAGATGAATGCCTCGCAAGACGAAAAACGCGCAAGACGAAAGAGTTTTCCGTTTTTTGAGTCGTTCCACAAGACAAATTTCCCTATGGGCTTGCTTCGCAAGACGAAATGTCTTGCGAGTTCTTGCAAGTTTGTTTCCTTTTTCTTTAAGCCGCTAAGCCGTTAATAGCCGCTAAGCCGCTAATAGCCGTGCTTCGCAAGACGAAAAATCCGCAAGACGAAGAGACTCGCGGAACGAATTTCATCTTGCGAGGCACCACTGTACAGTCATCCCTCGCTTGATGGACAGCTTGCGACTCGAACGTTTTGGTTCCCTGAATGCTGCGAACCCAGAAGCGATCGTTCCGGTTCGTGAACAATTTTCGGCAGCCGAACGTCCCACGCGGCTTCCGGATGAGTGCGGGAAGCTCCTGCAGCCAATCGGAAGCCGCGCCTAGGTTTTCGGCCGGTTTACTTATTTAATTTCGACACCACTTTATACTTTTAAGAAAAAACTCAAAGCAGTTTGCAGTGTATGAAAACATTAAAACGATCACGGATTCCGTTCGGCAACCTTTTAACGGTTTTCCAAATCGCAGTTCTTATAAAATGTATCTTAAACATTAACATCCTTAGATCTTCACGTTATGAAATTAAACATATTAGTTCATCACTTAACATATGTAAAATCCTCGGCCGAATCGGCAAAGCATTTAAATGGCTTGCATCAAAGTGATAAATACCGTATTTTTTGCTCTATAAGACTCACTTTCTCCCTCCTAAAAAGTAAGGGGAAATGTGTGTGCGTCCTATGGAGCGAATGCAGGCTGCGCAGCTATCCCAGAAGCCAGAACAGCAAGAGGGATTGCTGCTTTCACTGCGCAGCAATCCCTCTTGCTGTTCTGGCTTCTGAGATTCAGAATATTTTTTTGTTTTCCTCCTCCAAAAACTAGTTGCGTCTTGTGGTCTGGTGCGTCTTAGAGAGCGAAAAATACAGTGACCAAGTTGAGATCGAAATTATTATATGCCTATTTCAAATCAAGTTTATTATCTAAGAGCTGTTCCTTCTCAGAATTGCTCTCACCAGGAGCAAAGCGTCTTGCACCCTGCAATTGCTGCATACTGTTATGTTACGGTTTGTGGCTTCAGCTGGTAACATTCCTACTTACGGGCACGGGTGCAAGTTCTGGATGATCATCACGCCCACTCCATTGGCGACTTTATCTGTGAAGCTCATGGCTCCGTAGACGAAGGCACCACTGTGCTATTGGAGAAAACGAGATTGCCATTTGGGCTCCAGGAAAGCTCAGCGTACATACACACAGAATTGAAAATAGCTATAATTCGAAATGTACTGTAAAGTGTGTTATGAAGATGGAATGGAATAATTTATGACATAATTATAATTACAATAAGGGACGCGGGTGGCGCTGTGGGTTAAACCACAGAGCCTAGGGCTTGCCGATCAGAAGGTCGGCGGTTCGAATCCCCGCAAGGACGGGGTGAGCTCCCGTTGCTCGGTCCCTGCTCCTGCCAACCTAGCAGTTCAAAAGCACGTCAAAGTGCAAGTAGATAAATAGGTACCGCTCCGGCGGGAAGGTAAACAGCGTTTCCGTGTGCTGCTCTGGTTCGCCAGAAGCGGCTTAGTCCTGCTGGCCACAGGACCCAGAAGCTGTACGCCGGCTCCCTCGGCCAATAAAGCGAGATGAGCGCCGCAACCCCAGAGTCGTCCACGACTGGACCTCATGGTCAGGGGTCCCTTTACCTTTACCTTTATGTCAACCACAGAGCCTGGGACTTGCCAAACAGAAGGTCGGCAGTTCGAATCCCCGCAATGACGGGGTGAGCTCCCGTTGCTCAGTCCCTGCTCCTGCCAACCTAGCAGTTCGAAAGCACGTCAAAGTGCAAGTTTGGGGATGCCTGCTCTAGTGAGTTTCTGGGTCACCTTCAAAGGTAGCCCCACAGAGAGCGCATGGCAGTAGTCAAAGCGGAGATAACCAGAGCATGCACCACTCTGGCGAGACAGTCTGCGGGCAGGAAGGGTCTCATCCTGCATACCAGATGGACCTGGTAAACAGCTGTCCTGAACACAGATTTGACCTGTGCCTCCATGGACAGCTGTGAGTCCAAAATGACTCCCAGGCTGCGCACCTGGTCCTTCAGGGGCACAGTCGCCCCATTCAGGACCAGGGAGTCCCCCACACCCGCCCGCCCCCTGTCCCCCAAAAACAGTCCTTCTGTCTTGTCAGGATTCAACCTCAATCTGTTAGCCGCCATCCCTCCTCCAACCGCCTCCAGACACTCACACAGGACCTTCACTGGTTCTGATTTAAAAGAGAGGTAGAGCTGGGTATCATCCGCATACTGGTGATGCATGTGTGCGTGTTTCCCTGGCAAGATCGCCCGTGCGCTCTGCGCATGCCCACATTACGTACTGTGTTGCTGCCGATGAGGTCGGCCGTCATGGAGAGAGAAGTTACCAGGATTGTGGCCGAACCGGTGCCCAAGAGGACGGCTGCCCCATAGATCTCCACGCCGATTCTTTCAGCCAAAGCTACCCAGGAAGCAAATGCCAGTATGATTAGCAGGCCCACGAAGTAGGTGAGCTAAACATAAAGGAGAGAAAAGAAGAGATTTTGAAAAATTATAGAGGGGAAGAAAAACACTAGACCAGATGTCAGCAAACTTTTTCAGCAGGGGGCCGGTCCACTGTCCCTCAGACCTTTTAGGGGGCCGGACTCTATTTTGAAATACCGTATTTTTTGCTCTATAAGACTCACCTTTTCCCTCCTAAAAAGTAAGGGGAAATGTGTGTGCGACTTATGGAGCGAATGCAGGCTGCACAGCTATCCCAGAAGCCAGAACAGCAAGAGGGATCATTGCTTTCGCTGCGCAGCAATCCCTCTTGCTGTTCTGGCTTCTGAGATTCGAAATATTTTTTTTCTTGTTTTCCTCCTCCAAAAACTAGGTGCGTCTTGTGGTTTGCTGCGTCTTACAGAGCGAAAAATACGGTAAATATAATGAACGGATTCCTAGGCCCCACAAATAACCCAGAGATGCATGTGAGCTACTCACGTTTCTGCCAATCTTCTTGTTCACAGTCTTCATCAGAAATGAGGAGAGGAAGCCGCTAATGTACATCACTAGGGGAATCGTGGCGATGAACCTCTGCAGGAAGGCAAGAGTCAGGGGAAAAAATGGGATGGACTCTGTTATCTCTGGAGGAGGAAGAGCTGAAAACCAGGACCAGCCACCTCCCAGCTCTATCTGGTATGCAGGATGAGACCCTCCCTGCCCACAGACTGTCTCTCCAGAGTGGTGCATGCTCTGGTTATCTCCTGCTTGGACTACTGCCATGCGCTCTCCGTGGAGCTGCCTTGGAAGGTGACCCGGAAACTGCAATTAATCCAGAATACGGCAGCCAGACTGGGGACTGGGAGCGGCTGCTGAGACCCTATAACCCCAGTTCTGAGAGATCTACATTGGCTCCCAGTACGTTTCCAAGTACAATTCAAAGTGTTGGTGCTGACCTTGAAAGCCCTAAACGGCCCAGTATCCCTGAAGGAGCGTCTCCACCCCCATCGTCCAGCCTGGACACCTGGGTCCATCTCCTGAGGGCCTTCTGGCAGTTCACTCCCTGCGAGAAGCGAAGTTACAGGGAACCAGGCAGAGGGCCTTCTCGGTGGTGGCGCCCGCCCCGTGGAACGCCCTCCCGTCAGATGTCAAGGAGATAAACAACTACCTGACTTTTAGAAGACATCTGAAGGTGGCCCTGTTTAGGGAAGTATTTAATGTTTGATGTTTTGTCATGTTTTTAATATTTTGTTGGGAGCCGCCCAGAGTGGCTGGGGAAACCCAGCCAGATGGGCGGGGTATAAATGATAAATTATATTATAATTATATCTATCAGACCAGTCCGTCCAGACTGAGGGAGAACTCAACCGCCACCTCATGAGAAAAACAGCAGCTTCCAGCGAGAGCTCACAAGAGCCTCGCTTACCGGGGTCTCGGAAGCCCCTGGGAGATTTTGGGGGTCTCTCACAAGATGTCGCCAGAAATGGCAAACCGCTGGTGCCATGCATGTGTGGCAACCCTCTGCAAATCTCCCCTGATTGGCAAATCCTGCTCCAAAAACAGCTAGATTTCTGTAACTCCACAAGAGAGCCTGGGGTGGGTGGGTGTGTTTTGAAATTTGTCCCTTGAACTTCTAATCTTTGCAAAATGTCGATTATATTCCTAACATTCTCTTTCATATGTCCAGGCAGAACTTGTGAATATAATCTGACAGAACCTTCTTCAACCTATCGGCCAAAATATTAGCAACAATTTCGTAATCCACATTAAGCAATGATTGGTTTAGGAGTGGAATATGTTACAATTGCATAACACTGTGGATAGAAGTTAATATGAAAAGAAAGATGTTAATTGAAGTTAATTTTATTTGAAAAAAGTATTAGAAAACTGCTACAATGAGTTAGATGGAAAGTCGGCTAGGGGCATTCAAGGAAGTCACCTAACAAAAGTGGGATTATAAAAGTTAGGATAAATGTTTGTCTGTCTGTCTGTTTGTTTTTTGTATTGTAATGTTTTCCTTTTATGTTATAAATTTGGAAAACCAATAAAAAAAATTTGGGGGGAAAATGAAATTGGTCCCTCGCATCCTCAGGAGCCAGTTGCCTTAGCAACCAGGTGAAGGATGCTTCAGTCCTCAAGCCTGCCTCCAGTCGGACTCACCTTAGGGAGCATGAGTGAATTGGTGAGGTACATCGCAATGTAGGTTTGGGAGAGGTTGACGATGAGCCGTGTGGCCATATACAACATTGCCACCTGGAAAGAAAGAAGAGGAGAGACAGTCAAGGGAGGATTATTATATACTGTATTTTTCTGTGTATAAGATACTCCCTGGGACGCGGGTGGCGCTGTGGGTTAAACCACAGAGCCTAGGACTTGCTGATCAGAAGGTTGGCGGTTCGAATCCCCATGACGGGGTGAGCGCCCATTGCTCAGTCCCAGCTCCTGCCAACCTAGCAGTTCGAAAGCACCTCAAAGTGCAAGTAGATAAATAGGTACCACTCCGGCGGGAAGGTAAACGGCGTTTCCGTGTGCTGCTCTTGTTCGCCAGAAGCGGCTCAGTCCTGCTGGCCACATGACCCGGAAGCTGGACGCCGGCTCCCTCGGCCAGTAAAGCAAGATGAGCGCCGCAACCCCAGAGCCGGCCACGACTGGACCTAATGGTCAGGGGTCCCTTTACCTTTACATTTAAGTTGCTCCCAATTTTTTGGGACTCCAATTTAAGAAAATGGGGGGGGGGAGATTGCCGCGTGTATAACGACGACCTGCAGTTTTTCCACATACCGTATTTTTCGCTCTATAGGACGCACTTTTTCCCCTCCAAAAATGAAGGGAAATGTGTGTGCGTTCTATGGGGCGAATGCAGGCTTCGCTGACGCCTGGAGAGCGAGAGGCGTGGGGGCGCACCCACACCTCTCACTCTCCAGGCTCCAGGAGCTATATGCAAGCCTTGCGCACCGGGGGGAGTTCCCCCGGGCACGCAAGGCTTGCGGGCGGCAGCCTGCAGCGCGGAGCACGGGGCGCCCTCCGGAGGACGCCCCGGGCTTCGCGCAGGTGTCTGCAGCCTGCCGCCCGGCGCGTGGGGCGCCCTGAAGCAGAGCGCCCCTCACGCCGGGCAGACATCGGCCAGCCCCACAAGCTCGGGGGACAACGGGGAGGCGCAGCGCCGCCATCCCACTGTTCCCCGGCCTGGTTTTGGGGGGGAAATAAAGGAAAAAAAATTTTCCTTTATTTCCCCCCCAAAAAAGTAGGTGCGCCCTATGGGACAGAGCGTCCTATGGAACGAAAAATACGGTAATTTGTAAGTAAAAAAACCCTAGTCTTATACACGGAAAAGTGTGGCACTCAAATCAGAAGCGCAACACTCAAAACGGATCACGTTCAGCTTCCAAAAAAAGTTCGAAAACTGGAATGCTTACATCCGGGTTTGAAGTGTTTGGGTTCCAAGTTGTTTGAGTACCAAGGCGTTTGAGAACCAAGGGACCACTGTAGCGAGGTTAAAGCTTACTGAGAAATGATATATAATGAACTGTAAAGGATGTTTAAAATAACCTTTGTAAAAAAAAAAAAAAAAACACCAGAATTTTAGGAACAGAATAACCCAAACTGTACAGAGTCCCATTCGCAACATGAGCAGAACGTGACCCGCGATTCGCCACTTCCATGCACGACATTATTTTGAGCATCTGCGCATGTGCGAGCGGCGAAACCCAGAAGTAACCCGTTCCGTTACTTCCGGGTCACCGCGGGACGTATCCTGAAAAAACATAACCTGAAGCGGACGTAACAAGAGGTATTACTGTATCCTCCAGACAGTCCATCCGTGAAAGAGGTGGATCTCAATAGTTAACCACACAAAGATCAGCTTTATTGGGCTAATAATAATAACAATAACAATAATAATAATAATAATTTATTATTTATACCCCGCCTATCTGGCTGGGCTTCCCCAGCCACTCTGGGCAGCTTCCAACAAAATATAAAAAGACATCAAACATTAAAATCTTCCCTAAACAGGGCTGCCTTCAGGTGTCTTCCAAAAGTCAGATAGTTGTTTATTTCCTTGACATCTGATGGGAGGGCGTTGCACAGGGCAGGCGCCACCACCGAGAAGGCCCTGTGCCTGGTTCCCTGTAATTTCATTTCTCGCAGGGAGGGAACTGCCAGAAGGCCCTCAGAGACGGACCCAGGTGTCCGGGCTGGATGATGGGGGTGGAGACGCTCCTTCGGGGAAACACAGCCATTTAGGGCTTTCAAGTTCAGCACCAGGGCTGCCTTCAGATGTCTTCCAAAAGTTAGATAGTTCTTTATTTCCTTGACATCTGATGGGAGGGCGCCACCACCGAGAAGGCCCTGTGCCTGGTTCCCTGTAACCTCGCTTCTCGCAGGGAGGGAATCACCAGAAGGCCCTCAGTATCCTGGATTTGGGGCTAGGCCCCCTATATCCCATGGGGCTAAGGCAATAGGGACCCGGTCACCTGCCTGGGGCCAACCATCTCCTTGCTCCCTCATCGCTTGAACTCACCTGGTAGAAAGAAGGCTCCAAAAGCCAATGTTTCCAGCGGAGCAGGGGCCTAGGGGGGCTTTTTCGGTCCGGGGGCAACAGAGGGGTCCGTTCCTCAGGATCTGGCAGCCTGGAAACTGGGGCACTCTTTTCTTTGGTGCCAAGATGGAAGAGAAGCGAAGTGATGGCGCCGATGCCCACTACGATCAGAGACAGGTTCTGAATTCGGGGGGGAAGAGAAAGGCTTTGACTTTTTTTCTTTCCAAAAAATTTATTGATTTTCAACATTTCTCACAAAAAGGACACAACAAACACACCACAATAAACTAAACACAAAGAAAAATGGTTTCTTCAAATACTTAATTCTCATGACATTGAGAACGTGACTTCCTCAAATCCCTCTGACTGAATTTCATTATGTCAGTTCTCCAGATTCATACTTCTAATTATATTGATTCCTTTCATTTACTAACCTCTTCTCCTTTATTAATATTCTAATCCTTAATATTGACTGCCACGTATTCTTATTCTAACCCTAAGCCTATTTAATTACTTCCAGGAATTTTCAAATTTATCTTGTATCACAATATTTAGCTAAATATCCTTTAAATTTCTTCCAAGAGGACAAGAAGAGGCTTTGACTTTCTATTTAACATATCTGCCATTCGGGATCGAACTGCCTCTAAACAAGGAAGGAGGGTCCATCTTCCTTTGTCACAAGAAACTCCTGGAAACGGCCCTTTCTTTCCTGTCAAGTGAGCTCCATCCTGCAGCAAGGAGTTGCAGAGATCCCAGATCTACAACTCTTTTAAATCAGAACCAGTGAAGGCGGTGAAGGACCTGTGTGAGTGTCTGGAGGCGGTTGGAGGATGGATGGCGGCCAACAGATTGAGGTTGAATCCTGACAAGACAGAAGGACTTGTGTGGGCAGGTGTGTGGGACTCCCTGGTCCTGAATGGGGTAACTGTGCCCCTGAAGGATCAGGTGCGCAGCCTGGGAGTCATTTTGGACTCACCGCTGTCCATGGAGGCACAGGTTAATTCTGTGTCCAGGGCAGCTCCATCTGGTACGCAGGATGAGACCCTCCCTGCCCGCAGACTGTCTTGCCAGAGTGGTGCATGCTCTGGTTATCTCCTGCTTGGACTACTGCCATGCGCTCTCCGTGGGGCTACCTTTGAAGGTGACACGGAAACTACAACTAATCCAGAATGTGGCAGCCAGACTGGGGACTGGGAGCGGCCGAGACCACATAACACCGGTCCTGAGAGATCTGCATTGGCTCCCAGGACATTTCTGAGCACAATTCAAAGTGTTGGTGCTGACCTTGAAAGCCCTAAACGGCCTCGGCCCAGTATACCTGAAGGAGCGTCCGCCCCATCGCTCCAGCCCGGACACTGTGGTCCAGCTCTGATGGCCTTCTGCCGCTTCCCCCCCTGCGAGAAGTGTTGTTACATGGAACCAGGCAGAGGGCCTTCTCGGTGGTGGCGCCCGCCCTGTGGAACGCCTCCCATCAGATGTCAAGGAGACAAACAAGTAAATGACTTTTAGAAGACATCTGAAGGCAGCCCTGTTTAGGGAAGCTTTTAATGTTTTGATGTTTTATCGTGTTTTTAATATTCTGTTGAGAGCCGCCCAGAGTGGTTGGGGGATCCCAGCCAGATGGGTGGGGTATTACTAGTTATTATTACAGTCATACCTCGGGTTACTAGTACGCTTCCGAGGTCGCATTTTTAAGCTGACAGACCGTTCTAAACCCGGAAGCACCGACGTTAGCTAATGCGGGCTTCTGACTGTCGCGCATGTCGCAGAAGCACTAGATTGCTCTGTTCTCATGCGCAGAAGCACAAGTTGCTAACCTGCACAGCGACTAGGTTTCTGAATGCTAGTGGAGTCTGTAAACCTGAAGCATCCGCAACCAGATCACATATCGTAACCTGAGTGTACCACTGCAGTTATAAATTATTATTATTAGTTATTATTAGTTGTTGTTGTTGTTGCTGCTGCTGTTGCTGTTATTATTATCAGCATCATCAGAGGCTCAGAAGCAATTAAGGACCCTCGTGGAACAAACACACAGTTCCGCTTCATCCTTGCACTCACCCGAAAGACGGGGATGTCGTGGCGTCCGAGGTGGTGACTCTGTTCTGGCTGCCCGCGGTGGCCCACCTGGAAGTGAAGGAGGAGCCAGGCCGCTGCGTAAACGGTGATGTTAGCCATGACGGTGAAGGCATACCTGTAAAAGCCACGGGAGAGGATAATAAATAATAATAATAATATATATATAATAATATCTTATTGTCATTGCCTTCGGGGACAACGAAATTACTTGACTGCTCCATAAAAACTCTAATTAATCAGTACAGTATAATACAGCAAGGGAGATTAGATGACTTTCAAAGTCCGGGCTTCCCATTCAGGGCCGAGATCGCTCTGGAGAAGAAGCTGGAGAAGACGGCTCGTTCTTGTCTTCATCGTCCTGTATCTCCGTCCCGACGGCAAGAGCTCGAAGAGACAGTGACCAGGATGCGATGGGTCTTTTACTATGTCCAGTGCCTTCCTATGGCACCTTGTGGCATAAATCTGCTCTAAGGTGGAGAGTGGGCAGCCAACAATGCTCTCTGCTGCCTTAACAACCCTGCACAACCCCATCCTGTCCTGGGTAGTACAGCTTCCGTACCACACACATAAGCCATAAGTGAGCACGCTCTCAATGGCACAGTGATAGAAGGCAAGCAGCAGTTTCTGCGGAAGATGGTTTTTCCTTAGTATTCTCAAAAAGTACAGTCTCTGCTGCGCCTTCTTCACAAGCCCCCTTGTGTTGACACTCCAGGATGTGGTCAGGAATCGCGCAGTTCATGGATGGAGTTTAATAATAATAATAAATTTTATTTATACCTGGCCAGAGCTGGGCTCAGGGCGGCTAACACCAGTAAAATTACAGTAAAAACATAATGTGGGGGACGACACACAATTTAAAATACAGGTTAATATGCAATTTAAAATTCAGCCTCATTTTAATAGGAGCCCATAGATCAAAACCATAAGGGGAGGGAAACATAAGGGGCAGACTGAGTCCAAACCAAAGGCCAGGCAGAACAGCTCTGTCTTGCAGGCCCTGCGGAAAGATGTCAAGTCCCGCAGGGCCCTGGTCTCTTGGGACAGAGCATTCCACCAAGTCGGGGCCAGCACTGAAAAGGCCCTGGCTCTGGTTGAGACCAACCTAACCACCTTGCGACTTGGGACCTCCAAAGTGTTGTCATTTGTGGACCTCCCGTGGGGCATACCGGGAGAGGCGGTCCCATAGGTACGAGGGTCCTAGGCCATATAAGGCTTTAAAGGTCAAAACCAGCACCTTAAACCTGACCCTGTACTCCACCGGGAGCCAGTGCAGTTGGTAAAGCGCTGGATGAATGCGATCCCGCGGCAAGGACACCGTAAGGAGCCTTGCCACGGTGTTCTGCACCCGCTGGAGTTTCTGGGTCAGCTTCAAGGGCAGCCCCGCGTAGAGCGAATTACAGTAGTCAAGCCTGGAGGTGACCATCGCATGGATCACTGTGGCCAGATCAGGGCGAGAAAGTCCTTCGGTTGAGCGCCAGGCCTCACCGGAAAGCTGTGAGCTCCACTTTTCCATGATCACTGTCCACAAGCTCCGGGATGAGAGAGAGGTGGGAGATTTGGGTAGCGGCCCAGCCGAACTGGAAGATGACGATGAACGGGATGAAGTAGATGAGGGCTGCAAACTGGGGGGTGTTCTCTGAGCATCCCAGGCAAGGGTTGAAAATAAAGGGGAAGGACAGGAGGACGCAGATGGTACCTACAGGAGAAGGAAATAGAGAGATAGAAGGAAGGAAGGGGCATTTTAAAACACTGGGAGCAGGCTCCGCAAAGATGCTCTCCGTTTATTTCAGAAGCACTTACGGACTGCTCAATATATATACAGTGGTACCTCGGGTTAAATACTTAATTCGTTCTGGAGGTCCGTACTTAACCTGAAACTGTTCTTAACCTGAAGCACCACTTTAGCTAATGGGGCCTCCTGCTGCTGCTGCGCCACCGGAGCACGATTTCTGTTCTTATCCTGAAGCAAAGTTCTTAACCTGAAGCACTATTTCTGGGTTAGCGGAGTGTGTAACCTGAAGCGTATGTAATCCGAGGTACTACTGTACAGTGGTATCCGGGGCTGGATTTAGGTTTGATGAGGCCCTAAGCCAGGGGATCAGCAAACTTTTTCAGCCTTGGGTCAGTCCACTGTCCCTCAGACCATGTGGTGGGCCGGACTATATTTTGGAAAAAAATATGAACGAATTCCTATGCCCCACAAATAACCCAGAGATGCATTTTAAATTAAAGCACACATTCTACTCATGTACAAACACCAGGCAGGCCCCACAAACAACCCAGAGATGAATTTTAAATAAAAGGACACGTTCTACTCGGACCATCCGTGGGCCGGATTTAGAAGGCATCACACAACATGAGAGGCCAACGAAGTTGATGTTGAAGAATCATCGCTTTGACACTGGCGACCTTTGCTTCTTCCAGTACACTGGCATTCGTTCGCCTGTCTTCCCAGGAGATGTATAAAGTATTTCGGAGACACCTTTAATGGAATCTTTCAAGGAGTTGGAAATGGCGTTTATAAGTGGTCCACATTTCACAAGCATACAGTAAGGTTTGGCAGGGCAATAGCTTTGTAAACAAGTGAAAAGGAAAAGTAAATCTGTTTATATCACAAGCATTTTGGTTTCCCTGCGAATGTCCCGGTCCTCAAACACTCTGCGCTTCAATTGCGAGAAAGCCGTACTCACAGAGCTCAGGCGATGATGGATTTCAGCATCAATGTCGGCCCTTGTGGAAAGATTCCTGCCCAGATAGGAGAAGCGATCGACATTTTCCAACGTTCACACCACTGAGTTGGATTTGTGGCGCCGCAGAGGGGTTGCTTTGTGCTTGTTGGTGCAGCACTTTGGTTTTAAACAATAGCAAGGCAGGATCAAGACAAAAGGGTGTGATTAACTTGGCTGGGAAACAGGGGCATGTAAATATCTCTTTTGCAACACTCGATTGGTGTATGGTGGAGGTCGAGGGAGTGGCAGGGGCAAGCCCTGATGATCAGGTTTTCCTCCCAACATTTGATGTATTCATGATGTAATTTTAGGTGTGTTGTGGGTATCTCTGTAAAACTGATAAAAGTGGGAGCCATCCTTTGTTCTGGGCTCCATCCTGCTTCTCCCATGTGGTGGGTGAAAGAATTGTTGCAACAGTTGTCAAATAAAGATCAAGCCTACTGGCTGCTGTTTTGCGCCTCTTTTGGTAATCGTTTGGTAATCCAAGCGAGCCCAAGGATTTTCCTACAACAGCTTTTATGACTGTACAGTGGTCCCTTGGTTCTCAAACTTTATCCGTTCCGGTCCGTTCCAAAACCAAAGCGTTCCAAAACCAAGGCGTGCTTTCCCATAGAAAGTCATGCAAAACAGATTAATCCGTTCCAGACTTTTAGAAACAGGCCCCTAAAACTGCAATTTAACATGAATTTTACTATCTGACGAGACCGTTGATCCATAAAATGAAAGCAATAATGTACTGCAGTCACATACACAATCAGTAGCTGAACTGAGTTCTACACAGTCACAGGAACAAATCAAAAAGAGTCGCAAAAACGCAAAATAAATAGCGAAAACAGACCTCAGCGTAACACTCCAATGAGAAGTGTGACACTCAAAATGGAGGACGTTCGGCTTCCGAAAAACATTCGCAAACCGGAACGCTTGCTTCCAGGTTTGCAGTGTTTGGGTTCCAAGTTGTTTGAAGACCAAGGTAGCACTGTATGTATGTATGATGATGATTATAGCTGCTATGGGCAGGTAGTAAATTTGAAACAATAAATGGATTTCTGTTTTTCTTCCTTTGTACAGATGTCATCAGAGACATCACCTTGCCAACAAAGGTCCGTATAGTAAAAGCTATGGTTTTCCCAGCAGTGATGTATGGAAGTGAGAGCTGGACCATCAAGAAGGCTGATGGCCGAAGAATGGATGCTTTTGAATTCTGGTGCTGGAGGAGACTCTTGAGAGTCCCATGGACTGCAAGAAGATCCAATCTCTCCATTCTGAAGGAAATCAGCCCTGAGTGCTCACTGGAAGGACAGATCCTGAAGCTGAGGCTCCAAGACTTTGGCCACCTCAGGAGAAGAGAAGACTCCCTGGAAAAGACCCTGATGTTGGGAAAGATGGAGGGCACAAGGAGAAGGGGACAACAGAGGACGAGATGGTGGGACAGTGTTCTCGAAGCTACCAGCATGAGTTGGACCAAACTGCGGGAGGCAATGGAAGACAGGAGGGCCTGGCGTGCTCTGGTCCAGGGGGTCACGAAGAGTCGGACACGACTAAACGACTAACCAACAACAACAGATGTCATCACAAAATGAAGCTAAAATCCAGACACATGTGCCCACACACATCTCCCAGTGGATTCAAAAACGCTTTGCTGATTGCTTGTAGCTCGGTCGTGTGTCCTCATTCCCCAACACCCCCAGTGCTGGGTAAAGTTCACCTTTTTGAAGAAGAAAAAATCTCATCTTCTTTATGAGATCATTGCTTATCTAAAGCCTTAGAAGTCTTCCCACACCTCCAGTCACAAGACCCTCTTTCCCAAGCTAGCACTGCCCCCAGATTCACTTTAAACCAGAAAAATTCGGAAGCGGGTCTGTTTGCTTTTTGATGATTCAGCCTCCTGTGATTTGGGAAAGGAACAAAACCAGGAAGGAGACAGTCCACCAATGATACTCTTTTTGCCAGTTTCGTCAGAAAAGGGAACTTTTCAGCGCGACTAAGAAAAGTCAGATGTTTGAGGCAAACAGCATCTGTACTTTCCAATTCCTCTTTTCAAAAGAGAAAAAAGTTTCGCTGAGTTATCTGCCCCTCGCAAACACACACGGCGTTATCAAGAGCTAACACTCCCCTCCAAGGTTTGTGTGTCTCTGCCAACCGTTCTGCTACAGGATATTATTTTCTGGGGTTTTCACCACCACAAATTAAAACCAAAAAACCGTAAAATTCAAGCTGCCTAGGACAGCATTCTGCACAAAGCAGTTAACTTTTAGGTTGCAGAACTGACGTTAGTTCATTTCAGCAGGTCTGCTCTCTAGGGTCCTTTCCCGAAGTTAAACTAAGTTCCTAGTCCTCAGCCAATTACCGTATTTTTTGCTCTATAAGACTCACTTTTCCCCTCCTAAAAAGTAAGGGGAAATGTGTGTGCGTCTTACGGAGCGAATGCAGGCTGCGCAGCTATTCCAGAAGCCAGAACAGCAAGAGGGATTGCTGCTTTCGCTGCGCAGCGATCCCTCTTGCTGTTCTGGCTTCTGAGATTCAGAATATTTTTCTTCTTGTTTTCCTCCTCCAAAAACTAGGTGCGTCTCATGCTCTGGTGCGTCTTATAGAGCAAAAAATATGGTAATTGGCAACAATGGACCCAAGTCAGTCGCGGCCATTCGTTTCAATGGGTTTACTCTGAGCAGGGCGAACACTGGGTAAAACCTCATATAGTCTTGCAGAGATTGGGGTGTTTTTGCATGTACACGAATCTACCCAAGGCTAGCGCAGACCCGGTGAAATGAAAGGGCACAAGTTCCTTGCGTCCGTTCATTTCAAAGGGGTCTACTCTTGAGTAAAACATAAGGATCTAGCCTGAACATCTGAAGGCAGCCCTGTTTAGGGAAGCTTTTAATGTTTAACAGACCACTGTATTTTAATACTTTGTTGGAAGCCGCCCAGAGTGGCTGGGGAAACCCAGCCAGATGGGCGGGGTATAAATAATAAATTATTATTATTATTAACTTGCCGCTGGCCGACTGACCCTCGAATAGGAAGGGGATGTATCCCATCTAGAGTCCGCCCCACAGACTCACTGTTTTTGTGGTCATGTGAACAGAGGTCATGTGACTTTTGACCAGCTGGACTCATCGCCTTGAGGAGATGGGACTTTGGCCACCAGCCGCCCACCAGAAAAACCAACCCAACTCCAATCTCAGCTGCCGAGGTTGTGAGGAGGTTGAAAATTGCAGCCAGCCACCAAACAACCCCTTTCAGTTATGTGATATATATATATATATATATATATATATATATATATATATGAGTTATTTACAGAAATATAACAGTGCTACAATACCTACGGCAACATTTGAGTGACCCTTGTTGATAGTCACTGTTAAGAAAGAAGGGTACAAATTGTTGTAAGAAGGTATCAGAAAACACAGAAAGAGTAAGTTAATAACAATCAGTACACACAACACCAGGAGAAAAGTTTGAATGGGGAAACGATAGGACGTCTACTTTATGTTAGTAAAAAAGATGGGGGAAAAGAGACTGTATAAATTTAACTTAAGTTTAATTTGTGTAAACTCACAGATTATTTGCATACGGTTGTTTTTTTTTAATTTTTGTTGATTCAAGAGTGTGTATATTATTTATGCCATGGGTCAGCAAACTTTTTCAGCAGGGGGCCGGTCCCCTGTCCCTCAGACCTTGTGGGAGGCCGGACTATATTTTGGAAATAATAAAAAAATGAACGAATTCCTATGCCCCACAAATAACCCAGAGGTGCATTTGAAATAAAAGGGCACATTCTACTCATGTAAAAACACGCTGATTCCTGGACTGTCCACGGCCCGGATTTAGAAGGCAATTGGGCCGGATCCGGCCCCCGGGCCTTAGTTTGCCTACCCATAACTTACACCATAGGAGCCTACAGAACCATAAAACACTGTTGCTGTATGTAGGTTTTATTTCATTTGTTTTTTATCTTATATTTTGGAAATGTAGATCCAGTTGTTTTTTCCACTTTAATTTTTTTGGGCGCCCCTAAGAGAGTGGGGCCCTAGCATGTTTAGCTTAGACGTAAACCCAGCAACTTTTTTCAGCCGTGGGCTGGTCCACTGTCCCTCAGACCACGTGGGTGGCTGGACTATATTTTTTTTTTGGGGGGGGGGAATGAACGAATTCCTATGCTCCACAAATAACCCAGAGCTGCATTTTAAACAAAAGCACGCATTCTACTCATGTCAAAACACCAGGCAGGCCCCACAAATAACCCAGAGGTGCATTTTAAATAAAAGGACACATTCTACTCATGTAAAAACATGCTGATTCCTGGACTGTCCGCGGGCCGGATTGGGCCAGATCTGGAAGTGTGAAGTTGTGTTCAGTATGCCCAACCTTCGCAGAAGGCCATATAGTGTCTCACACCGGCGTTTTAAAAATCGGCGAGTCGCGGCTGTTCCTTTCGGTGGGTCTACTTGGAGCAGAACGAACGCAGGAGTCAACCCAAAGCCTCACGATTGGCTTTGAAGACAGCGCACCGTGCAATTAACAGCGACAAAGGCGTATTGTTTGGAGAGCAGTGGTGCGTACAAACGAACAAGCGTTTAAATAAGGTATGACCGGGGTCATAACCAAATGTCCGAACCACCCTGCGAGGTGGACTCTCCTTCCTTGAAGCAGAGGTCGGATGGCTATCTGTCATGGCTGCTTTATATAATGATAATAATATAATAATAATTTATTATTTATCCCCACCCATCTGGCTGGGCTTCCCCAGCCACTCTGGGCAGCTTCCAAAAAAACATTAAAATACTGTAATGCATCAAACATTAAAAGCTTCCCTAAACAGGGCTGCCTTCAGATGTCTTCTAAAAGTCAGATAGTTGCTTATTTCCTTGACATCTGATGGGAGGGCGTTCCACAGGGCAGGCACCACTACTGAGAAGGCCCTCTGCCTGGTTCCCTGTAGCTTTGCTTTTCGCAGTGAGGGAACCGCCAGAAGGCCCTCAGTGCTGGACCTCAGTGTCCGGGCAGAACGATGGGGGTGGAGACGCTCCTTCAGGGATACTGGACCGAGGCCGTTTAGGGCTTTCAAGGTCAATGCCAACACTTTGAATTGTGCTTGGAAACGTACTGGGAGCTAATGTAGGTCTTTCAAGACCGGTGTTATATGGTCTCGGCGGCCGCTCCCAGTCCCCAGTCTGGCTGCCGCGTTCTGGATTAGTTGTAATTTCCAGCTTTAGCTTTAGCTGAGATTCCTGCATTGCAAAGGGGGGTTGGACTGGATGACCTTTGGGGGGCCCTAAATTCTGTGTTTTTTATGCCCACGAGTTGTAGCGTTAGGAGAGAGGGAAGAAGATCTTCCTTTCGGAGGGAACACGATCAGGACTGAGTGATCTTTTGTCGCGGGTTCTCAGAACGACCTGACTCATCGCAAATGGAAGCAGCAGCGATAAGCCATGTGGAGCTCTTGCTCTTGTTCTTGCTGGAACACAGCGTCCCAACAAAGATGTTGAAAAAGCCCTGAAGTAGCAATTTATGACCCCACTGGCCAGGTTTTCCTAAGAGTTCAGCGCAAGGGGAAACGGAGGAAGTCGGAGAATCAGAACAGAGAGTAAACAGGAACGACGTCCTTCCAGCCGGGAACAAACGAAGTCGGCACATTTAATGCTTAAACTAAACCAAGGCTCAGTGTAAAAGGCAGTAGGGATCTGGTGGATGAGATCGCAGACAAGCGCCTCTCCTGCTGATCACCTACGGCAGGCAGGTCCCACTCTCTAGAGCAGGGGTAGGCAACCTAAGGCCCGGGGGCCGGATGCGGCCCAATCGCCTTCTCAATCCGGCCTGTGGATGGTCCAGGAATCAGCGTGTTTTTACATGAGATGGCGCTGTGGGTTAAACCACAGCTGTGTGTTAAACCACAGAGCCTAGGGCTTGCCAATCAGAAGGTCGGCGGTTCGAATCCCCACGACGGGGTGAGCTCCCGTTTCTCCCGTTGGGAGAAAAGCAATGACAAACCTAGACAGCATCTTAAAAAGCAGAGACATCACCTTGCCAACAAAGGTCCGTCTAGTTCAAGCTCTGGTTTTCCCAGTAGTGATGTATGGAAGTGAGAGCTGGACCATCAAGAAGGCTGATCACCGAAGAATGGATGCTTTTGAATTCTGGTGCTGGAGGAGACTCTTGAGAGTCCCATGGACTGCAAGATGGTCAAACCTCTCCATTCGGAAGGAAATCAGCCCTGAGTGCTCACTGGAAGGACAGATCCTGAAGCTGAGGCTCCAAGACTTTGGCCACCTCAGGAGAAGAGAAGACTCCCTGGAAAAGACCCTGATGTTGGGAAAGATGGAGGGCACAAGGAGAAGGGGACAACAGAGGATGAGATGGTGGGACAGTGTTCTCGAAGCTACCAGCATGAGTTTGACCAAACTGCGGGAGGCAGTGGAAGACAGGAGGACCTGGCGTGCTCTGGTCCAGGGGGTCACCAAGAGCCGGACATGACTAAATGACTAAACAACAAATGATAAGAAGAGATAATTATGTCTGAGGTGCCCAGTTCTTCCCGAAGGTGCAAAGGGAGCAGATCTCGATGGATGCGAAAGATTTGGGCCAAGGTATCAAACCTCTGAACAAGATGATGTAACTAAGAGTCAGGGAACTGGATTGTCTCCGTACAAGGCACAGCTCAAAGAAGGGGGAAGTCCAGGTTTCGAAAGAAAAGAGATGTGAGAGGTTCTATAAGAGTTATGAATAGCCGCCCTAGAGAGCGCCCCTGGCCCTCTCTCAGACACAAGAGTTTGCGGAACTTGAAACCACGTATTGCACTTAACTGATCATAGTTTCCCCCCTACATAGAATCACACAATTGTAGAGTTGGAAGAAATCCGAGCCCAACCCCCTGAAATGCAGGAATATGTAGCAGTCCCGTACGGTGATCGAACCTGCGACCTTGGCGTGCTCTAACCAACTGTAGGCTTTCAAGTTTAATGTAAAGAGAATGGGGGCTGTATGAATGGCCACTGTGTTCCGCTATCCCTGATTCCAGAGGACTAGGACTAGCCGTCTGAGAAACAGTTTCTATCCAAATGTGATTTTGGTTTTAAACGCAGTGTAAGCCTAGGGCTTGCCGATCAGAAGGTCGGCGGTTTGAATCCCCACGACGGGGTGAGCTCCCGTTGCTCGGTCCCTGCTCCTGCCCACCTAGCAGTTCGAAAGCACGTCAAAGTGCAAGTAGATAAATAGGTACCGCTCCGGCGGGAAGGTAAACGGCGTTTCCGTGCGCTGCTCTGGTGCGCCAGAAGCGGCTTAGTCCTGCTGGCCACATGACCCGGAAGCTGGACGCTAGCTCCCTCGGCCAGTAAAGCGAGATGAGCGCCGCAACCCCAGAGTCGGCCATGACTGGACCCAATGGTCAGGGGTCCCTTTACATTTAATGGGAGCAACAGTGGCTGCTGGACTCCCAACTCCAAGGGCACCTTTCTCACCATTTGCCCCACCTGAGAGAGATAAACCTCCACCAGCCATGGCAGTCTACCACTGGGCAACAAACAAACCAGCCAACACAGCTGTATTCCTCAAGTCCTGCTTGCAAATATCAAAGAAGCATGGAGTGGAAAATGGACCGCTGAACTTGATGACCTTTCTGACCTGACCTCATATGACTCTTTTGGAAAGCACAGATGCACTTAGTGGCTATTTATCAAGATACAGTGGTACCTCGGGTTACATACGCTTCAGGTTACAGACTCTGCTAACCCAGAAATAGTGCTTCAGGTTAAGAACTTTGCTTCAGGATGAGAACAGAAATCATGCTCTCTCGGCGCGGCGGCGGCAGGAGGCCCCATTAGCTAAAGTGGTGCTTCAGGTTAAGAACAGTTTCAGGTTAAGAACGGACCTCCGGAACGAATTAAGTACTTAACCCGAGGTACCACTGTAATCTAAAATCAACCCTTCATGTCCAGGGACAGTGTACCACATGAAGGGAGCTAAAAGCCTTTTAAGAGAAGGATCTTTTTTAAAAAAACAACAACACAACCCTTATCCCAGACACTAAGTGCCTTGGGTTGAAAATTGTTAAGACTGCCAATCCACATTGCATTTTTAAATACGTGCTTTACCATACTGTGATGTTGCCACAAGTTGCTTCGTAGGAATTTGTGTGTAAAATAAACAATAAAATTTTTATTTATTGAATTTATATACACCCGGGGCTCTGAGGGCGGTTCACAGAACAAAATCAAGATATAAAACCACAAAATACCTAATAAAAATTAAAACAACAACCCAACCCCCCCCCACAAAAAACCACATTTTAAAAGGGCAATTTATTTTTTAATAAAATGCGAAGCTGTTTTTGTCACTGATGCCAGTGCTGTTAAGTGGCTTTGAGAGGTTTCAATGTAACCAGCTCACATTTGGAAACAAATGAAATAATCAAACGCCGGGAAGAGATCTGCTCAGCTGTCCTCTGTCAGAGGCAGGATGCTGGGGCAGAGGAGGATCCGGCAAGCCCCAGGCAAGGCCGGTTCTGTCCAGCCTGGGCCTGTCTCTCTCTTTTCCTAGATATATGCAAAGCCACAGCTCTTCCTGCAAACAACCCGCTCCCTCTGGATCTCTCTTCCCACCCCTCGCCACCATTCCCGCGCCGCTGCCAGCTCACCGGCCAAGTGCCACGACTTCCTCCTCCCGTAGCGCCCGCAGCCGCCGGCCTGATCCGCCTCGTAGCCCACCAGCGGCGTGCAGATGCCGTCGGCCACTTGCCCCACCAGCAAGAGCGCCCCCGCGTGGCTGGTGCTATAGCCCAGGATGGAGTGGAAGTAAACCAGCAAGTAGGTGAACCACATCGAGGCGCACAGGTCGTTGAGAAAGTGCCCCACCGAGTAGCTGAGCCGGGAGCGCGCCGACAAAGGCTCCGGCGGCGGCGGCCGCTGGGAGTCTCCCATGGCGCCCCAGCCGCGCGTAAAAGCGCACCAGCCGCGCGTAAAAGCGCACGGGCAGGGCGCATCAGCTTCCGAGCAGGCGGGCGTCCAGGGCGGGCCCGGACCGAGCCCAGCGGAGGCAGGGGAGAGCCGGGACGCGCGGGAGGCTCTGTCCAGCCATGCGTCCTCCGGCCGGCTTTTATGGGCTCCGGGAAACCCCCCGTGCGCGTCGGAGGCGCGTCCAGCTGGCCGGTTCCGCGGCGCCCCCAAGCGGGCTGGCACAACCACCGCGCGCAGATCTCCGCGGCGCCTCCTCCTTCTCCATCGCGGATCCGAGGCCAAGCCGCTGCCGGAGCCAATGGGCAGGCTCCGGGGGCGGAGGAAAACCCGCCCGAGCGCAGGAGGAGCCGAGCACCGCACTCCCCGCCCCGTTGCCGCCCCGGGCGATGCTGCTTCCTAGTAGCGTTAAGAGAAGCGAAACGGCCACGGCGGCAGATTCCTGGCGCTTGTGTCAGCAGGCGTCGGCCCCGCTCCCTCGGCTTCAGCGGAATCCTACTCCAGAGTAGACCCATTGGAATGAATGCCCTTGTAATTTCGAGGGGTCTGGCCCACGCCCTGCTTTCTAAAGGAGGGTTTCCCAAACGTGTGTCTCCAGCGTGGTTTTTTTGGAACTACAATTCCCATCCTTCCTGACCCCTGGTCCTGCAAGCTAGGGATGATGGGAGTTGTAGTCCCAAAACAAGCGGAGACCAAAGTTTGGGAAGCCTTGTTCTCTAGTCTAAAGGATATTGAACACACCTTTGAAGAGCGTGACTTCCCCCAGAGAACCCTGAAACTTGGTAAAGGTAAAGGTAAAGGGACCCCTGACCATTAGGTCCAGTTGTGACCGACTCTGGGGTTGCGGCGCTCATCTCGCTTTATTGGCCGAGGGAGCCGGCGTACAGCTTCTGCAAATTAGCAGATTTGTGAAGGGGGAAAACTACAGCTCCCATGAGCCTTTGAGGGAATTCAGGTGCTTCCAATGAGTATTGTATTGGATGTGTGTGTGTGTGTTTTAGCTGTGGACACCTGAAGTTCTGTGTCCAATTCTGGGCGCCACAATTTAAGATGGGATGTGGGTGGCGCTGTGGGTTAAACCACAGAGCCTAGGACTTGCCGATCAGAAGGTTGGTGGTTCGAATCCCCGCAACGGGGCGAGCTCCCGTTGCTCGGTCACTGCTCCTGCCAACCTAGCAGTTCGAAAGCACGTCCAAGTGCAAGCAGATAAATAGGTACCACTCCGGCGGGAAGGTAAACAGCGTTTCCGTGCACTGCTCTGGTTCGCCAGAAGCGGCTTAGTCCTGCTGGCCACATGACCCGGAAGCTGTACACTGGCTCCCTCGGCCAGTAAAGCGAGATGAGCGCCGCAACCCCAGAGTCGGCCACGACTGGACCTAATGGTCAGGGGTCCCTTTACCTTTACAATTTAAGAACGACGTTGACAAGCTGGAAGGTGGGCAGAGGAGGGAGACCAAGATGATCAAGGGTCTGGAAACTGAGCCTGATGAGGAATGGTCGAAGGAGCTGGGGACGCTTAGTCTGGAAAAGAGGAGACTGAGAGGAGATAGGAGAGCCATCTTCCAATGTAGTAGTATCTCGGGTTACATACGCTTCAGGTTACATACGCTTCAGGTTACAGACTCTGCTAACCCAGAATTAGTGCTTCAGGTTAAGAACTTTGCTTCAGGATGAGAACAGAAATAGTGCTCCAGCGGCGAGGCGGCAGCAGGAGGCCCCATTAGCTAAAGTGGTGCTTCAGGTTAAGAACAGTTTCAGGTTAAGAACGGACCTCTGGAACGAATTAAGTACTTAACCCGAGGTACCACTGTATCTGAAGGGCTATCAAATGGAACAGGGGACAGGCTTTTTTCCTCCTGCTCCAGAAGGGTAGGACTCGAACCCGTGGCTTCAAGGGACGAGAAAGGAGATTCCGACTCAACACCAGGGAAAACTTCCTGAGCTCTTGTACTGTGGAACGGGTCTCCCTTGGGAGGTGATGGACTCTTTTTCAATGGAGGCTTTTAAGCAGAGGTTGGACGGCAAATTGTCTCGGATGCTTTAGCTGAGATTCCTGCATTGCAACGGGTTGGACTAGATGAGTCCTGGGTGTCCCTTCAAACTCTACAGTTCTACGATTCTTTGAACCTGCTGTTCCAAATCTGGGACACTTGCTGTTCTGTTTCAGTGTGATCTGCCCCTCCCACTCCCACACCACTTCAGACACGAGGGAAACAGGGAACCCTTTGTGTTCGTTTTTAGGGCACCGGATTCTGAAGCAGGTTGCTGTAGACAGCTGATCCTATATCTTAAGATGCCGAAGGGCCAGGTTTAGCCATGCCTGGGCCCTTATTGATGGTCTCACAGCCCATTACCACATGCAACAAGTCACCTGATGCAATCCTGCCGGACTGTACTATTTAAGGACACAACTGGGAGACAGGAAAGCCCTTTATCAGCTCCATCTGGTGCACAGGATAAGACCCTACCTGCCTGCAGACTGTCTCTCCAGAGTGGTGCATGCTCTGGTTATCTCCTGCTTGGACCACTGCAATGCACTCTATGTGGGGCTGCCTTTGAAGGTGACCCGGAAACTGCAACTAATCCAGAATGCAGCAGCCAGACTGGAGACTGGGAGTGGCCGCTGGGACCACATAACACCAGTCCTGAAAGACCTACATTGGCTCCCAGGACGTTTCCGAGCACAATTCAAAGTGTTGGTGTTGACCTTTAAAGCCCTAAATGGCCTCGGTCCAGTATACCTGAAGGAGCGTCTCCACCCCTATCGTTCAGCCCACAGGTCCAGCTCCGAGGGCCTTCTGGCAGTTCCCTCATTGCGAGAAGTGAGGTTACAGGGAACCAGGCAGAGGGCCTTCTCGGTGGTGGCGCCCGCCCTGTGGAACGCCCTCCCATCAGATGTCAAAGAGAAAAATAACTACCAAACTTTTAGAAGACATCTGAAGGCAGCCCTGTTTAGGGAAGCTTTTAATGTTTAATAGGTTATTGTATTTTAGTGTTTTGTTGGAAGCCGCCCAGAGTGGCTGGGGAAGCCCAGCCAGATGGGCGGAGTATAAATAACAAATTATTATTATTATTATTATTATTATTATTATTATTATTATTATACAATCCCCTCCATTTCAAATGCACCAACAACGCTAGGATAGAGAACTCCTCTGCCCCCCTCCCCACAGCTCCACAATATGAAAGCATGCATAGATTCTACGTTTCTGGTCCTCATGACGTCCACATCTCTTGAAGTAGAAATCACATGTGCCGCTTCCGCCTAAAATCCTTGCTCTATATTTTTCTTCCTACCCCTCTTCTGTGCCCCAAGGCAGGAAACAAACAGCATCTAATTAGTCGGGGGTTTTTAATTGAAAAGCACAGCGTTCATCCTTGCAAAAGAGGCCACTCCGTTTCACAGATTAACGGATTTTTAAAAGCCACCCTCCACCCAAAATCACGACTCCTCTTGAATTGGCCGAGGCAGGAAAGGCGAATTGGATCACCCCAAAAAACAGCTTTTGCTTGCGAGAGCAGTGTTTTCTGTCAGAAAATGTTAGCGGGAAGGGAATAGGGTTGCGATGAAAGATTCCTGCAAATCAGGGATGTGGTCTTCCCGTTGCGGACTGCGGCGGCCGCAATCGCTGACCGCAGGCCAGGGGACTGGAAGCGGAACAACGTTCTGCCTGGATACAGATTCTGCCCCCAATTCCTGCTCTAAGAAGAGGCAATCCCCGTTATCAGAAAGGAATCCCTTTTCTAAAAAGAGGCATGCCTCAAATAATATCTAGAGGGATGTCTCTGGTTATAAGAAGAATCATTCCCCACTCACGTGAAGTGATGTCTCTCCTAAATAGAGGCTTCCCCAAGGATAACTAGAGGAATCCATCTTCTGAGTACAGTGGTCCCTTGGTTCTCAAACGCCTTGGTCCTCAAACAACTTGGAACCAGAACGCTGCAAACCCGGAAGGAAGTGTTCCGGTTTGCGAACTTTTTTCGGAAGCCGAACGTGCTCTGTTTTGAGAGTTACGCTTCCGTTTTGAGCCTTACGCTGAGGTCTGTCTGTTTTTGCTATTTACCGTATTTTTCGCTCTATAAGACGCACCAGACCACAAGACGCACCTAGTTTTTGGAGGAGGAAAACAAGAAAAAAAATATTCTGAATCCCAGAAGCCAGAACAGCAAGAGGGATCGCTGTGCAGTGAAAGCAGCAATCCCTCTTGCTGTTCTGGCTTCTGGGATAGCTGCGCAGCCTGCATTTGCTCCATAAGACGCACACACATTTCCCCTTACTTTTTAGGAGGGAAAAAGTGAGTCTTATAGAACAAAAAATACAGTAGTTTGCGTTTTTGTTTTCGCAGCTCTCTTTCGTTTTGTTTTCGCAACTGTGTGGAACCCGGTTCAGCTACTGATGGATCGATGGCACGACTGCAGCACATTGTTTATCGCTTTCGTTTTATGGATCGGCGGTCTCGTCAGATAGCAAAATCCATGCCAAATTGCTGTTTTAAAAAGCCTGGAATGGATTAATCCGTTTTGCATTCCCTTCTATGGGAAAGCAGTGCGTCTTTAGTTTGCTTTTGGAACGGACTTCCGGGACGGCTGAAGTTTGAGAACCAAGGGACCGCTGTACAGGCATTCCCACATCTCTCACACAAAACAGGAAACTGCTACTTTTAAAAGATCAGGGTTCGGGAGACAGCGCAGAAGAACTGCTTCTAGGGACGCTTCTGAAGCTTTTCCTTGGAGTCGTTTTAAAGGGCTGTTCTGCGTTCGAATCGGCCCTCATCCCAGCAGTTTCCGCTTCCGTTTGCACCTTCTTGGCTGGTATTGTCAGAGCATCTCCCTGGGACACCCCCCACTCTCGCCGGAACAGACCCTTGGCACAATCTTGGATATAATCATGTCCAGATTTCTGTGGCTGCATTTGGGGGGATGAATGAATTGAAATCTCCTTATCCCTAGAGGCAGAGGTGGTCAAGACTCAGAGAGGTTGTCGGAGCTGGGCTGAACGGGGGAATTCAGCACCGTGCGGCCAGTCACATTGGTACCCAGCTGCCGTCCTCGTCCTTCACCCCCCAAGCCGGACTTTACATGCTGGTCACCTTGTCGCTATCTATCTCCTTTTCGTGAGAGCTCCCCTCTTCGGGATCCATGGCGATGTTGTCGTAAATATTGCCTGGGCTGGAAGAAGAAGACGAAGAAGAAGAGGAGTTTGGATTTGATATCCCGCTTTATCACTACCCGAAGGAGTCTCAGCGGGTGGCGCTGTGGGTTAAACCACAGAGCCCAGGGCTTGCCGATCAGAAGGTCGGCGGTTCGAATCCCCGTGACGGGGTGAACTCTCGTTGCTCGGTCCCTGCTCCTGCCAACCTAGCAGCTCAAAAGCACCTCAAAGTGCAAGTAGATAAATAGGTACCACTCCGGCAGGAAGGTAAACGGCGTTTCCGTGAGCTGCTCTGGTTCACCAGAAGCGGCTTAGTCCTGCTGGCCACATGACCCGGAAGCTGTACGCCGGCTCCCTCGTCCAATAAAGCGAGATGAGCGCCGCAACCCCAGAGTCGGTCACGACTGGACCTAATGGTCAGGGGTCCCTTTACCTTTAAGGAGTCTCAAAGCGGCTAACAATCTCCTTTCCCTTCCTCCCCCACAACAAACACTCTGTGAGGTGAGTGGGGCTGAGAGACTTCAGAGAAGTGTGACTAGCGCAAGGTCACCCAGCAGCTGCATGTGGAGGAGCGGAGACGCGAACCCGGTTCCCCATATTACGAGTCTACCGCTCTTAACCACTACACCACACTGGAGAGGGAAGCATGAGAAGAGCCCTGACGGATCAGGCCCCGAGTCCACTCGAGTCGACATCCTTTTCCCAGAGGGGCCAGTAGACCTGAAGGAGCATCTCCACCCCCATCGTTCAGCCCGGACACTGGGGTCTATCTCCCAAGGGCCTTCTGGCAGTTCCCTCCCTGCGAGAAGCGAGGTGACAGGGAACCAGGCACAGGGCCTTCTCGGTGGTGGCACCCTCCCATCAGATGTCAAGGAAATAAACAACTATCTGACTTTTAGAAGACATCTGAAGGCAGCCCTGTTTAGAGAAGTTTTTGATGTTTGATGTTTTCTCGTGTTTTTAATGGGAGCCGCCCAGAGTGGCTTGAGAGGCCTGGCCAGATGGGCAGGGTATAATTAATTAATTGATTGATTAATAATAAAGGAAAGGGCCAGAGTCCTTTATGAGGGCTCCTGATTCCTTCTAATTTCATTCAGCAAGAGATGGAGTTATGCAGCTCCAGAGCTGAGGAGATAAGTAACTATACAACCTTTAGAAGGCATCCCTGTATAGGGATTTTAATTTTTAAAAAATGTTTTATTATGCTTTTATACAGAGCTTTTTTCTGGGGGTACGCATATCCCTAAACATTTTCTGAATCTTTGTACTTTTGTCCATTTACTGTATTTATTTTCCCCGATTTGAACTATAAAATGGTGATTTTCTTAGTCAAAATGAGAGTACCCCTAAACATTTTTTAAAGGAAAAAAACACTGTTTTTATATCTGTTGGAAGCCTCCCAGAGTGCTGGGGAAACCGAGTCGGATGGACGAGGTATAAATAGAAAAAAACGCCTTTCTTTATTGTACCTTATTTTTTAGAATCTATGATTTTGCTGTTTTAATGCTTTAAATGTTTAGGGGAGACAATCTTACTCAGCTACGAGTGATCGCCGAAGAAGAATGCTTTAAATAAAAGTGGGTTTTTTTGTTTTAAAGAAACGAACTTGCAGCATAAGATCAGAAAATTGCTGTGCCAGGCGAATCCGAACGCCCATCGCATCTGCGGCCAAAATAATTAAAACGGAACGAAATAGACACACAGACACACAAACGCACACCATCACAAAAGCCACCATATTTACCGAAGTCCGGTGCTCAGCGACTTCCCTTCGCCATCCCTGCAAAGAGAGCAAGGTCATCAGTGGAGAAAGGGGAGCAGAGGGGGTTGGACTAGATGGCTTCTTGGGGTCCCATTCCAATTCTACAATTCTGTGATTCTAACCACCACCCAGACTTGACGGGCCTGATCCAGCAGGATTCCTGCTATGTCCTCAACACCCTCGCAAGACCTCCAGGCGAAATCGTGAGGCCGCCGCTTGTGTTTTCGAAGCGATGATTCTTCAACATCAACTTCGTTGGACTGGTTGTGTTGTGCGGATGCCTGACTATCGTCTTCCAAAGCAACTACTCTATTCCAAACTTAAAAATGGAAAGCGTAATGCTGGTGGTCAACAAAAGAGGTTCAAAGACTCTCTCAAGGCAAATCTAAAAAAATGTAGTATAAACACCGACAACTAGGAAACACTGGCCTGCGAGCGCTCCAGTTGGAGAACAGCCTTGACCAAAGGTGTCGTGGGCTTTGAAGACACTCGAACTCAGGACGCAAGGGAGAAACGTGCTAAGAGGAAGGCACGCTTGGCAAACCCTCACTGGGATTAACTCCCGCCCGGAAACCAATGTCCCCACTGTGGAAGGACGTGGGGATGCAGAATTGGCCTCCACAGTCACTTACGGACTCACTGTGAAAACCGTGTTTATGGAAGACAATTTTACTCGGCTACGAGGGATCGCCAAAGAAGAAGAAGAGGAGGAGGAGGAGGAAGAAGAAGAGGAGGAAGAAAAAAAGGAAGAAGAAGACGAGGAAGAAGAAGAAGAAGAGGAAGATGAAGAAGAAGAAGAAGAGGAGGAAGAAGAGGAGGAGGAGGAGGAAGACGAAGAAGAGGAGGAAGAAGAGAAGAAAGAAGAAGAAGAGGAAGAGAAGAAGAAGAGGAAGAGGAAGAAGGAGGAAGAAGAAGAAGAGGAAGAAGAAGAGGAGGAAGAAAGAGAAGAGGAAGAAGAAGAAGAGGAAGAAGAAGAAGAGGAAGAGGAAGAAGAGGAAGAAGAAGAAGAGGAAGAAGAGGAGGAAGAAGAGGAGGAGGAGGAGGAAGACGAAGAAGAGGAGGAAGAAGAAGAAGATCAAGAAGAAAAAGAGGAAGAGGAAGAGGAAGAAGAAAAAGAGGAAGAGGAAGAAGAAGAAGAAGAAGAAGAAGAAGAAGAAGAAGAAGAAGAAGAAGAAGAAGAAGAAGAAGAAGAAGAAGATCAAGAAGAAGAAGAGGAAGAGGAAGAAGAAGAAGAGGAAGAAGAAGAAGAGGAGGAGGAAGAAGAAGAAGAAGAAGAAGAAGAAGAAGAAGAAGAAGAAGAAGAAGAAGAAGTAGTAGTAGAAGAAGAAGAAATAATAGTTGTGGCTTGGGGGAGAGAGAGAAACAGCTCTCGGTTAAAGAAGGAAACTTTCAAAAAGTGAGAGACCTACTTTTCCTTGGAGAAGAAGAAGCGATTGATGAGGGAGGCCACAAATATCACGCCCAGGAAACCGAGGACGGCGGCGAGGCCCACCAGCCAGGGTTGCAGACCGCTGGAGCCGTTTGTGGTCCCTGTCACGGCGCCTAAACGGATTAAGGTTAGGTCCTTTTGGGTCAAGCGGAAAAACTCTGGGCGTTGCTAACCCCCCCCCATCGCTACCGGGCTCTGTTTCAAAGAGGAGTCCAAAAATAAAGAGGCTCCTCTCTATTTACGCCTCAAGTCTCTTGTGCCAGGGCGCATAATTATTATTATCAGTGCTTTTTTTTCTGGGGGTACGCAGGGGTACCCCTTAACATGTTGTGAATCTTTGTACTTTTGCCCATTTACTATATTTATTTCCCCCGACCTGAACTATGAAATGGTGGCCAAAATGAGAATACCTCCTAATCATTTTTTTAAAGGAAAAAAAGCCACTGGTGGTTATTATTTATTATTTATTGGTTTATATAGTGCCCTTTACCTGGTGTGTGTGTGTGAGGGCGGTTCACAGAATCAACTCAAGATATAAAACCACAAAATACCGTATTTTTTGCTCTATAAGACTCACTTTTCCCCTCCTAAAAAGTAAGGGGAAATGTGTGTGCGTCTTATGGAGCGAATGCAGGCTGCGCAGCTATCCCAGAAGCCAGAACAGCAAGAGGAATCGCTGATTTCGCTGCGCAGCGATCCCTCTTGCTGTTCTGGCTTCTGAGATTCAGAATATTTTTTTTCTTGTTTTCCTCCTCCAAAAACTAGGTGCGTCTTGTGTTCTGGTGCGTCTTATAGAGCGAAAAATACGGTACCTAATAAAAATTAAATCAAGAAGTCAATAGCTGCCCCGGACACACACACAAAAACACTTTTTAAAAGGGCATAGGATCAACCAAAGGCCTGGTTAAAAAGGAATGTTTTTGCCTGGCACCTAAAGGTGTATAATGAAGGCGACCTTCCCTGGGGAGAGCATTCCCACAAACAGGGAGCCACTGCAGAGAAGGCCCCGCTCTTGTGTTGCCACCCTCTGGACCACTCGAGGAGGGGACACACGAAGGAGGGCCTCAAGATGATCTCAGGGTCCGTGTAGGTTCATATGGCACATCCAACATCCGCCAGGAGCCATAAAATGAAGGTGCTTAGGGGCCACCACAGAGAAGGCCTTCACCCTGACACCCGCCCCCCGACAATGCCCCAAGCCTCTACCATTGGAGGACTCGCCTATATACCCGCTCCTCTCATTTCATCCTCCCGACTGGCCCCCACGGTCACACCCGGGGAGCCCAATGCTCTAACCGCTAGGCCACGCTGCCTCTACGAATTAGGAGGTGCAGATCTGCTTGGCAAGATTCTGAACAGGTTCCGCCACCTGTATCTGAACCAAATTCGTTCCCGGGGAGACCGTGGCACACTCCTACCTTGGCCGTGGGCACAAGGGGCAAAGAAAATTCCCAGGAGCAGAGGAAGGTATGAGAACAGCTCCATGGTGTTGCTTCGATATGTGCTGTTCAGCGAGGCAGCTCTGTCCTTCCTGGTTTCTGTATTCATGTGTGTGAAACAGGAGATATCTACTTTGCTTGCAAGCGTAACTCTGGACTCTGAATCAAAGTGCATTTGATAATGGCAGTTCCGTCGGGCAGCTCTGCCTCCACGTGAGATGCCCATGGAATGAGGGTTGGGCCGGGGCAAGGAACAAGCTGCTCTGCTTTCGCATGCTTCTGTGGCTGTCTCATCCCCTCCAACGTTTCTCTCCTGAAAATAGGGACGTCCTATTCCATCCCCTCCAACGTTTCTTCCCTGAAAATAGGGACGTCCTATTCCTTGCCCTACAACATTTCTCCCCTGAAAATAGGGTCGTCCTATTCCATCCCCTCCAACGTTTCTCCCCTGAAAATAGGGACGTCCTATTCCATCCCCTCCAACATTTCTCCCCTGAAAATAGGGACGTCCTATTCCATCCCCTCCAACGTTTCTCCTGTGAAAATAGGGACGTCCTATTCCATCCCCTCCAACATTTCTCCCCTGAAAATAGGGACGTCCTATTCCTTCCCCTCCAATGTTTCTCCCGTGAAAATAGGGACGTCCTATTCCACCCCCTCCAACGTTTCTCCCCTGAAAATAGGGACGTCCTATTCCATCCCCTCCAACGTTTCTCCCCTGAAAATAGGGACGTCCTATTCCTTCCCCTCCAATGTTTCTCCCATGAAAATAGGGACGTCCTCTTCCATCCCCTCCAACGTTTCTCCCCTGAAAATAGGGACGTCCTATTCCATCCCCTCCAACGTTTCTCCTGTGAAAATAGGGACGTCCTATTCCCTCCCCTCCACCGTTTCTCCCCTGAAAATAGGGACGTCCTATTCCCTCCCCTCCACCGTTTCTCCCCTGAAAATAGGGATGTCCTATTCCATCCCCTCCAACGTTTCTCCTGTGAAAATAGGGACGTCCTATTCCATCCCCTCCAACATTTCTCCCATGAAAATAGGGACATCCTAAGGAAATGATAGCTCTGGGGTCGGGGTCAGGGAGGGTGCTGGGACCTTAGTGGGTCCAGGAAACCCCCAGGAAACGAAGACGAGTTTATTTTTCTGGAGGGTGGCTCTTGCAGAAAACGCCGTCGGCAAGTCCCCCTCCTCCTCTCCCCTCCGTCTTTGCTTCACTCGGCTCATGCTCTCTCTTTTCACTCTGCATATGCTCAGAGACACCAGGGCAACGGAGGAAGGGCAGGAAGAAGATTCGGGGCGTGTGGGTCGGTATGCACCCTAAAAGGTAAAGGGACCCCTGACCATTAGGCCCAGTCATGGCCGACTCTGAGGTTGCGGTGCTCATCTCGCTTTACTGGCCGAGGGAGCCAGCGTACAGCTTCCGGGTCATGTGGCCAGCAGGACTAAGCCGCTTCTGGCGAACCAGAGCAGCGCACGGAAACGCCGTTTACCTTCCCGCCAGAGCGGTACCTATTTATCTACTTGCACTTGGACATGCTTTCGAACTGCTAGGTTGGAAGGAGCAGGGACCGAGCAACGGGAGCTCACCCCGTCGCCGGGATTTGAACCGCCGACCTTCTGATCGGCAAGCCCTAGGCTCTGTGGTTTAACCCACAGCGCCATCCGCGTCCCTTGAGGAGCATAAATGGCCTGGCACATGCCCAACCATTCGTACCTGCGCACAGCAATCTGTTCCTGGCATTTGGACTATGACCCTCACATGATCTGTGGGCGCCATGCCACCCGCAGGAAAATCGGTGCCAGTCTGGCAGGAAGGGAGTGGCTGGGCGAGGAGCAATGAGATTCAAATCTCCTCTCCTCTCAGGTTCTCCTTTTTCCAGTTGTTAAGTCCAGCTCTCTATATTTCAACACTGGTTTGTAATTACAGTGGTACCTCTGGTTAAGTACTTAATTCATTCTGGAGGTCCGTTCTTAACCTGAAACTGTTCTTAACCTGAAGCACCACTTTAGCTAATGGGGCGTCTCGCTGCTGCCGCGACGCAGGAGCACGATTTCTGTTCTCATCCTGAAGCAAAGCTCTTAACCCGAGGTACTATTTCTGGGTTAGCGGAGTCTGTAACCTGAAGCGTCTGTAACCTGAAGCATATGTAACCTGAGGTACCACTGTATTATTTTTTAATCCTCAAGCAAATTCATCAACAGGCAGGACTCTCAGCTAAAGCATCTACGACAGTTGGAGGGCTCTTAAATCTTCTGAATATACACATTTCCCCTCCGCAGAGCCATTCCCCGTAACACAACGTGTTTCGTATGCTATTTTCTTTCTCCTTTTTAAAACACAGCTTTTATTAAATTTCCCGTTTTACCATTTGAAGCACTCGTTTACGCATCCTTAAGATTTCCATGACCTTTCTTCTCTTTCCATGGTTCATTTTGCATATCATAAATCCCTTCACATTTTAATAATAATAATAATAATAATAATAATAATAGCCCGCTCATCTGGCTGGGCTTCCCCAGCCACTCTGGGCAGCTTCCAACCAAATATTAAAATACAGTAATACAGAAACTATACCGTTCAGGATTCCATTATTGCATCAGTCAAAGCTTTTTACCCTGTCAAATTTATCTTAATGCTGGCAGTGTTTTCAGCTGTACACAGTTATTTCCCATATATCCAATAAACGTTTTCCAATCTTCTCTAAACGTATGCTCTTCTTGTTCTCTTATTCTATATGTTAAGTCTGCAAGCTGAGCATATTACATCAGCTTAAGTTGTCATTCTTCTTCGGTTGGGACCTCGCTCATTTTCCGTTTTTTGGGCTAGCGAAACACGGGCCGCAGTAGTGGCATACATAAACAACCTTTTTTTTTTTGGACACCTGGGAATTTCCGTCTCAATTATGCCAAACAGAAAGGACTCTAGTTACAGGTAGGTAGCCGTGTTGGTCTGCCGTAGTCGAAACAAAATAAATAAAATAAAATAAAATAAAATAAATAAAATTCCTTCCAGTAGCACTTTAGAGACCAACTAAGTTATTGGTATGAGCTTTCGTGTGCATGCACACTTCTTCAGATACACTGAATATATAAGGGTCTGGTGACTTCTGTTTCAGTGTATCTGAATGTTAAGTTGTGGGTGAACATATCAGACGACACAGCGATTCTTCAAACAGCTCTTGTTTATTCACAGGCCAGAACAGAACTGAACTGAAGGGTTCAGCTAGCCTGCTTATATAGAGCTCCACTAGAACGCAACAGTAACCATTTTCTGTAACTATCCAATCACTGAACGTCACTTTCAATCCCTTATTTGCATTTGTGGACCTGAGTGAAAACTATCTACAGTATCCCCCTGCTGGCCCAGGGTGAGAACTTCAGTACATAACACTGAAGAAGTATGCATGCACACAAAAGCTCATACCAATAACTAACTTAGTTGGTCTCTAAGGTGCTACTGGAAGGAATTACCGTATTTTTTGCTCTATAAGACTCACTTTTTCCCTGCTAAAAAGTAAGGGGAAATGTGTGTGCGTCTTATGGAGCGAATGCAGGCTGCGCAGCTATCCCAGAAGCCAGAACAGCAAGAGGAATTTTTGCTTTCAGTGCGCAGCGATCCCTCTTGCTGTTCTGGCTTCTGAGATTCAGAATATTTTTTTTCTTGTTTTCCTCCTCCAAAAACTAGGTGCGTCTTGTGGTCTGGTGCGTCTTATAGAGCGAAAAATACAGTATTTTGTTTTGTTTTGTTTTGAGAAAGGACTCTGGGTTTTTTTTGGGGGGGGAAGTGCTTTTAAACATTCCCCTCCCAATTTGTTATGGATCATTTCCCAATACTCTTTTACCCCTTTGCAAGTCCAGAACATATGAAAAAACATCCCCTTGCACATTTTGCATGCTGTTTCCACCAACGCAGGCCTTTCCGAACTTTACCGCAGGAGATGGGATTTTTGTACGCATCGCTCCGCCGGACAATTGCATCTCAAAACCTGGGAGCGGGTCAGATTTTGAAGGGCGGTTGCTTTTCTGCCCACGTACCATTTGGGAAAGCACCAATTAGGTTGGGTTTGCTGTTCAGGAATCCAAGTCCATCTCCTTACTTAGTGGGAAGGATGGCTCCAGATTTGCGGCGGTGGCACGAAGGCAGCTGGTACTTTGTGGGTCCGGATTAAACATTAAAGGCCCTGTCATGTGTGGTGCTGTGGGAAACCTCGTTCCGAGGGAAGCCAGCTGCCCCAGATTTTGACAGTAGCAAAACGACAACAAACAAACCCATGGTCACGCAAAGCATACTCAATAAAAACCGCCTGTGTTCTTAGATAAATAAGGTATACTATTCATGTATCGAGCAATGACAAACCTAGACAGCATCTTAAAAAGCAGAGACATCACCTTGCCAACAAAGGTCTGTATAGTAAAAGCTCTGGTTTTCCCAGTAGTGATGTATGGAAGTGAGAGCTGGACCATCAAGAAGGCTGATCGCCGAAGCATGGATGCTTTTGAATTCTGGTGCTGGAGGAGACTCTTGAGAGTCCCATGGACTGCAAGAAGATCAAACCTCTCCATTCGGAAGGAAATCAGCCCTGAGTGCTCCCTGGAAGGACAGATCCTGAAGCTGAGGCTCCAAGACTTTGGCCACCTCATGAGAAGAGAAGACTCCCTGGAAAAGACCCTGATGTTGGGAAAGATGGAGGGCGCAAGGAGAAGGGGACGACAGAGGACGGGATGGTTGGACAGTGTTATAGAAGCTACCAGCATGAGTTTGACCAAACTGCGGGAGGCAGTGGAAGACAGGAGTGCCTGGCGTGCTCTGGTCCAGGGGGTCACAAAGAGGCAGACATGACTAAACAACAACAACAAAACAGGGAAAAAAGGAAAGGAAAGAAATAGACGTCACAGGGAGTCTGGACATTCATATCCAGGGGTGATATATATATATATATCCAGTATGTCTGGGGGAATCATCTCTCCAGCTGATCCAAGCAACGACTCAGCCAGTTGCTGGAGGCGATGCACAGCCCGTCTCCATCCCAGGTAAGGGGTGCAGGATGCGGCCTTCCGCACACTCCACCCCTGGGAAAGGGGTACCCTTTTGCCAAGCCAGGCGATGGTCGGGAAAGGCTGCAATCTCACATCCGTCCGAGGCCTCTTCCAGCCTCTTCCTCTCTTCCAGTTTGGGGCCAAAGGCCCAATCTAGCAATGGGGGGGAAAAGAGAAAATTAAAACCGGCAGATTTGGGCAGCAGAAAGCTGGGTATGTCGCAGTGCTGGATTTTGTTGTTGTTGTTTAGTCGTGTCCGACTCTTTGTGACCCCAAGGACCAGAGCACGCCAGTTTTTACGGATAAGCTAAACAAGCTCTAGCTTAGGGCCCCACTCTCTTGGGGGCCCCCCAAAAAATTAAAGGGGAAAAAACCTGGATTTACATTTCCAAAATACAAGAGAAAAAACAAATAAAATAAAACCTACATCCAGCAACAGTGTTTTGTGTTGTGTAGGCTCCTAGGAACGGGACGCGGGTGGCGCTGTGGATTAAACCACAGAGCCTAGGACTTGCCGATCAGAAGGTCAGCGGTTCGAATCCCCACGATGGGGTGAGCTCCCGTTGCTCAGTCCCTGCTCCTGCCCACCTAGCAGTTCGAAAGCACCTCAAAGTGCAAGTAGATAAATAGGTACCGCTCTGGCGGGAAGGTAAATGGCGTTTCCGTGCGCTGCTCTGGTTCGCCAGAAGCGGCTTAGTCCTGCTGGCCACATGACCCGGAAGCTGTACGCCGGCTCCCTCGGCCAGTAAAGCGAGATGAGCGCCACAACCCCAGAGTCGGCCACGACTGGACCTAATGGTCAGGGGTCCCTTTATCTTTTTAGGCTTCTAGGATATAAGTCATGGGCCCCACCTGCTAGCCTGCTCCCTAAAATATCCCTGGTTTGCTCCTTTCTATATATAGGGTGCCTGCATTCTGCTATTTATCATTATTAAGACGAACAGACATTTCCCCTTACTTTTTAGGAGGAAAAAAGTGTGTCTTATGGAGCGGAAAATACGGCACTCAAACTCAAACTGGTCCTGAGGACCAGCAACTTGGGGGAGGGGGAGGGGGAGCTTCTAGGAGGTCTGCCACTCACCCGCAAAGTCATGTGCGAGGTCGTTGATGAGGTGACCCACCATTGCGTAAGCGACCACGACCACGATGATGACAGCCATCAGAAGATACAAGGCGTAGCGGGGCAGGCGGATGGAATCCAGCGAGGGGGGTTTGTAATCTCTGAAGAGGTCGCCCGCCTCCTCCTCCTCCTCTCCGGACTGCATCAAGCAAGGATTCGCACCCGGGTCCCCGGCGCCTCGTTCCCCTTCCTTCCCCAATCAGCGATTGTCACTTAGGTTTCGCTTGATGGATATTCTGGGGAAGAAATAGACAGGGGCAAGACAAGAACTACCAACTGTGGAAGAATGGCAGATGAAAATGATGGAATATATGGAGCTGGCTGACCTTACTGGAGGAATCCGCGACCAAAAAGAAGAGTGGAAGAAATTTAAGGACTATTTGAATAAATACTGTGATATCAAAAATTAGAAATTGCTTGAAAGTACCAGAATAGGCCTGGATTAAACTAAGAGTTAATTAAAGAAAAAAGATTTAGAACCTAAAGGAAAGTTAAGAAATTTTATTTTAATTGGAATTCTGTGTTTTTAAAAAATGATACCAGAAAACTGCTACATTTTAATTACAAGGAAATTCAGATGGGAGGGTCCAGAGGAAGCCAAAAATATGTTTAAGAGGTTAGAAGTCTAAATAATTAATTAATTTGTGTTGTTTAGGTGATTAGGTTGTTTTTGTTTATATTTGTGATCTTGTGTTTTTTCTTTTGTTTTTTCTGTTTTTCTTTTGTTGTGATATGTGTTATATCTGTAAGAAACTTAATAAAAAATTTTTTTTTAAAAAAAGAAATAGACGGGGGCAGCTCAGGCCCCAATTACGGAGAAAAGCCGTATGTTAAGAAAAAGAGGACACAATATTGATTTGGACAAACAACTCGGAATTTACGGCATGCTACAAGGGTGGCGCTGTGGGTTAAACCACAGAGCCTAGGACTTGCTGATCAGAAGGTTGGCGGTTCGAATCCCCGCAATGACGGGGTGAGCTCCCGTTGCTCAGTCCCTGCTCCTGCCAAACTAGCACTTCGAAAGCACCTCAAAGTGCAAGTAGATAAATGGGTACCACTCTGGCGGGAAGGTCAATGGCGTTTCAGTGCGCTACTCTGGTTCGCCAGAAGCGGCTTAGTCCTGCTGGCCACATGACCCGGAAGCTGTACGCCGGCTCCCTCGGCCAGTAAAGCGAGATGAGCGCCGCAACCCCAGAGTCAGCCACGACTGGACCTAATGGTCAGGGGTCCCTTTACCTTTACTTTATACTTGAAAAGAAAACCATATAAAGATCCGCAGGCGGCTACTTAACACTAAATAGGCCGGCAAAGATGTTTAAATCACAGAGTGATAAATGCTGGAAGTATTAAAAAAACCCAATAGTAGGAACATTTCAACACATGTGGTGGTCTTGCAGTGTGATTAAAGAATACAGTGGTACCTGTATTTCGGTTTTCGAACGCCATAAACCCGGAAGTAAATGCTTTGGTTTTTCAAATGCGCCTTGGAAGTCGAACCGGAAACGCAGATTGCGTATTAAGTTTTCTGTACTGAGTTTTCCATTTTAAGGCTTCTGTACTGAGTTTTTGGTTTTTGAATGTTTCAGAACTCAAACGATCTTCCGGAACGGATGACGTTCAAAAACCGAGGTACCACTGTACACTGGTCTCTTGGTTCTCAAAGTTCATCCGTCCTGGAAGTCCATCCCAAAACCAAAGCGTGTTCCAAAACCAAGGCGCGCTTTCCCATAGAAAGGAATGCAAAACGGATTAATCCATTCCGGACTTTTAAAAGCAACCCCTAAAACAGCAGTTTAACATGAATTCTACTACCTAACGAGACCGTTGATCCAAAAAATGAAAGCAATAATCAATGTACTGTACTATAAAATAAATTAGATGGCATTGTAGATGATAAAAAGTAAAATTAAATTGTTTTATTTACATGTAGTGGTGACGGTCATTGTTTAGATGGGGGGGCTTTTATCCATTTCCACAGCCACACAATCAATTTATATCCCACCCTCCCCAGCCATACAAGGCTCAGCTAACCTCAAAATATATAATACATTAAAACATAAAATCCAGCAATTGACTGAAATACAGCTTAAAATCAGAATAGGACCTCCAGAAACACTGGCCAAGAATTAATATTTCTTGATGGTTCGCTGCCCTCTCTGGTTAAACAGGCACAGCAGGTTTTGAAAGCCTGCAACACCTCTTTTGACCTGTGCAGCTTGGCAAAAAAAATTGCCGTATTTTTTGCTCTATAAGACTCACTTTTCCCCTCCTAAAAAATAAGGGGAAATGTGTGTGCGTCTTACGGAGCGAATGCAAGCTGCGCAGCGATCCCAGAAGCCAGAACAGCAAGAGGGATTGCTGCTTTCGCTGCGCAGCGATCCCTCTTGCTGTTCTGGCTTCTGAGATTCAGAATTATTATTTTTTTCTTGTTTTCCTCCTCCAAAAACTAGGTGCGTCTCGTGGTCTGGTGCGTCTTATAGAGCAAAAAATACGGTGAGTGTGACGCCGGTGCCTCCCGTTGCACCAAACCCAATTTCCTCTTTGCGGGGGCCGCAAATCAAGCTACTCTGGTTTGTTGCTAAGGCTAAATTTCTAAACCTGGTTTTTGTTTTCTGGGATTTGCAGGAAGCGACTTACCTGACGACAGGGAACAGCTGGCGCAAGAGGCAAAATCATCGATTGGCACGACTTGAAAGCGACTGCAAGGCGTTCCTGGTGATCTGTCGACTTTTTAGGGGTGAAAGATGCTGTTTGCCAACAGCTGGAGAGCAAAGACTCTGTGCAACCACCCACCCAGCTTTTTAAATTTTATTTTAAATACAGATATCCTTGCTCAAAGCCTCCCCTCTTCCAGACATCTCCCCCTTTCCTCTCCCCCCCCCCCCAAAAAATCTGCAGAAGACAAATCTACTATTCTGGGCTCCCTCCCCTCCCCATGAGCTGATCTCTTAAAATCAGCTAAGCAGATCGTAGCTGGGGATTTTGAGAGGGGAGGGTTGGAATGAAGGGAGGCAGGCAGAGAATCCACTATTTTGAGTGCTGGCTGCCCGTTAATTTGCGTTGCAGTACACAGAAGCAAGGGACACGGGTGGCGCTGTGGGTTAAACCACAGAGCCTAGGACTTGCCGATCAGAAGGTTGGCAGTTCGAATCCCCGCAATGACGGGGTGAGCTCCCGTTGCTTGGTCCCTGCTCCTGCCAACCTAGCAGTTCGAAAGCACCTCAAAGTGCAAGTAGATAAATAGGTACCACTCCGGCGGGAAGGTCAACGGCGTTTCCGTGCACTGCTCTGGTTCGCCAGAAGCGGCTCAGTCCTGCTGGCCACACAACCCGGAAGCTGGACGCCGGCTCCCTCGGCCAATAAAGCGAGATGAGCGCCGCAACCCCAGAGTCGTCCACGACTGGACCTAACGGTCAGCGGTCCCTTTACCTTTACCTAGAAGCAAAGGATTCGCTTTCTTGCTCAGACCACAGGGGATGAATGAAATAAACACGGCAAACAAGATTGCAGTCCTCATTGTTTTGGAGTAAAAGGCTGGTCTAACAAGGGAACTTTTTCAGCAGGGGGCCGGTCCACTGTCCCTCAGACCTTGTGGGGGGCCGGACTATATTTTGAAGGGGGTGGGTGGGAATGAACGAATTCCTATGCCCCACAAAAAACCCAGAGATGCATTTTAAATAAAAGCACACATTCTACTCATGTAAAAACACACTGATTCCCGGACCGTCCGCGGGCCGGATTGAGAAGGCGATTGGGCCGGATCCTGTCCCTGGGCCTTAAGTTGCCTACCCCTGACATAGCTCATAGCTTCTCTGAGTTATTCAAGCCCCTCCACCATGACAAGGCAGTGATCCATGAATGGGGTTTTTTTGGGGGGGGGGTCAAATGGCCAGAATTCGGGGAGAATTTTTGACACCGCGCTTTGCAATCGGCCTCTGGGGAGCGGCTCCGGAAAGCCTTGACATTGAAAATGGGTTCTGCCAAGCCTGATCTGCTTTTAAACGTTTAAGCCCCGGTAAACCTAATCCGCGATGGTTTTTGGCTAAAGGAGGTTGCTTTCACGCAGAAGCAAGCCTGCGATATTCCCTTTCCCCCGAAATCCCTTTCCGAATCAGCCTTCCACAATCCTCTTATTACTTTGTGTGTACGAAACCGATTCATAATCCTCTTTCCAGCTTGGCATCTGTTGGCGGGGGGGGGGTCCTTGGGTGTCCCCCTACTCTTTGGTTGTGGACTGATATAGATATATATATATATATATGGGATGCGGGTGGCGCTGTGGGTTAAACCACAGAGCCTAGGGCTTGCCGATCAGAAGGTCGGCGGTTCGAATCCCCGCGACGGGGTGAGCTCCCATTGCTCGGTCCCTGCTCCTGCCAACCTAGCAGTTCAAAAGCACGTCAAAGTGCAAGTAGATCAATAGGTACCGCTCCGGCAGGAAGGTAAACGGCGTTTCCGTGCGCTGCTCTGGTTCGCCAGAAGCGGCTTAGTCCTGCTGGCCACATGACCCGGAAGCTGTACGCCGGCTCCCTCGGCCAGTAAAGCGAGATGAGCGCCGCAACCCCAGAGTCGTCCATGACTGGACCTAACGGTCAGGGGTCCTTTTACTTTTAACTAAATAATATCGAGCGTCAGAACAACTTGGCCACAATAAGGAAATTTTGCCCATGGCATGACTATTTTCCACCTTCCCCTTTCGACTCTCCGGCCCCCCTCTCCGCATAACCAAGCAATTGTAAAATAAGCGCGTTTTTACTCTCGCAAGATTGAATGTCTTGCCCTCGGCTGGACTTTAGGGACGGTTCCAACAGATTCCACCTGGAAAACGTCCCTGTGGAGATGGCAGTCCCGAATCGGTGGCACATGCCCTTCTGGCTTGCCCTCTTGATAAAGACTTGAGGAATGAGATTATCACCCTTCTTTTATTGTCCATCCCGGGTCGCCCAGCCCCTGCCCCAGTGTCCTTTCCCTTGGCAGATCAAGATGAGCAGGTGACAGCAAAGGTGGCAAGGTTTTTAGCTGGGGCAATCAGAATAAGATCCACTACTTGACCATGGATTCAAAACCCTAAAATGTATTTTATATAATTGACTTTTTATTTCTATTCTTTGTAATGTAGTGTTGTTTTACAGTGGTACCTTGGGTTAAGTACTTAATTTGTTCCGGAGGTCCGTCCTTAACCTGAAACTGTTCTTAACCTGAAGCACCACTTTAGCTAATGGGGCCTCCTGCTGCCACCGCGCCGCTGGAGCACGATTTCTGTTCTCATCCTGAAGCAAAGTTCTTAACCTGAAGCACTATTTCTGGGTTAGCAGAGTCTGTAACCTGAAGCGTATGTAACCCGAGATACCACTGTATTGCTACGGCCGATGGCTGACGCAAATAAAGATTCATTCATTCATTTGACGCTACCACAAGGAAGACTCGGCAGTCAGTTTTCAAAGCGAAATAAATACGCGTGAACATATATTTGCAAAAATGAGAAAGGGGAAACAGAAAAGTCACCAGATCCGGAACAGAACCCGCTATCGAGATGTAGGTACCCGTCACCCACCAACCACCAAGCAGAGAAACAGGCCGCAAATTAGAAACGGAGGTGAGACGTCTTGCGTCTCTCCGTCCGGCGCTGCGGGAATCCAAACCGGGATGAGATCGCGGCGGCCGGGACTCGGCTAGCTCCCTGCGCCCTTTTCAGTCCGAGCTCTTCAGCTTGCTCAGCCCGTCAGGGTACTGGAAATCGCCGCCGTTCTCGTAGTCGTAGATGTCCAGCGCTACCTCGCAGCTCTCCCGTACGACGCGCTCCTTGTCCTGGGCGTGGGCCTGCAAGGCGGAGAGGCAGGAGGCCCGGGCGATGGAGCCCAGGGCCTCGGCGCACTCGTGGCGCACCATGGGGCTCTCAGCGCCGTTCTCCAGCGAGGCCGTCAGCTGTGGGACGCTCGCCTCGTGTTGCATCTGTCCGAGGACGTAGGCGACCTCGTGGCGGAAGAGGGCGCTGCCGCACCGGAGGCCTTGAGGGTGGAGGGGAGAGGAGAATCGCAGTTCAGGAAAGGGGCTTGAGGACTAGGGCCTTGCGTTATTTTTAAGAGCCAGAGCTTGTAGTGTTCCCAATAATAATAATTTATTATTTATACCCCGCCCACCTGGCTGAGTTTACCCAGCCACTCTGGGCGGCTCCCAATCAAGTGTTAAAAACAATACAGCACTAAATAGTAAAAACTTCCCTGAACAGGGCTGCCTTCAGATGTCTTTTAAAGAGAAGATAGCTGCTTATTTCCTTGGCATCTGACGGCAGGGCGTTCCACAGGGCGGGCGCCACCACCGAGAAGGCCCTCTGCCTGGTTCCCTGTAACCTCACTTCTCGCAATGAGGGAACCGTCAGAAGGCCCTCGGCGCTGGATCTCAGTGTCTGGGCAGAACGATGGGGGTGGAGACACTCCCTTAAGTATACAGGACTGAGGCCGTTTAGGGCTTTCAAGGTCAGCACCAACACTTTGAATTGTGCTCGGAAACGTACTGGGAGCCTATGCAGATCTCTCAGGACCGGTGTTATGTGGTCCTGGCGGCCGCTCCCAGTCACCAGTCTGGCTTCCGCATTCTGGATCAATTGCAGTTTCCGGGTCACCTTCAAAGGCAGCCCCACGGAGAGCGCATTGCAGTAGTCCAAGCGGGAGATAACCAGAGCATGCGCCACTCTGGCCAGACAGTCTGCCAGCAAGGAGGGTCTCATCCTGCATACCAGATGGAGCTGGTAGACAGCCGCCCTGGACACAGAATTAACCTACGCCTCCATGGACAGCTGTGAGTCCAAAATGACCCAAGCCAAAGGCCAGGCGGAACAACTCTGTCTTACAGGCCTTGTGGAAAGAAATCAGATCCCGCAGGGCCCTGGTCTCATGAGACAGAGCGTTCCACCAGGCCGGGGCCAGCGCTGAAAAGGCCCTGGCTCTGGTTGAGGCTAATCTGACTTCCTTAGGACCCGGGACCACTAGGGTGTTGCTATTTATGGACCTTGAGGCTCTCCGTGGGGCAGGCAGTCCCGTAGGTACGAGGGTCCTAGACAAGCAGCTGAGCGGGCCCAAATTCCGGCCAGAGCCGCTGACCAGGCAAAATCTCTGGCCCAAGAGAAGCGAGGAGACTCACCATCCGCCAAGGCCAGGACGGCCGATTCCCCGCCGACGTTGCGCAGGGCAAACATGGCCCGGTATCGCTCGAACAGCGGCCGCGAATCGTCCAGCAAAGCCTGCCGCAACCTTTCCACGTCCGCCTCCTCGGATGGAGGCGCTGGGTCTACGGAGGAGTAGGGACCGGAGGATGCTTCTGCCGGGTGTTCCTGAAGCCATTCCAGTCTCTTCAAAGCCAACTGACACGTCTCTGCCACCTGAAAAGGATGGTGGGGTGTTTTTCAAGAACGTATATTTCGTGAAAAACATGAAATACATTCTTAAAAAAAACAGAAGCATTTTTACTTGGTATTATAGGCCAGGATATTAATAGGCAAGATGTTAAACTGTTTTTATACGTAACAGCAGCGGCAAGAGTATTGTTAGCCCAGAAATGGAAGCGAGAGGAAATTCTGACGAAAGAAGAACGGCAGACGAAATTAATGGATTATGCAGAATTGGACAAAACGACAGAAAGGATTCGAAACCTGCGGGACCAGAAATTTACAGAAGATTGGAAGAAGCATATGAATTATTTGAAGAGCAATTGTAACCAACAAATTACAATAGTGGGACTACAAGAAGTTTTGTAAGGAGAAATATACAAAGTGTTTATAAAGTAGATAGAGATACTGGTTATGAGTTTTAAATGTAATAGGGAAAGTAAGACATGCATACTAAGAGATTATTAGATTGGAAAATTTTCAGACAGGACTGATGGAAGTCAAAAAATTGAATAAGGTGAAAAAGTATGTTTAATTACTGTTGAAAATGGTATGTTAAAAAAACGAATATATATATATATATATATATATATATATATATATATATATATAGGAGGGAGGGGTGTTAACTTTTTGGATCGGGTCAGGTTCGGGGAAGAGTTGCAAAGGAGCCCCTGGATTTACCTCGACGACAGGGTCTTCCGAGTATTGTTTGAGGACGTCTAGAACTTTGGGGTTCCCAATGGCACCGAGTGCCTCGCCTGTCAAAAGCAGGGAGAGAATGAGATACGAAGGTGGAAGCAGTGTGTGTGTTATTAATTTTATTTGTTTATATCCCTCTCTCCCGCTGTAGACCCCACGGAGACACACAGCTAGGTGGGCAGGAGCAGGGACCGAGCAACAGGAGCTCACCCCGTCATTGCGGGGATTCAAACCGCTAACCTTCTGATTGGCAAGTCCTAGGCTCTGTGGTTTAGACCTAAAGGTAAAGGTAAAGGGACCCCTGACCATTACGTCCAGTCGTGGCTGACTCTGGGGTTGTGGCGCTCATCTCGCTTTACTGGCCGAGGGAGCCGGCGTACAGCTTCTGGTCATGTGGCCAGCAGGACTAAGCCGCTTCTGGCGAACCAGAGCAGCGCACGGAAGCGCTGTTTACCTTCCCGCCGGAGGGGTACTACAGTGGTACCTCGGGTTACATACGCTTCAGGTTACATACGCTTCAGGTTACACACTCCACTAAGCCAGAAATAGTGCTTCAGGTTAAGAACTTTGCTTCAGGATAAGAACAGAAATCGGGCTCTTGCGGCGTGGCGGCAGCAGGAGGCCCCATTAGCTAAAGTGGTGTTTCAGGTTAAGAACAGTTTCAGGTTAAGTACGGACCTCTGGAACGAATTAAGTACTTAACCCGAGGTACCACTGTACTTGCACTTTGACGTGCTTTCGAACTGCTAGGTGGGCAGGAGCTGGGACCGAGCAACGGGAGCTCACCCTGTCATTGCGGGGATTCAAACCGCCGACCTTCCGATCGGCAAGCCCAAGAGGCTCTGTAGACCACAGCGCCACCCGCATCCCATAATAATTCTCCAGACATTAAAAGCGTTCCCCAAACCAGCCCCCCTGCAATCTGTCAACACAGTCCCTCTTACCAGCTTCGTGGCGGACCATGGGCTCCTGGCTAGCGTCTCGGAGAACCTCAATGAGGACTGGAATCGCTCTCTCGTCTTGCATCTGCCCTAAGCAGTAAGCCAGTTCGTGTTTGAGGAGCGCAGAGTCGTCCCCAAAACCTCGGCTGATCCACTCAATGGCTGCAGCCCCCCCTAGGTTTCGGAGGGTGAATAGCGCCCGGAAACGGGCTTTCAGGGGCTGGCCGGCGTCCACCAGCGTCCGGCCAATCTGTTCAATTTCCTTCTCAGTCACCATGGTTGCCCGGGCAGGAGCTACTTCAAAAAATACCTAAAGGAAGAGAAAAGGAGGGTTTTTGTTTTTTGTGAAAGTCCGTGTTTCGGAGAAGTCCAAACTCCCCCCCCCCCGCCCTTTTAAAAATACTTCATTTCGTTTTAAAATTTACACGGCAAGAAAATAAATTGATCGTTGCATTCACATAAACAGAAAATAAAGCTATACATGAACGAAATATGAAAAAAGTAAAAATTAAACAACATTTTTTGGGGGGGAAACAAAAATTTATTATCAAAAACACAAAATTATTTAAGGATTACAAACCATCATTTGAATGTTTTATACCCAAAATTCCTAGAACGACATTACCTTCATATTCACTTTTCTTTTTCGTTACGTTCCGATTATTCTCCTAAAGTGGTTTGAGTCCCTTCTATATTATTTGACTTCCCTCGATCTCTTTGGGGTTTCCAAATTTCTTTTACATTCAACTTATCTGTATTCCATAATTGAAAAACAACGTTCCCTTATATCTGTGAAGTTAGTCTAGGGCATAGCCAAGTGATGTTGTTGGAACCGTATTTTATTAGATAGTTATTAAATCAATCCCATTCTTTTTTCAACCTTGTCGCCTGAGAGGTTTCTTATTAATTCAGTCATTTTAGCGAGTTCAAACTTTTTAGCGAAGCCCAAACTTTGCAAAGTTTTGGAAAGATGGGTTGGAGAAAACAGGAACCAAGCAATGTCTACTCAGAAGTAAATTGCAATCAGGGTAGATTTGATTTAAATCGAATCGCTATTAAATCACGATTTAAATCACTAGTCAGTAAGACTTGATTTAAATCTTCTTCCTTTTTTTACAGAAAGACTCATTCTTGCTGGTATCATCTTAATATTTACAAACCAGATGAAGATTTCATTTGGATTGATAAATTTTCAGAGTAGTTTTTACAGTTATATCAAAAATTACCGATTTGGTTCTACTATTAGAAATACACAGACAAGTAATTATGAAATTATGGTGAGGTTTAATAAGTTAACTGTTTATATTTGGACAACTTTTCTGCTGTTCTTTATTGGAAGGAGAAAACTAATCATTTCCTTAGTAACAATTTAAACAATTTATTTAACTAAAACAATAACATTATAGCATATGTATCCATGTTTGTTAACTGATGCGGCTAAACATTTAAAAAAAAACAACTTAGACTGAGTTTAAGCACACAGAAAAACTTAAAACAAATCCTTATTTCCTGATGAATAACCTTCGGACTATAATGTAACTTAAATAGAAAATCTTTAGAAAGATTTTTCCTCCAGAAGGATTTTATTTAAAAAATCCAATTTAAATCTTAAAAATCTGATTATTTTTTTAATCTTTTATTTTTATACACCTTGAATTTGCATTGAATTCAAGCAAACGTCCAACTCCTTTTTGGAGTTTTATCCACCTTGAATTTGCATTGAATTCAAGCAAACGTCCAACTATATTTTTGGAAGGTGTCAAATTAACATCAATTGGTTTAATTTTTGCTTGTTTGGCTTCTGTGGGGTAAACAAAACGATTGGATCTCTCCCGTTGCAGAGGGGGGAAAAGTTCCAGATCCAAAATTTTCTGGGGAAGCCAAGCCGAGTCGCTGGTAAAATTCCATTTCACAGTCACCTCCAGGCAACTCTGAATATGATACACACATAATTGTTGACTCAGGAGATGGTTTGGCTTTTAAGTCTTGGAAGACGCCCATAAATGGGAAATTTTTTATGTTATTGCTCAAGCACGCAGATCGACACCTGGCCAAAGCATTTTGGCGAAAACACTCCCAGGTATATACTGATGGGAAAAAAAATTAAATTACTGTACCGGTAAGGTGCAGCACAGTCCAACTTATCCAAAATCTGTTGTGATTCTCAAAAGCTTCTAGAACATTGTATATGACGAGCTTAAAAAAATGTTTAAGTATAACTTTATAAAAAATACAGAAGCTTTTCTACTAGGGATAACGGACACAGGTATAGCAAGAGAAGATCAGAAAATATTCCTCTATGCTACAGGAGCGGCAAGGATCCTAATTGCTAAAAACTGGAAAAAAGAAATTGTGCCAACAAAAATGGAATGGCAAGACAAACTGTTAGAGTATATTGAACTGGCTAGATTAACAGAGGCAATTAGAGATCATACTAGACAAGAATTTCAAAACGCATGGGGGAAATGCAGAGAATACTTCACAAAACAGTGCCCTAAAATTCATACCTGGACTTGTTTCGATTAATGTGTGCAGGAGACTTTATGGATATTTAAGTTATAATTAGAAAAATCTTAATAATTATTTATAAAGGAAACAGCTTATAAGAAGTAAATAAGGATGCCAGAAACAGGATAAAGGAAGTCTTTTATTTGGCTGTTTGTATTGTTGTATATTATGCTTGTTGTTTGTTATGTTTGTGTCTGATGGGGGTGGATTTCTGGGTTGCGGGGGTTTGTGTTATGTTGTAAATAAAATTTCCAATAAAAATTTATTTAAAAAAACCAAAAAACAAAATCTGTTGTGATTCGGACATTTTGTGGGTCAGAGGTCTGGGTTAATCCTTTAAAGGCCAAAGAAGTGGGGAGAAAGATGTAATTCGCCTTCAAAATAGCAGCTTTTTGCTCTTGCCCAGTGAGAAATAGAATACAGAATATAGAAAATGCATGCTCAGAATCACTCTCTATGCCAGAAATAAACTGTATTTGATGCTATCACTGTAGCATCAAGCAGTAATGGGGGAAAACTGGGACACAAATAGTTGGAATTAAACTTTTTTTTAAAAAAAAAACCTGTTAAATTTGATGCAATTTGGCCTCAATTCGTTAAAAAACTGGGAAGCTTAATAAACAGGTGCAAATCAGAAGTGGCCAAGGCTGTTAACGAGAAAACCTATGCAAATCAATGCCAGAGAATGCACAAATCTATGCAAATTATTGGCAGGCAATTTTTTCAGCACCTGCTTAAAAACATTATTCTTTCAACAAGCCTCCAGGGATGTTTAAAAAGCCGACGGCAAGTTTTAATGGGATCTCAGCCTGTAGCTGTTTTAACTTTTTGAAAGTTTTTCATTATTGCTGTTGATTTTCCTGATGGATAATTTCATCGCTTTATCTGTCTTTCTTTGGTCAACCCTTTAGAGCGGTTACTTTTTTGCAATCGAGCGATGTACAAATTTCACGAAACCAACAAATAAACGGTATTATTATTATTATTTTAAAAAATCATTGGCAGGCACCATAATAAATTATATGCAAATAAACCTATGCAACTTAACAAACGCATGTAAATCCATGCAAATCAGCAAGGGGGTCCACGAACGTCGCAGGCAGCCCAAACAGAATATGCAAATATATGCAAATCAGCAGCAGCCAAAATAAAATTACCAGCTGTGGCCCAACCCACCAAGCCCATATCCACCCCAAAATTCCTCCCCCATTGTCCCCCCAACCCTGGGTAGCTCCCCTGCCCCCTCCCATCCCGTCTCCATGGCAACAGGGATGCAGGCGGCTCCCCACCCTCTTTGATGTCTATCCCACTCACCTAAGTCGCACGCGTTCCAAGGCAGCCTTCTGCGCCTGCGCGGTAACCGGTAAACCACTGCGCCTGCGCGGGAAGGAAGGCCCGCTCGGCGATGAGGCGGACGGACGGAACCAAGTACCACGAGAATGTGGCGGGGGGGGAGAAGGGTGGAAGCGGCCCTTTTTCTCCGTATTTCTCTTCTTCTTCTTCTTCCTCTTCAATTCAGAGGGGCGAAACGAACTTTTTTCACCGGAGGCTGCCTCAAATGGTACTTTTCCCCTTTCTCTTCCCCCCCTTCCTCCGCTTCAAATGGGTGAGTCCGGACGGGCGAAGGCCGCGAGAGGAAATGGCGGCCTCCGGCGCATGCGCGTTGGTAGGGAGACGCCAGCGTTGCTCCGCCTTCATTCCGTAAGGCGGGGCGTGGCGATAGACTTATGAATAATAGACTCGCGTGCAGCTCTGAGTTTCCGGGTTCAGTTTGGAACATTGCATCAGTCGCTGTTGCAATGGTGGATTTTGAAAGATTTTCTTTCTTTCTCTTGTTCTCTCTCTCTCTCTCTCTCTCTCTGTGCTTGCTTGCTTCTTTAATTTCTTATGCCCCTACACATTTGCAAATTATATTAATTTTGGGGTGGTCTTGGGCTACAGGGTGGGCAATTTCAAAAGTCTATATAAGGGCTTGCACCCCAATTTTCGGGGTAAACCCATTAACAGCCAGGTAAACCCATCATCCATCTTAAAAAGCAGATACATCACCTTGCCAACAAACGTCCGTATAGTTCAAGCTCTGATTTTCCCAGTAGTGATGTATGGAAGTGAGAGCTGGACCACAAAGAAGGCAGATCGCCGAAGAATGGATGCTTTTGAATTCTGGTGCTGGAGGAGACTCTGGAGAGTCCCATGGACTGCAAGAAGATCAAACCTCTCCATTCTGAATGAAATCAGCCCTGAGTGCTCACTGGAAGGACAGATCCTGAAGCTGAGGCTCCAAGACTTTGGCCACCTCATGAGAAGAGTAGACTCCCTGGAAAAGACCCTGATGTTGGGAAAGATGGAGGGTGCAAGGAGAAGGGGACGACAGAGGACGAGATGGTGGGACAGTGTTCTCGAAGCTACGAACATGAGTTTGACCAAACTGCGGGAGGCAGTGGAAGACAGGAGAGCCTGGCATGCTCTGGTCCAGCGGGTCACGAAGAGGTGGACACGAATAAACAACTAAACAACAACAATATATATATACACATACACCAAATGTCTATATAAGAGCTTGCACACCAATGTTTGGGGTTCCTCTCCTCCCTCCTGTGTGTGATGAGTGGGGACCCTGTTGCAACAGTTCAATAAAGATCAGGCTTACTAGCCGCTTTGCTTCTCAATATTCTCTGCTTGGCCTCTGTTATTTTCTCCTACCGACAGAGAACCTACTTATCTATACAGGCTGTTGGGTACCCAATAAGGGAAAAGGAGTAGTTTTTTCCCCCTTATAACACTTTGATTCTATGATATTGGCTCTTTTGTTCTCCAGGGCATGTGACCTGGGTCTCGGGGAAACTAAAGTATTCACCATCACCAAAGAACAGCCAGGCTGCCCAGGTAAAGCAATCAGTGACCATTATCAGGTATCCTGGCAGGCAGGATTTCTGCTGTGGACCGCCTCCTTCTGTGATGTTTTTGGGGGTGGTCTTGGGCTACAGGGTGGGCAATTTCAAAAGTCTATATAAGGGCTTTTGCACCATTGAATCATAGAATAGAATCATAGAATCATAGAGCTGGAAGAGACCACAAGGGCCACCGAGTCCAACCCCCTGCCAAGCAGGAAACACCATCAGAGCACTCCTGACATATGGTTGTCAAGCCTCTGCTTAAAGACCTCCAAAGAAGGAGACTCCACCACACTCCTTGGCAGCAAATTCCACTGTCGAACAGTTCTTACTGTCAGGAAGTTCTTCCTAATGTTTAGGTGGAATCTTCTTTCTTGTAGTTTGGATCCATTGCTCCGTGTCCGCTTCTCTGGAGCAGCAGAAAACAACCTTTCTCCCTCCTCTATGTGACATCCTTCTATATATTTGAACATGGCTATCATATCACCCCTTAACCTCCTCTTCTCCAGGCTAAACATGCCCAGCTCCCTTAGCCGTTCCTCATAAGGCATCGTTTCCAGGCCTTTGACCGTTTTGGTTGCCCTCCTCTGGACACGTTCCAGTTTGTCAGTGTCCTTCTTGAACTGTGGTGCCCAGAACTGGACACAGTACTCCAGGTGAGGTCTGACCAGAGCAGAATACAGTGGCACTATTACTTCCCTTGATCTAGATGCTATACTCCTATTGATGCAGCCCAGAATTGCATTGGCTTGTTCTGGGTTCCTCCTCCCTCAAGCGTGGGGTGAACTTATGCAACTTATGAACTTAATAAAGATCAGGCTTACTAGCTGCTTTGCTTCTCAATATTCTCTGGTTGGCCTCTGTTATTTTCTGCTACCAATAGGGAACCTACTTAAGGACTCTGTACAGGCCCTTGGGTACCCCATAAGGGAAAGGGAGCAGTTTCTTCTTCTTCTTATAACACCCACAACTTTAGCTCCTTTGGAAAGAAAAATCACACTGGCTAGGCACTCCTCGGACGCTTAGAGGACAGGTTAGAAACATGAGAGGGAAAAGAAGGCATTCGTTTTTCTTTTCTTTTTAATGTCAGTTAATAAAATATTTGTATAGAGCCCCAAAAGTTCAAAATAGTGCAAAACATCTTCACTATCATGCATTGTTGGTTTTTGTTTTTTTTGTTTCAACTCAATCCACTTCAGGTAAGTAGGAACAGAACAGATAATGACATATTTCAAGACGTGTGCATGTGGTCCACAACAGGATAATTATTAACTCGGTTCTGAGCATCCGGGATTGGTATTTATTTATTTCACTCTATTTTTCCCCGTCCTTTTTTTAAATATTATTAAATCATCTTCTCTTCGTTTGTTTGTTTAGTTTCAAGTACATGCCGGACAGAAATTACTGAGAAGGGAATCGGTTCGGAGAGGGGGACAGGTTGGGGGAAAAGAAACACGGATGAGGTCCGTGGGGAGGAATCCGTAATCTAAACCGCTTAGATGTCCCCGTCGATGTCTTCTCTTTATTTAAATTACTATTTTTAAAAAAGTTCGGCGGAATGCACACCTGCGCAGGTATACGACTTGGGGTGTTTTGTGTGTGTGTAAACATTCAACTCAAATTCCGACACTTTGGTCCCAGGGCAAAATGGTATGGAAAAGGTATCTTCGGAAAAGAGGGGGAGCTGGAATGAAACCGCTTTGGGACGATGTTCTCTCCTAACGGGTCCTGGGGGAGAAGGAGAGGGTCTTGGAGGAGGCCGTCTGCAGCCGGGGGGGACAAAGGACAAGACGGCACCCGTTTCCCGCCCCCCCAACTCTGGACCAGAAAGAAGATGAGTCTCAGCTTCAGCGCTGATGGCAGAGGACATCCCCGGGGAGGGTGACCCACTACAATGGACCTCAGTTAGACATGTCCGTTCTCTGAAATGGGTCCAGTGAGGATGCTAGCCGGAAGCAGGTAAGCGTAGGCTGCCTTGCTTGGGAGGGCCGGCTCCAAGCTCAGAATTGGGCCGCTGCAGTACTTGGAAAGGGGCCCTCCAACGTTTCTCCCGTGAAAATAGGGACGTCCTATTCCATCCCCTCCAACGTTTCTCCCATGAAAAGAGGGACGTCCTATTCCATCCCCTCCAACGTTTCTCCCATGAAAAGAGGGACGTCCTATTCCATCCCCTCCAACGTTTCTCCTGTGAAAATAGGGACGTCCTATTCCATCCCATCCAACGTTTCTCCCGTGAAAATAGGGACGTCCTATTCCATCCCCTCCAACGTTTCTCCCCTGAAAATAGGGACGTCCTATTCCATCCCCTCCAACATTTCTCCCATAAAAATAGGGACGTCCTATTCCATCCCCTCCAACATTTCTCCCCTGAAAATAGGGACGTCCTATTCCATCCCCTCCAACGTTTCTCCCCTGAAAATAGGGACGTCCTATTCCATCATCTCCAACGTTTCTCCCATGAAAATAGGGACGTCCTATTCCATCCCCTCCAACGTTTCTCCCCTGAAAATAGGGACGTCCTATTCCATCCCCTCCAACGTTTCTCCCCTGAAAATAGGGACGTCCTATTCCATCCCCTCCAACGTTTCTCCCCTGAAAATAGGGACGTCCTATTCCACCCCCTCCAACGTTTCTCCCGTGAAAATAGGGACGTCCTATTCCATGCTCCAACGTTACTCCCCTGAAAATAGGGACGTCCTATTCCATCCCCTCCAACGTTTCTCCCCTGAAAATAGGGACGTCCTATTCCATCCCTCCATCGTTTCTCCCATGAAAATAGGGACGTCCTATTCCATCCCCTCCAACGTTTCTCCCTTGAAAATAGGGACGTCCTATTCCATCCCCTCCAACGTTTCTCCCGTGAAAATAGGGACGTCCTATTCCATCCCCTCCAACGTTTCTCCCGTGAAAATAGGGACGTCCTATTCCATCCCCCTCCAACGTTTCTCCCCTGAAAATAGGGACGTCCTATTCCATCCCCTCCAACGTTTCTCCCGTGAAAATAGGGACGTCCTATTCCATCCCCTCCAACGTTTCTCCCGTGAAAATAGGGACGTCCTATTCCATCCCCTCCAACGTTTCTCCCGTGAAAATAGGGACGTCCTATTCCATCCCCTCACACTCCAACGTTTCTCCCCTGAGAATAGGGACGTCCTATTCCATTCCCTCCAACGTTTCTCCCCTGAAAATAGGGACGTCCTATTCCATCCCCTCCAACGTTTCTCCCCTGAAAATAGGGACGTCCTATTCCATTCCCTCCAACGTTTCTCCCCTGAAAATAGGGACGTCCTATTCCATCCCCTCCAACGTTTCTCCCCTGAAAATAGGGACGTCCTATTCCATCCCCTCCAACGTTTCTCCCGTGAAAATAGGGACGTCCTATTCCATCCCCTCCAACGTTTCTCCCGTGAAAATAGGGACGTCCTATTCCATCCCCTCCAACGTTTCTCCCGTGAAAATAGGGACGTCCTATTCCATCCCTTCCAACCTTCCCTCCCTCCCTCCCTCCCTCCCTTCCTTCCTTCCTTCCTTCCTTCCTTCCTTCCTTCCTTCCTTCCTCTTCTACCTCCTTGGTCTCAGTGGTGTCCCTGTGAGGCTCAGCTTAGGATTTCCCCATTTCAAGAAGTAAAAAAATCTGGACACAAAAAGTTGTGGGGTTTTGGGGGGGATAGTTGTTGAGCTGTTTTTTTAAGGAAAAGTGGGCCGATTTCCCAAGTCTGTCGTTGAAATCCCAGACATATGGCAGCCCTACGGAACTGGAATTAGGTCTTCGGTGTCTCTGGCACCATCTGCTGTTGACCTCCCAACCTACCACCAACGGGCACCAGCCGCCTCTGAGCACCACTGAGCCGCAAATTTATTTCATTTTTTAAAAAAAGGTTCTACTTTAAAACCCCTTCTCTTCGCCAACGGCTTGCTCTGCTTCTCGACAGCGCTGCAAACCGTAAAGAGATCGGCCCGTGTTGCGAAACCGTGCTTCCTTTCAAATGCTGCCGGTTAGGGAGTGTGTCTAGCCCTACGCTGCCGGTTCGTGCAGGCAGCACTGAACTAGATGGACCAACACTTGGCCTCGAGCAATTCCAACACGACCACCTCTGACCCAGTGGGGACTGAAAAGACCCCTTGCCAAAACATTGGGAGAGGGCGGCTGCCGGCCAGAGCTGGCAGCCCGGAGCCCTGTGGACCAACGGTGCAAGGACGGCTCCTTGGGGAAAGAGCTGTGATCAGGACAGAGGTGGTCATGAGTCATAGCTGTCAACTTACAGATTTGAAAATAAGGGACCAGCAGCCTCGAAAATAAGGGATCAGCAGCCAAAATAAGAGATTTTAGTCAACCAGCAGCCAAACGAAGCCTCAAGCGGTGGTTCCCACAGTGCAGCAACCCGGCAAAGGGGATGCAGCAAGGAAAACCACCGTCACCTCTCCGCTGGGAAGCGCTGAGCAAAGGCGAGTCCCCAGGCAAGGCGGCCGATTTGATCGGCACAAGGCATGCAAGCTCCACCCCCCAGTCGTTCTTAGACTCCTTATTGGGTGAGCAACGCAGCCGAGCAACACAGTTGGAGCCTACCTCCTCCCTGGCCAGCAGGGAGTGAGGGAGAGGAGCTGCTTCCTTTGAAACCTGGGAAATTTAAGGGACTTTATCAATAAGGGACAGCAGTGGGACATGGCGCTGGGATAAGGGACTGTCCCGCCAAATACGGGACGGTTGACAGCTATGCCATGAGTGAGAAGGAGGCGGGTCAGTCTTGGGAAACATGCAGCAGGACCTTTGGCCCCGGTTTCCAGAAATGTAGCGTTTCAGCGCCAGAGCCCTGTTTCCCTGCAGGAGATTCAACCGTGGGCATCTTCAGGTAGGGCAGAGAACGCCCCTTTCTCCGATGCTGGACTGGACGGGCCAAGGGTCCTGACTTGGGGGGGGGGAGGCTCCCCTCTTTGCCCTCTGCCCCACAGCGGCTAATACTGAACGGATTTGGCAATGTGTGTGTGTGTTCGGAGGGTGTTTGATCCTTGGCAGCGGGAGCGAGGCTCCCAAATTCAGGGAGGAAGGGGAAGGCGGGAATCTCTTATGGCTTCGACATGGCTGCATAAACGAGGGTCGGGAGGTGATGCTAGGAGGCCATGGGGCTGACGGACCACAGGACTGGGAGGGCAGGGAGAGGGCAGGGCACAGTGGGGCTTAGCTGGCGCTGCCCTCCTCGGCCGAGCGCGTATCCGACTTGAGCTTCACGAACTCCTTCGCCACCTCGTCGTTGTTGCGCTGCGAGAGGATGCGCAGGACCGTCAGCCCCGTGTCGTCCATGTGGATGCGGCGGCCGAGGGGCAGCCAACAGGCGCAGCTGCCCCTTTGCAGGAGGTCCTTCAGCTGCAAGATGGCGATGCCCACCGTCCGGTCCTCGCGGGCAAAGCAGTAGTCCTTCACGCAGACCTGGAGCTCGTAGCATTCGGGGCCCGTCTCAGTGCCCAGGGCGCTGCGGGAGGGAAAAGGTGGATTCAGCTAAAAAGGTAAAGGGACCCCTGACCATTAGGTCCAGTCGTGGCCGACTCTGGGGTTGCGGCGCTCATCTCGCTTTACTGGCCGAGGGAGCCGGCGTACATCTTCTGGGTCATGTGGCCAGCAGGACTAAGCCGCTCTGGCGAACCAGAGCAGCGCACGAAACGCCGTTTACCTTCCCGCCGGAGTGGTACCTATTTATCTACTTGCACTTTGACGTGCTTTCGAACTGCTAGGTTGGCAGGAGCAGGGACCGAGCAACGGGAGCTCACCCCGTCATTGCGGGGATTCGAAGCGCCAACCTTCTGATAGGCAAGTCCTAGGCTCTGTGGTTTAACCCACAGCGCCATTCAGCTACAGAGCCACAAATATAAAGCTTTGAGTGCTTTTCGAGCGCATTGCACAAACACATTGTTTCCTTGACATCTGGTGGGAGGGCGTTCCACAGGGTGGGTGCCACCACTGAGAAGGCCCTCTGCCTGGTTCCCTGTAACCTCGCTTCTCGCAGGGAGGGAACTGCCAGAAGACCCTCGGAGCTGGACCTCAGTGTCTGGGCTGAATGATGGGGGTGGAGATGCTCCCTCAGGGATACTGGGCCGTTTAGGGCTTTCAAGGTCAGTACCAACACTTTTTAACATGTGTAAAAAAATATTTTGTCAATATTTTAAAATGGTTCTTAAAAGGTAAAGGTACCCCTGACTATTATGTCCAGTCGTGGCCGACTCTGGGGTTGCGGCGCTCATCTCGCTTTATTGGCCGAGGGAGCCGGCGTACAGCTTCTGGGTCATGTGGCCAGCAGGACTAAGCCACTTCTGGTGAACCAGAGCAGCGCACGGAAACGCCGTTTACCTTCCCGCCGGAGCGGTACCTATTTATCTACTTGCACTGGTGTGCTTTCAAACTGCTAGGTTGGCAGGAGCAGGGACCGAGCAACGGGAGCTCACCCCGTCATTGCGGGGATTCGAACTGCCGACCTTCTGATCGGCAAGTCCTAGGCTCTGTGGTTTAACCCACAGCGCCACCCATGTCCCTATAAAATGGTTCTTAAAGGTAAAGGTAAAGGGACCCCTGACTGTTAGGTTTAGTCATGGCCGACTCTGGGGTTGCGGCACTCATCTCGCTTTACTGGCGGAGGTGTATTGCAAATCGAGACGGCTGGCCTGGCGAGGAGGCAGGACCGAGGTTTGCTATAATTGCCCTTCTTGAGTTACTCCCGAGATGAAGGAACGGGGAGAAAGGACAATCACTTACAACTGGATGCTCTCGTTGTATTTCGGAGACCAGCTATTGTTCTTGGACTTGGTGGCGAATTTCCTCTTCTTGTCGCTGAGGTGGGGCCCGATGATGTTGACCTCAATAAAGGGGCGGAAGATCCCCGACGTTTGCCACTTCAGGTCGTTGGCGGCTACCACTGGGCGAGAGAAAGGCGCAGTGCTGGATTTACGTATAAGCTCAACAAGCTGTAGCTTAGGGCCCCGCTCTCTTGGGGCCCCCCAAAAAATTTAAAGGAAAGAAACCTGGATGTACATTTCCAAAATATAAGATGAAAAACAAATAAAATAAAACCTACACCCAGCAACAGTGTTTTGTGTTGTGTAGGCTCCTAGGATGTAAATCATGGGCCCTGCCTGCTCCCTAAAATATCCCTGGTTTGCTCCTTTCTATATATAGTGTTTTGTGTTGTGTAGGCTCCTAGGATGTAAGTCAGTGGTGGCCAAACTCCACCCTCCAGCTGTTTTGGGACTACAATTCCCATCACCCCTGGCCACTGGCCCTGTTAGCTAGGGATGATGGGAGTTGTAGTCCCAAAACAGCTGGAGGGCCAAGTTTGGCCATCACGGATGTCAGTCATGGGCCCTGCCTGCTCCCTAAAATATCCCTGGTTTGCTCCTTTCTATATATAGGGTGCCTACATTCTGCATTGACTGGTTGCAGGGCAACATGGGCTAATGGCTTGAGATACCTATTAGGTCCATAAATTGCCATATAGCATATATTCAACACAAAAAACCAGCGACAATTTGTTGTGGACAAAGGACAGCTGGACATAGAAAGGGCCCCATTCCCTTCAGGAGCTGAGTGCCTCATCAAACCGAAATCTGGCCCTAAACTTCAGATCAAAGGGCAGAACATCTCCATGGTCCTGAGTAGTGTCGGATTTACGGATAAACTAAATAAGCTCTAGCTTAGGGCCCTGCTCTCTTAGGGGCCCCCCAAAAATTAAAAGGAAAAGAAAAACTGGGTGTACATTTCCAAAATATAAGATAAAAAACAAATAAAATAAAAAAGCGTGGAAGGAGACTATTCAATCAATAGATCCTCTCCTACTATCCACAACATTCCCACAATATAACAGCAAGGTTGCAGGTTTGATTCCCATACGGAAGTGCTGCATTTCTGCATTGCTGGAGTGGTGGTGGTCAGGAGCTTGCCCTACACTCGAGTAGGCCCCTGGCAGAGACACATGCCCGACTGGCATGTTCTCTCCCTCCTGGTCGATCGTTCGGGAGCTTTAAAAGCTTTCTTCTGCCCGAACATCGCAGCGACGGATGCCAACCGACATCGGCACACTTAGGGATCCGCAGAGTCAGTGCAGTTCGCGTGACAGACCTCAGCATTTTGGCTAATCTACTTTATTTGCATATAAACACACACGGAGCACTGCAACATGGCTCCCTCTCTCTCTAGCATCGGTCAGCAAAGAGTAAAAAAGAACAAAGGACAAGAGTCCCACTTCACGGAACACAAACATCCTGTCTCCGTCACTTCCCACTTTGTGTGAAGGAATGGGTTTCCCAAACCCAAAACTGACTGTGCAGGCAGTTTGAAACTGCACCAAAATCCCTATTTTTCCTTAGCTAAAATGCTTTAACTTGAGCTCTTGAGCCAAAAAACCAGCTGTATAAACAAGTGCTCAGAGCCCTCTCCTTTATCAGTTTGTGACGGCAAGGATGACCTTGACTGTACCAGTAGAACAGGGAAGACACATCTGTGCCTTATCTTATATCCTGACCACAAAGGCGCACAGACCTAGTCTGGGAACAGCGCCAGAGGGTGTTCTTGGAGATGGTGACCTGTTGCTCCAAGATAAGAGTAGGAACAGGAAGATCCTTTTATGGTCAGAAGTACAGGAAGGAAGATCCTTTTATGGTCAGAAGTATAGGAAGGAATACCCTTTTATGGTTAAGAGTGCCAGAGCAGGAACATCTGTGATGTCAACCTGCGTGTATAAGCTGAAGTGGCTGGATTCCTGGGGAAGGGGGGAGAGGGTGCCTGGAGGATATATATACTGCACGAAATTTCTCATTTCTTTGGACTTGCTGTGGACTGACCACGCAGGTGCCTTTCTGCTGTTCCGGAGAGCAGAAATAAAGAACTCTTTCTCTGAACCAACCCTCGGTGTCATTTGACTTCCTTCCTCCTGTCCGGGAGCAAAGCAGAGCAAAGTCTAATAAGGCTACATATGGAGTCAAAACACACACCGTCATGTGATAGACAACAATCCCATGACTGCAATCGCGGAGCAGGAATTCTAACACAGACTAGATGAGCCAAGTCTACGACCGCCAGTTCCAGCTCACCTTTTACGGTGACCTTATGCTCCCCGGTCCCAGGGTGGGTGATCAGTTCCACGTGGATGGAGACCTCTCCTACGGGGTCGTCCACTCCGGATCCTGCCCGGCAGAGGGAGGGAAGCATGGAGATGCAGAACGGGAAATTAGTGCACAAACTTTCAGCCCATTCCCTGTCTGGTGATTTCTCCCGCTCCTCCCCTCTCCAAGAAAACCCCCAAAAACTTGTTGGTGGACTGAGGACTGACGCTTGCTTCAGAGGCTCCCCACTTTTGAGAGGTCCTTCCTATCTTATCATATTTTTTTTGGAGAAATCTTTCCCTGGAAGAACTGTGAGGGGAGAGATTTCATCAGGCAAGGCTCCTTCCATCCGCCTTCCTCTAGTCTCTGCTTCTCAATTTGTATTGCATTATTTTACATGCTGTGGCTTCCCATTGTTTTATTGATTATAGTTTAGAAATGGTTTACTGTAACTGTTAAGACTGAATTTCTGTTCAACTTTCATATGCTGATATTGTTATTTTATACTGTTCTAACGATTGTCTTCCATCTGTCTGTCTGGCCGTTTCTGTTGATTTAAGCAGAGTCTCGTTGCCAGCGGAAGGATGAGGAAAATGTGCTACATACTCTATATTGCTTTATTTACAGTTCAAAGCTGGTATATTACAGAAAGACATCTTGCCTCTGCAGGATGCAGAAAAATGCATCCTCTCTCCTCGACAGCTTGGAGAGAAAAAAACACACAGAGAAAAACAGGAAACCAGTGTACGTCACATCCAGTCTCCCTTTCCCGTGAGAAACTCCAACAGTACCTCTGACTGTGGAATGCAAAACAATGTCTTGTGACTGCAGTTGCTGCTCAGTGAGGGAAATAGAAACCAACATCCTCCCCTTTCTCTGAACATCACTGGGCAGCGTGTTCGTACAATATCAGTACAAACCCAACTTCTGCACATAGGTACAGTGTTGATCCCTTGATACAATCTTGGACAATACATCAGCAGGAATTTCATTACCTGGCATATAGGACACCGTTACGAGTCCCTTCTGAATACATTCCCTAGCATGCTGCAACTTTAATTGCAAGTGCTTTGTGCTTTGCTTACAACCTTCAGACTTCAGCAAAGCCAAACATGCTTTGTTGTCCTGGTAAACCTGGATTGGACATTTGACAGGAATTTTCATATCTTTGCACAATTGTACTAACCATTCACAATCCTTAAGTGAATAAGACAGTGCATTCAGTTCAGCTTCACAAGTACTTAAGCTAACTGTTGTTTGCTTCTTGCATGACCAATCAAACAGACTCTGATTGTACATGTAGCAAACTCCAGACGTACTTTTCCTGTCTGTAGCGTCACTTCCAAAACTTGCATCTGCAAATATCTCAAGACCACCAGACTTCTGATTGTTAAATCTCAGTCTGTAATGCATAGTGCCTTTCAAATACCGCGCTATGCGTTTCAGAGCTTTCAATCCTTGACACTAGGATTGTTGACTTGTCTGCTTAGCAAATTACAGCTAACAGCAATGTCTGGTCTTGAACATCTGGCAATGAAGTTTAGCTTGCCTAGCACACTCCTGTACAGTGTAGTGTCAGAAAATGCTTCTTCAGTGTCATCTACCTGATAACCTGTTGTCATCGGTGTGTCTACAGGGTTAGCATCCATCAGATTTAGTTTGCTTAACACATCAGCAATTTTCCGTGACTGGTGTACTAGAATGTTACCATCTTGATCTCTCTCTATTTCCAGAGATAGGTAGTTGTTTACCTCACCAAGATCTTTCATGTCAAAGTGCTCTTTCAGTTGAGCTAGGGCGCTATTGTACATTGCGACATCTTTCCAAAAGAATAATAAATCATCAACATAAAACAAACAGTACAGTTTCTTTTGCCCCTCCTCTTTGACAAATACACATGGATCAGCTTTCCCTTGCTGAAAACCTAGAGAAAACAATACTTCAGTGAGTTTTGTGTGCCAACACCGTGCACTTTGTTTGAGACCATAAAGGGATTTCTTCAGAGCACAAACAAATCCCTGTTTTACCTGTACGCCATCAGGTGGAAGCATATAAAGTGATTCATCTAGAGATCCGTACAGAAAAGCTGTATTAATATCATGGTGACTAATGTGTAGATTTTCCTCTGCAGCTAGCTTGAGCATAAGCCTAATGCTTTCATATCTCACTGTGGGTGAATAGGTCTCGTGATAGTCTTCACCTGGTACCTGTGCAAAACCTCTGGCTACCAATCTGGCTTTGTGTCTGACTATCTTGCCATTTTGATCTGTCTTCGCTTTGAAGACCCATTTGCTTCCAAGCAGTTTCATTCCTGGAACTACTGGAACTAGCTCCCATGTTTTGTTCCTTTCTAAGGAATCAAGCTCAGCCTTCATGGCATTTAACCATGGCTCAGCTTCCTTTGAATCCAAACCCTGGATTTCTTGGAAACTTGAAGGTTCAAATACCTTCTTGGAGCTTTTAACAGCTGTTACTGCTATCTTAGCAAACTCATCAGCAAATCACTTTCGACGTTTGCCTGTTGTGGCTCACTGTGACCTACGAATTATCCTTAAGTCTTCAACACTCTCCTCTTCCTTCTTAGGAGAAAAACGACCTATTGTGAACAATGGTTCCTCCAATTCTTGATCAGAGCTTTCAGAGGGTCGCATAGAGGCTTTCGCACTCTTGAAATCCTCTGAATCACCCGATTCAGTTTCAGATTCAGACTCAGAACCTTCATCAGTGGGTGTGGGCTGTTGTGGTTGCTTTTGACTATCCTCAGTCTCATCACCGTCATCAGGATAACATTGGAAAATTCCCACATTCTCCCCCACTTTGCATTGTACTCAACACTTCTCGTGAGCTTAATTGTCTTAGAGTCAGTCATCATTATTCTGTAAGACCCTTTCTGATAACCTAGAAAGATACCATGCAATCCACGCTTGTCTAACTTGGAGTTTTGTGGTGAGCGAACCCACATGTCAGAACCAAAAATCTTCATGTGTTTGATGTATGGCTTCTTGCCAAACATCTTCTCATAGAGGTACAACCAATCGCTGAAGATAATCTGCGATTGTAACTGTAAACAAAACACGAGAGAGATTCGGCCCAATAACTCTCTGGAAGATTGGCATCATGCAGCAAGGTTTTTAACCCTTGAAGCAAAGTCTGATTTGCCCGTTCCGCAAGTCCATTCTGCCATGGCGAGCGAGGACTAGACAAATCGTGTTGAATTCCTTTCTCAGTCAGAAAAGCTTCAAACTGCTGAGAAGTGAATTCCCCCCCGCGATCACTGAAAAGAGTCTTTATCTTCTTACCATGCACATTTTCCAACCAAGCACAGAATTCCTTGAACCTAGGAAAAGCCTCCGATTTCTGCTTGAGATTGTACACAAAAATATATCTAGAAAATGCATCAATGAGAACCATGAAGTATCTATTTCCACCCAAAGAGGGCGGTAGTGGTCCAACCAAATCAGCATGAACAACCTGGTATGGTTCTGTAGCTTTCCTACTAGACACCTTACCTTTCGCAGCCATTTTCACTTTGTTTGCTGCGCATGCTTTGCACTTCATGTGGTACCTGCAGGGTTTAATAGTCATACCTTCAACCAAGGCAGGCATTTTAGATACTGCCTCAAAATGCAAATGACCAAATTTGCGATGAAAATCGTGAATACATTCTGCATGCAAACTTTTGTTAGAACCTGCAATGCAACAAGTGTCATCCTGCACCACATCATCATAATACAAAACAAACAAATGATCAACATATTCTGCATGCAATACATAATCATTTTTCTTTGTGATGATGCACTTCTTGTTCTTGAAGGAAACGTCAATGTTCCGCTCATTCAGCTGTCCAACGCTGAGCAGATTATGTTTGGCGTCTGGCACGTAAAGCACATTCTGTATCGATAAGTCCAAACTGTGAAGAACAACAGTTCCGTAGCCTTTACTGGGAATAGTGTGGTCATCCGCCTGGTGAATCGCACCTTCCTGCGGTGTAAAAGACACAAACAGTTTCTTATCGTTGCACATGTGGTGGGTGGCCGCTGAATCAACAACGAAGAAAGATCTAGACGTCTTCTGGACCTCTGCAACCTTTGGAGTGAAGCGTGAAACCATAGCCTTGTGCTGCGTTGTCCTAGACACCGGACCTTTGCCTTTGCCTCGGCCTTTTCCGCGCGATGAGCTTTCGCTGCGCTGCTCTGTCTTGGCCCTGGGATGTCTGCATTCCCTCTTCATATGGCCTAGACGTCCACACGAGTAGCATTTCACTGCCTTCAAAGCTTTGGCGCCATCTGGTGGTTCCACTGCACTATGGGATGACGTCTGTGAAGACTCCCCTTGCCCATGCAGCTAGCACCCGGCGATCTGCTTCATTTAAAATCACGGCAGTAACAAAGTCCACTGTCAGCTGAGCAGTTGGTTGCACAGCAATCTGGGTTGCAACAGACTCCCAACCTGAACCCAAAGATTGTAGTATCATGAAAGAATACACAGCCTCTGGAAAGTTGAGTCCTCTCTGTTGCAGCTCATGTCTCAGATTTTGCATCTCCATTAGATGTAAACGTACATCTCCACCTTCAGCAAGAGCCATATTATGCAGCTTGTTAAAATAAAACATAGTGGATCCAGCTTCTGTCCTTAAGTGAGCCTCTCTCAGAGCGTCCCAAATTTCTCTGGCTGAGGTCTTATCACGCAATAGACAGAGCTCTTCTGGGGATACTATCAATGTAAGAGTTCCCCTTGCTTTGGAATCCTTAGCTTCCCATGCATCAGTAACTGGAACTGGGGGTTTCTGTAATCACCTCAAACAAACCCTCTTTCCGCAGAATTGCCTCTGCATACTGAACCCAGTCGCTGTAATTTTTCTTGTTGAGCTTAGGAATCCCACAAGCATCCTGAAGGGCCATCATGACTCTGGCATTAGCCTTCAGCGTCATATGCTGCTTTAAATCTTGCTGCGTCACTGCTGCAGCTGCTTCATTACAAAGGCACACTTAAAAGTTACTTTCGATTTCCCCAGCATAGTGACTTGTGCCTGGGAGCCTTTTGCCTATTCCCGGCAAAACCGGCTTTAAAAGTTCAAAGTCCAGCCATAAAGCCATTATCTTGAAGCTGGCAGGCTGCCCGGAGCAGTAGCACATACCTCATCAATCACTTCTACGCGCAGAGCAGATTCCTTTCCGATCCGTCCCTCTGCATTCCGATCCTCTTGCCGGCACTCCGATTCGACCTCTGGGCCCATAACCACGTGTTGATTTAAGCAGAGTCTGTCGTGCCCAGCGGAAGGATGAGGAAAATGTGGTACATACCCTTTATTGCTTTATTTACAGTTCAAAGCTGGTATATTACAGAAAGACATCTTGCCTCTGCAGGAGCAGAAAATTGCATCCTCTCTCCTCGACAGCTTGGAGAGAAACACACAGAGAAAAACAGGAAACCAGTGTACGTCACATCCAGTCTCCCTTTCCCGTGAGAAACTCCAACAGTACCTCTGACTGTGGAATGCAAAACAATGTCTTGTGACTGCAGTTGCTGCTCAGTGAGGGAAATAGAAACCAACAGTTTCTAGTATCTAGTTTTGAAATTGTTTCGTGGGTCTTTGGACCGCAATAATGTACTGTTGTTGTAATTGATTGTTGAATGTTCCTTTTTTGATGTGTTTTATTATCACATTTTTGCATTGCGTTAGATTGTTATAAGACGTACGTTTTTTGTTTCTTCAGCTTGTAAACCGCCTTGAGTATTGTAAGATAGAAAGACGGCATACAAATTAAAATTGATGGTGGTGATGATGGCATCTGACTCATCAAAGCATGGAATAGTACTCATATCATTGTTCACCTTTGGAACTGCCTGCCCATTGATATTCACTGCACTGGTTTTTTTTCCAGCGCCTTGCAAATTTTTTGAGGGCAATTCATAATTTTATAACGTATATGGGTCGTGAAAGAGGAGAGCGCAAAATATGGTCTGAAGCTCAACATCAAAAAAACGAAGATCATGGCCACTGGTCCCATCACCTCCTGGCAAACAGAAGGGGAAGAAATGGAGGCAGCGAGAGATTTTACTTTCTTGGGTTCCATGATCACAGCAGATGGTGACAGCAGCCACAAAATTAAAAGATGCCTGCTCCTTGGGAGAAAGGTGATGGCAAACCTAGACAGCATCTTAAAAAGCAGAGACATCACCTTGCCGACAAAGGGCCGTATAGTTCAAGCTATGGTTTTCCCAGTAGTGATGTATGGAAGTGAAAGCTGGACCATAAAGAAGGCTGATCGCCGAAGAATGGATGCTTTTGAATTCTGGTGCTGGAGGAGACTCTTGAGAGTCCCATGGACTGCAAGAAGATCAAACCTCTCCATTCTGAAGGAAATCAGTCCTGAGTGCTCACTGGAAGGACAGATCCGGAAGCTGAGGCTCCAAGACTTTGGCCACCTCATGAGAAGAGAAGACTCCCTGGAAAAGACCCTGATGTTGGGAAAGATGGAGGGCGCAAGGAGAAGGGGACGACGGAGGACGAGATGGTGGGATAGTGTTCTCGAAGCTACCAGCATGAGTTTGACCAAACTGCGGGAGGCAGTGTAAGACAGGAGGGCCTGGCGTGCTCTGGTCCAGGGTGTCACGAAGAGGCGGACACCACTAAACGACTCAACAACAACATATGGGTCGTCTCCAACGTCAGTCATACTCGAGAGCAGACCCAAACGGAAATGTGTGACAAATGAAGCGCCGTTCGTTTCAACGAGTGTAAACTCAGAGTAGAATTCAGTTGGCTGTAACTGCTTTTTAAAAAGTGTTCTTTTGAAAAAGGCAAAAGATTTATACGATCTGAAGAGAAACCAGAGTATCGTTTTGACATTTCAAAACTTGACTTCCTTCCGCCTCTTTCTGCGGTTCCTTAAATTTATTTTTTAATCTCTTCTGCATATTCAAATTCACCTACTTTGGTCAGTTATTCATCTTTAAATATATACTCTTATGAAACTGCAGGTTATTAAAATAATCCTGCCAATGTTTTTATCTGTTTACAATTTATCTGTAAATATTCAATGAACCATCTCCATTCTTTTATAAAAAGTTTGTTATCTTGATTTCTTAATTCTCCTGGTATGTTTCGCCATTTCTGAATATTCCATAAGTTTTTGTATCTGTTCTTCCTTTGCTGGGTCTTCTGCTTCTTTCCATTTTGGGGCACGTAACATTCTTGCCGCTGTAGTAGCATATATGAACAAATTTCTATATAGTTTAGGTAGTTCTGTCCCTATAATTCCCAAAAGAAAATCTTCTGGGGTTGTTTACAAACTTTATTTTAAACATCCTTTTCATTTTGTCATATATAATCTCCCAAATGATATTTGGTTCCCCCAATTTCAGCTGAAAACGCAACTTTGATTTGCAAACAGCTGAAAGTCTGCAAGTTCTTGGTAACAATGTAGTGCTGAACAATTTTGATCTCAGCCGCAGATATAGACAGACCCTGGTTATTGATACGTCCATCTTATAATTTTGATGCGAGCCACTTAAATGCTTTGCGGTATATCTAAACCCTGTTAGTGACCGATAACCAGAATAACAGAGTCGTCAGAATAGACAGATAGCCTTAGCAAGCTTTGGTGACCTCAGCCAAACAACAAGGTGAAAATCATTCCTTCCCAGCTCCCAGTTCGGTAACAATACCCAAAATCCCCTGTGCCCTTTCATGGTCCTAGAAGCAGGATTAAAAACCAGTCCATCATTCAAACAGGCTTCCTCCGCTGAGGAACGTATTCATGCAGCAAAGGCAGAGAAGGAAAAGGAATGGGTGAGGAGGAGGAAAGAGAGGCAGCTATTTGTCAGATGGCACCCAGGGAAAGGAGACCTCCGCCAAAGGTGGCCGAGCAAATGGGGAGAGGAATTTGGGGGGAGAAAAAGAAGAGTTTGGAAACCAAAATTGCGTCCGCAACCCACCCACATTTGGTGGCTCAGGTCTTGAGTATGGGGGGGGGGAGGAGGCTAAGGTTGCGGATCTCAGAAGAACGGGGGCCCTGAGCCAAGTGGGAATGTTCAGGGTGGCATGAGAGGATACATAGTTTATTGATATCCTTCCTAACTTGCCCCAGCAAGTTCCTTTACTTAGCAGAGTTACATTCTCCCTTCTTACATGCACAGCAGAGAGCTGGTCACAGGCTCGTGTGAGCCTCTCGCTATTAGACAATTCAGTCTGCGTTCCTGGTAAGTTCCCTTTAAGACATGCGAGGGAATGTTTGGTCCAGCCAGTCAAAAACTTCCTGTTCCTCCTGGCTGGAGCATCCTTCCTTTTGCATGTGATAGAAGGTGGGCGTGACCTCACCTGTCCAGGTAACAAAAGGACAAGTCACGCAGCAACCTCTCTCTTTCCCCCCTCTCTTCCTTCTTTGGTTTGACCAGCTTTTAGCTAGGACTGCTCTGCTATCTCCCAGCTGGCAGAAGCACTGGGATTATTCCCCCATATGGAGTAGATCCACACGGACATATTTGTAACTACCATATTTTTTGCTCCATAAGACTCACCTTTTCCCTCCTAAAAAGTAAGGGGAAATGTGTGTGTGTCTTATGGGGCAAATGCAGGCTGCGCAGCTATCCCAGAAGCCAGAACAGCAAGAGGGATCACTGCTTTCGCTGTGCAGCGATCCCTCTTGCTGTTCTGGCTTCTGAGATTCAGAATATATTTTTTCTTGTTTTCCTCCTCCAAAAACTAGGTGCGTCTTGTGGTCTGGTGCATCTTATAGAGTGAAAAATACAGTAAGTCGGCCTTCAGGAATCCAACTGTGAACAGATATTTTGCCAAGTTTTAAAAATCAGCCTGAGCAGAAAATTTAATGCTGGAAAAGAGGACATGTCTGGGGAATAGAGGACAGGCGGCAACCGTCGTACGAGGGAAAATGCGCAGCCTAGGAGGGAATGCAGCGATCCGGCCGAGAAACCTTTCCCTGCCTCTGCCTGGCAGATAGTCCTAGATCTTCAGCCATTGCCCATTTCATGCAGAAGGAAGGTTTGGGAAGGCTGGGGCAACACACGCACGCACAATCGCCCACTCGCACGGGCATCGTGCCAACTCCAGAGTCGCATGCGGAGACTCGATCTCTCGATCCAGGAACCGAAGCTGGAAACAAACAGGTCATTTCCAAAAGGCAAGCACGGGAGGATGGTGCAAACCCCAAAAGCTGCCCCTTTCCCCCTGCCCGGTTTCCTCCGTCTGAGTGCTTGCTTGTGCAAGGAGGACAGAGTCTCATTCTGATGCATTCAGTGCATAACGTTGTGGAGAGGTGATGGAGGAGCCCCCCTGAGCAGAGCTAGTCAAAAGCGAGAGGAAAATGGGGAGCAATTTTCGGCTTGCATGTCCCTTTCCCTGTCGGGTCTGCAGAGGGTGAAAGTTTTGGGGCTTTTGCTAGCCCTGGTCAGGGTGGTGAGGAAAGGGGTGGGTGAGTGGAGGGGGTCCAGGATGGGTGCAATCCAGGAAGGAGAGGAGGCATTGGGAGGAGAGTTCGAGACGTACCCTTCTCAGGATATATTTCTTCACTAAGAGTAAACCTAACACCTTTGCCACCATGGACTAAGGATGAGAAAAGGTAAAGTTGGGAGATAAAGAAATGTCAAGGAGGGAAGTAAAGGAAGAGGAGGTTAAAAGGAAGGGTAAGAAAAAGGAAGAGGGGGGAAGGGAAGGGAAGAAGGTAGAGATGACCGGGGGGAAGGTCAGTGCAGAAGAAAATGCAGAAAGGATAAGGACAAGGAGGGAGAGAAAAGTAAGGCAGGTAGAAAGGAGGAGGGGGAAAGGTAATTGGAGAAAAGAAGGTGGGAAGAAAATATAAGAAGGAAAGGAAGGAATAGAAAAGCAGATAGAAAGAAGGAAAATATATGAAGGAAAGAAAGGAATAGAAAAGCAGAAGGAAGGAAGGAAGGAAGGAAGGAAGGAAGGAAGGAAGGAAGGAAAATATATGGAAGGAATAGAAAAGCAGAAAGAAGGAAGGAAAATATAAGAAGGAAGGAAAGGAATAGAAAAGCAGAAGGAAGGAAGGAAGGAAGGAAGGAAGGAAGGAAGGAAGGAAGGAAAATATAAGGAAGGAATTGAAAAGCAGTAAGAAGGAAGGAAGGAAAATATAAGAAGGAAGGAAAGGAACAGAAAAGCAGAAAGAAGGAAGGAAAATATAAGAAGGATAGAAAATCAGATAGAAAGAAGGGAAGAAAAATTCAAAAGAAGAGAAAGGAAGGTGGAGAGAAAGAATGAAAGAAAGCAGGGTAAAAAGGGACGGTGGTAGAAAGAATGGGTAAGAAGAAGAGAAAGAAAAGAACAAAGGTAGAAATGAAGTTTGAGAAAAAGAAGGTGACGGGACAATAGGAGAAAAGGTTAGAAGAGAACAAAAAGTAGGCAGAAAGGACAAGAAAGAGAAGGAATAGAAAAGAAGACCGAGAGAAGGAAAGACAAATGGTTGGAAGAGAAGATAAAGAAGGATAAGGGTAGAAAAAAAGACAGAAGTGAAGAAAGGAAAGGGTACGAAGAGGAAGAAGGGAAGAAGGGAAGAAAGAATGGATAAAAACAAAGGTAGGAAGAGAGAGAAAAGAAAGGAAGGGCGAAAGAAGAAAAATAATTTAGAGGCAAAGAAACCAAGAGAAGGAAGAGACGAAAGGAAGGTGAACAGAAAGGGTGACAAGAGAAATTGGAGAGAGAAAGAAAAACACACACAAGATGGTTTATGGTAGAAGCAAGAGAGGGAAAACGTGCGAAGGGAGGGATGGAAAAAGGCAAGAGAAAAAAGAGAGAAGAGATAGATCAGCTCCTGTAGATTCACACACTGACTCGAGTCGTAGCTGGAGAATTCAGAATATAACGTTACAGCAATCACCAAGTTCAATAACTCTAGGGGGGAGAGGGGAACGTCAGGAGGGCTAGATAGCTGTATGGATATTTTGAATGTATCATTTGATGTATCCTGTTTTTATTTTAAAGAGCTCTGCTGGTAGAAACCTGAACAATACTCCCTTCGGGTGACTTTTAGCCTGTTTGCACTCTTTGTCAAACCAGCTGCTAGATTCCATTAGCCTTTTTGAGCCACTGATTTTAATCTCAATTCTTAAGTGGTCTTGCAGCCTATCAGTCTTAAATGATTTCATGGCCTCAGCAGTGGACGTATCTGAAAAAATAGCAGCTTGGATAGCCTAGTTTAAATCATCTGTACAAAGAAAGTGAGTTAATGCTAAATTAAGAAACGGGGTCCATTTAATTCTGTTGGCTGCGGTTATGCCTAAGTTTGGGACATGGGTGGCGCTGTGGGTTAAACCACAGAGCCTAGGGCTTGCCGATCAGAAGGTCGGCGGTTCGAATCCCCACGACGGGGCGAGCTCCCTTTGCTTGGTCCCTGCTCCTGCCCACCTAGCAGTTCAAAAGCATGTCAAAGTGCAAGTAGATAAATAGGTACCACTCCAGCAGGAAGGTAAACGGCGTTTCCGTGCGCTGCTCTGGTTCGCCAGAAGCGGCTTAGTCCTGCTGGCCACATGACCCGGAAGCTGTACGCCGGCTCCCTCAGCCAATAAAGCGAGATGAGTGCCGCAACCCCAGAGTCGGCCACGACTGGACCTAATAGTCAGGGGTCCCTTTACCTTTACCTTTATGCCTAAGTTTGCGTCTGGAGATAAATTTGAGTTTCGAAGGAAGGGTTGTTAAGTCGTGGACCCGAGAGCACCATTCTTAAGGGCAGGTGATCACTTGCAATACTATGGTCCTCTTCAAACTCCCTAACAAACTTATGTGTGAATTGTGAGATTGCAATATAATCTAGGATGCTTCCGCCGAACTCTGTAAAATGGGTACATTCCCTGGGCCATTCTTGAACAATATTTGCACAGGTCCGGGCAATGATTTATCTCAAAAGGAGTCGGCTCGTACGCTTCAAAATGCGGAATATTAAATATCTTTAACCTTCGGCACAGACGGCGGTCCCGGTTGACGGGAAAGAGGCCCCCTGCCCCTCCGGACAACTTCAAGAACCTGCAAAAACCTGGCCTCTCTTTTTGGTTTAAAGGTAAAGGTAAAGGGACCCCTGACCGTTAGGTCCAGTTGTGGCCGACTCTGGGGTTGCTGCGCTCATCTCGCTTTATTGGCCGAGGAAGCCGGCGTACAGCTTCTGGGTCATGTGGCCAGCAGGACTAAGCCGCTTCTGGCGAACCAGAGCAGCGCACGGAAACGCCTTTTCCCTTCCCGCTGGAGCGGTACCTATTTATCTACTTGCGCTTTGACATGCTTCCGAACTGCTAGGTTGGCAGGAGCAGGGACCGAGCAACGGGAGCTCGCCCCGTCGTGGGGATTCAAACCGCCGACCTTCTGACCGGCAAGTCCTAGGCTCTGTGGTTTAACCCACAGCGATTACACCAAAGCAAAAACTTGACGCCGTTTTCGAAAAACAGCAGCTTGTCGGATGCCTCCCTTCAAAGCAGTGCGTGATGGGAAATGGCACCAGCAGCCTCTTCCTGGGCAAGGCTGGTGCCATAAAGATAGACTGCACCTGGCTATGGAGTTTCCGCACAGCCTGCTAAACCAGAGTGCTCCACGAGAGCAGCGACTCCGAAGACTCAGCCGCAAACATTAACGTTTTACGTGGACTATACAAACGGGGCACTAGGTGGCGGTGGCGAGCTGACGGCAAACTCGATATATTTTTCAAAACTTTTTTTATAAAGTGTTTTCGCAGCTGTGTTTTTTTTTTTAAAAAGTCTAGATTCCACCTGGGTCTCCTCGGGAAAACCGGGATCCGAGGAACCGCAGAAGCTGCTGTGATAGGAATTTTATGGTCTTAGATATATGGTAATGTTCATAAGCGTACAAACCAAGCACATACATAGATCGGCACAGGAAGGCCAACCTGGAACCATTTTGATTCCTAAACTGAGCAAATGTTTTCTCTGCAAGCTCAAAGTGGAAAAGCCTCCCCATTGTCTTTTCCTTCACAAATCCTGTCTTAAGGGTATGTCTGTGTTTGAATAGGGTGTGAGCCTGTGACCTGGCCCAGGAACTAAGTATTTATCACTACAAAGGACTGGCCAATCTCCCCAGGCAATCCAATCAAGTAACCTGCCAGACAGGAGATAAACAAGGACAGGAGAAAAACAACATTCAAATTTCTGTTGTAGACCACCTTTTCTGTGATGTAGGTGTGATGTATCTGAGGGGTGGTCTTCAGTTACACCCCTTCTGTGATGTATGTATGATGTTTCTGGGGGTGGTCTTGATCTACAGGGTGACAATTTCAAAAGTCTTTATAAGGCCTTGCACACCTTTTTTCTGGGTCCCTCCTCTCTCCTGCAGGTGAGGGGAGCACCCTGTTGCAACAGATCAATAAAGGCCAAGGCTACAGGCTGCTGTTTTGCTCCAAGTAATCCTGGTTGGTGTCTTTGTTTTTGTCCAAGGGAGCCCTCGGATTTTCCCGTTAACACTGCTTCGCCAGCGACGCTTACCTTGAGAGGACTGCGTCTGCACGAAGGTTTTGATGAGCAGGTCCGTGGCTTGCGTGTAAAGAGAGAGGGCGTAACGCAGAGACTGCAGGTCTGGGCTTTTCTCCAAAAAGGTTTTCTTCAGGCCGACGCCTCCTGCGTGGAAGTATTGCTAAATCGAGGCGGAGAGAGGGTTGGGATGGGAGAGGATATCAGCGGTGGTCCGGTCAACGCCGCAAACGCACAGAGCTGCGGACACACCATCACATTTGCAACGTACCGGCTGAGACGATAATAGCGGCAACGACGACCGCACGCTGCCATGAGGACTAATCACATACCGTATTTTTTGCTCTATAAGACTCACTTTTCCCCTCCTAAAAAGTAAGGGGAAATGTGTGTGCGTCTTATGGAGCGAATGCAGGCTGCGCAGCTATCCCAGAAGCCAGAACAGCAAGGGGGATTGCTGCTTTCACTGCACAGCAATTCCTCTTGCTGTTCTGGCTTCTGAGATTCAGAATATTTTTTTTCCTCCTCCAAAAACTAGGTGCGTCTTGTGGTCTGGTGCGTCTTATAGAGCAAAAAATACGGGTAGTCAGTTTTATTGCACATAGCCAAAGGCTGCCGCAATGTACACAGAATCATTCAACAAATAATAATAATAATAATAATAATAATAATAATAATAATAATTATTATTATTTATTTATACCCTGCCCTCCCCAGCCAAGACTGGGTTCAGGGCAGCTAACGCCAGATATAAAACAATTGATTGAAATACAACTTAATAACCAAGATTAAAATACAACATTAAAATGCAGCCTCATTTCAGCCCAATTCAACTCAACGAGGTTTTCCCCGCAGGCGAGTAGGTCTAGCCTGGCGAACTAAGTTCCTAGTCCTCTTTACCATACGCACAACATGGTGTTTTTTAAAAACGAAAGCACCCGTAAAGTTTAAAGCCATTGAGAATAAATAAAATGACGCAACCAAACCGGACACCTCCCACATAAATCGCAATAGGATCTAAAAGTTAAAGATACAATTATCAAATCATCTGTTCTAGCATGCGCACAAAATAATATAATCTGAGCAATCAGCTTTATTAATTGTATTATAATTTGGTATTGACAATGAGGCTTTTATTGGGCCACTGTAACTGAAAACTAATAATAATCATTATACAAAAATAAAATAAAATAAAGATACGAAACAAGAACAGCAACCCAATAACAGCAGGATTTCGCCCATGCTGAACCGGACAACCTGCTCTCAAGACATAGCAGGGCGAGGCAGTCTGGAACACACCCCGCTTTGCAGAGGGTTAGGCTAGATGACCGCTGGAGGCCCCCCCAGTTCGACAATTCTAGGATTCAATGCTCTCACCTTGATAGTGTCCAGGGCCAGCTCCACCACGGCGCACTGCTTGGGCGTCAAGCTCTTGGCTTCCTCACGCACCATGTGGTCCTGGATGGGACGAAGAACAAGTCATGTCCGCCCTCTTCCAACGACGAACAGCCTTCCTTTTTCAGGTGGGGACAACATACCCCCTGGCAACCCCCGTTTTGAAGCCCCTTTTGCCATCTCATAACCCGTGTTACGTTTGCCCTACGCCCGGATTTCCCCGTTCGGGATTCCGACGACGGAATTGGCGCCCAGGGAGAGTTTTGGGGGTCAATCAGTGAAACGCCCGGATTTTTTACTTCTTGAAATATGGCAGCCCTTGCATTGGCACCCAGGGAGAGTTTTGGGGGTGAATCGTCGAAACACCCGGATTTTTTACTTCTTGAAATATGGCAGCCCTTGCGTTGGCACCAAGGGAGTTTTGGGGGTCAATCCGCTGTCTCCCTCCTCCTCGTTTTCCGTTGTCGGACTCAGAAGGGAAGAAGATGGAGGCCAGTCTAGAACTACCTAATTCTCTGCCTGTCGTTGGCTCTGGCGCCACCTAATGTCCGGCTCCCCACTTTGCGCCCAATCAGGCCCAAGAAGCACAAACGACCACCGTCCTCTGCAACGCAGCTCCTTGAATTCTGTGGAACCCAAAATCCCTCGTTTCTCACCTTGAGTTTTGAAAGCTGCCCCAGTTCCTTGGCTGCGTTGAAGATCATCTGCGTGCCCTGGGAGGGGGGAGGGCAAAAGGAGGGATGGAAAGAAGAAAGGGAAGGAAAAAAAATAACAGAAAGATAAAAGGTAGCTATGTTTCTGCTGAAACTTAGCCCGAGCCTCAGCTATCCTTTCCCATTCGATGCTAAGAAATTCAGGCGAGGTTTCACCCACAAAGCTTTGCTCCCCAAGAGTGTCGCACCCGAAATTTTTCCACCTACCAATCTCAAAGGGAAGGCGGAACAAAGCAATTCTGACCCTGAACACCTAAACAAGATCCGTCCTTTAATTTGCAAAGCCTTGGCCCTGGCGTTTGGGGGCCGGTCGCTCCCCAGCGTGACAAAATACCGGGAGGCAGAATACCAGGGTATCGAATGGTGTCCGATACCCCAAATAGAGGCTCAGGATCCAGACAGGTTTGTTTATAGATTGCAAAAGCCAGAGGTTTTCAACCTTTTTGGGTTGTGACAGGAATTTTGAGGTCTTAGATATATTGTAATGTTCATAAGTGTACCAACCAAGCACGTACATAGATCAGCACAGGAAGACCGACCCGGAACCATTTTTGATTCCCAAACTGACCAAATGTTTTCTCTGCAAGGTCAAACTGGAAAAGCCTCCCCATTGTCTTTTCCTTCACAAACCCTGTCTTAAGGGTATGTCTGTGTTTGAATAGGGTGTGAGCCTGTGACCTGGCCCAGGAACTAAGTATTTATAATTACAAAGGACTGGCCAAGCTCCCCAGGCAATCCAATCAAGTAATCTGCCAGACAGGAGATAAACAAGGACAGGAGAAAAACAACATTCAAATTTCTGTTTTAGACCACCTTTTCTGTGATGTAGGTATGATGTATCTGGGGGGTGGTCTTAGGTTACACCCCTTCTGTGATGTATGTATGATGTTTCTGGGGGTGGTCTTGATCTAAAGGTAAAGGGACCCCTGACCATTAGGTCCAGTCGTGGCCGACTCTGGGGTTGCGGCGCTCATCTCGCTTTACTGGCTAAGGGAGCCGGCGTACAGCTTCCGGGTCATGTGGCCAGCAGGACTAAGCCGCTTCTGGTGAACCAGAGCAGCGCACGGAAATGCCGTTTACCTTCCCGACGGAGCGGTACCTATTGATCTACTTGCGCTTTGACGTGCTTTTGAACTGCTAGGTTGGCAGGAGCAGGGACCGAGCAACAGGAGCTCACCCCGTCATTGCGGGGATTCGAACCGCCAACCTTCTGATCAGCAAGCCCTAGGCTCTGTGGTTTAACCCACAGCGTCACCCGAGTCCCTGGTCTTTATCTAAAGGGTGTCAATTTCAAAAGTCCATATAACGCCTTGCCTGCCATTGTTCTGGGTTCCTCCTCCTCTCCTGCGTGTGATGGGAGCACCCTGTTGCAACAGATCGATAAAGATCAGGCTTACTAGCTGCTTTGCTTCTCAATATTCTCTGCTTGGCCTCTGTTATTTTCTCCTACCAATAGGGAACCTACGTAAGGACTCTATATGGGCTCTTGGATACCCCATAAGGGAAAAGGGCAATTCTTGTTTACAACAGAGTCCACAGCTCCCCTGAACTACATTTGTCTGCTGCACCCCTAGAATCATAGAATCATAGAGTTGGAAGAGACCACAAGGGCCATCGAGTCCAACCCCCTGCCAAGCAGGAAACACCATCAGAGCACTCCTGACATATGGTTGTCAAGCCTCTGCTTAAAGACCTCCAAAGAAGGAGACTCCACCACACTCCTTGGCAGCAAATTCCACTGTCAAACAGCTCTTACTGTCAGGAAGTTCTTCCTAATGTTTAGGTGGAATCTTCTTTCTTGTAGTTTGGATCCATTGCTCCGTGTCCGCTTCTCTGGAGCAGCAGAAAACAACCTTTCTCCCTCCTCTATGTGACATCCTTTTATATATTTGAACATGGCTATCATATCACCCCTTAACCTCCTCTTCTCCAGGCTAAACATGCCCAGCTCCCTTAGCCGTTCCTCATAAGGCATCGTTTCCAGGCCTTTGACCATTTTGGTTGCCCTCCTCTGGACACGTTCCAGTTTGTGGGGCTCAGGAGCCCAGTTAGCCCCCCCTTCCCTGCAGAGCTGGCAGCCCCTCACCCTTTTCCGAACCCCCTCCCTCGTGGAGCGTTCCCTCGGCCTCCTCTCCCCTCTCCTTGGGGGTCTTCTGGGCACCCGCTGGTCTCTGAGCTTCCCCAAAGAGAGGTGCCTCCTCACTCTGCCTCACAGGGTCCTGGGACTTGTCTGTCCATTCCCAACATCAACAATGTCTAGGCAACACGATGACCATGTACATACGCAACGGACAATCTTTTCTAGAATTCCTTCAAACCGTAACAAGTCCAAAACGAAATCTTTCGTCCCAAAGCCTCTGAAAACCTTTAAATGAAGCGAGGTACGAGACTTCGTACAGTGAAAGACAAGCTGTGAAGCTTTGTGTATTCGGCAAATATGATGTCCAACACTAAACAGCGATTCCGGATACTGACTACTGTTTCATAGAATTCTTTGGGTGGATATAGAATTGCTTCATAAACCCATCTGCTTTCGAATGAATGTATGTAAATGAAAATATCAACAGCTGTGGAACAGTGCTCATGTAATAATGTAGTCACCACCTCACTTCATTTAAGGTACCCCACCTCAGCCTCAAACTAAGGCCAGGACAACGACCCTTGACACAGGCACCATATATACCCAACGGCAAAGAGGCTCAGAAAAGCAGTCTATAAAATTGCAGCAGTAAGCAGATACCATGCATCGTACTCTATCCAATACACAATCAAATAATTGCCGAAATTCAACGGTTTGACGGATTTCCTCGGTTCTGACGGCTAATGACTCCTCTGGAAGGGGTGTGTGTGTCCAGGTTTCCCCTGCCTCCATAATCCCTTAAGCATAAGGTCACGTACTCCTTGCACCTCCAGAAGGTGTGTGATGGCCTGGGATTCAGACTCGGAGGCTGAACCTGAGGAATCCCAGCCTGCACAGGAGTCCCCGCCTCCAGAACCAGCTGAGCCGGGGCTGGGGCCTGAGCCTGAAGGGTCCTCACCTGTGCTGGGTCCTCAGGTGAGTCTGCTCTGGCCCCTAGGGTGATGGAGGACCCATTGCCTGCAGGTGCTCCACTCTCAGCCCCGTCAGAGGAAGCTGAGGTTGCCTCTGGGTCCAGTAACCCTCCAGCCTCTCCTGAGCTGCAGAGGCTCAGGGCAGAGAGGCGGAGGCAACTAAGTTCCCGCAGGAGGAGTGCTCGCCTCCAGGCCAGGAGAGGTGAGTCACCTGTGGACCGGGGCTGCCCTATGCCTCGGGGCAGATAAAAGCCGGCCAGCCCCTGTCCCAGGTTGCGGGAGCAACATTGTTGGTAGCCTGTTCCTGCCGGCACCCTGTCCTGCTCTTCTGCCAGAGTTCCTGATCTCACCCGACTCCCTGCCTTGGACCCAGCTTCAGCCTCCATACCACACCCTCGACCTTGGACTGAACTTGGACCTCACCGCACGGTTAACCCTCGGTTCCAGCACAAGGTGTGAATTCAGCCACACAATAGGAAATAGGAGGCAATCATGGACTATATGGAATTGGCGGAAATGACTGGTAGAATCCGTGACCAGGGAGAAGAGTCGGTGGAGGAAGATTGGAAGAAATTCAAAGATTATCTACAGAAACACTGTAAAATTAAAGAATGCTAGAGTGATGTTGGATTGAAAATAGGTGGTTTCCAGCTGTACAGGATTTAAAGTTATAGATAGATTAAAGATTAGGATTAAAGAAGTTTAAGGAAATGGAAACTTGGTATTTTAAGAGGTAAAATGGAAACTTGGTATTTTAAGAGGTAAAATTTTAATGCTATATTATATTAAAGATTAAAGATTGGGATTAAAAAAGTGGAAAAGAAATTGCTGGACAAACAATTTGGACTGGAATACAAAAGAGGGAGGTATGAGGAGGTCCAGAAAATAAGTAAATTTAAACACGGAAATGAAAAGGTGATTGTTTTTAATTGTTTTGTTTCTTTTTTTGCTTTTTGTTTTTTGTGTTTTTTTTTTCTTCCTTGGATTATGTACTATGTATTTGTGTATTTCTTTTTTATCTTTTTCTGTTTAATCTTTTACTGAAAACTTAATAAAAATTATTAAAAAAAAAAAAAAAGGAAACAGGAGGCAATCAAAGGCAGCGTATATCCAGGGCCGTCTTAACCATAGGCGTTAGGGGCATGGGGCACCCAGTCGCCAGGCTCTCAGGGACGCCAGGCCGAGAGTCCAGGGCCCAAGAGTCAGAGTCCAGGAACGGCCCGCCCGTCGGAGCGCTGTGGCGGGGTCTTCTGCTGTGGGCGGCTCTCTGCCGCGAATTCGGGGGCAAGCGAGCCAGCGAGGCGCTGAGGCGGCCAGCTGGCTCTGTCCTCCTGCACGCCTGGGATTGGCATAGGGCCATGGAGAGGTGCGCCCAGAGGCCGCCTCACGCTCCTCTGTGCCCTGCTGTGCCCTGCCTGCGTGCCTTGAAGGCCGGGCCAGAGTGTGCTGCCACCCAAAAAAGGTCGACAACTCAGCAACCTGGGGGGTGGCGACGCAGGGTTGGTTTTTGCACCTCTCATTGATATTTCCATATCTCTCCAAGCTTCTTTGTCTCTGGCTCTGCGGTCCTCAATCATGTCAGAAAACAGATAACCGTGCGTTCGTCGAGTGCAGATTTGTTTGTGTAATGTACCCTTTCAACTGTTTTTTTTTAAAAACTCGCTGTTTTGCTTCTTTAGCTTGGTTGGCGAGACCCCAGGGGATTGGCACCCCAACTAGCTGGGCAGCGGAGTAAATCCGCACCCTGGGATTTTTCCTTATCAGGCAGAACACACCCCTGAGTCTTAGGACTGTGTTGCAGGGATTTATGTATAGGTTGGGGGGGGGTTGCCCCTCCAGCAGATATCACGCACATGCAGCCCACTGCCAAAACCAGCACCATCGCTTTTGTGACTTTTGTGACTTGTCCCCACAAAACATTTCATCGCAGTTTCTTCCTATCTATTCAAAGGGCCTCTGCTGCACATACCAAATGTAAGAATTCACTGATCAATGTCTCTATGTACTGGCTCACTGGGAAACTTCAGAAATTCCTATAGACATGTGAGCTCAGCTCCTCAGCAGCCCCTCTGCCTGAGGGATAATTCCTGGCCTCCTGATACCTGAGTGCCAGACAGGTAGCCATTCCAGAAATAACAAACTCAGATGAAGACAAAAGGGTGGGATGAACTTGGCTGGGCAACAAGGAAATGTAAATATCTCTTTTGTTACACTTGGTGGGTGTTTGGTGGAGGGCAAGGGGAACCATGGGGCAGGGTCCAGGATGCTCAGATTCCTGCCACCAGACCTCCCCTTTCATGATGTAACCGTGATGTATGAGTGATGTATTTTGGGGGCTGCAACATGGGGATTAAAGGTAAAGGTAAAGGTACCCCTGCCTGTACGGGCCAGTTGTGTCCGACTCTAGGGTTGTGCGCCCATCTCACTTAAGAGGCCAGGGGCCAGCGCTGTCCGGAGACACTTCCGGGTCACGTGGCCAGCGTGACGAAGCTGCTCTGGCGAGCCAGCACCAGCGCAGCACACGGAAACGCCATTTACCTTCCCGCTATAAAGCGGTACCTATTTATCTACTTGCACTTTGACGTGCTTTCGAACTGCTAGGTGGGCAGGAGCTGGGACCGAAAGACGGGAGCTCACCCCGCCGCGGGGATTCGAACCGCCAACCATGCGATCGGCAAGCCCTAGGCGCTGAGGTTTTACCCACAGCGCCACCCGCGTCCCTAACATGGGGATTAGCAGCTAATAAAAGTTTGGGTTCTCTTTTGTCTGGGGCTTCCATCCTGTTCCACCTGGTGGCAGGTGGGAGTCCTGTCACGACCGTCTTCAATAAAGACCAAGCCGACTGGCTGCTGTTTTGCTCTGGTATTCCTGGCTGGTGTCCTTGTTTTTTGCCCAAGGGAGCCCTCAGATTTCTCCATTAACAACTGCCATCCTTGATTTCCCACAACACTCTGCCCATACATGCAGGCAGGCAGGCAAAGCAAGCTGACAAACAGACTGAGAAGGAAAAGAAGGGGTTATTTCCCCCTAACCCACCCCATCACCACCACCAGGGAGGGTCACTTAAAAAACAGAGATCAGCAGACACAACTTTAGCACAGGATACATTTTTTAAAAAACACAACTGCAGCCAGGTAAATCCAGTTAGCAACACCCGGGAAAAGAGAGGAGGACAGATGGATACGACAACCACGGATTCAAAAAACCACAGGCGGGGGACGGGGGACGGGGCAGACATGGGGCTCTGCGGACAGAGGGCAGGAGGAAGACGGAAGCAGGGTTAAGAATTAAACGGAGTATCCTTACTTCGGTGTGACTGGGGGCCTTCGCCCTGCTCTGCAGAAAAGAACAGCAGGGTTTTTATATACTTTCAGCAAACACATTTCCATAACATTTATATGCTTTCAGCAAAGTGGAACGCTACCCCACACAGACATTGCCTTCCCTCCCTCCCGGCCGTGACTCAGATTCCATTTCGACAGGCCTTCAATTGTGTTGATTGATCGGTGATTGATCGGCCAGGTTCTGTCCCCGGCACAAGGCGAGTTTTGCGGGGCAAGGACACAAACGCACAGACTCCCTTCTCTACCCCAGAAGTCTGTCTTCTGACCCCAGGCTGGCCACCCCTTGCTAATGTTATGAAAATTATAAGGTCTAAGATGTGAAATAAATGTACCAGGCAAACGCATACATCAATAGATAAACCTGTTGAATGGTTTTTTCAAATTTTAGGTTCATTATTGTTTCACAAGATGCGTATGTCTCTAGGCCAGAGCAAATAACATGATCTAGTTTTACAGCTGTGAAGTCATATAGCAGGTGCTGTTAGTAAAGGTAAAGGGACCCCTGACCATTAGGTCCAGTCGTGGACGACTCTGGGGTTGCGGTGCTCATTTTGCTTTACTGGCCAAGGGAGCCGGCGTACAGCTTCCAGGTCATGTGGCCAGCAGGACTAAGGCGCTTCTGGCGAACCAGAGCAGCACACGGAAACGCCGTTTACCTTCCCGCCGGAGTGGTACCTATTTATCTACTTGCACTTTGAGGTGCTTTCGAACTGCTAGGTGGGCAGGAGCAGGGACTGAGCAATGGGAGCTCACCCCATCGCGGGGATTCAAACCGCCGACCTTCTGATTGGCAAGCCCTAGGCTCTGTGGTTTAACCCACAGCGCCACCCGCGTCTCTGCAGGTGCTTTTAAGTTGTGGTAATTAAGCGGTTGGGTATGGTATATAAAGAGCAGCATGTATCTCTCTCAGTACCCTGGTCATGCTCACTGATATATTGTAATTTAATTTAATGTCTAGATGGCGCCTAAGCAATTCCCGTTAATTCTTTCAGAGCATATTGCTTCATTTATGCCCTGCGGACCGTTGGAATAAGGCCCCTGGAAGGCTTGAATCTGGCCCCCGGTTCATGGTTCAACCATATCAACTCCTTGGAAATAGCAGTGCCCTCAGTCTCTGCCCTCTCTCCTCTGTCAGAAGTAGAGACTGTAGATGTCTTGGGGCAGGGGTCTAGCTGTAATGGTGGGCCCTGCAAGTCAACGCTGGTCTTGGGCAGCCCTCTCATGGAGCGGGGTGTTAGGATATTTCCGTTCCACCTTAAAAGGGAGCAAGCTGTGAGTCACAGAGTCTGCGTATTTCCTGTTCACAGGATGTTTATGTTTTCTGTTGCTTTCGTTTCTCTCTCTGTGTCGTAGACACTAAAGCAGGCAGTCATGTTTTTCTGTGTTCTGATCAACGCTGAATAAACTTGTAAATAATGCTCTCCTGAGTGCAACTTTTGGCTGTGCATTATCTGCTGATAGAGTGTGCATGAGCTCTGGAATGTGGCAAGCTATCTCTAGAAACTCATGTCACTAATTGCTGATACTGCGTGACTACGGGAGATCGATGGATTGTCCGGCAGCCGGCTTGGGGGCCATGATGGACTTTGTCTCCCTGGCAGTATCCCAACACGGGGAGCTACCTGCGCTGAGAGACGCACCTCTCGCTCGCCGGACCTGCATGCCACGCACACACAACCAAAATCCATGCCACACAAATCTTCGGACACCTCCGGCCACCAGACGGGGACGACACACGACGACACACACACACCTCCACGACACAAGCACCACAACCCAGCCTCTCTCGATCTTCTGCCAGTTCCTCTGTCCCTCTAGGACCGGGATAGGGAAATATGTGGTGCCGAATGCCCACCAGCCCTGGTAAAGGTAAAGGTAAAGGGACCCCTGACCATTAGGTCCAGTCGTGGCCGACTCTGGGGTTGCGGCGCTCATCTCGCTTTATTGGCCGAGGGAGACGGCGTACAGCTTCCGGATCATGTGGCCAGCAGGACTAAGCCACTTCTGGCGAACCAGAACAGCGCACGGAAACGCCGTTTACCTTCCCGCCGGAGCGGTACCTATTTATCTACTTGCACTTTGAGGTGCTTCCGAACTGCTAGGTTGGCAGGAGCAGGGACCGAGCAACGGGAGCTCACCCCGTCCTTGCGGGGATTCGAACCGCCGACCTTCTGATCAGCAAGTCCTAGGCTCTGTGGTTTAACCCACAGCACCACCCGCGTCCCACCAACGTTGGTAGCCTGGGTTTAACGCTGGCAAGAGCTGGAATCTGGCAACCCAATTCGAAGAATTCCACCCCCTTGACCCGAAGGTAGAGGACCCCTTTCCAAAAAGAGGAATCGTCTCCATCTCTCCAGGAGAGCAGGGAATGCCTCTTCTTAAGAGCAGGGATAGGGGAACGTGCTTAGATGTTGCTGGACTCCATCTTCAAAGGTCAAGGAGTCCGGCAAGATCTGGAGGGATGCAGCGGGTTGCGCACCCCAGCTCTTTGGCCCAGTAAAGGATTTCTCGCTTGGACCTCCTGCCACGGACAAGACACTCAAGGAGCGGGAAAGGTCGATAATTACCTTCTCGGTCCCTTTGCCATGCTTTCTCAAGAGAGTGCCCTGCAGAGACAATCAATATCACAAATCGATCAGTGCGGAAGGGGAACGGGCGAGCGAGGAAGTCGAGCGAAGGGAGGGCAGGAGGGAGGGAGGAAGGACAGACGGATGGACAGATGGACGGACGACCTGTCATCCCGAGGCATGACATTGTCCTCCCTCCCCCAATACTCCCAGTACCTTTCTGAGCACAATTCAAAGTGTTGGGGCTGACCTTGAAAGCCCTAAATGGCCCAGTATCCCTGAAGGAGCGTCTCCACCCCCATTGTCCAGCCCGGACACTGAGGTCCAGCACCGAGGGCCTTCTGGTGGTTCCCTCCCTGCGAGAAGTGAGGTTGCAGGGAACTAGACAGAGGGCCTTCTCGGTGGTGGTGCCCGCCCTGTGGAATGCCCTCCCGTCAGACGTCAAGGAGATAAACAACTATCTGACTTTTAGAAGACATCTGAAGGCAACCCTGTATCAGGAAAATGTTAATGTCTAATGTTTAATCTTTTCCCTTCCATATAGACAGTTACATTTGTTACTCAACAATTCTATTCCAGTTCAACAGAACTACGGGCTGGTTCCACTCACCCAGTGTTGACGTCTATAACACAAATTACATAAGGTACTGTTTTATCTGATTTCACCCTCTCTAATATATTCTGCTGTTTAGTCAACCTCTTGCTTGCATTAGGAGAACGCTACCTCTTAAGACATGGGTAGGCAAACTAAGGCCCGGGGGCCGGATCCGGCCCAATCGCCTTCTAAATCCGGCCTGTGGACGGTCTGGGAATCAGCGTGTTTTTACATGAGTAGAATGAGTGCTTTTATTTAAAATGCATCTCTGGGTTATTTGTGGGGCATAGGAATTCGTTCATCCCCCCCCCCCAAATATAGTCTGGCCCCCCACAAGGTCTGAGGGACAGTGGACCGGCCCCCTGCTGAAAAAGTTTGCTGACACCTGTTCTAAACGAATCCATTAACTTGCTTCCTGCTATATACAAGGGAATATGCACTGATAGCGCGAGTGAGGAAGGATAATATTTGACCAATATATCCTCCCCTACTATCCTCAACATTCCCACAGTTAAGGGGGGTCCGCCTTACCAACCCCACCTCTGAAACGGATCGCAGGTTATGCAAATGGATACCTGAAGGAGCATCTCCACCTCCATCGTTCTGCCCGGACACTGAGGTCCAGCGCCGAGGGCCTTCTGGCGGTTCCTTCGCTACGAGAAGCCAAGTTACAGGGAACCAGGCAGAGGGCCTTCTCGGTAGTGGCACCCGCCCTGTGGAACACCCTCCCACCAGATGTCAAAGAGAAAAATAACTACCAAACTTTTAGAAGACATCTGAAGGCAGCCCTGTTTAGGGAAGCTTTTAATGTTTAATAGGTTATTGTATTTTAGTGTTTTGTTGGAAGCCGCCCAGATGGGCGGGGTATAAATTACTATTATTATTATTATTATTATTATTATTATTTCCTCTTTATCAGGAGGAAAACCAGGTACAGTGGTACCTCTGGTTAAGAACTTTATTCGTTCTGGAGGTCCGTACTTAACCTGAAACTGTTCTTAACCTGAAGCACCACTTTAGCTAATGGGGCCTCCGGCTGCCGCCGCACGATTTCTGTTCCCATCCTGAAGCAAAGTTCTTAACCCGAGGTGCTATTTCTGGGTCAGCGGAGTCTGTAACCTGAAGCATCTGTAACATGAAGTGTCTGTAACCCGAGGTACCACTGTATCTGGTGGGACAGGGAGAAAGTTTCCACCGAGACGCACAGCTGGCGCAAAGCAGCTCAGCGACAAGAGGGAAGGATTTTGGGGGTTCACAGAACAAAGGCGTTTTGGGGAAGGGTGGGGAGCAGGGAGGAGATAGAGGCACATTGGAGAAAGTAGCCAGCCACCACAGGACGACAGAAAAACCAGCTCAAATTACTCGGGAGGGGTTGGGGTTTGGGGTGGGGGAACTAGACGCAAGGCACAAGGACAAAGAGATAGAGAGACAAACGAAAGACAAGACAGGGCTTTCCCCTGCCGTACTTACAATCATCTGCCCAGGTGAGGGGAGCAATCAGAAAGAACAGCCGTCACGTGAGAATGAGCCTCAGGTCCGCCGCAAACCCATCCCGCAACCCCGAAACAACACACAACGCCGCGGCAACCCCACACAAGAGAGAAAGCGCAGCGCAACGCCTCCAGGACGCATGGCCACGGGGCGCCCTCGGGACGCGGGGTTTGTGTGGGCGCCGAATTGAGCCTGCGCCCCTAATATTTTTAGGCGTACCCCCAAGCCCCGAATCCCTGCCCCTTTGAGACACACCCCACCCCCAGACCGTGAAGGCTGCAGTTTTTCCACCCGCAATTCAGTGTTAGACGAAAGGAAGGCGAATCAGTTTGAACAAAAACACACACCCCAAAATCATTGCAGGTTCTATTTCCAAATGCATCATAACTTAAAAAGAAAAGGAAAAAAAGTCAAACGCTTTCAGAACTGTCAGCTATGCCCGTTTCACTCTGACTTTTTAATTAATTTATTTCCTTGCTGTTGTGAAAATGAAGAGATCTGGTGGACACTATTGAGGGTTTTTTTGGGGGGCGGTTATCTGATCCTGTACCCCAATAGGGGTGAGACTCTCTTTTTTAAATTTTATTTTTTACCAACAGCCAAAAGACAAACGGTGAAACGCCCCCAGGCGGCTGATACGTTGGATATACATATTCAATAATTTACGTATTCAATAATATACATCTTCAATAATATCATGTTCAAATCAACCTTATGTACACTGCTATATACCTTAACACTCCTCGCCCCACAAGATTTATTTGACTTTTAACATTTTAATTGCCCCAAATTGTTCAAACCTGCCCAAATAATTCAATATCTTCTCAAACCAATCCTCCTCCTTTTCACTGACCTTAAACCCTTTCATTCTATGTCTCTTCACAGTTAAAGGTAAAGGGACCCTGACCATTAGGTCCAGTCGTGACCGACTCTGGGGTTGCGGCGCTCATCTCGCTTTATTGGACGAGGGAGCCGGCGTACAGCTTCTGGGTCATGTGGCCAGCAGGACTAAGCCACTTCTGGCAAACCAGAGCAGCGCATGGAAATGCCGTTTCCCTTCCCGTCGGAGTGGTACCTATTTATCTACTTGCACTTTGGCGTGCTTTCGAACTGCTCAGTTGGCAGGAGCAGGGACTGAGCAACGGGAGCTCACCCCGTCATTGCAGGGATTCGAACCGCCGACCTTCTGATCAGCAAGTCCTAGGCTCTGTGGTTTAACCCACAGCGCCACCTGTTTCACAGTTAGGTATTCTAAAATTATAATATAATTCGGGGTTTTTCCTCCATTGTTTCCGTCTTGCAATCGCCACGTCCTCCTTTAACCGGGACGGGTCTCCTTCTCTTGGAAAACCATTGCTCATAAAACCATAAGAGGGCTGCTTGATTAGGCCAGTGGTCCATCGAGTCCGGATCCTGTTCTCACAGTGGCTGACCAGATTCCTGTGGGATCTGGGTGCGAGAGCACCTCTCGCCTCCTGCAGTTTCCAGCAACTGGGATCCACAGATCCATTAGGTCCAGTCGTGGCCGACTCTGGGGTTGCGGCGCTCTTCTCGCTTTACTGGCCGAGGGAGCCGGAGTACAGCTTCCGGGCCATGTGGCCAGCAGGACTAAGCCACTTAGCAGTGGGTCCGTAAGTGGCTTTGGAGGCCAATTCTGGATCCACACATCCTTCCACAGTGGGGACATTGGTTTCCGGGCAGGAGTTGATCCCGGTGAGGGTTTGCCAAGCATGCCTTCCTCTTAGCACGTTTCTCCCTTGCGTCCTGAGTTCGAGTGTCTTCAAAGCCTACTGGAAGGATTTTTTTAATTTTTTTTTTACTACGGCAGACCAACACGGCTGCCTACCTGTAACTTCAAAGCCCATGACGCCTTAAAAAGGTAAAGGGACCCCTGACCATTAGGTCCAGTCGTGACTGACTCTGGGGTTGCGGCGCTCATCTCGCTTTACTGGCCGAGGGAGCCGACGTACAGCTTCCGGGTCATGTGGCCAGCAGGACTAAGCCGCTTCTGGTGAACCAGAGCAGCGCACGGAAACGCCGTTTACCTTCCCACCAGAGCGGTACCTATTTATCTACTTGCACTTTGAGGTGCTTTCGAACTGCTAGGTTGGCAGGAGCAGGGGCCGAGCAACGGGAGCTCACCCCGTCATTGCAGGGATTCGAACCGCCGACCTTCTGATCAGCAAGTCCTAGGCTCTGTGGTTTAAGCAGCCATTAATAGCTCTTTCCTCAATGATCCTCCCCCATATCCTCTTTTAAAGCCATCTGGGTTGGTGGCTGTCACTGCTTCCTGTGGCAGAGTGTTCCACAGGCTTTCTTTATCTGTCCTGAATCTCCCAGTGTCCAGCCTCGTTGGATTCACGACTTCTAGCGCTCGCGGAAACTCAGAATGGCAGAGCTGGAAGAGACCCCAGGGGTCATCTAGTCCAACCCCCTGCAACGCAGGAATCTTTTGCCCGACTTGTGACTCGAACCCACAACCCTAAAATCAGGAGCCTCGTTCACTGCTGACTGAGCTATCTCCCATTTCTGCATCGGTTTGCGACTTAAAAACAACAACACATGAATGTCCATGCTGTAAATTTATCCTAGTGTACATTTCTGTATGCAATTCCCTCCCCCCGCCCTATAAAAACCACTTTTTGTTTTTGCAAATCAGTTCCCCCTAATACAGTACTCCATCCCATTAATATATGCATTTTCACATACACTTCTCCCCACAATTTGCATTCTTGTCCAGAATTCCTGACTGGGGAACAGCCTTCCAAAATTAATGTATGTACGGATTTTGAGTTGCAGTTCTGTTTCTGCTAGAGTACCATTTTGGAAAATTGCAGAAGTGGTCAGTTTGCATTTAAAACATGAACCGAACCAAATTTCTCCTTCCCCTCTGCTCCTCGAGAGATGGCCACCCTCCTTATAAAAGCATCAGCTAAACAAATAGTTGCTTGATGTTAACTAACCCATGTTTCTTAAACCACGAAACTCAAGGCGGTCTTAGGTCTGCCTCTCAGTTCCTGATATCCCCAAGCATAAATACTATCCCTGCACCAACTTGCAATTTATTTATTTTTTAAGAAATCCAGAGCAAAATCTCATATTGTGCATATCCTGTCTCGTGTAAGCATTTTCTTTTTTTTGCAAGCGATTTCACCTAATACAGCCCCCAAAAATTGTTAGCTAATTTCCCCAAATATGTATATTTCCTCTTTAAAGGGTAAAGGGACCCCTGACCATTAGGTCCAGTCGTGGCCGACTCTGGGGTTGTGGGGCTCATCTCGCTTTATTGGCCAAGGGAGCCAGCGTACAGCTTTCGGGTCATGTGGCCAGCAGGACTAAGCCGCTTCTGGCGAACCAGAGCAGCGCACGGAAATGCCGTTTCCCTTCCCGCCGGAGTGGTACCTATTTATCTACTTGCACATGACGTGCTTTCGAATCGCTAGGTGGGCAGGAGCAGGGACCGAGCAACTGGAGCTCAGCCCGTCGTCGCGGGGATTCGAACCGCCGACCTTCTGATTGGCAAGTCCTAGGCTCGGTGGTTTAACCCACAGCGCCACCCCTTTACATAAAGCTTTTCTGTTTTGTTTTACTGCATCACAACATTTGGGTAAGAGTGAGTTTTGTAGGAGCTAGACATGGCCGCAAGTCCCCCAGTAACACTCGGATCCGCCCCCCAAATAACACTGGAAAACAGGATTCCTCCCCAGCCAGCAAATTATTGGGGGGTCGGACAGGCAAACCCCTCATCTGAACACCTTCACTTTTAATCAAAGCCTACTCTACAAATACGGTGGCTAAACAGACTGTCCCCAAAGATACAGGGGTTAGTCCACATCCCACCTGCAATTTACCGTATTTTTTGCTCTATAAGACTCACTTTTCCCCTCCTAAAAAGTAAGGGGAAATGTGTGTGCGTCTTATGGGGCGAATGCAGGCTGCGTAGCTATCCCAGAAGCCAGAAGAGCAAGAGGGATTGCTGTTTTCACTGCACAGCGATCCCTCTTGCTGTTCTGGCTTCTGAGATTCAGAATATTTTTTTTCTTGTTTTCGAGACTGCAGTTCCCATCATCCCTGACCACTGGTCCTGATAGCAAGGGATCGTGGGAGTTGTAGGCCAAAAACATCTGGCTGAGGAAGCCTGCTGTAAGCTGAGCTTAAGGCAGCCTTTCTCAACCTGTGGGTCCCCAGATGTTGTCAAACTACAACTCCCATCACCCCTAGCTAGCAAAGCCAGAACTCAGGGATGATGGGAGTTGTAGTCCAACAACATCTGGGGAGCCACAGGTTGAGAACCACTGCCTTAGACTGAGACGGGAATCCGTCTCCTTAGATCGGGGATGGTGGGCACCCATCCAGACATTGCTGGACCCAAACTCCCAGCAGCCAGCACAGCCAAGGGGCTAAGAAAGCTGTGAGTTCGAGTCCAGCAACATCTAAGGAGATACAGGTGAACTTTCTGTCCCGAGGGAAGCTAAATCCTACATCCTGAATCCAGATTTGAATGAATCTGGATCTCCTTTCATATAGTTCCATTTATCTTCTGAGGGTGGGGGAAGTCTATATGGTGAACTGGACCCCACACCTCACCAGACTGGGGTTTTTTAAGCACATCTTAGCAGCTGCGTGAGCTGGGAACCGACTTTCATTAAAAGAAAACAAGGAGGGAACCTGCTTATTTCAAGATAAAAGCCAAGCGTGCAACCGGTCTACATTTTTATGAAGGCCCAGCTGAGACACTTCCACGTTGGGTTCCTACACGACCAGGTTGCCCACACTCCCAGAGGTTTTTTGGGGGGGTGTGTTGGTGCCGTTGGGCCGTGGGGGAAGAGTGGGTTGGCCCATCTTGTCGTACACGTGGTTTGGCACTCACCGTCTGGTCCGTGAGGGGCGGAAGCACGATCGTCTTCTCCATAGTGTTCATGACGAGTTTCCAAAGCTCCTTCAGCACTCGCTTGAGGACGGTCTTCTCGCAGATCTTCGCAAAGAGGGTCAGGCTGCGAGAGAAGAAGACCGCCAGGGGGAAGCCGGTGAGCGTCACTCAGGGCCGGAGCGGGGAAGGAGGGGCAGAATCTGAGGGAGCAAGCGTGCTTGTGTTTGTGTGTGTGTATTTGAGTGTGTGTATTTGAGTGTTTGTGTTTGAGTGTGTGTTGTGTGTGTGTATTTGTGTGTGTGTGTGTGTGTGTTTGTGTATGTGTATTTAGTGTGTGTGTGTATTTGAGTGTGGTGGTTGAGTGTGTGTTTGTATGTATGTGTATGTGTGTGTGTATTTGAGTGTGTGTGTATTTGAGTGTGTGTGTATTTGAGTGTGTGTGTGTATTTGAGTGTGGTGGTTGTGTGTGTATTGTGTGTGTGTATTTGTGTGTGTTTGAGTGTGTGTTTGTATGTGTGTGTGTTTGTGTATGTGTATTTAGTGTGTGTGTGTATTTGAGTGTGGTGGTTGAGTGTGTTTGTATGTGTATGTGTGTGTGTGTGTGTGTGTATTTGAGTGTGTGTGTATTTGAGTGTGTGTTTTTTGTGTGTGTGTGTGTATTTGAGTGTGTGCATTTGAGTGTGTGTTGTGTGTGTGTATTTGAGTGTGTGTGTATTTGAGTGTGTGTGTGTTGTGTGTGTTGTGTGTGTGTATTTGTATTTGAGTGTGTGTGTATTTGAGTGTGTGTTTGTACGCATGTGTGTGTTGTGTGTGTGTGCTGTGTGTGTGTGTGTATTTGAGTGTGTGTGTTGTGTGTGTATTGTGTATTTGAGTGTGTGTGTATTTGAGTGTGTGTTTGTTTGTACGTGTGTGTGTATTTGAGTGTGTGCATTTGAGTGTGTGTTGTGTGTTTGTATGTGTGTGTGTTTGTAGTTGAGTGTGTGTGTTTGTGTGTGTTTGTGTGTGTTTGTGTGTGTGTTTGAGTGTGTTTTTGTGTGTGTGTTTGAGTGTGTGTGCTTTGTGTGTATGTGTATTTGAGTGTGTGTGTTTTTGTGTTTGTGTTTGTGTGTGTATGAGAGAGAGAACCAGCAGGACCAGGCAATCCAGAAAGACTGGAATAAATTTATGTTACATTCGGAAGACAACTGTAAACAGTTAACATCGCTAGTAGGGTTGTAAGAAGTTTCGAAAGGATGAAATCATCATTTATTACTAAATGCAGTTCATCAAGTAATTTTATGAGGATATAATTTAAGAGGGATAAGAAGTATAGGAAAATGCAGTATATTGAGATTAAAATTGAAAACCGTTTGTCGGGGAGGAGGGGAGTCACAGCCTTATTTAAGCCAAATGTTTTATCTGTGCAAAGTACGGTATGTTGTTGTGCAAGAAAACATCTGTAAAAACCAATAAAAATTATTATTATTAAAAAACAAAACAAAAGCCACACGCATGCCTCCATAGGCTGAACTTGTGGTCCTAGACCTCAGCATCTATGGCATCACCACTCACTTGCTGTCGAGAAGGTCCATGATGGGCTGCAAGACGTTGTCGGCGTCTTGGGCTACGCTGCTACAAGCGCTGGCCGGCACGTTGCCTGTGCCCTTCACCTGGCTGAGAATGTCCCCCATCTGCTTCACGCAGTCCTCGATGTGTGGCTGGAAACTTGGGGGTGAGGAGATAATAATAATAAGAATTTAGAGAAGCGAGGTTGCAGGGAACCAGGCAGAGGGCCTTCTCGGTGGTGGCGCCCTCCCGCCAGATGTCAAGGAAATAAACAACTATCTGACTTTGAGAAGACATCTGAAGGCAGCCCTGTTTAGGGAAGTTTTTAATGTCTGGTGTTTTATTGTGTTTTTAATATCCATCTGGTAAGCAGGATGGGACCCTCCCTGCTTGCGCACTGTCTCGCCAGAGTGGTGCATGCTCTGGTTATCTCCCACTTGGACTACTGCCATGGGCTCTCCGTGGGGCTACCTTTGAAGGCGACTCAGAAACTGCAACTTATCCAGAATGCTGCAGCTAGACTGGGGACTGGGAGTGGAGACCACATAACACCGGACCTGAAAGACCTACGTTGGCTCCCAGGATATTTCTGAGCACAATTCAAAGGGTTGGTGCTGACCTTCAAAGCCCTAAACGGCCCAGTAGCCCTGAAGGAGCATCTCCACCCCCATCGTTCTGCCCGGACACTGAGGTCCAGCTCCGAGGGCCTTCTGGTGGTTCCCTCCCTGAGAAAAGTGAAGTTACAGGGAACCAAGCAGAGGGCCTTCTCGGTGGTGGCGCCCGCCCTGTGGAACGCCCTCCCATCAGATGTCAAGGAAATAAAGAACTACACAACTTTTAGAAGACATCTGAAGGCAGCCTTGTACCGGGGAGCTTTTTAATACTTGATGTCATGTTATGTTTTTAAATCAGCCCAAGGTAAAGGTAAAGGGACCCCTGACCATTAGGTCCAGTCGCGGCCGACTCTGGGGTTGCGGCGCTCATCTCGCTTTACTGGCCGAGGGAGCTGGTGTTCAGCTTCTGGGTCATGTGACCAGCAGGACTAAGCTGCTCTTGGTGAACCAGAGCAGCGCACGGAAACGCCGTTTACCTTCCCGCCAGAGCGGTACCTATTTATCTACTTGCACTTTGACCTTCTTTCGAATCAGCCCTACCTGGTTGCAAACACTCGACTCAGCTCGTCCAAGACGTTGTTGAGTTTCACTTGTAGCTCCTTCAGAATGTCGCTGGCTTCTGGGTCCAGCTGGAACGGCAGAAGGCAAGAGAGCAATGTTCATCCTTGGAAGATTAATAGGAAGGCCCCCCCCCCAAGGGCAAATTCTCCAGCTAGAGACTTCTTATAGATTTGCATCTCTATCCTACTGAGGTCAAGCCTTTGGCGCAGATGAATGCAGAGTTGCTCGGGGGACTAAGCAGTTTGTAGTCAACCTTCTGTGAGGGAAAGGGAAGTTGTAGGTTTGGCTGGAGCCGAAGACTCACGCAAGGCAGTCTGGTCCATGGGGGGCCCCGCCAGCTTCAGTCTCCCCATAGCCAACCCCCCCCACCTTCTTGCTAACAACCAGTTCAGTGGGGGGGGGGGGCTGCTTGTCAGTTCCCACCTCTTCCTCGGCCTTATTGTTGCCAATAATTAAAGGGAAGTTCTCTTTCTGCAGTTCTCTTACTGCACATAACTGTGGCATTGTGGGAAGTCTTGCTATGAGAACTATTGCTTCTTTTCTCTTGCATTCTGGGAAGTCTCGCTTCTGCTTCTGCACACACTGTTCCAAACACACCAAGCCAAACACACCAAGACATTCTCTCATTCTTCAGTTCATTTCAAGTTCATGACCAAAACAATATGGTCTGTTCTTAATGCATAGCTGACCACATCTACGGAACTTGATTATTATATTCTTTCATGTTATGATCAAACATTAGTAATTGTTTTAGTCATGTTATATTAATCTTTAGTTATAATTTAATTAGGAGGATTCATGCCTGTCTAGTTCTAGCTCCATTTCTCAGCCTTTGATCTATCAGTGATAAATAGTTATATGTAATTCCGCCTTGTACCTATGTCAACCAATCAGCAACAAGATGCTTTGTGTTTGTATCAACCAATCAGCCACAAGCACACCTGTGGCAATGTTTGTAATATTCAATAAAAGAGAGTTCCCGGGGCTCGCCCCAGCAGACGCCTCTCATATGACACCTGCCACTCGTCTGTCGTGATTTTCAACCCAACAAATAATAATAATAATAATAATAATAATAAATTTTATTTATAACCCGCCCTCCCCGGCCAGAGGCAGGCTCAGGGCGGCTAACACCAATAAAATCAGAGTAAAAACATAATAGGGGAAAAAGAGAGGGGGGAGGAAAGAAAAGGGGAACAAAGCCCAATTTAAAATACAGGTTAAAATGCAGTTTAAAATGCAGCCTCATTTTAAAATAGCTGATAAATCAAGACCATAAGGGGAGGGAAACATAAGGGTCAGACCGAGTCCAAACCAAAGGCCAGGAAGAACAGCTCTGTCTTGCAGGCCCTGCGGAAAAATGTCAAGTCCCGCAGGGCCCTGGTCTCTTGGGACGGAGCGTTCCACCACGTCGGGGCCAGTGCTGAAAAGGCCCTGGCCCTAGTTGAAACCAGTCTAACCTCCTTGAGGCTGGGGACCTCCAAAGTGTGGTTTGTAGAGATCCAGTCCAAATAGGCACCAATGCGGCAGATGTTTGAGAGCGAGAAGGAACATTCAGGCTGCAGTAAACCTAATGTTCGGCTGGTGCCCCTCTCCCCATTCCATCAAGAAAAGCAGAACAGCCAAGCTATTGGGACTTAAGTCTTCACCACCCCTAACTGCAGGTGGTGAGCTGAGGAGGCAAAGCTACACAGGACGCAGAAAGAGCTCTGCCTTTCCACCTTTTCTCAGCTGCTCTGTGGCCCCAGCCGCTCTGTCCTGTGACCTGTCCGGCCCCCAAAGACCTTTTAAGAAATGCAAACCTCTTTCCCCCCCATGGCTTCAAACATTTTCTCCAGTTGGACCCGCAGCTGCTGGATGTTGTTCATCAAGATACAGGGCTGCAAAGGGAGAAAGAAAACAAAACGGACACGTCGTTACGAAGGCACTGGGATTCCTAGGAAAGGCGGAAACCTCCTTCTTTTCTTTCTCTAATTATTCCGGGAAGTCGCTCTCTACATCGTGGAGGGAGCACGGAATGGAATTTCCCCCTTTATACGGGAGGCTACTTTGTACACACACACACACACACACACACACACACAAAAACACACACACCACTCTCTCTTGTGCATCCAGGCCAGCAAACAGCATGATTCGAGTTCAGCGACACCCATGGTTCTTTGCTGAGACATCATCTTCCAAAGCTCAGCCTTCAGTACCCATTGGGAACTGTCCAAAGTGCTGATTTGGCTGGCCCAGGTTTCATATATCGCCGCCACCAATATTACCCTAAACTCTCTATTCACCAGCAGGTCACGACCATTTAAAATGCATAAATTAAAAATAGTTTAAACAAATTGCTGTCCCGGGAAGAGGGAGGGCCCTGAAAACACATTCGAGGCCCGCAAAATAAGGTGGGTATGAACGCCGACCCGTCAAATTCACCCAGATGGCAATGAAATTAAACTTCACATCTTTGGGGCTGCCACAGAGAAGGCCCTGTCCCAGACCACAACCACCCCAAACATCAGAGGGCAGTGGAACTAGCGAAAAGTCCCCCTCTGCTCATCTTAACTACCGGGAGGATGTGTAGAGAAGGAGCCGGTCTCTCAAACTTTGTGGCCCCGAGTCATTTAGGGTCAACATCATGTGTCCCCAGCCCAGCCCCAGCCCCTTTGGTGCCTCGCTGCTGTTCTTTGGGAATCCCAAATCCATGGGTAGGCAAACTAAGGCCCGGGGGCTGGATCCGGCCCAATCGCCTTCTCAATCTGGCCGGCGGATGGTCCGGGAATCAGCATGTTTTTACATGAGTAGAATGTGTCCTTTTCTTTAAAATGCACCTCTGGGTTATTTGTGGGGCATAGGAATTCGTTCATTCCCCCCCCAAAAAATATAGTCCAGCCCACCACATGGTCTGAGGGACAGTGGACCGGCCCCCCTGCTGAAAAAGTTTGCTGACCCCTGAAATCTGTCCTTTGGACACTTGGAGATGGAAGGGGGAAGAGCTAAAAAACAGATACATCACCACTTTTTCCTTCTCCTTGGAGCAATGAGAAGCAAAGTCCTTGGAGATGATTTCAGCGTATTGCAGCAGGACGTTGCTAATGGTCTGGAAGGGAAAAGAGGAGGGGAGGCTGACGAGACGAAGAAAGCGGGGTGCTATTGTGATAGGAATTTTGAGGTCTTAGATATATGGTAATGTTCATAAGTGTACCAACCAAGCATGTACCTAGATCAGCACAGGAAGACCAACCTGGAACCATTTTGATTCCTAAACTGAGCAAATGTTTTCTCTGCAAGGTCAAAGTGGGAAACTTCCCATTCTCTCTTTCCTCACAAATCCTGTCTTAAGGGCACATTTAAGATATGAATAGGGTGTGAGCCTGTGACCTGGCCCAGGAACTAAGTATTTATCACTACAAAAGACTGGCCAGGCTCCCCAGGCAATCCAGTCAAGTAACCTGCCAGATAAACAAGGACAGGAGAAAAACAACATTCAAATTTCTGTTGTAGACCGCCTTTTCTGTGATGTAGGTGTGATGTATCTGAGGGGTGGTCTTAGGTTACACCCCTTCTGTGATGTATGTATGATGTTTCTTGGGGTGGTCTGGATCTACAGGGTGGCAATTTCAAAAGTCTTTATAAGGCATTGCACACCATTTTTATGGGTTCCTCCTCCTCTCCTGCGTGTGAGGGGAGCACCCTGTTGCAACAGATCCATAAAGATCAGGCTTACTAGCTGCTTTGCTTCTCAATATTCTCTGGTTGGCCTCTGCTATTCTCTCCTACCAATAGGGAACCCACGTAAGGACTCTATATGGGCTCTTGGATACCCCATAAGGGAAAAGGGCAATTTTTGTTTACAACACTATTGCCTCCCATATGTGTGTGTGTGTGTGTGTGTGTGTGTGTGTGTATGTGTATATGTATGTATGTGTGTATGTATATATATATACAGTGGTGCCCCGCAAGACGAATGCCTCGCAAGACGAAAAACTCGCTAGACGAAAGGGTTTTGCGTTTTTTGAGTCGTTCCGCAAGACGAATTTCCCTATGGGCTTGCTTCGCAAGACGAAACGTCTTGCGAGTTCTTGCGAGTTTGTTTCCTTTTTCTTAAAGCCGCTAAGCCGCTAATAGCCGTGCTTCGCAAGACGAAAAAAACGCAAGACGAAGAGACTCGCGGAACGGATTAATTTCGTCTTGCGAGGCACCACTGTGTGTGTATATATATATATATATATATATATATATATATATATATGCAACGCTCCTAAGTCACTGCCATCGCACGTAACACGTTCTTACCTTGGCGAACCTGCGCATGTAGTGGCCCACAATCTGCGGATCGGGGCATTCCAGCTTCTTGATGATTTCGAAGCTCTGGTTCAGCTGGGAAAAGACGTCGACCACCGAGCAGGAGAATAGGGCATGCTCCGACGTTTGCTGGAACTAAAGGGGAGGCAGACGAGAGGGTCTGGTGAGTCGATCGGTCCCATTTGGAGGAGAGGAACCTGGCATCCTTACAAAACATTTCACAGGAATGGGATTCCGGTGCGGTTTCTCGATTTCAGTAATGATAATGTTGGAGGGGATGGAATAGTTACCCAGATTGGCTGGGACAGCCAGATGGGTGGGGTATAACAACAACAACAACAACAGCAACAGCAACAACAACAATATTTATACATCGCCCATCCGGCCGGGTTGCCCCAGCCATTCTGGGCGGCTTCCAAAATATATACAAACACAATAAAACATTAAACCTCCCAATATAGGGCTGCCTTCAGGTGTCTTCTAAAAGTTGCGCAGCTCTTTGTCCCCATTGACATCTGACTGGAGGGTGTTCCACAGGGAGGGCGCCACCACCAAGAAGGCCTCGGTCCAGTATACCTGAAGGAGCGTCTCCACCCCCATCGTTCTGCCCGGACACGGAGGTCCAGCTCCGAGGGCCTTCTGGCGGTTCCCTCGCTGCGAGAAGCCAAGTTACAGGGAACCTGGCAGATGGCCTTCTCAGTGGTGGCGCCCGCCCTGTGGAACGACCTCCCACCAGATGTCAAAGAGAGAAACAACTACCTGACTTTTAGAAGACATCTGAAGGCAGCCCTGTTCAGGGAAGCTTTTAATGTTTAATAGGTTTTTGTATTTTAATATTCTGTTGGAAGCCGCCCAGAGTGGCTGGGGAAACCCAGCCAGATAGGCAGGGTATGAATAATAAATTATTATTATTATTATTAGTTGTTGGGATACTGCCAGGGAGATAAAGTCCATCAAGGCCCCCAAGCCGTCTGCCAGCGATCCATCGACCTCCCGTAGGCACGCAGTATCAGCAATTAGCGACATGAGTTTCTAGAAAATATCTTGCCACATTCCAGAGCTCATGCACACTCTATCAGCAGATAATGCACAGCCAAAAGTTGCACTCAGGAGAGCATTATTTACAAGTTTATTCAGCGTTGATCAGAACACAGAAAGACATGACTGCCTGCGTCAGTGTCTCCGACACACAGAGAGAAAGGAAAGCAACAGAAAACATAAACATCCTGTGAACAGGAAATACGCAGACTCTGTGACTCATAGCCTGCTCCCTTTTAAGGTGGAATGGAAATATCCTAACATTAGGCCCTCTGCCTGGTTCCCCGCCACTTTGCTTCTCGCAGCGAGGGAACCGCCAGAAGGCCCTCGGAGTCGACTAGCTGTTCTGCCCAAATCCTCATCCTGCAAGGAGCTTGTGGCCGTGTACATGGCTCTCCAGTCCTCACAACAACCTCACAATAGATTGTAATGGATTGCTTTGAAGCTAATTCAGCACCGGGTATTGGGGGTCAGATGGGCTACTTGGCTGGGCTTTCCTGATTGAAGCGTGCAATGTTGTGCAATGTGCAAAGTCTGCAATGTTCAGTGAGGCCAGGGGAATTCTGAAATGTCTCTCCAACTTTAAACAGGTTTCAGGCAATGTATTGATACATCCCTCAGGCTTAATAACAACAACAACAATAATAATTTATTATTTATACCCCGCCCATCTGGCTGGGTTTCCCCAGCCGCTCTGGGCGGCTCCCAACAGAATATTAAAAACACAATACAGCATCAAACATTAAACACTTCCTTAAACAGGGCTGCCTTCAGATGCCTTCTAAAAGTCAGATAGCTGCTTATTTCCTTCACATCTGGTGGGAGGGCGTTCCACAGGGCGGGCGCCACCACCGAGAAGGCCCTCTGTCTGGTTCCCTGGAACTTTGCTTCTCGCAGGGAGGGAACCGCCAGAAGGCCCTCGGAGCTGGACCTCAGCGTCCGGGCTGAACGATGGGGATGGAGACGCTCCTTCAGGTAAACTGGGCCGTTTAGGACTTTCAAGGTCAGCACCAACACTTTGAATGGTGTTCGGAATCCTACTGTCACCACCCAACCCTTATATGACAGGCTTCTTGGATTGCCAAGTAGCCAAGTAGCACACCTGCGAAGAAGATCTAGGGGGTCTTAGTAGACCACAAACTTGATGCTAGTCAGCAGTGCGGTTGATACCCTACCCCATCCTTCTTGTCTCGTTCTAGGGCTCCGTGCAAGAAATCTCGCGAGACTTCCTCGTTCTCATCCAGCCACTGGATAACAAAAGGTTCAAACCACCTAGAAAATAGGAGAGAGAGAGAGATAGGTAAGAAAATAATCTCAGTTTGGGGGAGAGAGAAAAAAGAGAAAGGGGGACTTACGCCGGATACTCTGGAACGCGACTCTTGAAAGAAGGGAGGTCTGTGACGTATTCGTTGTAGAGCCATTTCACCTTAAAGTGCAGGTTCATGTAATCGGCACTTTTGCACAACCGATGCTTGTCATGCTCTGCAGAGGAGGAGAAAAGGAAAGACGAGCCTGTATACACCTTGAAGGAGCTCCCCTGCTTCTCTTAAAGGTAAAGGGACCCCTGACAGTTAAGTCCAGTCGTGGACAACTCTGGGGTTGCGGCGCTCATCTTGCTTTACTGGCCGAAGGAGCCGGCGTTTGTCCGCAGACAGTTTTTCCGGGTCATGTGGCCAGCAGGACTAAGCTGCTTCTGGCGAAACCAGAGCAGCGCACGGAAACGCCGTTTACTTTCCTTTGTCAACAACAAATGGTTGCTGTTTTTTGTGTAGACTAAACGACTAAACAACAACAACAACAACTGTAATTTTATTGGTGTTAGCCATCCTGAGCCCAGCTCTGGCCGGGGAGGGTGGGGTGTAAATAAAAATTATTATTATTATGGTGTGGTTGTTTGTTTGTGATTGACTGTGGTGATCTTTGTTTTCGTGTGTGAGTGGGGTGGGTGGGTGTTTTGGATCAGGTTAGCCATATTGATTTGTATGCTGTTGGTGGATTATTGTCGTTGTCTTGTTGGGCTGTGTATGTGATAAAGGGGAGCCATACCGGGCTAAAGGCATATTATTATTATTATTATTATTATTATTATTATTATATCACTCCTACGTCAGGTAGTCTGAGCTTGTCGCCGCTGCGCTCTCTGTTCTATAGCTCTCTAAACCTGTCTAGTCTTAGGCAAAGTGTGTGTGTGGGGGGGGGGGTAGGAATGCTGTCCCAATTCTGGGCTGCATCAATAGGAGTATAGCATCTAGATCAAGGAAAGTAATAGTGCCACTGTATTCTGCTCTGGTCAGACCTCACCTGGAGTACTGTGTCCAGTTCTGGGCACCACAGTTCAAGAAGGACACTGACAAACTGGAACGTGTCCAGAGGAGGGCAACCAAAATGGTCAAAGGCCTGGAAACGATGCCTTATGAGGAACGGCTAAGGGAGCTGGGCATGTTTAGCCTGGAGAAGAGGAGGTTAAGGGGTGATATGATAGCCATCTTCAAATATAGAAAAGGATGTCACATAGAGGAGGGAGAAAGGTTGTTTTCTGCTGCTCCAGAGAAGCGGACACGGAGCAATGGATCCAAACTACAAGAAAGAAGATTCCACCTAAACATTAGGAAGAACTTCCTGACAGTGAGAGCTGTTCGACAGTGGAATTTGCTGCCAAGGAGTGTGGTGGAGTCTCCTTCTTTGGAGGTCTTTAAGCAGAGGCTTGACAACCATATGTCAGGAGTGCTCTGATGGTGTTTCCTGCTTGGCAGGGGGTTGGACTCGATGGCCCTTGTGGTCTCTTCCAACTCTATGATTCTATGATTCTAAGACACTGAATCTGCCCGCTGTCTCTCTCTCTCCTGGTGTTTCCTAGCTGTTCCTCACCAAGTGTCTCCCCTCTTTGGAATGTGCCCCTCTGCAAACCGCTGTTCTAAATCAATACTGTCCTCCTGCCCTTAGGAAGCTTCAGGAGAAGAAGGGGAGAGGACAGCTCCCACCATTCCTCCTCAGTCCAGCCCCTGACAGGTGGATGGAGAAGGTCCTCTACTGAGTGAGGGGTCTCCAAAAGGAAAACAGCCCACCCCCTCCCCAGCTCTCAAAGGAAGAAGAAGAAGAGGTTGGATTTGATATCCCGCTTTATCACTACCCGAAGGAGTCTCAAAGCGGCTAACATTCTCCTTTCCCTTCCTCCTCCCCCACAACAAACACTCTGTGAGGTGAGTGGGGCTGAGAGACTTCAGAGAAGTGTGACTAGCCCAAGGTCACCCAGCAGCTGCATGTGGAGGAGCAGGGAAGCGAAGCCGGTTCACCAGATTACGAGTCCACCGCTCTTAACCACTACACCACACTGACTCACCTTCCATTGCATATTTCATATCCTGAGCAAAAAGGTTCCACATCACTTCGGCGCTGATCTTCCCAACGTTCAGCTCTTGGGGGAACCTGGCGAGGGGGTCAGAGGAACCTGGGATGAGACTTCCTCAGGATAAACCTGCCGCAAACATCAGCGGGGGCGGCCGAACCCTCTGAGACTAGTCTGGACCAGACATTTGTGTACCTGGCTTCAGGGGGTGAGCCCTGCTGGACCAGACGGAAGGTCCACATTGTCCAGCAGATGTCCACAAGCAGGAACTGTGCCTGATAATGCTCTTAAGACCCTGAGAAATTGGGTTCCAATTTCCAGCTGGGGTCCGCAGCCATTAAGACTAGTAGCTATCGATGGACTCGTCCCCACGCAAGCATTTCTTTGATCTGTTCCCCCCAACATTGTAAACTTTCATCGTAAGGGAATTACGGGCGTTTTCCACCCCACACCTTTTCCCTGCTATAGAACGTTATTTTTAACGTGCATCAGGCGGAACTGCACCGCTAAGGATCTTACTGGTTGAGGCAGGGTGTGTATGAGTTCTTATCTTCCTCGATGATGGAGACGATCAAGGTGATAAGCTTGGACCAAAAATCCAGATTCTTAATGCTGGGGCCTTGTTCTTCCGGTGGGAGTTCTCCTTTCTTAGTCTGGAAGGACCCGAAACAAAAGACGTATCAGATTAAGCAAAGCTATCATCACAATAGCTCCTTTCCTCAATCAAGAGGAGACTCTTGAGAGTCCCATGGACTGCAAGAAGATCAAACCTCTCCATTCTGAAGGAAATCAGCCCTGAGTGCTCACTGGAAGGACAGATCCTGAAGCTGAGGCTCCAAGACTTTGGCCACCTCATGAGACGAGAAGACTCCCTGGAAAAGACCCTGATGTTGGGGAAGATGAAGGGCGCAAGGAGAAGGGGACGACAGAGGACGAGATGGTTGGACAGCGTTCTCGAAGCTACCAGCATGAGTTTGACCAAACTGCGGTAGAGAGTGGAAGACAGGAGGGCCTGGCGTGCTCTGGTCTAGGGGGTCACGAAGAGTCGGACACGACTAAACGACTAAACAACAACAACAGATCATCACAATTTCCATTTTCAAGGCCCACCCCCCAGAAGTTATTTTCTTATTTTTTGGGGGGGGACGACAAGAGGAACTGGAAATGCAGCTGGAATCCTATTGGGGGACCAAAGATTAGCTCAAGGTTTCAACTCCCCATCTTCCCTGAATATTCGGCATACTGGCTGCTGAGAATTGGGATCCTACAACATTTGCAGACGCGCAGGTTTTCCTGTTCTATATCTAAGAGGCGGCATTCTTCCTCTCTCAGGAGAGAATGCCTCTTCGATATAGAGGTATTCTCTCTCATGTCTTGCATGCGGTAAGAAAATGCTACTCCTAAGACCAAGGCTATAATATATAATAAACATAAAGGTAAAGGGACCCCTGACCATTAGGTCCAGTCGTGAATGACTCTGGGGTTGCGGCGCTCATCTCGCTTTACTGGCCGAGGGAGCCGGCGTCCAGCTTCCGGGTCATGTGGCCAGCGGGACTAAGCTGCTTCTGGCAAACCAGAGCAGCGCACGGAAACGCCGTTTACCTTCCCGCTGGAGTGGTACCTATTTATCTACTTGCACTTTGTGCTTTCGAACTGCTAGGTTGGCAGGAGCAGGGACTGAGCAACGGGAGCTCACTCCGTCATTGTGGGGATTTGAACCGCCGACCTTCAGATCGGCAAGTCTTGGGCTCTGTGGTTTAACCCACAGCGCCACCCGCGTCCCATAAATTTACATAAATGCAATAAATAAATGGCTCAAGGCTGGAGAGCAGATCCAGTTTTTGGGGACAAAGGGGAATCCCATCGACTGCTTGGTATCGCTTGACAAACTGCCTTTCTGCTAGGATGGGGTGGTAGTGCAGTAGGCAGTGGGGGGAAACCCCGCTATAAATAAGTCAGAAATTAAATTGTTATAACAAAAGAGGGGGGAAAACCGCTATAGAAAACAGCTTAGAAATTTTTTTTGCTCTCTGGCGCCTCCTGGTGTTGCATGTTTATAACGCATTCAAAACGCTGTTTCTTGACTAATGTAGCTGAGTCCAGGGTCAAAATGCCAGCAGCTCTGTCTTGGGACAGACAAAGCCTGGGAAATACCGATCTGCAGCTGCCGGGGCCATGTCCACCTGTAGCCTTATTAGACTTTACCGACTGGTTGGGTCTGCGTTGCTCCCGGACGGGAGGAAGGAAGGGAATCAAATGACACTGAGGTTGATTCAGAGAAAGAGTTTATTCTGCTCTCCAGATAGCAGAAGGCACTTGCATGATCAGTTCCCAGCAAGTCCAAAGAAATGAGAAATTTCATGCAGGCACCCTCTCCCCGCTTCCAACCACGTCAGCTTATACACGTAAGTTGACATCCATGACCATAAACAGATATTCCTGTTCCGGTACTCTTGACCAAAAAAGGTTGTTCCTGTTCCTGTTCCTATACTCTTATCTTGGGGCAGGAAGGTCACCAACTCTAAGAGCTCTCCTGGCGCCGTTCCCGGGTCTCTTGTCAGACCTGACAAGGTCTGTGCATCAGTGTGTAAGATAAGACCCAGACGTGCCATCCCTGCTCCACTCGGAACTGGCAAGGCCATCCATTGCCGTCACGGACTGATAAAGGAGAGGGCTTTGAGCACTTGTTTATACAGCTGTCTTTCTGTTTATACATTGACTCAAGAGCTCAAGTTAATGCATTTTAGAAATGCTCCCTTGGAGAAGGAAAAATGTGGATTTTGGGTCCCGTTTCAGACTGACTGCACAGAAACCCATTCCTTCACCCCCAACTCAGATACCCCCACCCCATCTCTCGGTGCCCTGCATGATAGAAACCCCCGCAAATCTCACCGGATCGGTCTGGTACTCCCGACTGTAGAGCTCGTGGCAGTTGTTGAAGATGTACTCGTACGTGGAGTTGAGGCAGGCCTTCACGCAGTCTTTCACCACCTGGCTGGCTCGCGGGGGACTCTGAAGCTCCTGGACCTGCACGAGACTCGCACTCGTTACCCCTGCCCCGCGGTGGTCGCAAAAACCCAAAACAGGGGAAGCTCAGGTCTCTGGGCAAATCTCAGGCCTCTTCCCCTGCCCTATTACAACGGACGCTCGGGTTGTAGCCTTATTGGAGTTCACCGATTGGGTCTGCGTTGCTCCGGGATAGGAGGAAGGAAGTCAAATGACACCGAGGTTGATTCCAAGAAAGAGTTTATTCTGCTCTCCGGATAGCAGAAGGCACTTGCGTGGTGAGTCCACAGCAAGTCCAAAGAAATGAGAAGTTTCATGCAGTATATATATCCTCCAGGCACCCTCTCCCTCCTTCCCCAGGAGTCCAACCACGTCAGCCTATGTACGCAGGTTGACATCACATATGTTCTTGCTCTGGTATTCTTAACCATAAAAGGGAATTCCTTCCTGTACTTCTGACCATAAAAGGATCTTCTTCTTCCTACTCTTATCTTGGAGGAAGAGGTGTCATTTCCGAGAACGCTTTTGGCGTTGTTCCGGACTTAGGTCTGTGCGTCTTTTGTGGTCAGGACATAAGATAAGGCACAGACGTGTCTTCTCTGTTCTACTGGTGCAGTCAGGGTCATCCCTGCCATCACAAACTGATAAAGGAGAGGGCTCTGAGCACAGCCGGGTTTTTGTTTATACATTGACTCAGAGCTCAAGTTAATGGATTTTAGCCAAGAAAAAATAAGGATTTTGGTGCAGTTTCAAACTGCCTGCACAGTCAGTTTTTGGGTTTGGGAAACCCATTCCTTCAGGGTTGCGAATGTGATCCGAGCGGGATGCATGTTTGCAACCTGCAGCGGCGCATCTGCGCACGTGTGGGTTGCGATTCGGCGCTTCTGCGCATGCGCAAAGTGCAATCTAGCGCTTCTGTGCATGCACGACCCCCGAAACCCGGAAGTAACCCGTTCCGGTACTTCCGGGTTTCACTGGGCCCATAACCCGAAGAAACGCAACCTGAAGCGTCTGTGACCCGAGGTATAACTGTACTTGGAAATGCCGTTTCGGACCGAAACTGGGTCCTCCTGCATCCGAGGCAGACCACGGGATTGTAGAGTCAGTAGGAACCCCAGCGGTCATCTAGTCCAACCCGCTGCCATGCCACTGAGCCGCACAGCTCTTCCCCCCGAACTCAGCAGCGGCGCTGGGAAACGCAGACAAGTGCTCAGCTCCTTGTGGTTATTACCTTCATCCGGAAAAAAGTGATGCTGGTCAGGAGATCCACCGTCGATTTGAGGTCCTGCAGCCGCTCTGGGCTGCTGGCAGGGAAGTTATTCTGCCGGGGAGGAAAGCAGAGAGAGGGCATAGGTCATTCCCCGCCTTTTTGCACTTCTAAACGTAAGTGAACAACGCCCCACCCGGAGCCCCTTTTGCCAGTTTGCATTTCTTAGTTCAGAAAGTATTGCTCTCTCCTATGCTACTCAGTTCAAGAGGGTTCTGGGAGCTTCTCTGCGTGAAACGAGCAGAAGGTTCGTGGTGTTTGGGTTATTCCTTCCGAGAAGCTGAGTACAGCTGGCTTAAACTGTACTCTTTCTGTATCTCTTTCTGTCAAGGTCACGCTGGCTATAAAAAATAAAGTCAAACCTCGGATCCCAAATGCCTCTGTTTTGGAACGTTTCGGCTCCCGAACGTCAAAAACCCAGAAGTAAATGCTCCGGTTTTCGAACGTCTTTCGGAAGCCGAACGCGCTTCCGGAATGGATTACGTTCGACAACCGAGGTTTGACTGTAGGGCCAGAAAGAGCGTGGGTTTCATTTTCTCTATCGATCTCTTTTCCTGTTGTTGTGGTGTCCTGTTCATTGTATCCTTAGTGTTAAGGTTTAAATTTATTTTATATATATATATATATATATATATATATATATATATATATATATATATAATTGGTTTTACATATAATCACATTACGTAACCTCACATCCTTTTCTTTTATCTCTTTTGGCTCTTTTATCTCTTCCCTCTTTCCCGTCTAATGGGTTACAAAATTAAACTTTGCATCATTACATTTCCTTTCCTATCCTTTCCATTTCCTAAAATATTAAATTACTCAACCTGAATAGGAAGCAATTTCATCTTACAAATCTTCAGATAACCTTGCTAGTGGTGTTTCACGTTCTCTTTCGCTCTCTCTTCCTTCTGGTGTCCTCTATTTCCTAAATAACTCGTAGGAAAGATCTGCCTGGTCCAGCCTCACGTTTCTCACATTGCATAACCAGATATTACATCTGGAGATTGCAGAAACTACAAGTGAAAGAGTTTTGGAGCCTGAGCTCGCTCGGTTTCCTCTTCCCTCCTCATTCCTCTTTCCTTTTGTGTCGTCTGCTTGGCCTCTGTTATTTTCTCCTACTGATAGGGAACCCGCTTAAGAATTCCAGACGGGCTCTTGGATACCCCATAAGGAAGTGTTTTAAGTTTTTACTCTGTCGGAGTTCTGCTCCGGATCAACACCGAGCAGAATTCCACGGTACCTTTCTGAATCACAAGCAGTTCACACCCGCAGACGTACCCGGTACATAGAGAGATCGATCCGTAGGGAGTTGTGCAGCTGATCCAAAAGTTTGACAAACCGTTCTTTCTGCAAAAAGAGACAGGCCCCAAAAGCAGGTAAATGAAGTCACAGAAGGCACAGCGCTACCACCCCCCTGGCCCCACAAAAATAAACCTCCCACCCTATCCTTCCGTACTTGTTTCAACCCCTCCTCCCTACCCACCCACCCCCAACCCTCTCCATTAGGGAAATCCTGGCTTTTATTACTTATTTTTTGGAGAGAGAGAGAGAGAGAAAATGTGCAAGCACCTTGGGGCAGGGACCTTTCACTGGGATGGAAAGCTAAGCACCTTCCTTATTGGAGCAATTTATGCTGAGCCAAAACCTTGCTTCCTGGAGGGTAGAATTCAGATCACCCATTGATTCTCCCCTGGGTGTCAGTCTGCAAACGGTTTAAACCCCCCTCCTGATCTATTTCACCTCTGTTTGCTTGCTTTCCTCAAAGGGGGGCAGGCAGTACCCTAGACTTGGCGGGGGGGAGGATAATTCTCGTGGCTGAGGAAGAGCTTTCAGAAATTCTGTCCTTTAAACAGCACCCCCAGCCCACTTCTTCTGTTTTCAAAGGGGTCCCCTTTGAAGCGGCTGCAACAGGGGGTCTTTTTTTCTTCCTGCTGAGAGTTCACGCTTGGAGCCAGCAGTTGCTGAACTCCTGGGCTTAACACCTTCGGGGCAAGCACCTGATTTAGAGAAACTGCAATTCCTTCACCCAGGGAAACCCAAACACTGTCCCTGCTTGCTTTGCTTCTGTGCGTGCGAGCAAGAGTGGGCCATACCTCTCCACTTATCTCAGCCTTCCTCAACCGGTGGGTCCCCTGATGTTGTTGAACTACAACTCCCACCCCCCCTAGCTAGCAAGGCCAGAGCTCAGGGATGATGGGAGTTGTAGTCCGACAACATCTGGGGACCCACAGGTGGAGAACCGCTGAGCTAAGAGGACAGAGGGGAAGCTCTTCCATAAGCCAGGCTTCCTCAAGCTCGGCCCTCCAGATGTTTCGAGACTACAACTCCCATCATCCCTGACCACTGGTCCTGCTAGCAAGGGATCATGGGAGTTGTAATCCAACAACATCTGGTTGAGGAAGCCTGGTGTAAACTGAGCTTAAGGCAGCCTTTCTCAACCTGCAGGTCCCCAGATGTTGTTGAACTACAACTCCCATCACCCCTAGCTAGCAAGGCCAGAGCTCAGGGATGATGGGAGTTGTAGTCCGACAACATCTGGGGACCCACAGGTGGAGAACCGCTGAGCTAAGAGGACAGAGGGGAAGCTCTTCCATAAGCCAGGCTTCCTCAAGCTTGGCCCTCCAGATGTTTTGAGACTACAACTCCCATCATCCCGGACCGCTGGTCCTGCTAGCAAGGGATCATGGGAGTTGTAGGCCAAAAACATCTGGTTGAGAACGGCTGACTTATCTGGTCCCAGAGATGCAATTGTGACATTGTGTCATCACCTTTACTCCAGAAGAGGGTATTTTTTTTGGGGGGGGGGAAGCCCATGTTTTTGACCCACGCAGGAAACAGAGATTGACCTGAGCTATGTGCCCATGACATTTCCACCAAGATATCCCCCCTCCCCACCACCAAAGACTCTTAGCGAAGCGGGAGGGGACGAAGGACTCAGCGTTTGTGCGACATGGCATGCAGACAGCGAGAACAGTCCTTTAGGAGGAGGTCAGCCCCCCTCACCCCACCGAGCGACCCCCCCAAATCTCCACCCACCCACCCAATTAAGCTAAGTCCCCCTACCCCACTATCTGCCTGACACCTGCTCTCCATGCCACCCCAAACCCATATCTATGACTCCCCACTCGGTTGCTTCCCTGTTTCTTAATAACGCCGTGCATGCGCTCCTATGCGCAGCGCGAAAGGCAGGGGCGCCACAGGCAAAAAAGGAAGCGTTGTGGGGCCCGGTGGAGAGGGCATCTCTCCCACCCACCCCAAACGCTGCACGCCGATATTAAGAAACGGATGTCAGGCCTGTTGTCACGACAAGTGGTTGTGCGCAGTTGCAGGGAATGTGTATTGGGTGCCTACAAGTGCATGGGCAATTTATCTGGAAGATGAATGGTATTTCGGAAGTTGGTGATCTGGCACGGTTCTTGACCCTTGTTAAATTCTTTGACGGCATGAAGAACAGCCGAATCAGTTGGGAAGGAGTGCTAGCGCTGGGGACCTTCTTTGATGTTGGACATTGCTTTTTTTAATAATAATAATAATAATGGGACGTGGGTGGCGCTGTGTGTTAAACCACAGAGCCTAGGACTTGCCGATCAGAAGGTCGGCGGTTCGAATCCCCGCGACGGGGTGAGCTCTCGTTGCTCGGTCCCTGCTCCTGCCAACCTAGCAGTTCTAATTTCACCGCAGTGGACAGTGAGCTGTGGAAGATGAACTGCAGGGAATAGGAACAGTTTTGCAATGTGACGAATGGGACTTCTCCTAACATCCGTAGTCCAGAACAGGAGACAGACCTTTGCAAGTCAAGCTGTCATTGTAACCCTTGTTTATTCATTGGGATGAACCCTACTATAAGGCATAAGGCTCATTGAGATCAATGGGCTTAAAGGAATCATGCCCTTGATTTTGGTGGGTTGTAGTCCTCACTTGGGACGCGGGTGGCACTGTGGGTTAAACCACAGAGCCCAGGGCTTGCCGATCAGAAGGTCGGCGGTTTGAATCCCCGCGATGGAGTGAGCTCCCTTTGCTCGGTCCCTGCTCCTGCCAACCTAGCAGTTCGAAAGCACGTCAAAGTGCAAGTAGATAAACAGGTACCCCTCCGGCGGGAAGGTAAACGGCATTTCCATGCGCTGCTCTGGTTTGCCAGAAGCGACATGACCTGGCCACATGACCTGGAAGCTGGACGCCGGCTCCCTCAGCCAGTAAAGCGAGATGAGCGCAGCAACCCCAGAGTCGGCCATGACTGGACCTAATGGTCAGGGGTCCCTTTACACATTCTGGTCCACTGAGTGGGGTTAATCTCATAGCCTATATCGTCCTCCCATTGTTTTTTGATTACGTCTGGGGGACGGACACACATGGTCAACAAAGCCACGCCTTCCTTGGATGATGTGGAAGGAGCTGTCCAGTCCTCTGGTGCTGAAGTGAGAAGCAATTGCCTGCCATGTTGGTACTGTGCGCTGTCCGGTTGACCGGTGCTGAAGCAAAGTTCAGCCTGTGAACTGTGCAGTCTCCCCAGGGCTAAAGGGACACCCAGTTGCGTACGTGTAAGAAGGGAAGCAACACACTAACCTTGCCTATCGCCCCAGTTAGCAAAATGTCTTTGGCTGGCCTCCAAGATCTGCCGTCCACCCCCAAACACAGAACAACCAAACACCCCTCCGCTACCCACTATCTCTGCTCCCCCCTCCACCTCTAGCTGAGCCCTCCTTTCCCCTCAACCCGCCCACCCCCTACCCCACTCCACCCCCACCCCCTACATCTCCCTTGACCGCTAAGGTTGCGAGAGACAACGAAAAAGCAATCCTTGCAACAAAAAGAACACGGTTGCGCATCCGCCACAACACAGCCTCCGTAGCACCCCTTAGCACCGGCACACAGAGGGTTAAAGCGACACAGTCTGGTTTTTTGGGGGGAGAGGGAAAACGCCCAAATTTTAGGCTCTCTCTGAGAGGGAAAAAGAAGAAAGAAAGAAACACGGTTTGTACAAAGCCTAACATTTGATTTCTATCAAAATGATCTTTTTTTTTTTCTTTTCTTTTCGAAGCCGCGATGGAGAGAAAACGAGAGACCAAGAAAACAAAGACAGTCCTGTCGAGGGCTAAACACATCCCTAACCGCAAAACAGAATTGGTTTTATACAGAAGCAGAGCCGGAGGCTTGTTCACACACACATTGCGGTGGCAGTCGGTAAATCAGACATTCCCCAGACATAAACTTCGCCCGTGTTTGTGCAATGTTTTGCCGTTTCGTTTTTGCAATCAGTCGCCTTTGACAAACCAGGCAGGGCTGTTGTTCTTGGCCTTCAGAATTGGGTTGGGTGCAAACCTCCCTCTTTCTCCACAGCCCTGATTTCTGTTAACGTGTTGAGGCCCCATGGCCTCAACCACAGACCCCCAGTTTTGCTGCGTGAACAAGCCTCCGGCCGTCGACTTTTGGAAAATGCACAGAGAAGAGAAAAAACCTGTTTTCAAAAACTCCTGTTAAGTTAAAACGGCGTGGCAGAGTCGTCGGGAAAGGGGCTCAATGTACAAGGTCACTTCCCTCAGCGCAGCTGATATGCGCCTAGCTGAGATTCCCACACTCTCCCTGCACATCAGAACTGAAATCCACGTTGCTGCTGGTCTATGTGTCCCTGTTGCCAATAGGACCATAGCTGTCAACTTTTCCCTTTTTTAAAGGGAAATTCCCTTTTTCCGAATAGGATTCCTCGCAGGAAAAGTTGACAGCTATGATGTGGGCTTCCCTGCCTCTGACACAACACCATGGGGTTTTGTAGTCTTCAAGCTGCACCAGCGCATGCTGGGCAAAGACCACAAAGACCGCATGCAGTGAGAGTGCGAGAGAAGTGAACACCTACCTGCCTCATATCTGCAATTCAATCCACTCGGCCGCCTGCCTTTTTGTGTTTTAAGAATGTAAGAATATCAGAAGAGCCTGGGGCCTGCCTAGTCTCACAGTGACCAACTAGATGCCCCCAGGAAACCAGAAACAGGATTTGAACCCAAGACCAACTCTCCCCTCCTGCGATTTCCAGCTGCTGGTTTTCAGAAGCACCCCAACTGTTGGCGCAGAGCTATGATCATGGCTAGCCGCCATCGATTGCCCTCTCCTCCACGAATTTGGCCAATTCTCTTTTAAAGCCATCTAAGAATAGAGGGCCTCACAGCCTCCTCTGTGTATGGGATGTGATACATAGATAGCAGTCAAGTACAACATATAGGGATGCAGGTGGTGCTGTGGGTTAAACCACAGAGCCTAGGACTTGCCGATCAGAAGGTCAGCGGTTCGAATCCCTGTGACGATGGGGTGAGCTCCCGTTGCTCAGTCCCTGCTCCTGCCAACCTAGCAGTTCGAAAGCACGTCAGAGTGCAAGTAGATAAATAGGTACCGCTCCGGCGGGAAGGTAAACGGCGTTTCCGTGCGCTGCTCTGGTTCGCTAGAAGCGGCTTAGTCATGCTGGCCACATGACCCGGAAGCTGGACGCCGGCTCCCTCGGCCAGTAAAGCGAGATGAGTGCCGCAACCCCAGAGTCGGCCATGACTGGACCTAATGGTCAGGGGTCCCTTTACCTTTAAGAATAGAGGGCATCACAGCCTCTTGTCTGTGGGATGTGATACATAGATAGCAGTCAAGCACAACATTCCTAGAGCGGACATGAAAGGGGATGTTTCCTCCAGCCCATCAGAACTTCCTGTTTCCTCCTGGGCTGGGGCAAACTTCCTTTGCATGTGAAACGACAGAACTGAGACACAGTCATCCTTCAAAAAATTCACGTTCATCTGAATTTTCCAATACAGTTCTCCAAATAAATGGTGTTTACCAAAATGCATTTATTGAGTGGAGAAGTGTGCCTAAATAAATAATAATAATAATAATAATAATAATAATAATAATAATAATAATAATAATAATTTATTATTTATACCCTACCCATCTGGCTGGGCTTCCCCAGCCACTCTGGGCGGCTTCCAAAAAAATATTAAAATACTGTAATACATCAAACATTAAAAGCTTCCCTAAACAGGGCTGCCTTCAGATGTCTTCTAAAAGTCTGGTAGTTGTTGTTCTCTTTGATATTTGGTGGGAGGGCGTTCCACAGGGTGGGTGCCACCACCTAGAAGGCCCTCTGCCTGGTTCCCTGTAACTTGGCCTCTCGCAGCGAGGGAACCGCCAGAAGGCCCTCGGAGCTGGACCTCAGTGTCCAGGCTGGACAATGGGGGTGGAGACACTCCTTCAGGTATACTGGACCGAGGCCATTTAGGGCTTCAAAGGTCAGCACCAACACTTTGAATTGTGCTCGAAAATGGTGTACAAATATGCATTACACTAGGGAAAATTGCTTGCACGTTTGTGTTGGCTGACTAACGTGTATGCTAGCAAAAGGTTGTTCAATGAGGGGGGTGGGAAATATATTTCATAGAATCATAGAATCATAGAGTTGGAAGAGACCACAAGGGCCATCGAGTCCAACCCCCTGCCAAGCAGGAAACATCATCAGAGCACTCCTGACATATGGCTGTCAAGCCTCTGCTTAAAGACCTCCAAAGAAGGAGACTCCACCACACTCCTTGGCAGCAAATTCCACTGTCAAACAGCTCTTACTGTCAGGAAGTTCTTCCTAATGTTGAGGTGGAATCTTCTTTCTTGTAGTTTGGATCCATTGCTCCGTGTCCGCTTCTCTGGAGCAGCAGAAAACAACCTTTCTCCCTGCTCTAAGTGACATCCTTTTATATATTTGAACATGGCTATCATATCACCCCTTAACCTCCTCTTCTCCAGGCTAAACATGCCCAGCTCCCTTAGCCGTTCCTCATAAGGCATCGTTTCCAGGCCTTTGACCATTTTGGTTGCCCTCCTCTGGACACGTTATTTAAGTGAGAGCGGGCGCATCAGCATGAGCGGTAACTGAGGCGCCGAGCTCGCCGCAAATTTCCAGCATCCCAGTAGATTCCCCTTCCCCTTCAACTTTAACTTTCTGCCCTCCAAACTTTTCCTCTGCTCCCGAACCAGTTGCAACCCAGAACGTGGTTCGGCAACCTGACCCCCGGACTGGATTCCCTTCTGACTGCTGGACAGCTCCCCACCTACTGTATTTTTCGCTCTATAGGACGCACCTTTCCCCCTCCAAAAATTAAGGGGAAATGTGTGTGCGTCGTATGGAGCGAATGCAGGCTGCTTGGCTTCAGCGATAGCAACACGAAGCCTCCCTCCGCACTCCGGAGGCTACACGTTGCTTTCGCTGAAGCCTGGAGAGGGAGAGGGGTCTGTGCGCACCGACCCCTCTCGCTCTCCAGGCTTCAGAGATAGCCGCCTGAAGCCTTTGGAGCGCAGCGGGAACTCGCGCTGCGTTCCAAAGGCTTCGGGTTCCTTTAGCTGAAGCCGGGAGAGCAAGACTCTCCTGGCTTCAGCAGAGAGGGAGAGCTGCGCAGCGCCCCTTCGGCGAAGCGGGAGGAGAAATGGAAGGGGCTCCGTTTCTCCTGCCGCTTCGCTGAAGGGGCGCTGAGCAGAGAGGGGGAGAATTTTTTTTCTTGTTCTCCTTCTCTAAAACAAGGTGCGTCCTATGGTCGGGTGCGTCCTATAGAGCGAAAAATACGGTCTCTGGTGTGAAAGCTCAATTTCTCCATCATGCTTTCCAAGATAAGGCTCAAAATGTCTCCCTAGCACAGCGCTTCACTAAGTATCCCTTCTGAGTCTTAGCAGGCGACAGTAGTTGCACTGGGGGAAATGATCTCAAGATCGGCACCTTTCCAGACTTTGCCACGCCTTTCCCGCAAGGCACAAACCATCGCCTTCCTGTAGCATTCCTGACTTAGTCGTCGTCTTCGTAAATCTATATATCAACATTTTGAGGCCGGGGATGAACTGCCTCGCTCATAACAAAAGCCAGGAATTCTATGAACATGAAAATCGGAGTTGCTTCAGCCCCAGAGGGAAGCAAGGAGATATTTCAGACGTCGCTCCTTGATTTGTGGAAATTATTATTTCACATTTATCTTATAAGCTTTCTTCCATCGTGGAACGCAAGATGGTGTACATTAAGTCCTCAGACAATCTCTCATCTGGGGTCTCGCATGTGTGGTGTGGGATTATGATAGGGTTGCCATGTTTTGAAGAGCGAAAAAGAGGACACATTTTCTGACTTCTACTTTAAACTAAGGGTCGCTGTTGTGACAACTCTCCTTTTAAATACCCCTCCTACATGTAGGGGGACACGGGTGGCGCTGTGAGTTAAACCACAGAGCCTAGGGCTTGCCAATCAGAAGGTCGGCAGTTCGAATCCCCGCAATGACGGGGTGAGCTCCCGTTGCTCGGTCCCTGCTCCTGCCAACCTAGCAGTTCGAAAGCACCTCAAAGTGCAAGTAGATAAATAGGTACCGCTCTGGCAGGAAGGTAAATGGTGTTTCTGTGCGCTGCTCTGGTTCGCCAGAAGCGGCTTAGTCCTGCTGGCCACATGACCACATGGTCTAAACCATGGAGCCTCTTGGGCTTGCCGATCGGAAGGTCGGCGGTTTGATGGTCATTTGTGGACCTTAAGGTCCTCCGCGGGGCATACCAGGAGAGGCGGTCTCGTAGGTACGTGGGTCCTAGGCTGTATATGTCAGCAAGACCTGAAGAGGGCATGTCCTGGAAAAGGAGGACATATGGCAACCCTAGATTGTGGCCACCTCCACCTTTGTCCACTCCCACCATTGGTGTGTGGCCTCTGAACGGTGTCATCTTGTAGCCTTATTAGACTTTACTGATTGGTGGGCTCTGCGTTGCTCCCAGTTGGGAGGAAGAAAGTCAAATGACACCGAGGGCTGGTTCAGAGAAAGAGTTCTTTATTTCTGCTCTCTGGAGCAGCAGAAAGGCACTTGCGTGGTCAGTCCACAGCAAGTCCAAAGAAATGAGAAATTTCGTGCAGTATATATATCCTCCAGGCACCCTCTCCCCCTTCCCCAGGAATCCAACCACGTCAGCCTATGTATGCAGGTTGACATCACATATGTTCCTGCTCCGGCACTCTTAACCATAAAAGGGTTTTCCTTCCTGTACTCCTGACCATAAAAGGGTATTCCTGTTCCTACTCTTATCTTGGAGCAAGAGGTCACCATCTCCAACAACACACTCTGGCTCTGTTCCCAGACTAGGTCTGTGCGTCAGAGTGTGTCCAGGACGTAAGAGAAGACCTAGACGTGTCATCCCTGTTCTACTGGAACAGTCAAGGCCATCCTTGCCGTCATGAACTGATAAAGGAGAGGGCTCTGAGCACTTGTTTATACATCTGGGTTTTTGTTTATACATTGACTCAGAGCTCAAGTTAAGGAAAAATAGGGATTTTGGTGCCTGTTTCAAACTGCCTGCACAGTCAGTTTTAGGTTTGGGAAACCCATTCCTTCAATCTTTCGGTTGAGGCTACCTCGTTGGGTTAATCGCGCAGTTCACGAGGGGAGAGGAAACATGTACACAATCCTGAGCTCCTTCGAGGAAGGCACGGCGATATATTTAGAAATGAACAGCATTCCTAATAACTCGAGCGCCTTAGGTCGACTAAGCCAGGAAGCCTCGATCCGGTTGCAGGCTGTGACCACTTCTACAGAGGACCCCAACAAAAAAAGTCGCCGCAGAACAGGCCGGGTCACATTCCCTACAATTTGCCTCTTATTAAATTATATTAATTTAGCAGAGTTGAAATTAGACCATGTTTCCCAATCATACTGGCCGGCTCCCAGTCGCACTGCATCATGGTTTTGGTAGCCCCTTGTCTTGCGTGCCCTTTCTCCTCTAGTTCTTCCCCATTGGGTTTCTGGCCGCTTTTGGACTACAGTCCCCATCATCCCTGACCACTGGTCCCGCTAGCTAGGGGTGATGGGAGTTGTAGTCCGACAGCGACTGCTGGAGAAACCCTGTGATTACCGTATTTTTTGCTCTATAAGACTCACTTTTTCCCTCCCAAAAAGTAAGGGGAAATGTGTGTGCGTCTTATGGAGCGAATGCAGGCTGCGCATCTATCCCAGAAGCCAGAACAGCAAGAGGGATCGCTGCTTTCACTGCGCAGCAATCCCTCTTGCTGTTCTGGCTTCTGAGATTCAGAATATTTTTTCCTTGTTTTCCTCCTCCAAAAACTAGGTGCGTCTCGTGGTCTGGTGCATCTTATAGAGCGAAAAATACGGTATAAGGTCGCAAAGCAAAGCCAGTGCTAAAATGCCGTTGCTGATTCCTGGTCTGCAAAAACTGTCGCAGCGTTTCATGGGGAAGAGGAACAGCCGGTGCTTCTTCTTTTGCCGAATTTCGGACTCTGCAGCGATGGTTTTTTTTTGGTAGGGTCCTCTCTACCGCCATGCACCCCCCTCCCCCCAGGGGAAAAAGGAGAGAGTAAAAGTAAGAAATGAGTGTTCTACGCACCATCGGACTTACCCCGAAATTGGACGCGGCAAAACGGTCAGAGGCAGAGACGTTGGTAGAGGCAGTTGTATGAGCGTAATAAGCGTTGATGTTGGCCAACAGAGTGCTCATGACTGCTGGCACCCCGGGGCACATATATTTCGAAGACAGGCAGGCAAAATGCCTGGAAGAAAATGAAAACAAGGAAAAGAGGAGGGGGAAACACAGTCAACGCAACTCGGGATTTAGGAAAGCAGCCTGAAACCTTGCGTTTGGCCCCAGGGAAAGACAGCTGCGACAGAGAAAATGGGACATAACCCGAGATTTCGACAGGGACTATTATTATTATAGAAGGAGCGTCTCCACCCCCATCGTCCAGCCCGGACACTGAGGTCCAGCTCCGAGGGCCTTCTGGTGGTTCCCTCACTGCGAGAAGCGGGGTCGCAGGGAACCAGGCAGAGGGCCTTCTTGGTGGTGGCGCCTGCCCTGTGGAACGCCCTCCCACCAGATGTCAAGGAGATAAACAACTACCTGACTTTTAGAAGACATCTGAAGGCAGCCCTGTTTAAGGAAGCTTTTAATGTTTAACAGACCACTGTATTTTAATACTTTGTTGGAAGCCACCCAGAGTGGCTGGGGAGACCCAGCCAGATGGGCGGGGTATAAATAAATAATAATAATAATAATAATATTACATTTATGTACCGCCCTATACTTGCAGGTCTCAGGGCAGTCAACAACATAAAATCAGAATATTAAAACACAAAATACAGAAGGAGGAGGAGGAGGAAGCCCTCTGCTTGGTTCACTGTAACTTCACTTGTTGTTTATTTCCTTGACTTCTGATGGGAGGGCGTTCCACAGGACGGGTGCCACCACCAAGAAGGCCCTCTGCCTGGTTCCCTGTAAACTCACTTCTTGCAGGGAGAGAACCGCCAGAAGGCCCTCAGAGACCTAGAAGACCTACACAGGTATCCCTGAAGGAGCGTCTCCACCCCCATCGTTCTGCCCGGACACTGAGACCCAGCTCCGAGGGCCTTCTGACTGTTTCCTCACTGTGAGAAGCGAGGTTACAGGGAATCAGGCAGAGGGCCTTCTCGGTGGTGGCGCCCGCCCTGTGGAAAGCTCTCCCGCCAGATGTCAGGGAGATAAACAACTAAATGACTTTTAGAAGATATCTGTAGGCAGCCCTGTTTAGGGAGGTTTTTAATGTTTGATGTTTTATCGTGTTTTTAATACTCTGTTGGGAGCTGCCCTGAGTGGCTGGGGAAACCCAGCCTGATGGGCGGGGTAAAATAAATAAGTTATTATTATTATTATTATTCTTCCCACAGAGACTCACGTCATGGCCTGATAGATGGACTCCACTCCATATCTCATAGCAAACTCGTCCACAATCTCTTGGGCAGTTTCGTCGAAGTACACTTTCCACGCGTCGTCGCCCTTCGCCTCGGGTATCTTCACCACGCCGTTGTTTTGGATGTCCGTCACGAAATGGAATAGGTTCTAACGAGACATTGAGAGAGGCGGGGTGGATGGGTTAAAATTAAAACAGAAAAGTCATGTATCTATGGAGGAGGCTATACTACAAACAGTCCCACTTATAAACGCCATCTCCAACTCCTCAGAAAATTCCATCAACGGTGCCTCTGAAAATTTTTACACATCACTTGGGAAGACAGGTGAACTAATGCCAGTGTACTGGAAGAAGCAAAGATCACCAGTGTCGAAGCAACATCAACTTCGTTGGACTGGTCATGTGCGAATGCCTGATTATTGTCTTCCAAAGCAACTACTCTATTCCAAACTTAAAAATGGAAAGCGTAATGCTGGTGGGTCAACAAAAGAGGTTCAAAGACTCTCTTAAGGCAAAACTTAAAATTGTAGCATAGACACCAACAACTGGGAAACACTGGCCTGTGAGCGCTTCAGTTGGAGAACAGCCTTTACCAAATGTGTCCTGGGCTTTGAAGACACTCGAACTCAGGACGCAAGGGAGAAACGTGCTAAGAGGAAGGCACGCTTGGCAAATTCACACCGTGATCAACTCCCGCCCGGAAACCTCTGTCCCCACTGTGGAAGGACGTGTGGATCCAGAATTGGCCTCCACAGTAACTTACGGACTCACTGTGAAAACTGTGTTTATGGAAGACAATCTTAACTTGGCTACGAGGGATCATCAAAGAAGACAACAACCAGAAACAGTATACAGTGGTACCTCGGGTTAAGAACTAAATTCATTCCGGAGGTCCGTTCTTAACCTGAAACTGTTCTTAACCTGAAGCACCACTTTAGCTGATGGGGCCTCCTGCTGCTGCGCCGCCACCGGAGCACGATTTCTGTTCTCATCCTGAAGCAAAGTTCTTAACCCGAGGTACTATTTCTGGGTTAGCGGAGTCTGTAACCTGAAGTATCTGTAACCTGAAGCGTATGTAAGCCGAGGTACCACCGTATAGGGATGACAACTGAAGCTTGCAATATTACCCAGCTTAATGGGTTGTCATACGTCCAGATTTTCCCAGACATTTCAGCGATTTTCCGGCCGGACACTGTTTCCGACGGCCAAACGAAAACATCAGCCCTGTCTTCTGGACTAATTCAGGACCCAATTCCAGGGAGGGGAAGGTTTTTCTGCACTTTGGGTCCAGGAAAGGACAACACACACCCACACACCCCTGGCAGATTACAGAGGGCCTGTGCAAAGCACTGGTTCCTAGCTGCGTGGGTGTGGATCTGTCCCAGAACAGCACGGGCATCAAGGCCTCGTGTACCCTACTTACCTCATGTAGGCAGGTGTATTGCACATGATACGGCGCCACTTTCTCCTCGCCTTTGATCTCCACACTGATGTGCAGCCGGATCGCCCCAGAGACGGCCGATTTGTCCGTCCGCTTATCTGAAACAGTCCAGGGGAGAATTTGGTAGCAGGCATCGTGTCTGGAGAAAGGTCAGTTATGTCGCGCAGGTGTGCAGAGAACGAGTTGCCTGATAATGATGGCTTTCAGGCAAAATTTCTACGATCTCTGCTGCAGGTACCCAACTGTGTCCCCAACTCCATACTTCTGTTAGAAGCTGGTGAATACCCAATTTCAACCAAAGCGTGGTGGGCTGCCCTAAAACATGGGCTCAGGATTTCAGGGTTTGATCTAGGGAAGGGTTTGTACCAACACCTGACCAGCAAATGGCAGAAAACCATGGCTAAAAAAGCCACCTCTATTGGTCTGTCACCCCCCCCCCAACTCTATTACCTGGGTTATGAAGGCACCCTAAAGACGTTAAAGCAAAGATTATGGGATAATGCACACAGTGACTTGCGATCTCGATCACACGCAGTCTGTAGTCCGCTGGCAGTAGGAGTACAATACCCCCAGGGTCTTGGGACTCAACAGTTCAGGGGACTGCCCCTGCCGCCTTCGCAGTCGCTTACCCAAATTGTACCAGACGTCCATCTCCCCGCTCAACGTCCGCACCTCGATGATCGTCTGGCCCAGGAAGTCGTCGGATTCCCTCTTAAAGCGCTGCTTCACCCTAGACTTGATGTCGTCGTCTTCGTCCCAGACACGCACCTTGATTCGATCGGAGGAGTTATGGCATTCACTGTTGTTGCGGGAGAAGAAGGGAATGTCACGAACGAGAGCTGTTTGAGATCTTCAGCTCGCAGGGCTACGGTTCCCGGAGTCCCCCCCGCAAAACTTATTCTCCGGGGAGATCACGGTGGGGTGTGTGGTTCTTCCCCACCCCTCCGTGGCTTTACGCCCCACAATAACCCTGCAAGGTAAAGGTAAAGGGACCCCTGACCATTAGGCCAGAGCAGCGCATGGAAACGCCGTTTTCCTTCCCGCTGGAGTGGTACCTATTTATCTACTTGCACTTTGTGCTTTCGAACTGCTAGGTGGGCAGGAGCTGGGACCGAGCAACGGGAGCTCACCCTTTCGCAGGGATTCGAACCGCCGACCTTCTGATCGGCAAGTCCTAGGCTCTGTGGTTTAACAACACAGCGCCACCCGCATCCCTAACCCTGCGAGGTAGGTCAGGCTAAAGGACAGTGCCTGCCCCAAGACTGCCCAGTGAGCTTTGTGGCCAAGTGAAGATTTGAACCCTGGTCTCCAGGTCCTAAGGGACGCGGGTGGCGCTGTGGGTAAAACCTCAGTGCCTAGGACTTGCCGATAGTATGGTCAGCGGTTCGAATCCCTGCAATGACGGGGTGAGCTCCCGTTGCTCAGTCTCTGCTCCTGCCCACCTAGCAGTTCGAAAGCACCTCAGAGTGCAAGTAGATAAATAGGTACCGCTCTGGCGGGAAGGTTCAAGTTCAAGTTTATTGCGGCCAAAGCCAGTGACACTAAACACCATAAGATCAGACAACAGTGGCGGGAAGGTAAACGGGGTTTCCGTGCGCTGCTCTGGTTCGCCAGAAGCGGCTTAGTCATGCTGGCCACATTACCCGAAAGCTGTACGCCGGCTCCCTCAGCCAATAAAGCGAGATGAGCGCCGCAACCACAGAGTTGGCCACAACTGGACCTAATGGTCAGGCGTCCCTTTACCTTTTACCTCCAGGTCCTAGTCTGACGCTCTAACCACTTTGCCACACTGGGTGAAAGGTTCATCTCTTGCTGCATCTAACTGAGCGATCTCCAAACTTCCACTGACTGATAGACCTTTTGAAAATTGCTGACAGTCTCAGTGGACCAGCTAGATGCTGTCTGGATCTTCATGGCATTTTCTGTTGCTTCTTTTATTTCTTATATTGCATCACATCCTGCATGCCATAGAAGCCTAATTAATTTGAACTGTAAGCATGGGCTCCTTGAATGAAGCCTGTGGACCTGCCGGCAGTCTACGGACTGCAGTTTGGGAACCCCAGATTTGCTATATGATTTGCTATATGATTTGCTATATGGTAGAGACGAGACCTTTGCCAACAAAGGTCCGTATAGTTCAAGCTATGGTTTTCCCCGTAGTGATGTATGGAAGTGAGAGCTGGACCGTAAAGAAGGCTGATCACCAAAGAATGGATGCTTTTGAATTCTGGTGCTGGAGGAGACTCTTGAGAGTCCCATGGACTGCAAGAAGATCAAACCTCTCCATTCTGAAGGAAATCAGCCCTGAGTGCTCACTGGAAGGACAGATCCTGAAGCTGAGGCTCCAAGACTTTGGCCATCTCAGGAGAAGAGAAGACTCCCTGGAAAAGACCCTGATGTTGGGAAAGATGGAGGGCACAAGGCGAAGGGGACGACAGAGGACGAGATGGTGGGACAGTGTTCTCGAAGCTACGAACATGAGTTTGACCAAACTGCGGGAGGCAGTGGAAGACAGGAGGGCCTGGCGTGCTCTGGTCCAGGGGGTCACAAAGAGGCGGACACGACTAAACGACTACACAACAACAATAACAGAGATGAGGACCCCGGGATATCAACTCACAAGTGGAAGTTCTCCTCCCAGATCGGGTTCAGGTTGCCGTAGATGGTTTTGGTCCTCTTTTTCGTCTTCCCGACCTGGACGGTGACGTACGGGTCGCTGGACCCGGTCTTGTCCTTCGCCTGCAGCCCTTGCGCGCAAACCACTGGTCGAGCGATCCCATGCGCAGCCGAGTGCCGTTTCAATGGGTTTCATGCGCACCCACGGCCGGGGGTGACCCCCCAAAAAACAGCCACAAAACACAAAGAGAGAAAAATGAGGGTGGAAACAACAATAATAATTTATTATTTATACCCCACCCAACTGGCTGAGTTTCCCCAGCCACTCTGGGCGGCTCCCAATCAAGTGTTAAAAACAGTATAGCATTAAATATTAAAAACTTCCCTGAACAGGGCTGCCTTCAGATGTCTTTTAAAGATAAGATAGCTGCTTATTTCCTTCACATCTGAAGGGAGAGTGTTCCACAGGGTGGGCGCCACCACCGAGAAGGCCCTCTGTCTGGTTCCCTGTAACCTCACTTCTCGCAATGATGGAACAGCCAGAAGGCCCTCGGAGATGGACCCAGGTGTCTGGGCAGAATGATAGGGGTGGAGACGCTCCTTCAGGTATACTGGACCGAGGCCGTTTAGGGCTTTCAAGGTCAGCACCAACACTTTGAATTGTGCTTGGAAACGTACTGGGAGCCAATGCAGATCTCTCAGGACCGGTGTTATGTGGTCTCCACTCCCAGTCCCCAGTCTAGCTGCCGCATTCTGGATTAATTGCAGTTTCCGGGACACCTTCAAAGGTAGCCCCACATAAAGCTCATTGCAGTGGTCCAAGCGGGGTATAAATAAAAATTTATTATTATTATTATATTACTGGGCTACAAGGGATCACCAAAGAAGATTTCTCTATGCTCATCTGGCTCTCTGTGTTTGCGCATATCTACATGCCTGTCTGTATAAACGGCCACTGGCTTGACGTACCTGTAATGCTGATCTTTGCAGACCACTTTGAGGTCCCATCCAGAACACTCTGCTTCACAGCTTTCATCTGCTGGGTGTGAGTGGTCTTGGAGACGGCAAAGATCTCTTGGATCAGCTCAAAGATCTCGGGCTTATTGCGCTCCCGGATCTTCATACGATCTTTCAGCACCATGATAATATTCTGTGTGCGGTCTTCGGCCCCATGCTTGGAACTTTTCTCAGCCGCCCCTGGACAGAGAGAGAGAAATTTGCTGTGGATGGGTCACTGCAATGCATTCTGATTATTCCACGCATTAGGAAACCTGTTTTACATTTCATAGAAGCGGGAAGAGCTGTTACACAGCAGAACAATAGGTTGTGCCTAAGAAGATCAAACCTATCCATTCTTAAGGAAATCAGCCCTGAGTGCTCACTAGAAGGACAGATCGTGAAGCTGAGGCTCCAATACTTTGGCCACCTCATGAGAAGAGAAGACTCCCTGGAAAAGACCCTGATGTTGGGAAAGATGGAGGTCACAAGGAGAAGGGGACAACAGAGGACGAGATGGTGGGACAGTGTTCTCAAAGCTACAAACATGAGTTTGACCAAACTGCGGGAGGCAGTGGAAGACAGGAGGGCCTGGTGTGCTCTGGTCCAGGGGGTCACGAAGAGGCGGACACGACTAAACCACTAAACAACAACAGAGCAGATTCGTTGAAACAAGTGTGCATGTTTTGGTCCTGCCCGTTGGTTTCAATGGGAAGGGGGGGTGTACTCTAAGTTAGGACTAAAGGTAAAGGTAAAGGGACCCCTGACCATTAAGTCCAGTCGTAGACGACTCTGGGGTTGCGGTGCTCATCTCGCTTTAGTGGCCGAGGGAGCCGGCGTACAGCTTCCGGGTCATGTGGCCAGCAGGACTAAGCCACTTCTGGCGAACCAGAGCAGCGCACGGAAACGCCGTTTACCTTCCCGCCAGAGTTTATCTACTTGCACTTTGATGTGCTTTCGAACTGCTAGGTTGGCAGGAGCAGGGACCGAGCAACGGGAGCTCACCCTGTCGCGGGGATTCGAACCGCCGACCTTCTGATCGGCAAGCCCAAGAGGCTCTGTAGTTTAGACCACAGCGCCACCCATCTAGATACAGCATTGGCCTAATCTAGGAGACTCTCATTATGATCTTTTAATAATAATAATAATAATAATAATAATAATAATAATACAATGATGGTAATAAAAAAAGACATTGTATTATTTTTATTGGCAGATCGCCTTTGCTAACTGCGGGGCAAAATGCTTTGCGACTATCAATGGTGAGAAGCTGCAGATTTTGGAAACGTAAGCTGTGTATTTTATTGCTCTCAGTTCAGACAGAACTCTACAGCCTCCGACCCCAGGACAAACCCAAGAGAACAAGGCACCCCCTCCTCACTTTGCAAGCAGTCGGCGTTGAGCAGGTCTTGACACTTCTCGTGGCACTTGACTCCGCATTCTGTACACCGCATGCCTTGGCGCGCAATGCCCCAGAGCAGACCCTCGCACTCGTAACAGTAGGTGGGCGTTGTGGCGGTCCACACCTCGAAGTTGTGGGGGGTTGTGCAAGAGATGGGGTAGATTAAGGCTTGGAGGGTCTTCTTGTAAACATGGTTTTTCTGGAGGGAGACAACGAAAATCACACGCTCGGGATCTGGCTGTGTGACACACTCTCTCGACTCTTTATAAAAGAACGGAAATGGTTTAGTGAATACAGTCATACCTTGGATCTCAAACGCCTTGGCTCCCAAACAAATCGGCTCCTGGACGATCGACACCCGGAAGTGAGTGTTCTGGTTTTTGAACAATTTTTGGAAGCCAAACGTCCATCGTAGCTTCCGATTGGCTGCTCCTGCAGCCAATCGGAAGCCGCACCTTGGTTTTTGAACGGTTCCGGGAGTCGAATGGTACTCTTGACCATAAAAGGTTGTTCCTGTTCCTATACTCTTATCTTGGGGCAGGAGGTCATCAACTCTGAGAACATTCCTGGCACCATTCCCGGGTCTCTTGTCAGACCTGACAAGGTCTGTGCGTCTTTGTGGTCAGGATGTAAGATAAGACCCAGACGTGCCATCCCTGCTCCACTCGGAACTGGCAAGGCCATCCATTGCCGTCACGGACTGATAAAGGAGAGGGCTTTGAGCACTTGTTTATACAGCCGTCTTTCTGTTTATACATTGACTCAAGTGCTCAAGTTAATGCATTTTAGAAATGCTCCCTTGGAGGAGGAAAAATGTGGATTTTGGGTCCCGTTTCAGACTGACTGCACAGAAACCCATTCCTTCACCAGGACAAGTTCTCCTAACACAAAAGAACCACCCAAGAGCATATATGTGTATAAAAAAGGAGGAACTGGGACACTTACTAGCTCTTCATTGTTTAAAGTGCTTGATGCGAGTGCTGATGTGATACCAGCTTTTCTGGACTGGACCAAGGACTGTTGGAAGGAAGCATAAAAGGAGAAGCATGTCAAGAATGCTGTGCGGAAAAACAACAACAGAAGTTAAGGTAGACTGTTTCCTGCATTCAAGGGGTCTTCACCTAGGCATGGGATGGGGGGCACGATAAGGATGTGTGTGTGGCCCTCCAGCATGGCTGAAACCACATTCCCCATGTGGCCATGAAATCATGTCTGTGGCACCAATGTAACAAGCTGGGAAGGAACTATTGGAGCTTTCCCCTGCCTCCAGAAGTGATTCATAAACTCATCAACGTCAGAACAATTTACAGTCGAGTGGTTTTGGGGAGTTTGCCCATCACTGTTCTTATTTGGGAGAAAGATTTGCGAGCCCTGAGCAAGAAAGAGAAATAAATAAGGAGACAAAGACTCACCATAGCCTGCAAAGGCGTGTTGGTCAACGGTTGAGCAACAGAGGAAGAAATGAGATGTTGTTAGGAGGACTCAGACAACCAGGTATATATATATATATTTATACATAAAAGACCAAGCTTCCAAGCTTGAATTTCATTCTTCATTCGTAAGCAGCAGAATTCCCTGTCACCCACTGTGATGGCCTGGGATTCGGACTTGGATGCTGAACCTGAGGGATCTCAGCCTGCACAGGAGTCCCCACCTCCAGAACCAGCTGAGCCGGGGCTGGGGCATGAGCCCGAAGGGTCCTCACCTGTGCTGGATCCTCAGGTGAGTCTGCTCTGGCTCCTGAGGTGATGGAGGACCCATTGCCTGCAGGTGCTCCACTCCCAGCCCCGTCAGGGGAAGCTGAGGTTGCCTCTGGGTCCGGTAGCCCTTCAGCCTCTCTTGAGCTGCAGAGGCTCAGGGCAGAGAGGCGGAGGGAACTAAGTTCCCGCAGGAGGAGGGCTCGCCTCCAGGCCAGGAGAGGTGAGTCACCTGAGGATCGGGGCCGGCCTATGCCTCGGGGCAGATAAAAGCCGGCCAGCCCCAGTCCCAAGTTGCGGGAGCAACATTGTTGGTTGCTAGTTCCTGCCTGAACCCTGTCCTGCTCTTCTGCCTGAGCTCCTGACCTGCCCTGGCTCCCTGCTTGCAAGCCTGTTCCTGACTTCTCCCGACTCCCTGCCCTGCACCCAGCTTCAGCTACTACGGACTGCCTCCACGTTGCTCCTTTGACCACGGACCGGGCTTGGACCTCGCCTTTCGGGTAACCCACGGGACCAGCAGACCCACTACCTAAACATGTTGCGGCCTTTGTTATTCTAAATCAGGGCTGGATCACCTTCAGCCCCCAGGGGCCTCATTCCCTCATGGGTTAACTTCCGGGGGCCGCATGCCAGCAGTGGGCAGGGCCACAGGGAAAGGGGTGTGGCCAGTGGCCAAAGTAGGCCGTCCCAAAGGCGTGACTCTTACCTTTGCCCAGTAGGCTAGATCGCAGCCATGCCAAAGTCAGTGACTTGGGGTGGTCTGGCAAAAGGGGGTGCTGCCTGGGGGCCAGATCTATAGGTCTGGGTGTCTGGGTTCAGTCTATGACCCGTAAGGTTCTCCACCCCTCTTGTAAATCAGGGTGGCAGTCAACTGCTCACGTGGAATTGGACCCTATTCCTTTTCAATGAGGCTAGAAAAACTAAATAAGGTAAAGGTAAAGGGACCCCTGACCATTAGGTCCAGTTGTGGCCGACTCGGGGTTGCGGCGCTCATCTCTCTTTATTGGCCGAGGGAGCCGGCGTACAGCTTCCGGGTCATGTGGCCAGCATGACTAAGCCGCTTCTGGCGAACCAGAGCAGCGCACGGAAACGCCGTTTACCTTCCCGCTGGAGCGGTACCTATTTATCTACTTGCACTTTGAGGTGCTTTCGAACTGCTAGGTGGGCAGGAGCAGGGACCGAGCAACGGGAGCTCACCCCATCCCGGGGATTCGAACCACCGACCTCCTGATCGGCAAGTCCTAGGCTCTGTGGTTTAACCCACAGCGCCACCCGTGTCCCTAGAAAAACTAAATACGAACGTGATATTTTGGGTCTCTTTTGTTAACCACCCACAAGCCACCTCTCGCTCAATCTCTTCCCCCCTCAACCGCACAGGCAATGTCTTCACACGTACCAGATTTTTCAGGCGATGGTTTGGGAAAATGGGCACAAACCGCAGCCCCTACCCGCCTTGAAAAACCCCTTCACATGCAAGACAGAGGCATCAGCTTTCCCGACTTCAGCAGTCAGGGTTTACACAGGAGGAAAGACACAAAATAAACAGTGGCAACCAGTAGGAAAACTCGCGGAGGGGAAAAGCAGACAGAGATAGGGAGGATAGTCAAAGCTAGACGTTGCGAGAAGGGAGCGAGAAAGCGAAGAGAGGTTAAGCACAGGAGCTGGGCAAGAGAGCACGAAATGTTGGAATTTTTGGCCATGGCAAAGCTGCGCCCAGCAAGGATTCATTTTGCGATGACCAAGGGGATTGAGGTTTATTTAAAATAAAATGAATGAAGGCACCGAGATATAATAAAAATTAATAAAAATTTATTATCTATACCCCACCCATCTGGCTGGGCTTCCCCAGCCACTCAGGGCAGCTTCCCAAAAAATATCAAAATACTGCAATACATCAAACACTAAAAGCTTCCCTAAACAGGGCTGCCTTCAGATGTCTTCTAAAAGTCTGATAGTTGTTATTTTCTTTGACACCTGGTGGGAGGGCGTTCCACAGGGTGGGCGCCACCACCGAGAAGGCCCTCTGTCTGGTTCCCTGTAACTTGGCTTCTCGCAATGAGGGAACCGCCAGAAGGCCTTCGGTGCTGGACCTCAGTGTCCGGGTAGAACGATGAGAGTGGAGACGCTCCTTCAGATATACTGGACCGAGGCCGTTTAGGGCTTTAAAGGTCAGCACCAACACACTGAATTGTGCTCGGAAACGTCCTGGGAGCCAATGTAGGTCTTTCAAGACTGGTGTTATGTGGTCTCCACTCCCAGTCCCCAGTCTGGCTGCCGTATTCTGGATTAGTTGCAGTTTCCGGGTCACCTTCAAAGGTAGCCTCACGGAGAGCGCATGGCAGTAGTCCAAGCGGGAAATGTTCCTCTTGCCCTCTTATTTGGTCACCTTAAGTCATAGCCAAGTGGCCATGGAAACTGTGGCTCCCTGAAAGGTTGGGTAATCTCTCCAAATTTTGGTACTCACAAAATGTTACAATTCCTCAAGGTTTCTTGGCTAAGCTGAGCATAGCTTCCGATGCAGTAGTCTTGGGAACTGTAGTTCCAGGCCTCTCTAATGCAGAGTTCATATTACTGGGGCAAAACTACAGTTCCTACGTTCCCTCGATCCAACACCAATGAAGGAGCCCAGGAGACCTGTTCTATGGTGCTCAGGAGATTATAGTTTCCAGGGTTCCTTGACGGTAGTTTGTTAACTCTGTTCAGAGCTTCCAGTTAAGGAACCGTGGGAACTGCGGTTCATTGGAGATCTATTGATCTCTGTCTAACACTGAGAGGTCAACGCAGACACAGTTCCAAAGTTTCCTTGGCTGCAAAGGAGTATAAGAGGCGGGAAAGACCCTTGTACGTTCAGCAACTGTATACAGTGGTACCTTGGTTCTCAAACGCCTTGGTCCTCAAACAACTTGGAAACCAAACTCTGCAAACCTGGAAGTAAGTGTTCCAGTTTGCGAACTCTTTTCGGAAGCCGAACATGCTCCGTTTTGAGTGCCACACTTCCGATTTGATTGTTATGCTGAGTTCTGTCTGTTTTTGCTATTTATTTTGCCTTTTTGTTTTTGTGGCTCTTTTTTCATTTCGTTGTTGTGACAGTGTGGAACCCAGTTCAGCTACTGATCGATTGATTATGTGACTGCAGCACATTGTTTATCGCTTTCATTTTATGGATCAATGGTCTAGTTAGATAGTAAAATTCATGTTAAATTCCTGTTTTAAAGGTAAAGGGACCCCTGACCATTAGGTCCAGTCGTGGCCGACTCTGGGGTTGCGGCGCTCATCTCGCTTTATTGGCCAAGGGAGCCGGCGTACAGCTTCCGGGTCATGTGGCCAGCAGGACTAAGCCGCTTCTGGTGAACCAGAGCAGCGCACGGAAACGCCGTTGACCTTCCCGACGGAGCGGTACCTATTTATCTCCTTGCACTTTGAGGTGCTTTCGAACTGCTAGGTGGGCAGGAGCAGGGACCGAGCAACGGGAGCTCACCCCGTCATTGCGGGGATTCGAACCGCCGACCTTCTGATCGGCAAGCCCTAGGCTCTGTGGTTTAACCCGCAGCGCCACCCGCGTCCCTAAATTGCTGTTTTAGGGGTTGTTTTTAAAAGTCTGGAACGGATTAATCCATTTTGTACTCCTTTCTATGGGAAAGCGTGCCTTGGTTTTGGAACACTTTGGTTTGGGAACGGACTTCCGGAATGGATTAAGTTCGAGAACCAAGGTACCACTGTAGAAGAGTGAACTTTTGCCATGAAAAAATCATGCCTAGCCACACATCTCATCGCTTAACACAGCCCTTCCCAAACTTGTTCCCTCAATATCTTGTTGGGCTACAGCTGGAATTGATGAGAAGCTAATGAAAGGAGGTGGTCTCCTGATGGCTGGAGACCTCTCCACAGCCTTTGGAATGCCGCACAGAGATGTTGTTGGGCTGTCAGCTCCCACCATGGTAGTTGGAGGTCCAGAAACACACAGAGGGCATGATTTTGGCCACCTCCGGTCCATGCGGCCTGCTGCCAGGTCTTTAACGGAAGAAGCAGGGCATTGAACATGGGACCTTAGCATGCAAAAAACCAGTGCTCTGAGACTGAGCTATGGCTCCTGGGAGCCCCCATGGAGTTGTCAACAAAGGCAAGCATGCACAGGTAAGGTTTGAGGTAGACAATGCCAACCGCAGCATTGGAAAGGGGGCGCCTTTATTTACACAACAACGGAGGGTTATCCCTTGGGAGGGAGAGAAGGGTTGGGTGAGCCAGGGCATTTGTTGGAAGGGGAGAAAAAGGAGGCAAATCAGACGCAGGAAGACAGGCTGATGTTCCTCACTGGACAAGGGTTCCGTACGTCTTCTGTTAAAGCGACGGCGCCGTATGAAAATACAAGACAACCGATCCCGAAGCCTCTTGTAAGCTCACTGTTTCGGCAAGCCTGGCAACTTGGAGGGGAGATCTCCAGAGTCTCTGCTCCCCCGCCCCCAGGCTGTCCATTAGGTGTGGTCCATGTTGTGTGGGATGTAATCCACTGGGAGCAGTCAAGTACAACATTCCTTGTTTTCCTAGAGTGGACATGCAAGGGGATGTTTGGTCCAGCCAGTCGAAACTTCCTGTTCCTCCTGGCTGGAGCATCCTTCCTTTTGCATGTGACAGAAGGTGGGCGTGACCTCACCTGTCCAGGTAACAAAAGGACGAGTCACGCAGCACACCTCTCTCTTTTTGACTTCCTTCTTCGTTTGACCAGCTTTTAGCTAGGACTGCTCTGCTAGCTCTCAGCTAGCAGAAGCACTGGGATTATTCCTCCATATGGAGTAATCCACATGTACATCTTTGTAACTAAGTCTGCCTTCAGGAATCCAACTGTGAACTGATGTGAGTAAACTTCTTTTATTGACTTTGAATAAGATTGTGGTGTATTTATTATTTTAAGAGGCATTCAAGGGAACTTGCCAGGAACGTACAATTCAATCGGAGACAGACTGAATTGTACAATAGTGAGAGGCTCACACGAGCCTGCAACCAGCCATCTGCTGTGCATGTAAAAGGGGAATGTATTCCCCCATATGGGGTAGATCCACATGTACATATTTGTAACTAAGTCTGCCTTCAGGGATCCATCTGTGAACTGAATGTGTGAGTAAACTTCTTTTATATGCTTTACACAAGATTGTGTCGTGTCTATTCTTTTTAAGGGGGAGATAAGGAGACTTACCAGGAATCCAATATTAAGCGGCTTAAGTGAGCCTGCATCGAGCTATCTGCTGTGCCTGTAAAAGGGGAATGTAAACTCTGCTAAGCAAAGGAACTCGCTAGCGCAAGTTAGGAAGGATATTAATAAGCAGTATATCCTCTCCTGCCACCCTGAACATTCCCACAAATGCTTAGTGTTAATGTTTAGACTTATTACAAGTTACCGTATTTTTCGCTCTATAAGACGCACCAGACCATAAGACGCACCCAGTTTTTGGAGGGGGAAAAGAAGAAAAATATTCTGAATCTCAGAAGCCAGAACAGCAAGAGGGATCGCTGCGCAGTGAAAGCAGCAATCCCTCTTGCTGTTCTGGCTTCTGAGATAGCTGCGCAGCCTGCATTTGCTCCATAAGACGCACACACATTTCCCCTTGCTTTTTAGGAGGGAAAAAGTGAGTCTTATAGAGCAAAAAATACGGTATTTTAAGTTAGTCTGCTGCAACTGGATTTCTTATGGACAGCACCAACCCTGAATGTATTGGATTTGTGACCATTATGCTCATTTGCTTTCAGTAGCAGTAAAGCGCTGCTGGATGAAATACAATTGCCTCTGGTCTACTCTGGAAGAAATCCTGCAATGTGTTCAAGTTTTTACTCTGCTTAACAATACGGTGGAACCTTGATTCTCAAACGGCTTAGTTGTCTAACAAATCGGCTCCCGAACGCTGCAAACCCGGAAGTGAGTATTCTGGTTTGTGAATGTTTTTTCGGAAGCCAAACATCCCACTTTCGACTGAGTGCAGGAAGCTCCTGCAGCCAATCGGAAGCCGCGCTTGGTTTTCGAACGGTTTTGGGAGTCGAATGGACTTCTGTAACGGATTAGGTTCGAGAACCAAGGCACATTACTCTGGATCAATACTGACTAGGATTCCATGGCCAAATTTGCCACTGTACAGTGGTACCTCGGGTTACATATGCTTCAGGTTACAGACTCCACTAACCCAGAAATAGTGCTTCAGGTTAAGAACTTTGCTTCAGGATGAGAACAGAAATTGGGCTCCAGTGGTGTGGCAGCTGCAGGAGGCCCCATTAGCTAAAGTGGTGCTTTTGATTAAGAACAGTTTTGGGTTAGGTACAGACCTCCAGAACGAATTAAGTACTTAACCTGAGGTACGACTGTATAGGCATTCTGCAAGCAATCTCCCCTACGTAATACTTCTCTTTATGTTTCTCTCTGTGTGCGCATGTGTGTACACGCATATACAAACACGCATGTGTGTGTCCCCAGCCAACATGGGAACCCCAAATCTCCCCAGACCAGGCTTGCGCCAAATTGGTGGAGCTTCTAAGAGAGCTTGCCGGATGCGGGTGACGGGGGACTCATACGATGCTCTCGCTTTAACCACCTCGTTCCTCACCAGGTCGCTGATGACTAGTGGGAGAGATTTGCATCCCGGCCTGATGTCAGGCATGCTGTCTATGCAGCGCAGAAACTTGACCGCCGCTCCCCTGGGGGACGGAAGCAGCCCAAAGAACGTCCCAGAGAAGAAAGGGGGAAGAGAGGGGGTGGAAACAGAAACAAGAATGAGCTGTATTAGCGAAGCGAAGCGAAGGCGAACTCAGCGAGGTGTGTGCCGCCGAAGAGCCGAGATAATGGAGGGCAAGGCCTTCAACCCTGTGAGACAGTTCCGATTTTTTCTTTTTTCTGTTTTTATTAAAGATTTTGTTGATTTACAAAAGTGTGCAATGTCTCTCTCTCGTGTCCCCCCCCATGTAACCTTTTTACAAATCATTTTCATTTGTTGAGGCATTAGGAAGAAAAGGGGGAAAGAGATGGAGGGGGGGAGAGATGGGGGAGAAGAAGAGGAGGGGTTTGGATTTGATATCCCGCCTTTCACTCCCTTTAAGGAGTCTCAAAGCGGCTAACAATCTCCTTTCCCTTCCTGCCCCACAACAAACACTCTGTGAGGTGAGTGGGGCTGAGAGACTTCAAAGAAGTGTGACTGGCCCAAGGTCACCCAGCAGCTGCATGTGGAGGAGCGGGGAATCGAACCCGGTTCCCCAGATTACGAGACTACCTCTCTTAACCACTACACCACACTGGCAGTGGGGTTGGGTGGCGATGTTTCTATTTCACTTACTATATGTAAGGTTTGGTGTCAGTGTTGCTTGTGCAGGTTCTTTGCTGTTCGCTTGTGTTCCCTTTGGTGATGAGAGAGGTTGGGGTTGGCCTAGGGTGTGGTTGTTCATATGTGGTTGGCTGTGGTGGTCTTTGTTTTCATGTGTGAGTGGGGTGGGTGGGTGTTTTGGATCAGGTTAGCCATATTGATTTGTATGCTGTTGTTGGATTTTTGTTGTCTTGTTGGGCTGTGTATGTGATAAAGGGGAGCCATACCGGGGTGAAGGCGTCTTCTTCTATTTGTCCCCGTGTCAGTTTCAGTTTATTGGTTAATTTTTCTAGTAGGGCTGTTTCCCATACTATTTGGTACCATTGGTCCATGCTTACTCCAGACAGGTCTCTCCAGTGTCTGGCTACGATGCTTCTGGCTGCTGAAAGTAGGTGGGTTATGAGTTCTTTGTGGTGTAAGTGGGCATTATTGTCTTGGAAGATGTTTAGTAAAGCCAATTCTGGGGTGATTTCTAATACTTGCTTGGTTATTTTACTTATTTCTCGTACGGTTGTTGTCCAGAATGGTTGGATTTTGGGGCACTCCCACCACATGTGGAGGTATATGCCTTCTTCGTCTTTTTGATTATCGTCTTCCACAGCAACTACTCTATTCCGAACTTAAAAATGGAAAATGTAATGCTGGTGGTCAACCAAAGAGGTTCAAAGACTCTCTCAAGGCAAATCTAAAAAAATGTAGTATAAACACTGACAACTGGGGAACACTGGCCTGCGAGTGCTCCAGTTGGAGAACAGCCTTGACCAAAGGTGTCGTGGGCTTTGAAGATGCTCGAACTCAGGACGCAAAGGGAGAAACGTGCTAAGAGGAAGGCACGCTTGGCAAACCCTCACCGGGATCAACTCCTGCCTGGAAACCTGTGTCCCCACTGTGGAAGGACTTGTGGATTCAGAATTGGCCTCCTTAGCCACTTATGGAGTCACTGCTAAAACCCTGTTTTGGAAGAAGAAGAAGCAGAAGACGAGGGGGAAGAGGAAGAGGAAGAAGGAGGAGGAGGAGGAAGAAGAAGAAGAGGAAGAGGAGGAAGAAGGGGAAGAAGAGGAGGAGGAAGAAGAAGAGGAAGAAGGAGAAGGAAAACAAATAAACACTTATCTGCGAGGAGATCTATTTTTAATTTAATCAGAAAATTAGCGATTTACTGCTGAGACTTTCTTAGTATGCTGCTAGATACAACTGAAGGGCAGATCAACTCCTAATCTGATAACTTGATGTTAATAAAATGGTGGAGATGGGTTTTTGTTAGGGGGGCGGGCGGACACAATTGTTTCTGGACTTCCCCAAACTTCCTGAATTGGAGGCCCTTGGTCAACTGTTTGCCAAGTCTGTGGTTGTGAGAAGATTTGAACCCAGGCGTTTCCTGGCCACTAGGTTACCCCAGGTCTCGGGCTACAGAAAGGTCAGCACCCCCCCTCCCAGTGTTAACCCTGGTTCAGAAGAGAGTTGTTGGTTCTGGCCTGGAATGTGGCTCAGTTAAAAGAACTGTCTGCAAGGTATGGCTTTGCCACTCCTTTACCCCGGCTCCAGAGTGAGACACGGCAGAATTCCAGCGGCGTGTCCAGAGAAGGTAAAGCTAGCAGCTGCCAGAGAGAGAGAAGGAAAGAAAGAGAGAGAGAGAGAGAAATGGAAATAGGAGGGAAAACGTTAAGAGAAACCTCACCAAATCGCTAACTAGGGGGATGGGTTTCCTTTTGCGAATATCAGGCATGCTATCAATTATGATGAGCCCACCGCCCGGTCTGGAAAAAAGACAGAAACAGTCAGCACAGGACGAGAGGAGAAAGGGAATATTGGGTTGGGGGGGGGAGAGAGAGGATAGTGAGGGAAGGAGAAAGGAGAGAGAAGAGGGCAGGGGAGGGGGAGGGGAGAGGGGGAGAGGGGGAGAGGAGGGGAGAGGGGAGGAGGGGAGGGGGGAGAGGGAGGGGAGGAGGGGAGGAGGGGAGGGGAGGGGAGGGGAGGGGAGGAGGAAAGGGGAGGGGGAGGGGGAGGAAAGAGGAGGGGAGGGAGAGGGGGAGAGGAGAATTGCTGCGTGCTTAACGGACTCAGAACACCAATTCGCATCAAATGTCCATATGCTAACTTCGCTCATTAACAAATCTCAAAAGTTATCAGCATTGATCCTGATTAAGCATCTTAATTATATATCAAACCATTAACAGTTATTAACTTTATTTGTTAGAGCCATCCATTGCAACCATCGTTCATCGTTTTCTCTTACCTGCCCTTTTCCGGGAAGGGCGGATTCCAAAAGCATTAAAATGCAATATTAAAATCAGATTTTTAAACAACAACAACAACAAACAGATTTGCAAATCTGTCCATGCATTTGGAGGTGGCTATGGGAAATTAAGGTAGCGGGCACCAGTTACCCAATTAAGAAGGTGAGCGAATTTAAGGGTTAAGAAAGGAAGGGAATCTGGGGTCAGAGATGGAGATAAGAGAATTCGAGATCAATCAATCACAGCCACCTGAGACCCATAGAAAGGCATTTTGAATTTGAGACGGCATTCAGAGACGGCAACTCACCCGCCTTTAAACCACAGGGATTTCGATTCTCCGGCTCCTTCGCCCCGAGCCTGTGAAATAGAAAGGATCAGTTATTCTCTCTGGTAGCGTTTTGATCCTAGGAGACATTTCTCCGCGCGCGATCCCCCCACCAGAGTTCATTCCTAAACAGGGCTGCCTTCAGATGTCTTCTAAAAGTTAGATAGTTGTTTATTTCCTTGACATCTGAAGGGAGGGTGTTCCACAGGGCGGGCGCCACCACCTAGAAGGCCCTCTGCCTGGTTCCCTGTAACTTCACTTCTCGCAGGGAGGGAACCACCAGAAGGCCCTCGGGAGATGGACCCAGGTGTCCGGGCTGAGTGATGGGGGTGGAGACACTCCTTCAGGGATACTGGGCCATTTAGGGCTTTCAAGGTCAGCACCAACACTCTGAATTGTGTTCAGAAACGTCCTGGGAGCCAATGTAGGTCTTTCAGGACTATATGGTCTCGGCGGCTGCTCCCAGTCACCAGTCCCGCTGCCACATTCTGGATTAGTTGTAGTTTCCGGGTCCCCTTCAAAGGTAGCCCCACGTAGAGCGCATGGCAGTAGTCCAAGCGGGAGATAACCAGAGCATGCACCACTCTGGCCAAATAAGTTTGGGAACCTGTGATCTAGAGGGTCGCTGATTCTCCGCCCCGGCCTACAACACTGGCTCCATTCATGAAGAACATCTAGCTTGGTTTTGTCCACACAGATGGGCAGAAGTTCTCAAGGGCTTGATTCTGGAGCATTTCAAAGCTGCCAGAGGCCGAACGTGGGACTTGGCACACTGGGAAAAGATGCTCTAACAAGGAGTGATGGCCTCTACCCTACACGCTGTGATAGGAATTTTGAGGTCTTAGATATATGGAAATGTTCATAAGTGTACCAACCAAGCATGTACCTAGATCAGCACAGGAAGACCGACCTGAAGCCATTTTGATTCCTAAACTGAGCAAATGTTTTCTCTGCAAGGTCAAAGTGGAAAAGCCTCCCCATTGTCTTTTCCTTCACCAATCCTGTCTTAAGGGTATGTCTGTGTTTGAATAGGGTGTGAGCCTGTGACCTGGCCCAGGAACTAAGTATTTATCACTACAAAAGACTGGTCAGGCTCCCCAGCCAATCCAGTCAAGTAACCTGCCAGATAAACAAGGACAGGAGAAAAACAACATTCAAAATTTCTGTTTTTAGACCACCTTTTCTGTGATGTCGGTGTGATGTATCTGAGGGGTGGTCTTAGGTTACACCCCTTTCTGTGATGTATGTATGATGTTTCTGGGGGTGGTCTGGATCTACAGGGTGGCAATTTCAAAAGTCTTTATAAGGCCTTGCATGCCATTTTTCTGGGTTCCTCCTCCTCTCCTGCGTGTGAGGGGAGCACCCTGTTGCAACAGATCAATAAAGATCAAGCTTACTAGCTGCTTTGCTTCTCAATATTCTCTGCTTGGCCTCTGTTATTTTCTCCTACCAATAGGGAACCTATGTAAGGACTCTATATGGGCTCTTGGATACCCCATAAGGGAAAAGGGCAATTTTTTTATTTACAACAACGCAACCTAGGTTTCTAGTCCTCATGGCGCTGGATACATGTAGGAAGCTGTTTTGGGGAGATATTCAGAGGACCTCTGGCGGCGCTTGAGGAAACTCTTACCTGCAATCCCAGAGGGAGACCGAGAGCGACGGAGACACAAAGATGGCAGTGGCTCTGAGCAAACTGAAAAGTGAGGGTGCCCCCAAGTGGGGGCAGCTTTGGGGCCAAAAGAAAATGAAGAAGAAAAAGATGGCGGGTGGACTCTACAACCAAAACAAAACAAAACAAAAATTATAGGTACGGTCAAAACTCAACAAATGGACCCAAGAGGGATGGGAGGAAGGTACAAACTTAAATATGGACACTCTGGTGAGACATGGAATGGAGATGTGAGTGCAGTGCAGGGTGGTCCATTAGGATAAATTGGGGGCACGCCCCCCCCAACCTCACCAGGGACGCGGGTGGCACTGTGGGTTATACCACAGAGCCTAGGGCTTGCCGATCAGAAGGTCGGCAGTTCGAATCCCATGACGGGGTGAGCTCCCGTTGCTCGGTCCCTGCTCCTGCCAACCTAGCAGTTTGAAAGCACGTCAGAGTGCAAGTAGATAAATAGGTACCACTCCGGTGGGAAGGTAAATGGCGTTTCCATGTGCTGCTCTGGTTCGCCAGAAGCGGCTTAGCCCTGCTGGCCACATGACCCAGAAGCTGTATGCCGGCTCCTTCGGCCAGTAAAGTGAGAAGAGCGCCGCAACCCCAGAGTCGGCCACGACGGGACCTAACTGTTAGGGGTACCTTTACCTTTACCACCCAACCTCAGCCTGCCCTCCACCAGCCCCCACCTGTGTGGGATGTACAGTGGTGCCTCGCAAGACGAAATTAATTCGTTCCGCAAGTCTCTTCGTCTTGCGAGTTTTTCGTCTTGCGATGCACGGTTTCCCATAGGAATGCATTGAAAATCAATTAATGCGTTCCTAGGGAAACCGCCTTCAGACCAGGTCCGGGGACAGTCTGTCCCCGGACCTCTTCTGAAGGCTGGAGAGAGCAAGGGCTTTCTTCCCACCCCCAGCATTTTAAAAGCCCGGGACAGCGGAGGACTTCTCCGCTGTCCAGGCGATCTTAAAATGCTGGCGGGCGGCATTTTAAAATCACCCGGGACAGCGGAGGACTTCTCCGCTGTCCGGGGCAATTTAAAAGCCCCTGGGAAGGCAGGCAGGGGGACAAAGACTTTGCCCCCGCCAGCCTTCAGAAGAGGTCCTGGACCTCTTCTGAAGGCGGGCGGGGCGAAGTCTTGCTCCCCCGCCTTCAAAGCCCTCCGGGACAGGCAGGCAGGGGGAGCAAAGACTTTCGCCCCCGCCCGCCTTCAGAAGGTCTTCCCTCCCCCGCCCGGCCCGGAGCACCGTTCCCGAAGCCGGGCGGCGGCGGAGGTCTTCCCTCCCCCGCCCGGCCGGAGCACCGTTCCGAGCCGGGCGGCGGCGGAGTGTTCCCTCCCCCGCCCGGCCGGAGCACCGTTCCGAGCCGGGCGGCGGGGAGGTCTTCCTCCCCACCGCCCGGCCGGAGCACGGTTCCGAAGCCGGGCGGCGGCGGCAGGTGTTCCCTCCCCCCGCCCGGCCGGAGGAGCCTTCCGAAGCCCGGCGGCGGCGGGAGGAGGTGTCCCCGCCCCGCCGCCAGGCTTCGGAGGAGGTCCGAGGACAGTGGGAAGACGCGCTGCGCTTCCCCGCTGTCCCTGAGATTTCCTATGGGCTGTCGTCTTGCGAAGCAAGCCCATAGGGAAATTCGTTTTGCGAAGCGCCTCCAAAACGGAAAACCCTTTCGTCTAGCGGGTTTTCCGTCTTGCGAGGCGTTCGTCTTGCGGGGTACCACTGTAATCCACTGGGAGCAGTCGAGTACAACATTCCTTGTAATGCTAGAGAAGACATGCGAGGGAATGTCTGGTCCAGCCAGTCGAAACTTCCTGTTCCTCCTGGCTGGAGCATCCTTCCTTTTGCATGTGACAGAAGGTGGGTGTGACCTCACCTGTCCAGGTAACAAAAGGACAAGTCACGCAGCACACCTCTCTCTTTTTGACTTCCTTCTTCGTTTGACCAGCTTTTAGCTAGGACTGCTCTGCTAGCTCTCAGCTAGCAGAAGCACTGGGATTATTCCCCCATATGGAGTAGATTCACATGTACGTATTCGTAACTAAGTCTGCCTTTGGGAATCCAACTGTGAACTGATGTGAGTAAAGTTCTTCTATTGACTTTGAAGAAGATTGTGGCGTCTTTATTCTTTTAAGAGGGATTCAAGGGAACTTTCCAGGGACGTACAATTCAATCTGAGACAGACTGAATTGTACAATAGTGAGAGGCTCACACGAGCCTGCGACCAGCCATCTGCTGTGCATGTAAAAGGGGAATGTATCCCCCCATATGGGGTAGATCCACATGTATATACTTTGTAACTAAGTCTGCCTTCAGGGATCCATCTGTGAACTGAACGTGTGAGTAAACTTCTGACTGAACTGTATAATAGTGAGAGGCGCACACGAGCCTGCGACCATCTCTCTGCTGTGCGTGTAAAAAGTGGAATGTAACTCTTCCAAGTAAAGGAACTTGCTAGCGCAAGTTAGGAAGGATATGAATAAACAATATATCCTCTCCTGCCACCCTGAACATTCCCACTGTGGTGATCAGGTGGGATTGCTATGAGGAATGATGTCAGATGGGTCAAGCCCAGTCAACACAATGCTTTTCGTTGTGGACACAATGGCTTGCTCCACAACCTGCCTGCCTCCTTACTTACGGGCAAGCCCAGAGGGAGATCCTGGCTCTAGGAGTTTCCTTCTCCTCCTTAGTCTCACTGTTGCCTTTCCAGAATCCAACAGGAAGGAAGGTGATGATGGGTGGTTGGCTGTTGCCTCTCGTTGGCTCTGGCGCCCCCTACTGTTGACCTCCCTGCCTCAGAAGCTCACCCAGCAGGCAACACAGCCCTCGGGGTGAACGAAAGGAATCTAAAGCTGTCCCGGACTGCACTGCACGCAAGACTAAGGACATCGTAAGAGCCTGCCGGATGAGACCAATGGCTCGTCTATCGCAGCATCCCGCTCTCAGGATTTAATTTATTTAATTCAGAAAATTAAGCAGGCAGACGCAAATTTGCAGAATATCACAAAAGTAAATTCCCAACGCACCGCCTCCCATTTCTGTAAGCAAAAACAGCTCAAGTAGGAACTCTCAAATCTGGAGGTGTAAAAGATTTGGATCGTCAGGAGGAAATGGTTAATAATGGGACCCACAAAGGGGAGGAAGAAAGCCAAAGAGATTCCTTGGAGTCGCGTTTTTATGTCCCGCCTTCGATTTACGGCTGTAAAATTGCAATCCGACGAAACCAAACGAATAAATCTTTTGAAAAAAGAATTCTCGAATCTGCAGAGAATTTCGGAAGCGCCTGTGGTGGGAGGGAGTTCGGTGCAGCTGGGGAAGGAGGCGGGGCTTTACGGCCAGGGGGAGGAGCCTAAATCGACTGCATTTGAATATGGGCGACGAGGGGGAGTGACCAGACGCGCTTACCTCCTGAAGTTGCATGCATACTTTGTTGAAAGCTCGCAGCCAATTCGCCTTCGCTCGGGCTTTCGGGTCGACCGGTTCTGCCTCGACCTTCTCCCTGCAGCCGAAACGAACAGAGGCAACTCGCTGAATGATATATAACCGTGTCAAAACCAAACCCCGCCGACTTTTGCTTCTGGCCCCGTCCACCGCTCGCATGTGGGGAGCCCCCTCTGAAAGTTCCCCAGAAGTTCCCTCGATTGTCTTCGGGTCCAGTATTGGACCACTTTGACCGGATATCCCCAGCCAATGTGGACAGACTCCTCCGAGCTGGAAAGCTCACCACCTGTCCTCTCGACCCGTGCCCGTCCTGGCTGATTCCAGACGTACTCCAATGGGAAAGACCTACACTGGCTCCCAGGACGTTTCCGAGCACAATTCAAAGTGTTGGGGCTGACCTTCAAAGCCCTAAACGGCCCAGTATCCCCGAAGGAGCGTCTCCACCCTCATCGTTCTGCCTGGACACTGAGGTCCAGCTCCAAGGGTCTTCTGGCGGTTCCCTCCCTGCAAGAAGTGAGGTTACTGGGAACCAGACAGAGGGCCTTCTTGGTGGTGGCGCCTGCCCTCCCACCAGATGTCAAAGAGAACAACAACTACCAGACTTTTAGAAGACATCTGAAGGCAGCCCTATTTAGGGAAGCTTTTAATGTTTAATAGGTTATTGTATTTTAGTGTTTTGCTGGAAGCCGCCCAGAGTGGCTGGGGAAACCCAGATAGGCGGGGTATAAATAAATAAATAAATAAATAAATAAATAAATAAATAAATGGAAACCTCCAAAACAGGAGCTTCCTGCCCCCTTGGGGTTTCCGGCAACTGCTCCCCAGAAGCGCTGCTGCCTCCATCGCTCCAGCAAGTCGTTTCCAGCCACCGCAAACCTCCCCGCCCATTTCCACCCTCGTCTCTTACCTCTCCTCTTCCTTGGGGGGTTCTTCCTCCTGGGGGGCTTCCTCCGGGGCGGGGGCCTCTTCTGCCGGCGCCTCCTTCTGCTGGCCTGCCAGAAGCTCTTCCGCCGTCTCTTCCGGCACCTTCCGCTGCTGTTGCGGCTGCTGCGGCGGCTGCAACGACTGCGGCGCAGCCGGCTGCTGCTCTGCTTTTTGCTGCTGCTGTGCTTGTTGTGGCTTCTGCTGTTGCTGTTGCTGCGCCTGTAGTGGCTTTTGCTGTTGCTGTTGCTGCGCCTGTAGTGGCTTCTGCTGTTGCTGTTGCTGCTGTGCCTGTAGTGGCTTCTGCTGTTGCTGCTGCTGTGCCTGTAGTGGCTTCTGCTGTTGCTGCTGCTGCTGTGCCTGTAGTGGCTTCTGCTGTTGCTGCTGCTGTGCCTGTAATGGCTTCTGCTGTTGCTGCTGCTGCGCCTGTAGTGGCTTCTGTTGTTGTTGCTGCTGCGCCTGTAGTGGCTTCTGTTGCTGCTGCTGCTGCTGTGCTTGTAGTGGCTGTTGCTGCTGCTGTTGTGCCTGTAGTGGCTTCTGCTGGGACGGCGCGCCTTGCGGCGGCTGTGGCTGCGGCGGCTGGCCCTTCTGCTGCTGCTGCTCTTGCTGCGGGTAGGCGTCCTCCGGGTAGGTATCGGGTTCGAGTCCCCCCACCTTGTCCTCGGGGTAGTACTCCTCATTGTCGCTGTATTCCTCGTTGAACTCGTCCTCATCTAAGTAGAGGTCGTCTTCGTCCTCGTCCCAGCGCGGCGAGTCCTTGTGGTAGCTGACCGAGCTGTGGCAGGAGTGGTACGAGTCCCCGTCCCGCTCGTCCAGGCTGATGTCGTCGGGGTCGAAGTCATCGCTCAGCTGAGAGCTGCCCTGGCTCAGCTCCGCCGACGAGGCGTAGCGGCTGCTCCCCGTGGGGCTGCAATGGTGCGTCGGGGTTAGAGAAACCAAGCGGGGAGAGACAGACAGAGCGGCTTAGCAAGGGAACGGCCTCGCAAGCAGAAAACCCCACATTCAAACCCCTCCCCTCCCCGGAGAGCATTGGGAGAGAGAGCTGCTTCCAGTCAGTGCAGGCAGCATTAGCTAGATGGACCCAGCTGTCTGATTTGCTCTAGGGCAGCTTCCTATGTTCTGAAGAGGCATATGGACATTAGGTTTATTCTTTTACCGTATATCAAATTTACCGTATTTTTTGCTCTATAAGACTCACTTTTTCCCTCCTAAAAAGTAAGGGGAAATGTGTGTGCGTCTTAGGGAGCGAATGCAGGCTGCGCAGCTATCCCAGAAGCCAGTACAGCAAGAGGGATTGCTGCTTTCGCTGCGCAGCGATCCCTCTTGCTGTTCTGGCTTCTGAGATTCAGAATATTTTTTTTCTTGTTTTCCTTCTCCAAAAACTAGGTGCGTCTTGTGGTCTGGTGCATCTTATAGAGCGAGAAATACGGTATTTGATTGTTCAACTTAAAATTTGACAGAGATACAGCGGGAACCTCGGAAGTCGAACTGGAACTGTTCCGGAAGTCCGCCCAGCTTACAAAATGTTCAGAAACCAAGGGGCAGCTTCCGATTGGCTGCAGGAAGCTCCCACAGCCAATCGGAAGCCGCGGAGGACGTTCGGGTTCCAAAGCACATTCACAAACCAGAACAATCACTTCCAGGTTTGCGGTGTGAGGGAGCCAAAACGTTCTACTTGTAAGGCGTTTGGGATCTAAGGTACGGCTGTATATCAGACATAAATGGTAAAAACAAGATTCGAAGGAATCTTCTGGACTTGCGTCCTCCACTACGTGGGTCCTATTATTAATCCTTTCCTCCCGCATCTTTTACGATAATGCTATCATTTAATAATAACCGTTTAATAATCTTATCGTTTAATAATAATTGTTTAATAATAAACCTATTACTTCTTCCATTATGTCCCGAATCAGCCTTAAACTACAAGTGCTATTCCAATCCTACTAACAACTTTAACTGTTTACATAGGTCTTTAAGATATAATTTCCCCCCATTCCGTGTTAAAATTTTGGTCTTCCTGATTTCTGACTTTTCTGGTCATTTTAGCCATCGATCCATGAAACGAAAGCAATAAACAATGTACTGCGGTCACACAATCCATCAGTCCATCAGTAGCTGAACTGGTTTCCACACAGTCACAAAAAAGCCACAAAAACGCAAAATAAAGAGCAAAAACAGACAGACCTCAGCGTAACACTCAAATCGGAAGCGTGACACTCAAAACGGAGCACGTTCGGCTTCCGAAAAGAGTTCGCAAACTGGGACACTTAACTTCCGGGTTTTCAGTCTTTGGGTTCCAAGTTGTTTGAATATCAAAGGCGTTTGAGAACCAAGGCACCATTTTGCTTTAAAACACACGGAAGTTAAAATACGAACGCAGATTAAAACTGCCTCAGGTTTCTAAGCCTCTTGTCTAAACGACCAGGCACTTCAAACGACCAGGGTTATAAAAATCAACACATGCTCCCAGAACAAATTTGGGTGTCCGTGGAGATTTAAGAGGTCAAGTTAACGCACTTAGGAAACAGGGAGCGTCTGTGAGGAACGGGTCTGCTGTTTTAAGAGGAGAGCAACCTATCTTAAGGTCAGGATGTGGGGACGTGGCTGCCAGATTCTAATCATCTGAGGTTCAGCTCCGAGGGCCTTCTGGCGGTTCCCTCCCCGCGAGAACTGAGGTTACAGGGAACCAGGCAGAGGGCCTTCTCGGTGGTGGCACCCGCCCTGTGGAACGCCCTCCATGGGCTGTTTTGCTGCCGTTGGACATCTCAAATGGCCAGACCTGCTCCCCGCCTCTCCCCATTGGCCCAAACCCCATTCTCTGTACCTACCTCCTCCAACTCCTTCTGGCCCCACAGATTTTCCCCCCACCCAAGCCATTAGCAGCGATGAATCACACAAACACACACACACACACATTAAGAGACAGCAGCCAGGGAACACAGAGCCATGGGACCACAAACACCGCCCTCTCCTATTATTATTATTATTATTATTATTATATCATAGCTGTCAACTTTCCCCTTTTCTTTTGCGAGGAATCCTATTCGGAATAAGGGGATTTCCTTTTAAAAAATGGGAAACGTTGACAGCTACGATCATATACAAAAGGACAACTCCCTGCACATGGAAAGCTAGCCTGTCAAGGAAAAAAGGGGCTCGCTCCATTTTTAACATGCACCCTCGTTCTCAGGGGGGCCAACTTGAATAAAAATATTGGGGGGGGCAAGTAAGTCCTGCTCCGCGTAATCGATCATATGACACCATTCAAATGGCAATGCCCATTAACTTTAGGAGGGGCCTGCCCCCTCAAATTTTTAATTTTTTGGGGGGGTGAAGACCCCTCAGGCCCTAGGAGTTGGTTCCTATGCCTGTTCTGAAGTGGCGTAATTCATCCGATCGCCTCAGGACATAGCGGGAGGGACTGAGCCAAACTACCGTATTTTTTGCTCTATAAGACTCACTTTTCCCCTCCTAAAAAGTAAGGGGAAATGTGTGTGCGTCTTATGGAGCGAATGCAGGCTGCGCAGCTATCCCAGAAGCCAGAACAGCAAGAGGGATTGCTGCTTTCGCTGTGCAGCGATCCCTCTTGCTGTTCTGGCTTCTGAGATTCAGAATATATTTTTTTCTTGTTTTCCTCCTCTAAAAACTAGGTGAGTCTTGTGGTCTGGTGTGTCTTATAGAGCGAAAAATACGGTATTTCATTTCTGATACACAAATCCCTTTTCGAAACCGCTTTGACACCGCTTCCGGACACATCTTATTGCGGAAGAAACATAGAGACCAGGGCTAGGAAGCACACAGAAGGCGGGGAAAAGAAGGGGCCACAACGATTCACGGTGGGTGGAAGACGAAAGTCCTTCGGCAACCCCCACGACAGCTACCAGTCACCACCAGAACATCTCTGAGCAAGCGCAGAGTTCTACGGGAAAGCACATGCAGACAGGATACGGTGGGGAACACTCCTGGATTAGACTGAAACCACGTCTCCAGCTTGGCATAGGTGGGGGCTTAGGGTGCCCACCCCACAGATACCTCCAGGGACTTTGGGGTTTTTGGAAACGGACAAGCTCCCTTGAGGACGGCGAGGCAGAGAGAAAAAGTTGGGGAAGTTGGCCCAATTTCTCCCCGGGGTTTTGGAGTTCCGGACAGCCATAGCTGTCAACTACGTCTTGCGAGGAATCCTATTCGGAATAAGGCAATTTCCCTTTTAAAAAGGGAAAAGTTGACAGCTATGTTCTGTTTCCAAAGCGGAAACAAGTCCCTAGGCTTCGTAGCACAGGAAAAACCCATCTCCTACAACCCCCTCAAAATGCAGGAATTTCAGCTAAAGCATCCCTGACCATCCACCCTCTGTTTAAAAAAACTCCAAGAAAGGTGATTCCCCTTCCATCTCACTGCCGTATGTCTCTTGCTGTTGCAAAGTTCCTCCTGATGTTTTCATCTGGATCTCCTTCCTCGTCGCTCGAAGCCACGGGTTCGAGTCCTACCGTCCCGGAGCGGGAGGAAACCAGCTTGCTCCATCTTCCATGGGACAGAGATATGTGAAGATGGCTCTCCTATGTCCTCTTTCCCAAGCTAAACATCCCCAGCTCCTTCAACTGTTTCTCATCAGGCACTTTTGACCATCTCCACCCAACCACCCAACTCACAACTCCCTTCCCCACAGGTGGGTCGAGTCGGCCACAGCTGGAAGGATGCTACCAGCCTAACCCAGGGTGCAGAACGCCAAAGAACCACGTTACTCTGCAAAAATAATAATAATAAAGTCACACGTCGAGAGACACAGAGATAGAGAGAGACAGAGAGAGAGAGACCCACCTATCCGATAGGTCTAAGGTGCGCCTGCTCTCGAGCGAGGGCTGGCGACTCGTGTGTCTGCTCGAGCCGGAAGCAGACTCAGCGTCGCTGTGTCCGTTTGCGGCAGAGTCTACGCTACCGTAGCGTCTGCCGGAGGATCAGGGAAGGGGGAGAGGAAGAGGGTCAGAATTTTGACAAGTCAGAGAGAGACAAGACCAGCTTCCCCTGTCACGTTCAAAGACCATTTCTTTGGGGAGGAGAGAGGGAAGAGGCATAGGGAAAGGCACACACATTCATAGACTTGGAGAGGGACCCTGGGGTCATCTAGTCCAACCTGCCACACGGCAGGAATCTCAGGCGGCCAATAGAATCGCAGAATGGTAGAGCTGGCAGTAGCGCGCTTGCGAGGTCGGTTCGGTGACGTTTTGAGGGATGGAGGGCGCTGAGCTTATACCTGAACCACAGTCTTCCCCCCAAAACAAAACCCCACACACCCCCAATGGTCTTAGCGTCGTAGGAAGCGACCCAAAGGATCTTCAGATCTAACCGAAATCTGCCTGGACATAAGGCTGTTGGAAGAGACCCCGCTGCGATTGGACCAAAGATTTATCCAGCCCAGGCTTCTGGTGGCCAATGGGATTTTAAACCTGTATGATCTGATCCAAACTTTTCCGCTTGTGGTTCCCAGAAACTCGTATCCGTGGGTTGACTACTGGGGACACTGCACAGCCATCAGAACTAGTAGCCTTATAAGAACCTCAGAAAAGAACCTGCAAAGGCCCATCTAGTCTTGCAGTGGCCAACCGGGTGCCCACAAGCAGGAGCTGAGAGCGACAGCCCACCCTCCCCACTTGCGATATTCGGGGGGCATTTACTCCCTTCCAACAGCGGAAGGATCAGCACCGTGGCAAAAAGCCAATGATGGCCTTTTCCTGTGGCAGTGAGTTCCGCAGGTGAACTCTCTTCCTTTTTCCTTTTGTCCCTCCTGAATCTCTACTGACGGTCTGGGGTACCTTTACCTTTTTATTATGAGCTTAAGGCGTCATGGGAGGGACGCGGGTGGAGCTGTGGATTAAACCACAAAGCCTAGGACTTGCCGATCAGAAGGTCGGCGGTTCGAATCCCCGCAATGACAGGGTGAGCTCCCGTTGTTTGGTCCCTGCTCCTGCCAACCTAGCAGTTCGAAAGCACGTCAAAGTGCAAGTAGATAAATAGGTACCACTCTGGCAGGAAGGTAAACGGCGTTTCCGTGTGCTGCTCTGGTTCGCCAGAAGCGGCTTAGTCCTGCTGGCCACATGACCTGGAAGCTGAACACCGGCTCCCTCGGCCAGTAAAGTGAGGTGAGCGCCGCAACCCCAGAGTCGGCCATGACTGGACCTAATGGCCAGGGGTCCCTTTACCTTTTTAAGGTGTCATAGGCTTTGAAGTTACAAGTAGGCAGCCGTGTTGGTCTGCCGTAGTCAAAACAAAATTTTAAAAATCCTTCCAGTAGGCTTTGAAGACACTCGAACGCAGGACGAGAGGGAGAAACATGCTAAGAGGAAGGCGCGCTTGGCAAACCCTCACCAGGATCAACTCCTGCCTGGAAACCAATGTCCCCACTGTGGAAGGACATGTGGATCCAGAATTGGCCTCCACAGTCACTTACGGATTCACTGTTAAAACCGTGTTTATGGAAGACAATCTTACTCGGCTACGAAGGATTGCCAAAGAAGAAGAGGAAGAAGAAGAAGAAGAGGAAGAAGAAGAGGAGGAGGAAGAGGAAGAGGGAGGAGTAAGAGGAAGAAGAAGAGGAGGAGGAGGAGAAGGAGGAGGAGAAGGAGGAGGGGGGAAGAAGAAGAAGAAGAAGAAGAAGAGGAAGAGGAAGAGGAAGAAGAAGGATCGCCATAGAAGAAGAAATAGGAGCATTCTTCGTAGGCTTGGTTCTGTTCTGGTGGCGGTGCCCATCTGCCTGCATCCTTAAACAGAGCTCTGGGCTCGATCAACCTTTGGTCCGATCTAGTCCGACCTGGCTTCTGGTACCCTTCCAACAACCTGGTGTCCGCTTCTGGCCAAAGCTCCCCAGCTGGGATCAGGCCCACCCCACCCCACCCCTGCCCCATGGAGGCTTCTCACACCTTTCCCCAGCAAGGTCCCCAGCTTCTGTCCAGTCTACCTCATGGGGCGATGGTCAGAGTAGTCCATGTCGTAGCCCTTCATGGAATCAGCGTAAGAGTCCCGGGCTGCTCTCTGCTGGTGCCTCATGGGGTATTGGTGGACTGAAGCGTTGGGCTGGGAGGTGGTGTAGAAAGGAGGCGGGATGCTGTTGCTGGTCTCGCTGCGGTAGTCACTGTCGCGGTCATCCATGGTGCTGTCTGGGTCATCATCTGGAGAAGAAGGTAAAGGTAAAGGTACCCCCTGACCATTAGGTCCAGTCGTGGCCGACTCTGGGGTTGCGGCGCTCATCTCACTTTACTGGCTGAGGGAGCCGGCGTACAGCTTCCGGGTCATGTGGCCAGCAGGACTAAGCCGCTTCTGGCGAACCAGAGCAGCGCACGGAAACGCCGTTTACCTTCCCGCTGGAGCAGTACCTATTTATCTACTTTGACGTGCTTTCGAACTGCTAGGTTGGCAGGAGCAGGGACTGAGCAACGGGAGCTCACCCCGTCATTGCGGGGATTCGAACCGCCGAACTTCTGGTCGGCAAGTTCTAGGCTCTGTGGTTTAACCCACAGCACCACCCGCATCCCTGTGGAGAAGAAGAGGACCACCCAATTTCGCAAGTTAGGTAAAGGCCCGTTCTCATAGCAAGGGGTGGCCATCTTTATGTTCAGGCCTGGACATCTAAGGTGCGTGCAAACGCACACCTTTGCATATTTGTGTTTCCTTGTTTGTTTCTTTTCCCGGGGACATTAGAGAGGGGAGGTCAGGATTCAGGAAGGGGGGAAACGTCTCGACTGGGGGCGGGATGGGATTCGGGGAGAACAACGGTACTGGTCGATGGCAGAAGAGAACGAGGGAGGACACTGAGAGAGGTGGACGGAGCGATGGGGAAACCCAGAGAATTGGAGGCCTTTTCCCCCAAAAGCAAAAGTTGGAAGGGACCCAAAGGGCATCTAGTCCAACCCCCCTGCAATGCTGGTCCACAAATTTGTTTGCGCCACCCATGGCAGGGGATGAGCGCGCCGTGTTTTAGCTACCAGGAGGATGGAGAAGTGAGAGGAAGATGGGTCACAGCGAGATAAGACATGAGAAGGAACTGGAGTTTCCTGATTATGGGGGAAGGCGAACCCACACTGCTTTGCGTAGGTAAAACTCGATCTGCAATCTGCTTAATAATATAATCATATTTATACCCTGCCCATCTGGCCGGGTTCCCCCAGCCACTCTGGGCGGCTCCCAACAGAATATTAAAAACATCGAATACTAAAAACTTCCCTAAACAGGGCTGCCTTCAGACGTCTTCTAAAAGTCAGATAGTTTTTGTTTCCTTGACATCTGAAGGGAGGGCGCCACCACCAAGAAGGCCCTCTGCCTGGTTCTCTGCAACCTCACTTCTCGCAGGGAGGGAACCGCCAGAAGGCCCTCGGGATATGGACCCAGGTGTCCGGGGTGGAGACGCTCCTTCAGGTCTACTGGGCCATTTAGGACTTTCAGCACCAACCCTTTGAATTATGCTCGGAAACGTCCTGGGAGCCAGTGAAGGAAATAAACAACTATCTGACTTTTAGAAGACGTCTGAAGGCAGCCCTGTTTAGGGAAGTTTTTTAATGTTTGATGTTTTTAATATTCTGTTGGGAGCCGCCCAGAGTGGCTGTGTTTGAAGAGGCCTGCATAGCAAAATGGGTAGAAATTGGGGGTACGGAGGTCTAGAAGTGGGGGGCAGGTCATATACTTACTTTGTTGATCTCCCCAGCCAAAATAATTCCAGTTGCCTATGAAAAAAAAAAAAGAAGACCAAGAAGACGTGTCCCTTTAAGAGACAGGCCAAGTCTAAATAAAGCCAGTAATTTTTTAGCCCCCAAGGGAAGAGGTAACTGGACCATTCCAGAAGAATTAAAATCCTTCCTTGAGGGCATTATACAAGCAACATATATAGGAAACAGAAAGGCGGTCTACAACAGAAATCTGAGTGCGTTCTTTATCTCCTGTCTGGCATGTTATCTGATCATGCCTTATCTGATTGCCTTTCCTGGTAGTCTGCCCATTCCTTTGAGATGGTGATTACCCAATTCCTGAGACAATGGGACGGTTCCCTCACCCCCTCCCTCCTCGCAGAGAATACATTTGGTCAGTTTGGGAGTCAAAACGGTTTCAGGTCAGTCTTCCTGTGTCGATCTATGTACGTGCTTGGTTGGTACATTTAGGAACATTTATTATATATCTAAGTACCTTAAAATTCTTATCACAGGTATCTCTGAAAAACTGATAAAAATTGGGAGCCATCTTTTGTTCTGGGCTGCTTCTTCCATGTGGTGGGTGGTGTGGGATGTGAAACACAAGAGCAGTCAAGTACAACATTCCTAGAGTGAACATGTTTTGACATGGGGAGGGATGTTTGTCCAGCCAGCAGGTAAACTTCCTGTTTCCTTTTAGGCTGGGACAGACTTCCTCTACATGTGACCAGAGGTGGGTGTGGCCTCACCTGTGCAGGTAATGATAAAAGCACAGGACAGGGCAGCCATCTCTCTCTTCCTCCTCTTCATCTTCTTCCAAGCAACATCTACTGAGTGAAAGATGCCCTCTTGGCTCCCAGCCCAGAGAGGACAAAGGGACTGTCTTCTTAAAAGATAGATTCCAAGTGTAGCGTTACCATTGCTTAAGTCTGCCTCTGGGATCTGATTAGAACAGAATGAGAGTAAACTCTTTTTATACTTTTGCAGAAGACTGTGTCGTCTCTTCTGTTTTATGAGGGGAATAAGGGAAATTACCAGAACAGTTATCATAGAGGCTTGCGAGCCTGAGCAACATGCCGCTGCAAACTTAAAATAAAGGGGGAATGTAATACTGAAATTGGGACTTGTTAACATTAAGTTGGACATGATAACTGTATTTAAACATCCCTCTCCTGCATCCCTGAACATTCCCACAGGTGGAAGTCCTGCTGCAACAGTCCTTAAAAATAAAGACCAGGCCTGGTAGCTGCCGTTTTGCTCCTCTATTCCGGCTGGTGTCTTTGTTTGGTAATTCAAGTGTTACAGAAATTACAAATATTATACCTGAATGTATCCTTTCAACTTCACAGCTCAGGGAAGTTACCTAGCTTTAAAAATAATACAAAATCAACTTACACTCTCCATCTCTAAAGCCATATTCCTGGAAAAAAGGACCCGGAAGTTGCCAGGAGGTGACAATTGGCTGAGCTTGATTGTTGGCCAAGAAAAGCCTAATAACATCACCAAACTTGCCAAGGGGTCCAGACATGCAAAGGAAGTTCTATTGTAATTTTTGGGTGGCGGGACTTCAGGAGGTGTTTGCCTAGGCTAATCTTATAATCTGAGTCTTGGCCCTGCCATGTCTGCTTATGCTAACTTGGACCAAGGACTTGTCTGGACACACTGGAAGGTTAAACTAGTATAACCTATCCGCTGGGTATTAGGTCCAGTCATGGCCGACTCGGGGTTGTGGCGCCATCTCGCACTGGCCGAGGGAGCCGGCGCTTCCGGTCATGGGCCAGCAGGGACTGAGCCAGCTTCTGGCGAACCAGAGCAGCGCACGGAAACGCTGCCGACCTCCTGCCAGAGCGGTACTCTATTTATCTACTTGCAATTGGACGTGTTTCAACTGCTAGGTGGGCAGGAGCAGGACCGAGGCACAGAGCTCACCTCACACAGGGATCAACCGCCAACCTTCTGATCGGCAAGTCCTAGGCTCTGCGCCACCCGCGTCCCGTGTCTACCCCTCCCCTTTTGTGACATGTCAGTGATGCTGTACGAACTGTATTCTGGGATATATGGAAAGTTTGAAGTCCCTCGCCACCCCATCCTCGGGTTCAAAATTCTCTTTGAACCTGTTATGCAATAAACTTTTGGAATTGCCATTTTGCTCCAAGGTATTGAACTCCTTCCTTTATTCCGCAGGGCTCTGCCCGACGAGCTGGGTAAATGAGAAGCCTCACACCTAGATTTTTCCGTAACACAAGCAAGCCCAAGGATTTTCCTATAACAGATCTCCGAACAGCAGTTCCTAGCCCAGGTACCGGGGATTTTCACTGCATATAGACGCACCGGACCATGTGAGGGAGAACAGGGGGAGGGCCTCCACCTTCTGGCGCAGCGCCCTTCAGCGAAGCGGATGGAAGGAAAACGACCCCTCTCCATTTCCCTCCTCCCGCTCGCTGAAGGCGCTGCAGAGAGGGAAAACTGCAGCGCCCAGCGTGCCGTGGCCTGGAGACAAGAGGATCGTGTGCGCTGACCCTCTGCTCTCCAGGCTCAGGCGGCCATCCACAAGCCTTCGGAGTGCAGCGGAACTCCTGCTGCGCTCCAAAGGCCTGCGGACTGCTGGAAGCCCCCCAGAGCAGCGGAGCCCCTGCGCCTGGGGGCTTCAGGCAGCTTCAGCGAGCAACGCGAAGCTCCCGGAGCGCAGGGGAGCGCCTCCCTCTGCGCCGGAGGCTTCTCGCGCTGGCCAAGGAAGCCAAGGAGCCTGCATTCATAGGGATCGCACACACATTTCCTTCATTTTTGAGTGGTGCATCCTATAGAGCGAAAAATACGGTACTTTGCTCCCAAACTCGAGACTTTCCTGAGACTTAAAAGTGGGGCGGGGTGGGAGAGAGACAAAGCAGGAAGGGGGGACAAATGGGGATAAGGGAGACACAGAGGGGAGGGTTGAGAATCAAGGGGAGGGACTTCTGCCAACCAGGTGATCCCCTTTTTGGTGGCCAAGCCCTCCAAGCGAGGTACCTTCCAAACCAAAGATGGAGGGTCATGGAAAGACCTTCACAGATATTCCCTGAGTCAGGGGGTACAGAACGTGTCTTGCTGGACTCCAACTCCCAGAAACCATTGCAGCCACCAGAGAGGATGCTGTGAGCTGAAGTCCAGCAGGTCACAGAGGGACAGGAGCTGGTTAGGGCATGGAGGAAGCGAGATCGAATTCCCTAAAATTCACAAGCGAGTCAAACACTTACAGCACTGAGATCCGGGTACGGGGAGCGGCTTCTCCTGTGTCCCCCAAGAACGAGAATGGGAACCCCAAAATTTAGAGAGGAGGGAGCAGACGGAGAGAAGAGGGAAGGGGAAGAGTCAGTGTCTATCTGAGAACAACTTAAAATACCTTTTAAAAAATACTTTACAGTTACAGCAGTCCCTTGGTTCTTAAACGCCTTGGTGCTCAAACAGCTTGGAACCAGAACGCTGCAAACCTGGAAGGAAGTGTTCTGGTTTGCGAACTTTTTTCGGAAGCCGAACATGCTCTGTTTTGAGCGTTACTCTTCCGTTCTGAGTGCCACACTTCCATTTTGAGCGTTACGCTGAGGTCTGTCTGTCTTTGCTATTTATTGTGCGTTTTCGTTTTTGCGGCTTTTTGGCTTTTGTTTTTGTGACGGTGTGGAACGCAGTCCAGCCACTGGTGGTTCAATTGCGTGACTGCAGTACATTGTCTATTGCTCTCGCTTTATGGGTCAACGGTCTCGTTAGATAGTAAAATTCGTGTAAAATTGCTGATTTAGGGGTTGTTTTTATAGTCTGGAACGGATTAATCCCTTTTGCATTCCTTTCTATGGGAAAGTGCACCTTGGTTTTGGAACAGACTTCCAGAACGGATTAAATTTGAGAACCAAGGTACCACTGTATTAAAGAAAACATATCACAAAACATCTAATAAAAATAACATGTCATTAAAATGTAACAAAAGTTCATGCAATTGCTCATATTTAGATTTCCAATTGGCCAGAAATCGTCCAGGTTTTTGTGTCTTAATTTTAACTGGGGACTCAACTACATTAGGGACGTGGGTGGCGCTGTGGGTTAAAGCACAGAGTCTAGGACTCCCTCGGCCTATAGAGCGAGATGAGCGCCGCAACCCCAGAGTCGGCCACGACTGGACCTAATGGTCAGGGGTGAAATCAATGGGCATGGTTAACTGAAAGGTAAAGGGACCCCTCACCATTAGGTCCAGTCGTGGCCGACTCTGGGGTTGCAGCGCTCATCTCGCTTTATTGGTTGTGGGAGCCGGCGTACAGCTTCCGGGTCATGTGGCCAGCAGGACTAAGCCGCTTCTGGCGAACCAGAGCAGCGCACGGAAACACCGTTTACCTTCCCGCCAGAGTTACCTATTTATCTACTTGCACTTTGACGTGCTTTTGAACTGCTAGGTGGGCAGGAGCAGGGACCGAGCAACGGGAGCTCAACCCGTCATTGCGGGGATTCGAACCGCCGACCTTCTGATCGGCAAGTCCTAGGCTGTGTGGTTTAACCTTCAGCGCCACCCGCGTCCCATATGGCTAACTTAGATCTCTTAATTTCAGTAGGTCTAGTCTGAGTAGGGGAAAAACACACACACAAACACAACCATGCTGGTAAGAAGACCATGAATGCCAAAAGCCAGGAAGGAATCTGGATGAGCAAGTCTCCGCCTGGAAGCATCCATGCTTCAGATAAGGCATATAATAATAATAATAATAATAATAATAATAATAATAATAATAATAATTAATAATAAAAAATAATTTATTTATACCCTGCCCATCTCGCTGGGCTTCCCCAACCACTCTGGGCAGCTTCCAAAAAATATATTAAAGTACTGTAATAGATCAAACATTAAAAGCTTCCCTAAATAGGGCTGCCTTCAGATGTCTTCTAAAAGTCTGGTAGTTGTTGTTCTCTTTGACATCTGGTGGGAGGGCGTTCCACAGGGCAGGCGCCACCACCGAGAAGGCCCTCTGCCCGGTTCCCTGTAACTTGGCTTCTCGCAGTGAGGGAACCGCCAGAAGGCCCTCGGGAGATGGACCTCAGTGTCCAGGTAGAACGATGGGGGTGGAGACGCTCCTTCAGGTATTCTGGGCCGAGACAGTTTAGGGCTTTAAAGGTCAGCACCAACACTTTGAATTGTGCTCGGAAACGTACTGGGAGCCAATATAAGTCTTTCAAGACTGGTGTTATGTGGTCTCGGTGGCCACTCCCAGTCCCCAGTCTAGCTGCCGCATTCTGGATTAGTTGTAGTTTCCGGGTCACCTTCAAAGACAGCCCCACGTAGAGCGCATGGCAGTAGTCCAATCAGCAGATAACCAGAGCATGCACCACTCTGGCCTGACAGTCTGCCGTCAGGTAGGGTTTCATCCTGAGTACCAGATGGAGCTGCCCTGGACACAGAACTGACCTGCGCCTCCATGGACAGCTGTGAGTCCAGAATGACTCCCAGGCTGCGCACCTGGTCCTTCAGGGGCACAGTTACCCTATTCAGGACCAGGGAGTCCTCCACACCAGCCCACCCCCTGTCCCCCCAAAACAGCACTCAACTGCTCGGTCTTAAGTCAGTCCAGTTTAAGGTATGTTACACACACACACACACACACACACACACACACACACATTGTGTGCTCGGAAACATACTGGGAGCCAGTGTAGGTCTTTCAAGACTGGTGTTAATGCATGAAGGGGTTAATACCATAGAGTAAGCTAGGTTACACACACACACACACACACACACACACACACACACCCTCTTAGAAACTTACATCATCCTGATCTCGCATCGCATTGAGCCTCTCAAGTTCTTTGACCCAGTAGCGTGCTTCCTCCTCAGGTATATCTGCAGAGGAAAGAGGGGTGGAATTGGAGGTGGTTCAGTTGACGGAATTAAAAAGAAGAAAATAAAAACCACGCAATTGGTACAAGCTTTTCCTGGACTGGACCATATATCGAACATAAGAAGAGGGGTGCTGGATCAGGCAAACAGCCCCATCGATCCCAGTATCCTCTTAGAATCAGAGTTGAATGGGACCATTAGGTTCATCCAGCCCAACCCACTGCTATTGCAGGAAACTTTTGCCCAAGGTGGGACTTGAACTCGCTACCTTGAGGTTTAGATCCGCATGCTCAACCGACTGAGCCATCCCACAGTGGCCAACCCAAACTTCGCACGACCTCTAGGCCGTGCAAACCCCTAATACAGCGGTCCCTTGGTTCTCAAACGCCTTGGTACTCCTCAAACACTGCAAACCCAGAAGTAAGTGTTCCAGTTTGCAAACCTTTTTCAGAAGCTGAACATGCTCCATTTTGAGTGTTATGCTTCCGTTTTGAGTGTTAGGCTGAGGTCTGTCTGGTTTTGCTATTTATTTTGCATTTTTGTGGCTCTTTTTGTTTTGTTTTTGTGACTGTGTGGAACCCAGCTCAGCTACTGGTTGACTGATTGTGTGACTGCAGTACAGTGGTACCTCGGGTTTAGTACTTAATTCGTTCTGGAGGTCCGTTCTTAACCTGAAACTGTTCTTAACCTGAAGCACCACTTTAGCTAATGGGGTCTCCTGCTGCTGCTGCGCCGCTGCTGCACGATTTCTGTTCTCATCCTGAAGCAAAGTTCTTAATCCGAGGTACTATTTCTGGGTTAGCGGAGTCTGTAACCTGAAGCGTACGTAACCCGAGGTACCACTGTACACGGTTTATTACTTTCGCTTTATGGATCAGTGGTCTCGCTAGATAGTAAAATCCATGTTAAATTGCTGTTTTAAGGTTTGTTTTTAAAAGTCTGGAACGGATTAATCCGTTTTGCATTCCTTTCTATGGAAAAGCGTGCCTCGGTTTTGGAACGCTTTGGTTTTGGAACGGACTAAGTTTGAGAACCAAGGTACCACTGTAATTGGGGTACACGTACACACACACACACACACACACACACACCACTTTACAACGCAATCCATCCCTCCTTCCCTACCGAGTGGGAGTTCAAAGCGAGTGTCCAAAAGGATGCGGTGGAAAGTTGGGTCCTTGGTCCCAGAGATCTCATTGTCCGTCATGATGACATGGGAGTCGAGAGTCAGCCATTCCCCCGGACCCTCCTGGGATGGAAGAAAGAGGTTTGGATTTAGCCCAGCCATTGCAAAATGTGGGACGTGATCTATAAGTAGCAGTCAAGTACAACATTCCTTGTTTTCCTAGAGTGGCCACGCTGGGGAATGTTTGGTCCAGCCAGTTGAAAACTTCCTGTTTCCTCCTGGCTGGGACATCCTTCCTTTGCATGTGACTAGAGGTGGGTGTGGCCTTACCTGTCCAGGTAACAAAAGGACAAGGCACACAGCCATCTCTCTCTCTCTTTGACTTCTTTGGTCGTTGGAGGAGCAGCTTTTAGCTAGGACTGCTCTGCTAGCTCTCAGGAAACAGAGGACACTGGGATTATCCCCAGTAGATCCACATGTATAAACTTTGTAAACAAGTCTGCCTTCAGGGATCCAACTGTGAACTGATTATGTGAGTAAACCTCTTTTATATACTTTACACAAGATTGTGGCGTGTTTATTCTTTTAAAAGGGATATAAGGGAACTTAAAGGTAAAGGGTAAAAGGACCCCTGACTATTAGGTCCAGTCGTGACCGACTCTGGGGTTGCGGCGCTCATCTCGCTTTACTGGCCGAGGGAGCCGGCGTACAGCTTCCGGGTCATGTGGCCAGCATGACTAAGCTGCTTCTGGTGAACCAGAACAGCGCACGGAAACGCCGTTTACTTTCCCGCCAGAGCGGTACCTATTTATCTACTTGCACTTTGACGTGCTTTCGAACTGCTAGGTGGGCAGGAGCAGGGACCGAGCAACGGGAGCTCAGCCCATCATTGCGGGGATTCGAACCACCGACCTTCTGATCGGCAAATCCTAGTCTCTGTGGTTTAACCCACAGCGCCACCCACATCCCATAAGGGAACTTACCAGGAACCTAATAGCGAGAGGCTCACACGAGCCTGCAACCAGTTATCCGCTCTGCATTTAAAAGGGGAATGTAAAACTCTGCTAATTAAAGGAACTTGCTAGTGCAAGTTAGGATGGATATTAATAAACAATATATCCTCTCCTGACTCTCTGGACATTCCCACACTTTCTACGCACCTCGTTGGATTGCCGGATCGTGCTTAGCGGGATCCACACAGTCCCCACCATCGTGTCCCAGATTAGACCCTTGTTCCACACTTCCACTGTCAGCCCGAGGTCCAGGCGGTTGATTTCACTGCAAGAGAAATGTAGTTTTAATCGCACGGTGCCCGTTCTCAGGAACGGCCAATCCCTTAAGAATATATGGACAAGCCCCTGGTTTCCCGCCCTCCTCTCCTTTATTTTGCGTTTTCGTTTTGGAGGCTTTTTCGGTTAATTTCTTTTTGTGACTGTGCAGAACCCAGTTCAGCTACTGATGGATTGGTTGTGTGACTACGGAAATGGATAAAAGCCCCCCATCCAAACAGTGACTATCATTAGTGCAGGTAAAGGGGGGGAAAATGTAATTGTAATTTTTATCATCTACAATACTGTCTTATTGGGGGTTGGGCTGGATGACCCCTTAGGGTCCCTTGCAAGTCGACAATTCTATGACAGATATAGAGCTCAGCCAGGGCCGGATTTAGGTTTGATGAGGCCCTCAGCTCCTGAAGGTAATGGGGCCCTTTATATGTCCAGCTGTCCTTTGTCAACAACAAATTGCAGCTGTTTTTTGTGTTGAATATATGCAGCTATATGGTAATTTATGGACCTAGTAGGTATCTCAAGCCATTTGTCCATGTTGCCCTGCAACCAGTCCATGCAGAATGTAGGCACCCTATATATAGAAAGGAGCAAACCAGTGATATTTTAGGGAGCAGGCTAGCAGGCAGGGCCCATGACTTACATCCTAGGAGCCTACACAACACAAGACACCATTTCTGTATGTGGGTTTTATTTCATTTGTTTTTTATCTTATATTTTGGAAATGTACATCCAGGGTTTTTTCCCCTTTACATTTTTTGGAGGGCCCCAAGAGAGTGGGGCCCTAAGCTATAGCTTGTTTTGCTTATATGTAAATCTGTCACTTCTGTTCTCTGAGTGCTTGGAATTAACTGGTTCGGTTTTAGCAAAGTTCACCAAATTTGTTGAAAAATCTCTAAAGGGCTCACAACAGAATATAACATCAAACGTTAAAAACTTCCCTAAACAGACTGCCTTCAGATGTCTTCTAAAAGTCATATTTTATGGGAAAGTTTTCAATTATAAAGAAATAAAGTGATATAAATAAAAATAAAAAGGCACCAAAATGTGTAGAGAAAGAAAGAAAACACACACAAAAAATACCTTAACCCATACATTGATATTGCTATCCTAATACATATGTAAATATGAATAGCCTACGGCATTTTGTATAACCTCATTCCAAATATTGTACTTATCCAAGCAAAATCAACAGGCAGACTGAGGGCTCCCTGTCCACACTTTCCTCTCTCCTTTCTCAAGGAAACCCACTATTGAGCTCCAAACCAGAACCAACAGCAAGAAACAGCCAGAAACCCAGATTGCTGTTTGTTCCGAATGAGCGCTAGAGAGCAGCTCCACTTACAACATGAAGTCTTGCTCCCAGCATGGAAGGTTTCCTCGCACCGCTATCGTTGTGCTCTTCACATTCTGGACTTTGAGGGTGACGTACGTGTTGAATTTTTCTGTACGGGGAGGAGAGGGGGGAAGGGACACAGAATAGGATAGGTGGATAGAGAGAAGAGAACTGGTGTCTGTCAGAGAAAAGCCCTTTGTCTGAATGAAAAACAGCCCCAACAGTGGGAAAGTGGGGAGGGTCTGTGGGATCTTTGCACCACAGCGCCGGATATGCTTAAGATGGCCCTGAACTGGGTAGGTTGTTCTGACAAGGTAGAGCTTATTGCTCAAAGAAAGCACACGGGAAGACAGGAATCCCCTCTGATATTGCGTCCTGCCTTGGATGAGCCAACGGTTGGTTGCTGCTAAGCCGCAGCAACAAGGCTCTCAAAGTGGGGGCAATGGTTCAAGGTAAAGAGACCCCTGACCGTTAGGTCCAGTCGTGGCCGACTCTGGGGTTGCGGCGCTCATCTTGCTCTATGGGCCAAGGGAGCCGGCATTTGTCCGCAGACAGCTTCTGGGTCATGTGGCCAGCAGGACTAAGCCGCTTCTGGCGAGCCAGAGCAGCGCACGGAAACACCGTTTACCTTCCCACCAGAGTGGTACCTATTGATCTACTTGCACTTTGAGGTGCTTTCGAACTGCTAGGTGGGCAGGAGCAGGGACCGAGCAACGGGAGCTCACCCCGTCGCTGGAATCGAACCGCCGACCTTCTGATTGGCAAGTCCTAGGCTCAGAGGTTTAGACCACAGTGCCACCCGCGTCCCTGGGGGCAATGGCTAGTCATTCTCAACAGTTGCATGACTCCCCGGGTACAACAAGGAGAAGAGGAAGGACTCACCTTGGGGGCCGTCAAATTTGGCTTTCTTGACTGGAAGGGAAAAGGAGAAAGCAGAAGGGTTAGTTGCACCATTCAGTATGTGCTCTCTTTTTCTTTCACTTGATTTTAAAATTGATTTATCATAAAGATATGTACAAACTAGCGCATGACTGTGTAAACAGAACCATACACAAAGCATATTCAGTATACCTATGGGACCGCCTCTCCTGGTATGTCCCACAAAGGAACTTACGGTCTTCAAACAAAAACATCTTGGAGGTCCCGGGCCACAGAGAGGTTAGGCTGGCCTCAACTAGAGCCAGGGCTTTTTCGGACGTGGCTCCGATCTGGTGGAACGCTCTGTCACAAGAGACTAGAGCCCTGCGGGACTTGACATCTTTCCGCAGGGCCTGCAAGATGGAGCTGTTCCGCCAGGCCTTTGGCCAAGGCACAGTCTGACCCCCTCCTTTGGCAATCCTCACAGAACTCTAGCCCAATGGTTGCCATTAATCTGTTTTGAATTAATTTTATAATGAAATGATTTTAGAATGTTTTATCATTTTACTGTTGTTAGCCGCTCTGAGCCCGGCTTCGGCTGGGGAAGGCGGGATATAAATAAAATTTTGTTGTTGTTATTATTATTATTATTATTATTATTATTATTATTTATTATTACAGTGGTGCCTTGGTTCTCAAATGCCTTGGTTCC